TCATTTTCTTTAGAAACCAAACAAGCGACATTTCGTTTCGTACACGTGTGCTGTATTTATGCACTTCGACTACATTATAGCGGCACAATGTCATTTCCTATTGGCGCATTAAATCTTACGTTAAGACACGCGTGTTTTAATTCGACTTTTAATTCGTATTATTTCTCTAGTGGAGACCGAGCCTAACAAGTAAAATACAGTCGATGTTGAGGAGACATTTTCATTTCCAACTCAATTTATTGACCCAAGAAAGAAAAACAATTCATTGAAATCGAAGATTCAATCGTACACGATTTATACAATGTGCATAAACAGATATCAGACGAGACAAAAGACAGAAAATTTTCTCACATCGTCTTGATACAAGACATTTCGAGAGGAACGATACGAACACTTCATTTCAATCTCTCATTAATTCAATAACAAAATTAAATGCAACATGTTCATTCAATGGAAAAGATTGTTTAATGACTACTTGATAGCAATTCATAATGAAATTGCTCAAGACCAATTTTCCACGTGGCAATCGTAGTTGATAACCCATTTGTTTACAATCTGGATTTGGGATACGTTCAACAATTGTTTGACTAATACCATCGTATACATAGAGTGTTGCTTGTCGAGCGCGTATCGTATTGAATGACCGAAAAGCACGTTGGCAAGTGAACCAAAACGAAGCACAATCAGTTGAGAATTGTGCGTTAGCTTGAAATATCAAACCTTTGTAAGCTAGTTTGTTATCCTTTCGACCATTCAATATAATTGTATGCCGATTTGGATCATAATATGAGCGATCATCAACTACGAAGAATAAAAGATTAAGAACAGAATAACATATCTCGATCTACATACTATATATGTGTTTGATTCCATAGGTTAAATCTGTTGGATCTTCTATTAAGCATAGAGAGCGTGCGAGAAATGCTTTTTTAAATTTTTCATTCAACTGTGACTTAGCGACACAGGAGATTAGGTGACGTTTTTCCACATCACCTGTAAGAGATAGTAACTTGGTGCGTAATAAAGTTAAAATCTTAACGAAGTATTCGTCTGGTAAACCGAGAAACATCATACCATTTAATAGATCGTCGTAAAACAATAGTTGCTGTGGACTTTGTTGTAGATTTTCATCAGAATATAATAGATCGATGCATGTTAATAGAGTTTTTTCTGTGAAATTAAATGTGCAATGATATTCATTCAAATAACATTGTTGACTAGAATCATAGGTTGACTCAGGTTGATTGTATTTGAAAAATAAACGAAAATAGATTGATGATGCGCTCAAGACAAGACGATGACACAGGACAGAGGATGATAAGCCATTGCATGTATAAACCAAACGACAATCACAACAATGACGAGCAGATAGAAATGAACGAAGTTTCGAACTCAAACCAATTGACATCGGTGATGAAGATAAGTCTAAAGAAAAAAGACGTTACTCTCAAACACATTGTATGCTAGAAAACTTACCAAGATCTTCCTCATCTTGAAATAACATTGAGTTATTTCGTTTCGTAGTGGTCGTTTGTGTTTTTGTATTTACAACCTGCATTTCCTTACGCACTTGTTTTCGCACTGATACTTTTCCACTCGGTGTTGTTTTATTCGAAGATGCAGATGACCGATGACGTTCAATGCACACCGACCAGTCAGTATGAACTATTTTTTCTTGTTGCAATCGGTGTATGACGTAAAAGCAAGAGAACAGTCATACATATTGTTCACGATAGACGGCCACTAGCTAACTGACTGATATATATTCATGTATGGATAGAACGAGTAGGCGATCATGTGTATGTTTATGTATATGTAGAAATTTCTCTATGCATGCGTTTGAAAAATAAGGATAGGAAAAAAAAAAGAAATATCTTTCGTCAGTCCGTCCATGTTCATTGGTATTTCTTCTTTTGTTTTCCCTCTGCATAAATGCGACGTAGTAGATGTATTGTGAATAGATTTACATAATTTGGAAACAAGAGTAAATCTATAGTAACGGTTAAAGTGTTTGAAATTCCTTGCAGAATTTCATCTGCATCATAGCCATTGTCGTCGTTTTCCGTCATTGCATTGATGTCGTCTTGCTCTAAACTACCGTTCTGCTTGCTAACCTTACACGCTATCTATTGAGGCGTAACGTTCGAATGCATTGGTGATTCAGTAACCAGTATGCAAAGCAAATACATATTCAGCCAAATCAATAGATGATATACATTTATGAGATCTTAAGTGTAGCTTCTGATTGTGCTTAACCTGGGTCCTACTAGGTTTACATTGAGATAGTGTTTCTGTATTATTTTAGTATGGGAAGTAGTTGTGTTGAAAAGAAAATCATTGTTGAAAAATTTTTAAAAATTGAATCATCGAATAAATTCATTTAGAAGATAGACTGATCTTATTTTGATTGACAAAAAAGCCTTATCCTCGGAATAAATAAAAAAAAAAGAATAATTGGCAATATCGAAAGGAGAAAACGAGATAGCTTCTTGTTTTATTAGACACAACCACCATCATAGGCGATACAATCATTCGCCATAGTAAAAGGATTAGCATCTTGATAACGACAAGCACAAGTGTTACCAGAAAAATGTCCATCGCACGATGCGCCAGTACAGCCACCAGAATAAAAAGTAGGACAATGACCACTAGTAGTCTCACGGCGGCCAATACAAATGTTTATCACAACGAGAAGCAGTAGTAGCACACTGTGTAACCGTAACAGGATCACTACTACAAATCATACAGCCACAAGCAGCATTGTAATAAAGAGTGTTATGACAAGACCAACCGGTAAAACAATTACAACCAAGTTCACGTTTCTTGATTAAATGATGCACAGCTTTATCGACATCAAGAAAACGACCAAACAAACCAATTGATTGTTTTTTCCTCCACTCCACTGTCTTTTGTTGTTGTTCGATGGTTCAAAGAAAAATAGTAGGTAAATACACTGAGAGTGTTTCTACCTTTATATACATGTTTATCAACGAATAACACGGGAAAATGCGTGAGAAAACAAGTATAATTTCTTCTCATACTTGTAGAAAAAGATTCTTCGTAATTGTTCCCCGATATGAGGGAAAAAGAAATTTGTGTTCCGTTAATGGTTATACTAATACCGCTTTTTTTGTTATCTGATTAGTGTCTTGTTGTATGCGTTCTTTCAGGATTTATTCATTCAGAGTGCGAGGATGAGATGTTATTCTAACTTATTTGCACACGTAAAATACGCGTGGAAGTAGCGAATCAGAGAGCGCTGATGGAAAATCGATTCGATATTCACATTAATAAAAAGATCACCGAATCTTCATTTGTATCGATTCGTAGCTAATAGATGATAGACGGAGAACACTTAATGACGCCCGCTACTTCTTTTGCTTGATTTCTATCTAAAATGTCCTAACTTGATATACGATAAACTTAGCTTCGGTATAGTGTGACTTGTGAGTGGACTTGATTAAACGTTTACGAGTTTATTTGTATTCGACGTTAAGATGAACATGGGCTGGGTGCAAAGTCGACATCAAATTAGGTGATATATTCTGTTGGTCAATGGTACATTGTACAGGCAGTAGGAGAAAGTTGAATTTACTCATTAAATCTGTTTAGATGGATCTGCTGCATCTCTTCTTTGGAAAACTTTGACAGATGTTGATGAATGCAAAAAATTTTCAAGTGCAAATGCTCTCGTGAATGTTGCGTGTTGAAGTGATACAGCTATTATGAATATGTTAAGCAAAAAATAATGAATGACTCTATCACCGTCATATTAAGTCCACAGTTGTATGACTATTCAATATGTTAATACATTTACCGAATAACCGGATATTTTTCAGGAATAATAAACGCGTCATCATATTTTCAATTATTCTGAAACAAAAAACTCGCTATCATCACATTCGTCACTTCCAGTTTTTGAAGTCGCTCGGTTAAAAATATTGCAAATCTTTCTAATTCAATAGACCTCTCTTACTTTTATTGCATACTTACGGAGTTCGATCAAGTGATAAAATATTTTCCTAAAAGATTATTTACCAAGATAGATTTTCATAAGAGAAGTTAATTATGAGCTCGTATTTTCAATCTCTACTGTGCCGAAATCGATCTACTTATTGATAACGATTTCATATCTGATAGAAATTTGAAGAGTAAGTTTTTAGGTAAATGTTAAATAACAATATTACGATAAGTAATGAAATAAAGAGAAGTAATGATGTAGACTAGGTTAAAACTCCAAAATATAGTATTAAGTGTCAATCAAACTCGAACGCCATTTGTCAGAGGGAATAGGTATTTTGTTTAGATTTCGATTCTAATTTGCATGATTTGTTTAGTGTCAAATGTAAAGACTACGAATGTGATACATTGACATCAGATAGACTGATGACGATTTCGGAAGAAGCTGTATTGAAGATGTGAGTGGTAAATTGCCGTCTAGTTTCAGTCGAAGTATATCATCATAAGTGATTCGACTGTTTGATCCAATATTAGGAACAACATATAAAGAAACGACGGATTCATATACAGAAAAAATTGTGATCCGAAGAGATTGTTAACATTGATAGATTTCGAAATGTCATGCCGTCCGATACTGTTGCACTTACCTGTAAAATTTGTTCTACAAAGATAAAGATGTAAAGCAATTTCAAAAAACAACTCATTCTTTTGCATATTTCAGTCTCTTTCGAAATGCACAATAACCAAGTTTATATTGAAGGTTTGATAGTAAATGATAGGACACGTAAATGTTGGCATCGTCGTTGGGTCAAGATCGTTTGCATTGTTCTAATCACTTTCCTGATTCTAGCAATCATTAGTTTCTCTCTAGTAGTAGGACTCGTCATCCTAGCACCGAACAAAGCTGAAACGACTACTATCTCAATAGTGGCAGAGACATTAACAACTGCAGCATTAGTACCTTCAACGACCATCACATCGATAACAGAATTGATAACAGCGAATGCCACACTAGATCTTCAATCAATAATGTCAATCTCGACAATAATGTCGACGACACTGCAATCAACGACGGAAACCTCAGTAATGACATCGACAGAATCACAAACAACAGACATGCAAACATCAACAGTAAAAATTACAACCACTTTAAAACAATCAGGCAAGTTCTTTTGTGAAAAACAAATAATGGCATAAAACGATCTGTTTCCATGAGAATTCAACAAAGATTTCAATACTTTCTTTTAGAATGGTCTTATACTGCTCGTATGAACCAGGGACGACAGGAACACACGACATCAATATTACCTGATGGCAGAGTACTAGTTATTGGCGGATCCAATCGTGCTACGGTTCTACGTAGCGTCGAGTTGTACGATCCGTCAAGTGAAATTTGGATGGTCACTAGAAATATGAATAGTGCTCGACAAAACCATGCAGCATCCATACTGAACGATGGCAAAGTTTTGGTCACTGGAGGTCAAGATGGCAACCCACTGAACAGTGTTGAGCTGTACGATCCAACCACTGGAGCTTGGACAATAGTGGCAAATATGGCTTATGCACGATCTTTGCACACGTCGACACTATTAGCAAACGGGAAAGTCTTGGTTACTGGAGGTTGGGATGGGAGCGATGTTCTGAACAGTACGGAACTATATGATCCATTAACGAACACTTGGACTATTAGAAGCACTATGAATGATGCACGACATAGTCACACAATATCGACGTTATCTAATGGGAAAATGTTGGTCGTTGGCGGGAAAGGCATAGATGCTTTAAATACAGCTGAAGTATACGACCCATCAAGTGAAATTTGGACAAATACTAATCGCATGAATTATGCGCGATATTTTCATACGGCATCCTTATTAGCAGATGGGAAAATACTTGTTGTTGCTGGATGGAATGGTTTTCAACTATTTGATAGTGTTGAGTTATATGATCCGACAACAGGGATTTGGTCAAATACTGGAAGTTTGAATATTAGACGGCAGTATTCTACAACATCCCTATTAACGAATGGAAAAGTACTGGTCACCGGTGGATATACTGGATACATGCTTGATAGTGCAGAACTGTATGATCCATCCACAGGAATATGGGCATACGTCGATCATATGAACGAAGCACGAATTTTTCATGCAGCGTGTATATTAAATGATGGAAGAGTACTCATTACTGGTGGATACGGCAACGTCCAATCTTTGAACACTGTAGAACTATTTAAACTATGACCCATCAATCAATTCTCTATCTAATTTCAACCCAAATAACTCTTCAATCTGGAATAGTCCACGACAAGAGTAGATTGGACCAAATCTGCAATGTTTGTAATAATCTATCTTTGTACTTTGTAGTGATGTGTAAAGTATAAAATAAAATAACTGTTGAAATTCTTTGCGAAAGTTGCTTCGCACATTTCATGTTAATTGTACAAGGTTTTTAAGAGAGAAAGAGAGAGAGAAAAAGAGAACGGTTGATCGATCTAGACATGTACGTATATATAAGACGGTATTGACTACGTAATATTATGCTCATTCTGACATAACACACATTAGATTACAACATCATATCATATCGATTGACTAACTAACTGAGAATCATGTCATTTATGATTGACCGACTTCTTGCTCCATCAGCATGTTCATCTTCGATCACTTCTACANATATCAAATTTAAACATGAATTGCTCTAGGGTTGTAAATTGTCGTCAGAACTGTTCAAGTTGCTTTTTCTTGCGCCTCTCGACCGATAATTATGTTGTGAAGTGTTGAAATCTCCAGAGAGTGAAAGAGTCAGAGAAATATGAGTGACCGGAAATAATCACGTCGATACCGTCATTTCATAAGTGTAAATGATCGAAGAATTGATTGGATACGTATTGCTAATTACAAATGAAGATTAACATGCCGAATCTGTTCATTACGTCTGAACACCAAAGAAAGCAAGTTGAGTGAGCGGAAAAAGATATGTCAGATATATTCAAGTGCACAACTAGAACAATTGACCACATCTAATCTTCGGATGAATGAAAAAGTCTTATAAAATATTACATATCGATGTCTTTGATTTAAATGGGAAAGCGAATGAGTAGAATGTTCATTTGAGATAAAGAGATACACTTGTAATACGACTATTTAACATGGCAGGAGAGAAACATACGATGTATATAATAGATGGGAATATGTTCCGAATTTACTAGCATCTCGGTTTAGAGAAAGGAAACAATAAGAAATACGATGAGCGAAGCAAAAATAATTAGACATATCATGAGAATAACACAAATCAAACGGCGGTGGTATTTGTCCATCATTTGGAAAGATTTATTAATATAAGAAGAAAAGAATTATATGCTCAGAATAGAATTGGAAAGAAAATCGTTCGTAAGTTCTATTCGAGAAACGATTGGATTGTTGACAATAATGTCTAGCTAGTAATCACCCAGAAAGCATGAATGATCCCAATAATATAGAATCCCAGAATAGTCAAGATTAAATTCAATAAAACTTGGTTATTGCATGCATTTTGATGTAGATAGACAGCCAACGGTGGAATGAAGAACGCAAGAACAAGTAAGATGATATCAGCCATTTTTCAAAGATGTTTCGTCAAAAACGTTCGTATACAAAATCTGAATCTGCGTGAATAAACGACAAGTAACTAAACTTGTAATATAAATATATCTAGTTGTCTTGTTTTTTCTTATCAATTTCTCTTCTGCTGCTGTTAAGGAGTGTGGGAGGAGGAGAGAGATAGATATTATCAGTGTAAGGGTAAAAACTCACAGATTAGAAATCATAAAAAGAAGCTGTAAAAATGTCTTTTTTGTTGAGAACACTGTTTTCAATCATATTCACTCGTGGTAATGTTATTTTAATGAATAAGATCAAATATAGGACTTAATTGTTTGAGCAAATCAAATTAAATGACTAATGAATTGTACTGGACTTTTCATGCAACGAAAAATCTTTTTTTGTGACACCTGATGATAAGTTGTATATGAATGTTCTTTTTTTAGGATTCTATTTTACCATTACAATAGCAGTTTCTATATCTATCCAAATTGAATTCGATAATTTGTTAATTCTAGCAGAATATATTTGAAGTCATGAGAGCAATGAGATTTGTCGATTATCGCGACTCATAGAGCAGAATGTTCTTTCATTTTGCGTTAGTAAGAACAGATAAAGAATGACGTTATGTATATTCATCATATAACCTGAAATTATCTACCCATCTTGAAACAACAATTCAAAAATACAAGAAAATGTCTTGCGTCTCATTCCTAACCCACGATAAAACCCAGCCGATTTACATTTACTGAATGATCCTGTGGAGTACTATCGAGTTGTTTATTTATTTACGTTACGTGTAATAAAACAGAGATAATGTTGTTGATTCACATATTCCCATGAGAAAGCTTCATTTCGTTCATGATGTATCTATTGATAGTAGCAAGTCGGTTGTATTCATGAAATCGATCGTTTCTCAAAAATAAACATCAACAATGTTCGAAACTGCTTTGCAGTATAAAGGCAAAGTGGCCTTGATGAAATATCACATTAATCATACCGTGTTTATCTTGTTTAAGTAAAAATTTGCGAATCTTTTCGATATGCAAAGAAAAACAAAAAAGAATGAATGCTTTAATCACTACAGGTGTTGCACAACATCGAAAAATACTGGACATAAAGCGCACTGGACACGTCTTACCGGCGATGAATACAAAAATAATGTGTTATTTTAGTTTACAGAAATACAAAAAGGAAACGAAAACCGATGTGGATCAGTATTTGGCTCGCTTTCGTTTTCCACTGGCATAAGTACTGTCTGACGCAGTAGTCACAGCTTCCTTGGTTGCTGAAGCTTTTTCTTCTTCTACGTCATCACATGCCGAACGTTTGGGTAATTGAACTGTTGTAGGTGTCTTCACGACTTGAGAAGAATACATAATACTATCCACCCGTTTCGTATTGTCAAGGTCGTCAGCTAGCCAAGGATGTTGAAGTACACTATCCATTGTCAAACGTTTGGCTGGATCAGTACACATCATTTTTCGAATGAGATCTTTCGCTGAGTCTGATACGTCTGACCAGAATTCATCAGGAAATGTATAAAGACCTTCAATAATTTGATCATTTAAAGGTTTTCCACTAATCGAATCACTGAATGGTGGATAACCGACTAGACATAGATAGAAAGTACCAGATCTATTCAATACATTTTGATTTACCTAAGCAAACATAGAGAATTACGCCTAGACTCCAAACATCAACTTTATTCGTGTAACTTGATTCGCCACGGGTTATTAAAACTTCTGGAGCTATGAAATAAAGGCAGAAGCGTCCGATGATCAAATGTTAAAAACTTCGTCTATTTACCGAGATAGTTCGGTGTACCACAAAATGTTTTCATCAGTGTTGTTTCATTGATAAATCTCGACAGACCAAAATCGGTAATTTTAACTAATGTTTCATTTGTGTCCGGTGATGTTAACAAAACATTTTCTGGTTTTAAATCACGATGTGTAATTGAACGCTCATGTAAATATTTCACTCCTAGACACATTTGTCGAAAGAGAAATTTAGTTGTTGTTTCATCAAATTGACCACTGGCGACGATACGATCAAATAATTCTCCGCCTTCCACTAATTCAAGAATAATATAAACAGCATTTGGCGTATCGTAAACATCGTACACACGAATGATGCACGGATGGTCAAGTCCTTGTAAAATATTACATTCAGCTTGGATTTGTTGATTGAATGTATGGGCCTGAGCGCCCAACATAGTAAAATGCTTCTTTGCAATGATTTTCATTGCAAATCGATTACAAGTGCCTATAAACAAATGAATCGAAGTCGTGAGATCGATAGTTTAATCGGAAATATTTGCGTATTATACCTCGAATGAAGCATAATTTCACTTCTCCGTATGCACCACGTCCGATTTCTTTCGAAACGATATATTTTTCACGTACAACATCTGGAATCGATGAGTCCTCTTTAGCATTTGTGTCAATATAAACGTAAACACGGTTGGTTTTAGAAGCTAGTGCAATTTCTGCATTGTTATCCAGCACGCGTTTTTTATTCTTGCCAATTTTATCGCCATTCACATACGTTCCGTTCGAAGAGATGTCTTGAATATAAACAAAATTCTGAATTGTGTCGCGAATGATTTTGAAATGTGTTGATGAGTATGTCGCGAAGTATTTGGATGCTTGTATTTCTTTCGATTCCAGTGTTATTGTACATTTTTTACCACGACCCAGTGAGTATTCATTTTGAATCAAATTAACCGACGGAAAAAGTTTGTTTATCGATAAAAGTCGACCCCAGACTTCGAAGTCTTGTTCAGCAGCTTCTCCATCGGGTAGAGTATTGCCAGTTTCAACACATTCCTGAGTTATCTGAGTTCTTGGTCCGTCGTTCTATAAAAAGAAAACCAATTTGTTCATTGATATACAAATATTCAAACGGAAACTAACCATTGAAATTGAATTCTGTTGTGAAAAACTAATTTATTCTACGCCAAACTAATACTCACAGAAAAAAATGAGTCAAGATTGTCCATTCAGAATAAAACACCAATCAACAACATATGAGTGACATCTTTCTCAAATCAAATACTCTTTTATTTTTTTAACAATTGCAACAGACAAAATGCAGCACTATGCCTCATTTTCCATCTTACAGTCCGATCCATATCGGTATGTCAAAACATTCTCTTCTGAATTTGAAAGCACCAGATCGATACGTAATGCCTGAGAGTTCAAACATATGTTTTGATGATATCTAATCGCACAGGCTCGTGTGATCATTCGATAGGATGCAAACGTACAAATGATGAACTCAAGTTCCCATATTTCAGCTCATAAAAATGACATCGCATACGATTCAACTGGTGAAATTCTATTTATTATTGCAGTTCTCATCTGGTATTCCTTGGGTATGGTTTGTATGCTAGGTATGCAGATAAAAGCACGCGACGAAACAGTTGAAGATTGTGCTCGACGTCGCGCTAAAGCTCTACTTGAAACTCTTCATGATCAGACACATACAAAACAGATACTTGGTATTATAATTAATGGCGATGTTGAATGAAAATAATGTTCGTTTTCTTTTTCCAGAAGAACTCGTCGATAAACAAAAGCGTGACAGACTCTGGGATATTTATTTAGGAACAAGTGAGAATAACAGTGAGAAAGTGATTCAAGACGATTTACTTCGCATAAGAAATATCGAAAAGCAATTAGCTGCTATCAATCAAAACCGAATATTTGCTAATGAAAGTTTAATATCTTCAACGATCTTTTCAGACATCATCGTCAATGAAAATCGCGTTCGCGTTCGACGTCGTTCATCATTAGATCAGCAGATTATTGAACGATGGAAAATCTTAGTTGAACAATGTCGAAAACATGAACAATTACCATGGTCAATACAAAAACTGATGATTCGTCGACATTTTCGACGACATTACAAAACCATGTTACAACAATCGGATCAGATTAATATGTCAATGGATGATGAAAAGCATCTCACCTCTGACTATTAAGCCTTTCTATGATAATACTTTGTCTTTTGAAAGTATTTATCTGGTGCACCTTTGGATACGTTCTCTTAAATGTTACTTAATAAAATATTGTCATTCGAAGGACATTGAGAAGAAAAACTACCTTTTAAGAATGAATAAAGTCTATGCTGTTGATTTTGCATTTAAATGTTTGTCGAAAAAGGAATGACGTTGGTGTAGTTTTTCATTTACTTCAATAGAAAAAAAAAGCCAATCTATTGATTCGTCTTAAAAGAATAACTTAAATCTAATCTTTTACGATACCATGACGTCAGTCAAAACTTGAAAGAAAATATAATATGGTCGTATTTCTATAGTCTTATTCGATTACACACACTCTTCATATGCTCCTCAATCACACGGTAATACCAGAAAGACAAAACAAGTCGGGCGAAGTTCATCTGTGGTTTTATTCTTTTAACCATGCCCTCCCAAAGATAAGAATTTCAAGCAAATAAACGCAAGAGGATTTTTTTTCCGTTGTGTACTCACGATGATAGTCAAGAGAATCTTCTTTAGTTCGTATTTTAAACTAGACTATCAACATTATCAAACACATTTTGATCTGCGTTTTCAGATGTGAATACAAGATAATGAAAACCGACGCAACATCACCTCCAAATGCTGACGTGGTTCATCCACATTCATCATTACCGTACATCCATCGATTTTATCTTCTTTTAAAGGGACACTATTTTCTCCATTTTTCCGCTTTCGGTATCATCTATCCAATATTAAACATCACATTACGTGCTCGTGGTTTATCCAATGTTGAAATATCGTATTTTAATATCGGTATTCCCTTTTTAGTCTTCGTGACAAATCCACTTCTAAACTATGTAGCTGATCTTACACGTCGCTATAAACTAATGTTTAATTGTGTTTTCGCCATCGCTGCAATTGCCTGTGTAGTTATTTTCATTTTACCGCCTGTAAAATCGCACCATATTCAAGCGGATCTTATTGATGACCATGAACTAGGCCATGTCTTGGAATTTTGTGCTAGTCAAGAAGTAGGAACCAAATGTGCTTCAAGAACCGAGTGTGGATGCTCCTATCAAGCCAATTGTACAATCGTTGATACGGTTTACCAAAGAAATCCAAATGAAATGAAAACATTTTTCTTTACGTTTTCGATGGGTTTGAAGAATACTTCCAAGGAATTCAAAGATGACTCACGGTCGTGTGGACTTCAATATCGAGTACCAGTCTATCAGCGTTTTGATGCCAGTAATTTCGTTCCGTATCAATCACCTCGTTTGGCAGTATGTGAAATAACTTGTTCTATCGCACATTACTGTCACGGGCCACGTTATCATGATCAAACACGTTTTGTTATTCTCTATTCACTTTTCTTTGTACTGGCCGCTAATCTTTTAACAAACGCCATTCCACTCGGCGTTGCAATCGGTTTTTCTAGTTTACATCGGTCGGATATTTTTGGAAAGCAACGTGTTTGGGGAACAATAGGATTTGGCATATCAGCATTTCTTGCCAGCCGATTATACGAAGCCTTTCATAGTGAATATGTTTACGTAATTTTTTTCATGATTATGGCCGCTATTTGCATGGTTATTACAAGTTTTGTTCGCATTCAACCAGACAAACGAAAACGCCATGCAACAGTAGAGGAAGTTCTTGGTGAGGACGATGGGCAAGTGAAAAAGAAGAAGAAGAAATCTCAATCTCCACTATTTGAACTTATTCCGCTAGTAAAACGAATTGACGTTATCGTCTTTCTTCTGCTGCTTTTCGTTTGGGGAATGTCATACGGTGTTCTTGATCCAGTAAGTAGCCACTAGAGATCAAGGTTGAATTTATGATCCTGCTATCTCTTATTTAGTATCTGTACTTATATATTGATGAATTCGCTCCATGTCAATCCCGTTCGATTGTTGGCTATATGTCGTTGATATCAGCCATCGCAGAAGTCATTGCTCTTTTCTTTGCCGAAAAAGTTTTAAAATTCTTAGGAACTGATGTTGCTTCGATTATTATTCTATTAGCTTTTGCACTTCGATTTGCTGGCTATTACTTTATTCTTCAACCATTTCTTTTACCCATTTCGGAAACTATGCATTTCTTTAATTTCGGTATACTCTACGTTTTGGTTCTTCAGAAGGCCGCTTCCATTGGTATGTTTGCAATTAGATACTATTGACTATGGGTACTGATTGTATTTCTCTCTTCTAGCGCCAGCTGGACTTGTCGGTACACTTCAAAGCTTGTCCTTAGGAATCAATTTCGGTTTAGGTAGGAGGTTTCTTTTTGTTTATGTGCATGTTAACAATAGATATTGCGTTTATGCGTAGCTCGTGGTATTGGACTGATCGCATCGTCATTTATCTATACGCTTTTGGAACAACGTCTACTTTTCTTAGTCTTTGCCATATTTAATGTCATCTGTGCAATAATCTTTGGCCTTTACTTTCTCGTAACTAGAAAGCGATCAAATGGCCAAACAGATCTATCCAAGCCTCCTGTTGATGCTCGTAGATAATATAATGTCTTGTTTGACAAATAAAAAATTGAATGCCTTTCTCTCTAGATGTCAACGCCAATGAAGAACCCCTATTGACGACAACAACTGCATAGATCATTCAATGCTCAAAAACAAGAAGTTAAAATAGCCGACAATTTTCACTGATTCCAAAATGATTTAAACCAATATAAGAATATCAATAAACAAACAAGAGTTTTCTTAAACATAGAATGTCCGTTTTAATATCGAGAACAAGTTTGATAAAACTAACACTGAGGTGAACTAGGTTATTTCAACAAGTAAGAACAAAAGAAAGTTTTTCAAAAATTATTTCTTGGCTGGATCAACCGATTTGATTGAGTCATTAGTGATTTCAAATATCCAATCTTTCTTCGGCGCTGTCACACCGTCAAATGGTTGTTTTAATTCGATTGTCGAACCATCGAATTTTCGCACACGAATCAATTCCACTGTTTTATGATATTTGCCATCTGAGTCACCATGAGTAAATTCTTTTTCATCTACACGTTCTTCTTCACCTTGTGCGATTTCAATGTCAGCCACTTCGGCATGATGATCTTCAATGCCGGAAAAATGCACCTGAACATCGATTTCAGCATCACTACTATTTCGGATAACACACGAATATATAGCTGCTGGAGAACGAAGACCTACTGTAGTCATCTGAAAAATAAAGAAAAATATTCGTTTGCGATATTGTTGGCGTGACATTTGTCATTCAGTTCGAATTAATTCACGTGTAGAAAACTTCAACCAAATTCGAATTTTCAAAGAGACACATGAAATTATATTTTCTATCGCCGTTCATTTATTTCAGTTCTATTTCACTTCACTTGACTGGCTGAAAGGTTTGCATATGGAAACATTTATTGATTCGTTGTTTTGTCCTCCATAACGTTTTACTTGAATCTTGAAAGTAATAATGGAGTCGCTTTTGGACATTGAATGAAAGTATGACTATCGAAATCGATAGAAATGATGAAGTTCTATTCAAAACTAGTATGACTAAACTCTAAAACCATTGTTTGGAAAAGGTAGTCTGTGTGGTTTGATCTGTATCTGTAAAAGATATTAATGTTATTTGGCTGTTCCTCTCATTTGTTTCAATACAATGTTATTATCGAACAGTGCTCTTCTGAGATCATTATTCCTCGGTGATAGTCTTATTACACAATAAGCGATATCAGCGATAATTGTCCGAATGAACAGGTAAATGGAGGATGTCTTTTTTGAGAAGTTAGGTTTTACATGATATTGACCGAGTTTGTTGAACGGTAATATGTCGGAAAAGCAGAATAGATGAGAAACTAATTAAAATAACATGAGAATTAGTACAAGAAACAAATGATGGTGTTTTGTTTAGGAATGTAACTTGGATCGGTTGAATGAGCTGCGCCAGTCGTGTGAACGTACCGTGGAAGAACTTTATCACGCTCATGTCAAAGCTTGGAAATAAAATGGCGAAGAACTAAAACAAGCACTGGATGACTTCGTTACACAACAAGTCGAAATCGAAAAGTGGATCAAACAGACGAAGCTGAAGTGTGCAAGAACTGATCGTCACTGAAAAAATGTTATTGAGAAAGAGTTTGAAAAATGAGCACAAACGGATACGGGTCCTCGGTAAGTGATGTGATACAAATGAGTGCAAAATCTTCTCTGTTTCTACTTTAGTGTTGAAGCTACACGCAAGAAATCGCCTGGAAGTCGATCGAACAACGCGGAAGAACAGTAATAAATCTCAAATGGAGTCATGATCAGTGTAGTTTTTTTTTGTTGAAATCGAATAAAATGTGTTTCTTGAAGTTCATTTGCTGTGAAGTTATGCGAGGCGGGGACAAATTTGGATGATTTAGGATACTGTTAGGGTGTCTGTCAAGTGCCTTATGTTAGATGCTGTATCACTCACATGACGTCAAAAATATGTACTTGGATTTGTTAACTCTTGTGATCATATGTTCGTTCTCTGATACTTGCTTATGACGTCATATGGATCTCTCCTAGTCCATTTTCTGACAGCTGTTTTCGGGCATGTATTGATGTGTTGTTTTTCATCGAACGAGCAGCGGTCTTTACACAACGTGAACTAAATCTTTCCTGGCTACGGAGATATCTTCTTCATAGCACTGATGAGATAATGAGTCCATAAAATTCTGATAGATTTAGCTTAATCTATTGATAAGAATGACTTTATTGTGTGGGAATCAATGGCACGTATATCACAATTGGGGTATAAGTCTATCTTGTCATTGTATCACTGACATATATCCGCGTTTCTATTGCGATTTACTTTAGAATTAACAGGTATATCAGTGTTCTCTATTTTTTTTGCAAAATAGATAGACCCAGTGATTCTTCAGTACTTTTTTTCGAGCAGAAGTGCGGCATAGTTTATTCAAAGAGTACGATGAACTTTAAATACAAAAGAAAACTACAAATGAATAAAATAGAAAGTTGTCTCGGCATTTTCATTCCATGATTACACATATCTTGATCAGAGCAGAAGCATACTTCTTTCATTTTCTTGTCTTCTCGTTTTACTTTTCGACAACCATCAGAGGTATTGACACCTAACTCTGCTGCTCGTAAAAGCTCCGTCGCAGAAAAACATCGACGACTTGATCGAAGCTTATATAGATCTGTATCTTTACGCAATAGACGATCGAGAGTGTAGTTTTCAGATGGTCGTGTTTCGATTAAATCAACCGATTTCCAACATTTACCGTCACAATCTTCTCGTGTATGTTGCGTAAAATCGAACCGAGCTCGGCAATCTTAAATAGATGTATCTATCTATCAGTATGTGCAAGAAATAGTTGATGAATCGCGTACCATCTAAAAACATTCCAGCCTTGTCTGGAGCTTGAACAGTAACTTCACATCGCCAACAATGCAGTGAAGAATCCAGAGAGACAATTCCGTGAAGCATAACGCAAAAATATAATAATATCGACATCCGCCGAGAGGCCATTTTACATGAATGAACTGATAAGATGTACAACATTTTCGTGCAAAAACATCGCATTCAATTCATCCATCTCTCTCTTTTTTTCTTTCTTTCTTGTTCTGTTGTTGACAAAATGACATGCCATCCATCTAGTTCATATTCAATTCCTTTTGTTCATCGAAATTCAAATTGATTGTTATATTCTTGTCAGAACTATACGCGACTTATTTGAACAGATGTAATCACTTTTTTTATGTCAACAAATTCATATATTCTCTATTAGAATTGTATGGAGTATGATGAATAGTATTTAAATGGAATAGATGTAGCATGATGAGTATATGCCTGCAACTTGTATTACAAGGAGACAATTGCGTTTAAAACAGTTTAGTTTTTTTTAAAACTCTTTTTCCTTTTGAGGACCATAGATATCGATGTTAAATTCGAAAAGGTGTTTAACAAACAATTCCAATCAGTTCATGAGAATGCAAACATATACATGACGTGTGTATGATTCATTGTTGACTAATACCGTATTATTAAATGACGAGAATCGACACATCACTTCATTGAAGTTATCAGTACTATGGACGTACGAAAACTTTATGTCTTTTTGCTCTCAAAATGTCAACGATTCGCAACAAAATTTTATTGATGTCATCGAAATGAATGTTTTTCTAACTACCACCACCGCCAATTCGCCCACATTCTTCTATACTCGCCTGAAGATCTTCCGTGCTTCATTTTTAGTGCAAACGTCATTAAAATGTACGGTAACTTTGTATACCATACAACAAAACCTGATATAGAACCTATAAAACGATTATCGGTAACTTTATCTTCGTTTTTTGTCTGCTACGCATTATGTGTCGTGCTCGCTTGTTGTTTGTCTAAAGGTAGACTAGCAGTATTCTTCGAAATGGCGGAAAAAAACCATATGTACATCGGAAAGAGGACTCCAAGAATAAAATATTTTTTATCCTGAAATATAAAACTTTTATTGCAAGACATTACTAATTCAGTCAAGAGTAAATGTGTGATATCTTCTTACGAACACAGTCTCTCATTCTGTACGAGAATATAAAGGTTACTAATGTTCTTGTTCTGTTTTACCAGCACACCTACTTAATGCCGTCATCGATATCTCGGCTATATAAATTGATATACCTGTTGCTGACATTCACTTCGAGAAGACTATACGTATCACGAAGAAATACAGTTGAAGAATAAAAATACCTGTTGACAACCATGGCAGTTTCGCCGAACATGCTCCAATTCATTATGTTAGGAATCATTACTGTATTCGGAATCGTTACATTTGCACTTGCTGCAGCTAGTGTTGGTACTCTTAATAAACGTGATAATGAATTCAAACAACAACTTAATGCTCTTTCTGAGCAAATAGCAAATTTGAAGAATTCTACAACAACAACAACAATACAAACAGGACCGACGTCAACAACAACAACATCTGGATCTTCATCCTCATCCGAGGGAACAAGTACCATTATCAATACAAGTCCATCTGGATCCACTGCATCACAAGCTGTGTCTACTGGTTCTGGACTAAGTACCACCCACAACACATCTCCAACATCGTCGTAAAATACCGTCAATGACGAGCGCCCTGATCAAATGAATCAATATTGCTTTGAATATTGATGAATCATTGTAATAACTTACTAAGATAATATGTTCATGATAAATTGTTTTCTACGAATTTTTTTGCTTTATCTTTTTTCTAACCTAAAAATAAAATATAATGCATTGATGAAACCTTCTCTTTTCCAACAAGGAAACTCGTCTCATGAACTCATAACCAGAATTTACATGAGCTCGATGAATATTCCGTGTATTAGAAATGAGTACTAAGATGTCCACGAATGATATTTATATTGATTGCTTTTGTAGTGACTGATATTCATATGATTGACATTTAGTTGTGTCGTATTTACGCGAAGAACTTCTTTAACTTGATTGAGTTTTCAGTGAATTCGAGTTTCTCAGAAATATTTTATTCGTAGTATGTTGACACAGAAACAAAAAGGTTTATATCCATCACATGGTTCGAACGACTTGCATCATAATAATCGGCCTTCTTTCTCTGATGGAATATTTCGTCATAACATGCATAGCCTTGCTTCTTTCAAAAGTTTTTCGCAAAAACAATGTGTATTTGTTTGGTTGCGTACTAATCTTGTCTCGTATGCAGTTTATCGTTCTTTTCAGAACTATGAGTCTCATTGATGAGTAATCCTCCGGAAATCATAGACATGATTTTTCTATGGCCCCCCGTATATACACCAGAAAAGTCAATACATCTTACTAATATCGTTAATCTATATTATGAGCAAACATACTTCACATCATGTTGTTCTCACCCTGTTATATATATAGCCTGTTATCGACATATATACGTCGTGCAAGACAATTGATTGTCGTAAAAAGATTTGATCCTGAAAAACCGAATTTCTTATATTTATCTATCGAAGACGTGTTCAGTTGTCATGGATGGAACAAGTAATATGCGTGTTGTCATTGCATTGGGCATCATTGCTTTGTTTGGAATAATTACTTTTGCGCTCGTTGCTGCAACGTTGGGAACTCTAAATCAGAGATACGATCGACTCGACAAGCAAGTGGCTGATCTTATGAGTCAAGTGATCAGTATTTCACAGTCATCTTCGACAACGACGACAGAAGTCTATGCAACTTCTGATTAATTTGTGAAATATCGTTTTCTATGACATGTTCTACTTGGATATACAACATGCAATATGATGTGTTCATTTTTTATCTCTATGTGATGTTGTGTACAATTTAACATTTATATGAAATAAGAGAATGATATTAACGCAAATAGCATTGCTTATGATTGATAGAGATTACAGATATTTTTCTCTCTGGGGAAAATGATGTTTCGCACCAACTATTCCGAATTTTTTGGATTGTGTGACGGGAGTTCGAAATTTCTTTTCTACCGAAAATCGTACAACGAGATTTCAATACACTGATTAGGTATCTGGAACAAAATATTTAGAATGTAGCTAGTCTAATCACAGTGATCGTAAAACACAAGATTTAATGTAACTGAAAATGTAAATTGATCTCGTCATGCAGTTCGTAAAAGAACTTACCGGTAGATCGTTACGAGCATAATGACTTTTCTTTTGTTTTCAACATTTACAAGGATACCTATAAAAATAAGGTATTACTACACGTTTTATTTTGTTACGAAGAAATTTTCATTTCAATACGAATACAGTGTCGCCTTCATCTCGATTGCTCATTGCTAATCATTACGAACTTCCGGTTGTTCCATTCCGGTATATAATTAAATTTGTACCGCTTAATCGTTATTGATTGATACTGAGTAGTATAGTTACGATCTACCCGTTATACATCATTACGGACTTCATGATAAAATCGGCAGTGGTTTTTTTGTCACGGTGTTCGTAATGGACATCGGTTCCGGGAGTTCAGAAAAATAAAGTGGTACGAAACGTAGTTCACCCTCTCTCTCACATAAGCAGTTCGAGGAAGGATAGAAAAGATTTGAAAGATTTTATTACCTCTCTAATAGGTCAATGTGAATTATTAAAGTAGAAAGACTGGCTAAAAATATCTTAAATACAATGTGACACTAGCTGAATACTGTTTAATCATAAGTATATCATATACATAATTAATAATTTATTTTATCAATTTTGTGTGATAATCTAATTTTTGTGAAAGCATTTAGCTCTATAAGAACTGACTGTTAAGCGACGCATATATATATATATATATATATTTGCATTAGCTCTGAGACGAACAACATTCCAGAGTTACAATGGCGACGAATGGTTCGACCAAGTTACGTCTGCTTATCACATTAGGAGTCGTTGGCTTGTTCGGAATTATTACCTTTGCTCTTGTTGCAGCTATTCTTGGTACTCTGAACAAACGATTAGGTGCTGTTGATGGTAAATTATTAGCAATAGCAGCTAGATCGTTGGCTACATTGTCAACCGTAATCACAACGACACCAAATCATAACCTATCACTTGTCACGTCTATCAATGTGACTGATGTTTTAAAGCATCTTCATGAATTGCAAAGTATTGCTGATCGTGCCAACGGCACTCGAGCTATAAATACGCGTGGTTTCAACGAAACACTACAGTATATTAAATATACTCTCTCTCGTAAAACTAATTTCACAATAATCGAAGACAGTTTTCCAGTCAGAGATTTTGCTCTCAATAGTGAACCAGTTTTTATATCGTCAGTCAATGGCACTATCAAGACCTATACTTTCTCATTAGATCTCACTGAAGCTGATTTTCTATATGCCAAGTATTCTACCGGTTCAAATATAACGGATATTAACTATGTAAGCGTTATACCTAATGGCGGATGCAACGAAACAGACTGGCGAAACGTTACTCCTGGACGAATAGCTCTCATAAAAAAAGAAGGTGACTGTTCATCTCGACAGCGAATTTCTCGTGCTATTAAATACAATGCTACTGGAATTCTCTTTTATAACAACGGTAGATCGTCGGATGATTTAGCGCCGATCAAAATTACACTCAGCCAGGATAACATTTTACCAGTCCTATTTCTTTCACACAAAGTTGGCCAAGATCTAGTTGATGCAATTTTGAATCAGCCGTCAAATGTCACTGTTCAGTTAGGTATTGACGTAAAAAGTCTACCGGCCTTTCCCGTTGGAAACATATGTGCACATACATCGAGCGGGAATGCTACTCAGACGATTCTGGTTGGAAGTCATGCTGATAGTGTGCCCGAAGGTCCTGGTATCAATGATAATGGTATACGATTAAAATTGAACATTTTTAATGGTAATTCTATGTTTCAGGCAGTGGTGTTGCCGCAAATCTCGCTTTGGCCATCGCACTTGCTGAACTTTATAACACAACTGTTTACCCAAAATACAAATATCGTATTCGATTCTGTTGGTGGGGCGCGGAAGAAGTTGGTTATCTCGGATCCAGTTATCATGTCAGAAAAGCTAAAAATGCCACAGCTGCAGGTGAACGTCTCGTAGACTATCTTATCAATCTTAATTATGATATGATTGCTTCACCTAACTTCATTTTTGGTGTCTATCATAATCAAACAGCAAGAAAGGGAATTCCAAGCAAAGCGATACACGGCATTGACAAAGTCAGTGACCTCTTTCGTGAATGGTTCGATGCACAAAATCTACCGTGGACTGCTACGAATTTGGATGGGCGGACTGATTATAGGCCATTTTTAGCTGAAGGTATCGTTGTCGGAGGATTATTCTCAGGTGCCGAAGACGTCAAAACTGTAGAGGAACGCAATCGTTATGATCATTTTCTTGGTCAAGGAATGGGTGGACTTGCTGATAGTGTTTGCGACCCGTGTTATCATAAAGCATGTGATTCAGTCCAAAATGTCAATATATTTGCTTTAGACAAGATGGTACATGCTGCAGCTTACGTTCTGGAAAAGTTAGGTGAAGAATCTGATTTACAAGGATGGCTTTATCCAAACTAGATAACGTTATACATATATAGTACTGAAAATAAAAAGTAACTCATGTGCATCTAATTTTATGATATTCTAGATGAGATAATCGAATCCACCACAATGTTGAACTCTTCAGTTATCAATAAAACTTGAGAATCACCGATCTGCAATCAGTTTATGATATAGATTTTATCAATAGTTATAAACAGTTTTTTTTTACTCCGAAGTATCTATCTGCTGATGACAAAGCAAAAACTATATCAAGACTCCTTCTTCTTTCTCTGCTTTAGTCAATATTTTGAAATAATAAACTTTACAACAATATTTATTTCGCACTCTTCATCTTCATTTTCGATAGAGCGCAGTGAGAAGAAAAACTATGCCGTCAACCAACCAAATCAATAATACTGATCACCATTATAGAGAAAAAACTAATTCTACTAGCAAACTAACTTTGGTCGCTATCGCAGTAACAATCGTACTGACAATAGCTGTTCTTGGTCTTGCCGTAGCCATCTTGATCAAGGTTAATCAGACAACATCAACAGAAACAGTAACAACTACCTCAGCATCATTGAATTCTGTATTAGCAGAATCCATCCGTATTCACGATGTTATGGGCCATCTCAATGAATTACAACGTATCGCGACAACAAACAATGGAAATCGAGCTGTTAGTACGTCTGGTTTCAATCAAACTCTCGACTATATTACCAACAGTCTATCCCTCTATACCAATTATAATGTCAAGAAAAGTTTTTTTACTATACGACAATTTGCTCTAGTTAATAATCCGATTTTGATTTCTTCAATCAACAGCGTTGTAACAAACTACACCTATTCAGATGATCTTTCTGCAGCTGACTTCTATCACATTCAGTTTTCTATCGCTGCAAATTTTGCTAGTTTTCAACAGATATCCGTTATTCCTGGCGTTGGTTGTTCGGATGATGAGTGGAGCAAAGCCAGTGTGTCACCCGCTGGCAAAGTAGCACTAGTTAAAAGAGGCATTTGTGCATTTTCGGACAAAGGCGCACTTGCTGCTAAATATAATGTTCAAGCACTACTAATTTACAATGATGGTGCATCACCTGATCGAATTTCACCTATTGCAATTGGTCTTGGTCAACAGAACAATTTACCTGCGCTATTTCTTTCGTATCCTGTTGGTCAAGCACTCGCTGATGCTGCTCTAAATGCAACAACAAATACTGGTGTTCGACTTATCATCAATGTAGAGAATTTACCATTGTCACCTATAGGGAATATCTGTGCAGATACACCCACAGGCGATGCAACGCAAACAATTGTTATTGGAAGTCACAGTGATAGTGTACCTGCCGGACCGGGCATCAATGACAATGGTACGTAGAATTATTCAAGACTTTTTGCTGTAGAATCGATTAGTATTTTTAGGAAGTGGAAGTGCTGCCAACCTTGGCTTAGCAATTGCACTCGCGCGACTCTTTCAAACATCTTCCTATGAGAAATATAAATATCGTATTCGATTCTGTTGGTGGGGTGCAGAAGAAATTGGTTTACTTGGTTCTGATGATCATGTCAAACAAGCAAAAGTGGCCACTGCTATAGGTGAACGTCTTCAAGATTATCTCATCAATTTGAACTATGATATGCTCGGATCACCGAACTACATCTTTGGTATCTATGATGGTCAAACAGCAAACAATGCTACACCAGCACAAGCACTTCCAGGTAGTAACAAGATCAGTGCACTGTTTCGTGACTGGTTTGAAAGTCAAAAGCTACCATGGGACTTTACTGACTTCAGTGGTCGAAGTGATTATGGACCGTTTCTAGCTGAAGGTATCGTTGCAGGTGGATTGTTTTCGGGTGGCGATGATATTAAATCACAAGAGCAGCGTGATCGATATGACAGATTACTTGGACAAGGTGCGGGTGGAATCGCTGGTGCTATTCAAGATCCATGCTATCATCAAGCATGTGATTCCATTCAGAATATTAACCCATTTGCGTATGAAAAGATGGTTCAAGCAGCTGCTTACGCTTTAGAATACTTAGCTCGGCAAGGCGATTTGCAAACGTATCTCTATCCAAACGGTAGACCTACGCGTACAAGTGGTCAATCGTCACGACAGAAATATGACTCTATTAACGAATATTTTCGTATGCCATATCTATGAAGTTGTCTGTTAGTCTCTTTTTCTTGCAATTATCAAAGGTGACTAATAGATTCTAATAAACGTTTATATTCAAGAGATATCGTGTATTGATATTTTAATCGTTTTCACTCGATATAAGCAAGGGAGAACGAATTCGCTGATGTCTATAGTGTTAGCATATACACTTGACAGAGTAGATAACTATCTGCAAAGCAATTCGATAATCTAATAAATTTGTGGTGCATTTTTATTTTCACTTGTGACATATATTGTCCTCGTTTCTCGATATGAAAATCTGGTTAAATCGATAAATTTCAGTTGACATGTCATTCTGTTAACGAGAATATTTATTATTATTATTCTCCTCTATCAAATCATCAAGTTCAGATAACATCATCATTATTATTACTTGTTCTGTTTCTCGATTCAAGTTATTTTTTGCTTATAAATATCCGATATTCACAACCTTTTCTTTCACTAATTTCATTTTCTTAAAACACATCATGGAGAACAGTATGAATGAATTCAGAATTTTGAAATGTATGAAAATTCTAGTACCAATCGTTGGAATCGGTATTGTTCTAACTGTAGTGACATTTGCCATAGCTGTCACTACATTAGTCAAGGTCAATCAAGGATTTGATGATATTCAATCAAATGGTCCTCAAACAACACCAAGTCCAACTATTAGACCAACGAATCCAGGAACTACAAACACTAATACACCTGGACCAACAACAACAGCCAACACGGCAATAACATCCATGACGTCAAATCGACCAACGAATGATGCTATCTTGCCACAAGAAATCGACATTCAAAATGTGATGGGCCATCTAAATGCATTACAGAAAATTGCTGACAGTGGAAATGGAACTCGTGCTGTTGATACAACGGGTTTCAATCAAACACTCGACTACATCGTTGACACTCTCCAAAAAAAGACAAATTTCAGGATCACCCGATCATATTTTCCTGTGAGACGATTCGAACTTGATGGTGATCCTGTTTTTTCTTCATCGATCAACAATATCTATATGACCACTTATAATTATTCATCTAACATAGCTGAGTCCGACTATACCGTTGCTCGATATTCAACATCTGTGAACTTTCAAGATCCAGTTGAACTTGTTGTTATTCCAAATCTAGGCTGTGATTCTGTTGACTGGGATAATGCTAAACCATCGGTAGATGGTAAAGTAGTTCTGGTCGAACGAGGTGTCTGCGGTTTTACTGACAAAGCCGAATTCGCAATGAAATATAATGCTACTGCAATTCTGATCTATAATCACGGCAATACAGAGAACGACGTCAAGCCTATAACTATCAACTTAGGTCAAAGAAATCAGATTCCAGCATTGTTTCTGTCCAATACGATTGGTGAACAACTACTTGCTGCTTCTCAAGATCCAATGAACAATATTACCGTAAACATTAGTATTGCCATTCGCAATGAATCACCAGCTCCCGTAGGAAATATATGTGCAGATACACCGGAAGGAGATCCTACTCAGACAATTCTCCTTGGAAGTCACAGTGATAGCGTGTCCGCTGGTCCTGGCATCAATGATAACGGTGAGCATGTAAAATCATTCTTATACGCTGTTCTGTATTGCTGTTTCTAATTCTTAGGTAGTGGTAGTGCTGCTAATCTTGAAATAGCTCTTGTACTTGCCAAACTTTATAACAATACCATGTATAAGAAATACAACTATCGTGTTCGCTTCTGTTGGTGGGGTGCTGAAGAACTTGGTCTTCTCGGTTCGCAAGATCATGCCAGCAAGGCTAAAAATGCCACAATTCCGGGTGAACGTCTCACAGACTATCTAGTCAATCTCAATTATGATATGCTTGCATCACCTAATTTTATATTCGGCATCTATGATGATAAAACTGCAAACAATGATACACCTGCCTATGCACTCCCAGGTTGTAAAAATATCAATGAACTTTTTAGTCATTGGTTCACTGACCAACAGTTACCTTGGACTGAAACTCCATTGAATGGCCGAAGTGACTATGGTCCATTTCTAGCTGAAGGTATAGTTTCCGGTGGCCTTTTCAGCGGTGCCGAAAGTCGTAAATCAGTAGTAGAACGCAACTATTATGATCAAATACTTGGCACAGGCTTAGGTGGACTATATGATACACCCTACGATTCATGCTACCACAAAGCATGTGATTCAATCCACAACATCAATGTTTTCGCTTACGCAAGAATGGTGCAAGCAGCTGCCTATGCTTTAGAATATTTAGGTACACATCAGAACTTGACAGGATATCTCTATCCAGCTGGTAGACCAACACGCTCGGATGATGCCACGTCACGACAAGACTATGACTCTATCAATGAATACTTCGGACTGCCTTATTTTTAATGCCACTGCTTTTCATGAGTCTATGAAAGAAAGATATGAATTTTGAATTATACTTCGCAACATCTCTTGAATAAATTCAAACGATCTTCTTTCTAGATCAGGATATTTCAGAGTCAGCTTCAAATGAAAGAATATTTTTCACAATAACAATCATTCACTTGGTTACCTTCGTTTGAATCAATCACAATGACGATACAATTTTGAAACACTTCATAGAACTTTTTAAACTAATAAAAAACTTGTAAATTCTTCTATGCAAAGATTGTAATTACTTTACAACAGCAATTCGAAGGCAATATAAAAACAATCCACGTCTTGATGTATACTTTAGTGACGAAAGTTTGTCATAATACATATGTACTTTGACAGAAAACAAGATCAAAGTCAATACTTGCTTTTATTTGATATAAATATCTTCAGCACTCTAGAGTTTTTCACTAAGTCCGCATTATATCAAAAGGTTTAGTAATCATGAATGGAAATCAAGTTGGAAATGATAGTGTAACTGGGAATAGCTATGAGAAAGTGGCATATACAGTAGATAAACGCAGTAAATTTCTCTTGCCAGCAGTCATAGTGAGTGTTCTACTAGTTCTCATTACTATTGGTCTCACTGCAGCAACATTAGTTATTGTCAATAGTCGTTTAAAAGAATCAGCAATAACAAGTACTCCATCGCTCAATTCAGCCTATGCTGAATCCGTTAAAATTACGGATGTGATGACACATCTGAATGAATTTCAACGAATCGCAACAGGTGCTAATGGTAATCGAGCAATCAATACACTCGGATTCAACCAAACACTTGATTACATTACGAATTCTTTATCATCACATACGAACTTTCAAGTACAAAAGAGTTTCTTTTATCTAAGAAATTTCATTCTGGCAGGTAACCCGATTCTACTTACATCTATTGCTGGCGTTGTCAAGAACCGTACTTATTCCACTGCGATTTCATCGTCAGAATTCTACATTGCTATGTATTCGAGATCTGCTAACTTTGCCGATCATGTTGCGATCAGTGCCATTCCAAATGTTGGATGTGATGAAAGCGACTGGAACGCGGCAAGTCCCCCTCCGACGAATAGAGTTGCACTAGTTAAACGAGGTACTTGCAGTTTTGTTGAAAAAGCAGCATTTGCCGTAAAATACAATGTCGCTGCCCTCCTGATCTATAATGATGGAACATCAGCAGATCGTATTCCACCAATATTCATCAGTTTGGGAGAAGAGAACGAATTGCCGGCATTATTTCTCTCCTACACACTAGGCCAAGAACTAGCGACCGCTGCTCAAGATCCATCAAACAATGTCGGCGTTCGTCTTATTATTCGTTTTACTGATGAAAGTACTTTTCCAGTCGGTAACATTTGTGCGGATACACCCACTGGCGATGCAACGCAAACAATTGTTATTGGAAGTCACAGTGATAGTGTTCCTGCCGGACCTGGCATCAATGACAATGGTACGTAGAATTATTCAAGGCTTTTTGCTGTAGAATCGATTAGTATTTTTAGGAAGTGGAAGTGCTGCCAACCTTGGCTTAGCAATTGCACTCGCGCGACTCTTTCAAACATCTTCCTATGAGAAATACAAATATCGTATTCGATTCTGTTGGTGGGGAGCCGGAGAAGTCGGCTTACTGGGGTCTGTTGATCATGTTAAAAATGCAAAAGTGGCCACTGCTATAGGTGAACGTCTTCAAGATTATCTCATCAATCTGAACTTTGACATGCTCGGATCACCGAACTACATCTTTGGTATCTATGATGGTCAAACAGCAAACGATGCTACACCTGCACAAGCACTTCCAGGTAGTAACAAGATCAGTGCACTGTTTCGTGACTGGTTTGAAAGTCAAAAGCTACCATGGGACTTTACTGACTTCAGTGGTCGAAGTGATTATGGACCGTTTCTAGCTGAAGGTATCGTTGCAGGTGGACTATTCTCAGGTGCTGACGAAACCAAATCTCATGAACAACGTAAGCGCTATGAAGAAGCCTTGGGACCAAACATGGGTGGTGTTTCTGGTGCTATTCAAGATCCATGCTATCACAAAGCATGCGATTCGATTGATAATATAAATGTTTTTGCGTATGAAAAAATTGTTCAAGCAGCTGCTTATGCCGTAGAATATTTAGCTAAGCAAAGTGATTTGGCTACGTGGCTTTATCCAAATGGTAGACCGACACGTACGAGCGGTCAATCGTCACACCGAAAGTACAACTCTATCAATGAATATTTTGGATTACCGTATCTTTAGACTTGCCTTTTCCAATCAGATGTCTTCTTTACCGTTTATTTTTTTGTTTTGAGTCATGCTTACATTGAAAGATCCGTTTGTTTGACTATTTTTGGAATAAATTAAATTATAGATGCTTACCTGACATTCCCGATATAATTGAATAATACAAGTCACGCGTCTATTCTATTCCGCACAGTCAAGACTTACTCATATATTTCTTCGAGATTTTTCTTATTTCAAGCGAAGGAAAAGAAAAAATAATATTTTGCCTCGTTCATTTCATCCTTCAATTTCCTGGAAGACAATCGCTTGACATACTAGTTGAACCATTCGCACAAACAACACATCATGACTTTCAAAGGCATGTTAAAGATTTTAGTTAACGATTACAAGAAACAGCAAGTGAGTTCGTTAGTTTCTGTTCATAAAAATAGAGTAAATCAAAACTTTCTAGGAACAAAAAATGGTTTCAGTTGTGGACGAACTAGTGCGAACACGTAAAGAATTGAAAGAAGTGAAAGAAAGGCTCCGCAATGTAATCTATCTTGTTTCTTTTCAACCGTCTGATGTGTTTTTGTTTCAGTTAGAGTTAACTTCACCTTCGTCATCAGAATTTCACTCAGAACCAGTGCCTATTCTAAGCCTATTTGTTCAATATAATGGATTTTTCAATGAACTATGTAATATAAGGCAAACTATAACCATTACAGAACTATTGGTAAATACGTGATAATTTTTTGTTGATAGAATTTCCAATATTTTCTTTCTAAAAATAGATTACACTTCGAGCCATAGTTGGAATTCCTCTTGAAAATCCTATACATATCCGTGTGCTCACTGAAGATAGTCTAACAACGTTAGTTTTTCTTCATAAAAATCTCGATCGAACATTGGACTTCTATAGCGGACAATTAAAATCACGCATGATTCTACGCATCGAAGACGATGATATGCCAGCGAATATTACAAGACCGCCATATTTGCGTTCGAAAAGCACCACAAGTAGTGAACGCACCTACTCATTTGAATCAGATGTTTAACCATAGACGTTTTTGTTATTCACATATGTTTTCTTCCGCAAGTTAATTATCGCGGAACAAAAAAAAAGCGAGTTTGGAATGTCGATCAATCGACGATAATAAATAAGAATATAATCCAGTCTCACAGAGATGTCTGTTGGATTACTGTAACGATATTTTGTTTCGATTATTGACATAACGTCTTAGTAATCAGATACAGTTAACGAAAAAAAGAATATATATATTTTTCATTCAAAATCAAATCTTTCACAGTGTAAAAGTCGATGCAAAATGTCAATAGGATAAAATAAGAAGAAAGATCGAATCAGAAGGTTTCTTTAAACGAAGATATTCGGTCATAATCATTAAAATCTATTTTCTACTTGTTATCTCAGCAAATATTCAAGTATTTAACAACGAATACATATGCCAAGTTTCCTCAAGGGTTTTTTAAGGTCATTTAGTGGTTACTTGTTAAATGTTTGATAATTGTCGTATGTAATCCTATGAGCTTAGTAGACATTTGTATATATGAATAGCAAAAGTAAAAGAGATGATTATATAATTATTTCAATGGAATCAATTGTCACTATTGAATTAAATGATAGGTCAACTTTCGTTGACTAGTTCAGTTCGTCGATAAATGTACCTCGTTAGTATTTCTTTTTACACATACATGTGTGTGTGTGTATACATATATAACTGGAGATAATAGTTCGTATGATGGGTCTCATTTGTCATTGATTGAATGGTCATTGGCAAACCTCATCATACGTTTCGAATTGTATATTCGCCTATTCTTATCTGATTTTTTGTTTCTTCGTCTTCTTCTTCTTTTATTTGCTCAAAAGAGCGCGTCTCTTCTTTTCTTCCTTTGCGTTGCGTTCGGCAGCAGGGACAACGACGATCGCCGTTGATTGATTGTAAAATTTGTTGTATATATGTTCTGTTCTTTCGTTTTCTCGTTCTCCTCCACAACGTCTTTTTTTTACTTTTTTTTTGTAAAACAGCTCGCGATGCTCCACTATGGACCTTCGAGTGTATGTTGATGGTGTTGCGCGCATCATCTGTGATCTGACTCGAGCAACTACAGTACATGATATCATTATTGCTCTTGCACAGTATAAAGGTAAAGCAGGCAGATATTCACTAATACAACGTGCACCTGATGGAACACAGCGAACGTTGTCACCTAATGAGTTAACATGTGAGTTAATTCATCATCCTGATTGGGTTTATATTCTACGGCAAAATCCATCGAACCGAAGTCAATCGAATGGTCAAAAGCGTTCGAAGAGTTTAGATGGACGAAAAACACCAACACAACAACAACAACAACAACAACCAGCACCGAAACAGCAGCAACAGCAGACACTTTTTGACAGTATGTTAAAACGATTTTATTGCTTGACAGAATTTCGATGATGTATACGCATATATATACAACCTTGAATACGATAATACGTCTCAGTGAGAATCATATTTTAATGGCATGTCAGGCAAATATAATTACATATATATTCAGTTATTTTCTAACATTAAAGTAATCAAGTGATTGAGAGAAGGACTAGGTGTGTAATTTTCTTCCAAGTCGACGTTTGCTCATGTATGCTGCCTGGTTTAATCTTTCACATTTTCATGTGAAAACTCAAGGTATCTTTATTATTTTAATCTCCTTCAGATCGTTTTACGATTAAATAGACAGGTTGATGAACGTGTACATATGTCCCATTCATTTCTCGTTCGATTAACATAGAAGAGTAAATGAGGCTAATATCAAGTACCTAAGATGTAATCGGCTTAGCTCTTGCATGTTCATTAAAAAGATTGTTAACTATGTCGATATCGATTTTCTCTCGAACTCATGTCAAAGTCAGTGACTGTAGACAATAACAAACCTTTATGCTTTAACACATTTTTATTCGAATATATGTATAATGTAAAGTTTAAAACAAGTAGAAGATAAGGATGAGAGAGAAGGTTAATGACATAGGACGATGAAAGTAAACAGTCATATGCGATGAACAAAGATCAAATATACCTTGCACTTTAAAACAAGAAGATAGAATTCAGTTTACTTCTTTTTTCTTTCTATATGCTAGCACCATCACCTATTACCTCACGGGCTGAACATTTTCGAACGATATCGGGTAATGTATTTGCGACATTAACAACTGACAATAAAAAACGGGCAAATATCCATCAGATATTTTCATCGAATAAAAGCAATACTATCAATCATTATCTCATTGATTCGACGCCTCCATCGCCAAGCTCAGCTCGACATCGACTATCCCGAACTCCGCTTAGCGAAAATCATTCGCCGTTTCCCTATTCCAGACCAAAATCTGCTGTACCATCAACATTAAGTGAAAACAGTGCGTTTCATATTGTGCATAATCCGAACAGTAATTATATAAATATTCAACAGCAGCAACAACAAGAATATCTTGCATTAATTCAAATCCTCAAATCTCAAGAATTACAAGTTGAACAGCAAGAAAAAGAGTTAAATGAAAAACAAAAAGGTTCGCGTCGGCAATTGCGACTTTCCATAATCAATCTTTATTTGTCGTTTAGAAATTGAATATCGCGAAGCTCTTCTTCGTCAAACACAACTATATCATGATAATATCCAACATGAGCTACAATTACTTGAAGAACACGAACGACAGCTTCTCTCGGAATGTCAAACTTTTACTCAAGAATATTCGCCAGATGCATTGGACATTGAATTAGACTTTCACGAAAAGTTAAGTTCAAATTATGAACATCTACAACAACAAATCACACGTTGTTGTTCGACGACAGAACAAAAACGACAAATGCAAGATCAGCTCCAGTTCAGCATTGAGCAAATACATGAAGAAATCGAACAAATACAAGCGAATATTAATAACGATAAGAAGGTACACCGAAATCGAAGCCAAATATCGTCATTGATTGTATGTTTTTCTTTTCGTTTAGGATATCCTTCAATACGAATATGATCTTCAACGTTCAGATGCTTCATTAAAACAGCAAGATGACTTATTAGATATCTTGAATCAGCGTAATGCGGACATTGAACGTATTATTCAACAAGATCAAAAAGTTATTATGGACTTCGAAGATGCATTAATCGAACTCGAAGATCTATTAATGCAAGGTAAATTCACGTTGTACTGAAACCAATGGCAGAAACATGCATTGCCTTTTGTTTTGCAGATCTTCCCAATACTTCTTATCATTTTCATGAGACCACCACACAGGGTACGCTTATGCCAGTGCATCTTCAATATATGAATAGTACTCTTTTAAAAATATGTCCGAGTGGCATATGGGTTTAATAAAAGAATCTATTCGATTTTTATTTTTATATTTATACTTATAATCAAATAAACCTGTCGTCTTAATTTACATTTGTGAGAAAGATTTAACATTTGTACAACATCTGATTGACCTAATCGGATAAGTACAATGTCGTTTTTGTAAGTAAGAGGATTAAACTCATTATGCGTGAAGGGAATAAGCGGCAGTGATGTAAGACGATATTGTAAAATCAATGATTAGAATCGAAAGAAAATGTCGCTTTCATTCATAAGAGTCTCTTTGTCTCGATATCGCGATTGGTAACCACTCTCTTATGAACGATTTTCTCTTCATCGACTAATGCATTCCATTGCAATTCGAGTTCTTGACGTATACTCCAACAATGTGTCAACGATGGCTTATGGTCATAGAGTTCGTTCTTATCAATTCGAATGTATGCTAGTTGATGGAAGACATCGTTATCAATAGCTTCATTTTCATATTTATTTCGTTCTTCCAATGGTAATTTATTCCAACGTTTGAGTAGTTCCATTTCAATTTGCGTGTTGGTTTTGTATTTGTCAATCTGAATGTGTAAATTCCATTTTCACGTGTCAAAAAACAAAGCGATTACTTGGAGATACTTGATCTCATGTCGATTGAAAGCAGCGAGAGTGATGAGAGCAAGGTAATCCTTGTATGAACAAGCTTGCTCGCGCTCTTCGTACGCTTTTTTAGTCAGATGGACTGCATATTGAAAATTCGTTGATGAGGACGAATGGTCTTTTTTGTTTGAAATAAATTTCGATCTTTTGCTGACTTTCGTTCGAGATTTGGAAGAATTATTTAGAGTCATTGTGAAATAAATTATATGGAAGAAAAAGAGCGCGTAGTCCAATCTAATTCATCGTTGATGATCATAAAGAAAAACCTTTTGGAGAATTTCCACCAATGAAATTCCATTGTTTGATTCTTCAGTAAACAGACGTTTTCAGATAATTCAAACCCTTTTCATTCACCTTCTCTTATTGTTGTTTTTATTGACTTAAACAGCCATTTTCTACCACTTCTCACTGTAAACTTCACACAAATGTTTTGCATTCTTTCTTCAGAGAAAAAGAATCTGAAGTAGTTGGTTTTTTCCTTTTTAAATCAATTATATTACTACCTTTTCGACAGTAAGGATTTATTTTTAACGATGCAATTCAATCGGTAGGCTTGATCAGTAAATTATTTATTTACGAACGAATTTTCCCACTGTACATAGATTCTCTACGAATAGTTTCTCGACTAGTCGACCATTGCAGCGTTGTAGAGACGGTCACGAGTGTCAATTACTGTACAATGGCTCCACTGAACACAAGTCACTCTATAGTCACCCGTGTCGATGGTCAGAATTATGTCGCGAAAAAAATAATAATGATAGTGAACACGTACGACTCTTCACACATGATCCACATCAAGTGCCCTTATGCAAATTTGGTCCTGACGATTGTAGTAAACTAACGGATGTAGAACATCGACATAGTTATCGACATGAAGGGTTACCAGATTTTCTCATACCATGTCGATTTAAAGATCGATGCCGAGACCGCTCGACGGAACATGCACACACATTCGCACATCCAAGTGGTTCTTATCATGAAACTCAAAGTAAGGAAGAGAATTTAGGACGATGCGAAAAACGATCGAATATAATTTAATTAGGTTTTAGAACTACGAATAATTCAAGGGATAATAGCAATGGTCGGTTTGCTTTTAATCAAACACCTTGCAAATACGGTGATGAATGCTACAAGCAGTCAGATCCAGAACATTGTAGTCGGTATTCTCATCCTTTATCGAGAGATCCTTTGTCGCAAACGCCTCGCAGTTCAACGAAATCATTCTCGCCAAATACACAATCAACACCAACGGATAACTTCAATAGTCGAGCGGTGCCTTTATCCACAAATCATTTAACGTCTCGTCTACCACCTAGATCAACGAATAACTTAACTTCACTCTCACCAACTGCATCAGCTGATAATTCGAACACTCGAGAAGCTTCTACAACTGTACGTCGATCTAATATTCATCTTTGCGGAAGTGGTAATGATATGGAACGAGCGTATCGCATTGGAGGTGCACTAGCCATGGAAACATTGAGTAAATCTGATCAGCAAGCTATTCAAAATATGCCTGATGATGCAGTTATTGTTGTGCCAGGTTCATATGATCACATCGATCGTGTCTTGAAGAGTTTAAATATTAAATATATAACTGTTGAAGCGACGAACTTACTAACTCATCCGATTCGACTTGATCAAACCGTCTACATAAATTGCTCCTCCAGTTTTCCGATTGATGCAGCGAGACGACTTCGACAACTAGTCGAGCAAGGTCTTCATATTATAACTACCGATTGGGCTTTGGCTCATGTCCACAATGTTGCCTTTTCGGACTTTATTCAACATAACGGGTTAAGCACAGCAGATGAAGTCGTAGGTATAGAAGTCGCTGACCCAAAGCATCCATTGGTGAGCGGCTTTCTATCTGCATCTCAGCATGCTCTGCCTCAGTGGTGGCTAGAAACTGGTTCTCATCCTATTCGAATCGTGAACGAAGATAAAGTACGTGTACTCATTCGATCCGCAACCTTGGGTGAGAAATATCGTTCAGACGCTGTTCTTGTCACGTTTGACTGCGGTAAAGGAAATGTTATACATATGGTTTCTCATTTCTATTTACAACGTTCTGAAACACGTGACCAGCGTCACCAGATGCCGGCAAAACAGTATGCAATGGATATAAAAGCTTCGACTGGTGCGACAAATCTTGTTGCGAGCCAAGGTCAACATTTAAACTATGCTCAAATTCAATCATCATCGACATCAGCACAGTTTATCTATAATCAACTGTCAACCCGTCTGAATTCCAAAAAATAAATATTCTTGTCGTTTTTTCCTATATAACGTAATCTAGAAACTGGACTTATCTATATATTGCATCCACAGAAAGAAAATGCTGTTTAGTTTTCTTGGGCAGTGAGGGTTGACTTGAAGCTACACTAGCAGCCTCATCATCATTGGCTTGTGTAGTTTGCATACCAGTCAATATTGATTTGCCATCATGTTCGGTCGAATTACTTTGTTCGACACGTGATTTTAAAAATTTGTGACGACTGTACATCAAGCCTACGAGAAGTATCGCACCTACTGTTGACAAGGCGATAATGAGCCAAATTCTGACACCGATTGTAGTCGATTTCTTCGGACTATTTGCTGGAGTTTTTGCAATAGTTCTTTCACAAAAACTCCCAGTTGTCAATGAATTACAAACGCATTCATTATTGACGCATGATCCTGTATTTTGACAAGGTTTGTCCGAATTTAAACAGCCTTCCTCTTAATAAACAGAAAACTTCATCACATCGACAAGTGAAAACATTGGAGAGATCTGTACCACAAAATGTTCCTTGATACCCTGTTTGCAAGCAATTGCAAGTGAAATTAACCCGCCCGACCGGTCTGCATTGTCCATTATTTCTACCTAAACGATTGTCAGTATAATGTTCTTCCAACGAGATTCTAATAATCTTACAGCGATCGACAGGGCACGGATCTGAAAGTCGAGAGAAACTACATCTGATATGATTTCAGAAATCTCGTAATTACATGTAGACAGATGACACAATTCACCAGTCCAACCGGAATCTTCACAATCACAAGTGAAACTACAAATGACCATGATGTAAACGTGTATTTTATTTCAGAACATTCGAAACTATTTCACATGTGTAGCGATTTCATGAATACTTCACTATCGACATATGAAATGACGACTTACTTGTGCGTATTACCCTAAGAAAGCAGAACAGAAAATGAGTTAGGTTTGTGAGGTGAAGACATATTTTACAATTTGTGAACACTTCGTCTTGTGTTGACAAGGATTGGAAAGGCATGGATCTACGAAAACAAGCGTAACAAGCGTTCAAACAGCTAGATGTACCTTGTACTATTTCGCACAAAGACCCTTTCCAGAGAGATGTACATTTACACATGCCTAGTTCTGTACAATTGCCACCGTTGAGACCTAACGGATATTTTGTGGTATTCATTTGAAAATCATTCAATGTCTCACAGTGCGACGGTAATTCACCGCATTTGTCCATACAACGAGCACCGCTGTATGGCGTTTCCGTACAATCGCATAGTGCTGCATCTTCGTGCGTCGCTGCTGTACATACACCATTATTTTTACAAAACTCCTTTGCTCGGTCACAGTTGGTCCGAAATGTTTTCGCCGCTAGGAAACGATTCATTGTTACTATCAGCGTAAATATTCATGGTATGTAACTATACAAACTTACATACTTCGCAAGCAACGTACAAGCGTTCAGATGGAAGCTCATCTTTCAAGCAAAACTGGCCAGGAGGAATAGTAGTTTTTGCCCACCTAGTTTAAAATTCATCGATGGTTGTTCTCCATTTCCATCATCAAAGATTTTACCGGACGAGAGAAACACGAGTTTTTTTCGTGTTATTTTCAGTCCATTGAGGCTGAGGTAGAAAAAATTCCAGCTGAAATGAGCAAATTGCTAGTCAGTGAACCACGTACACACCCTTTAATCAATCACTTACTATTTCGCTACGGTTTGGTCGACACCACATTGAGCTGTTTTGATCGAAAGCAAATCCGTCCTTATTGATCCATGTAAATTGACCGACTAAAGTAGACTTTCCTACAGTCCTCATTGGCCATTGATAACAACTCACATTTAACAAATGGCTCATTCATTGCGCCTATCCTACAATGATCTCACATAATTTTCTAATAGTAACCCAATGGAATAATCTACCAATATCGCTCATAATGATCTTTGGCGTCAAAGAGCCCATATCCAAACAGATGAGCAGTATTTTTCTATCGAATAAGAACTAATTTTAGCAATGAGTATATTACATTTGATTTACATAGAGCCATTCCAGATCGGTGGGTTTCTTGAAAATAATCAACTAGAATACGATAGAATGAACCACATGGCTAAACTGCGACATATAGTTTAGAATTGTACATCGCCTGAATAGCTTGATTGACAAGTAGATCTTGCTGCGATCCAGTCCATTGTCGTTCTAAGAAAACAATAACAACGTGAACCTAATAAACAAAATAAGTTTGCTTTTGTTTCAAAAAATATTATCAAAGAGAAACCTCTTTCATGGCATCCAAACGGACAAAAAATGCAACGATGACTGGCTTCATCCCAATAGGTCCTTCCTCCATTAGCAGTGCTTCCTTCTCTACAAGTGCATGTTTTTCTTGCATCACAGATCACACGTCCTTCACGCCAATAAGCACAATCATGAGTAAAGGTACAGACGCCATTGTAAGGTACGTTTTGACCATCTGTAGCGTTTTGTTTTCCACGAAATAATAACGACATTTTCAATAGATAACTTACTCGAACTGGTGCATTGAAGTGATACAAAGAAAATAGTTAGAATGACTAGCATGAACGGTAGTAAATTGAAGATTTATTGCATAGCAACGATAAATTCCTCATTAATTTGATTTATGCAGAGTATTTCCTTAATCGATCGCTTTATACAAAAATTTTATTATTAGAAAATATCGAAGAGCACAGATTATTTAAGTCCTACTGCTTCCATACTCAGTTTCCACAGATGATCTGCCGTTGTATTGTCAGTGCACAATGAAGTCGGCTGAGCTGCCTTGCAACTCCTAGATAGATGCGAGTAAATCGAGGTAGTTTCACGTAACAAATACATACTCAAAATGTAATTCATGTGACTGTTCGAGTGTAGGTTCAACGGCACAAAAGATTGTCGTTCGTGCGCCTGTCTCGGGTGTTTTTGCCAAAGCTACTTTAAGTAAACGTAATATCGGATACGCGATTAGAAACCCAAAAATGCCAAGTGCGTCTTGCATGGGAGATTGAATCGATGTCCACACCCAACCAGGACATACAGAAAACGCATTGATACCCTCTTCTATAAACAAAGATAACGCAATGTTGAACTATGCTAATTGCCTACTCTCAAGTAAATCTTGTTTTAGTTTGTGAGTTAACAGAATTTGAAACGCTTTCGATGCTGGATAGGCACCCCATAGACGAAAGCTTTTCATTTGTGTAAATGCATCGGACCAATCAATAGATCGAATACCTAATCACATGTCAATACAAACAATCGAATAGTACAACTAATAAACGAGCAATTCAAACTTTTATGTGCACCCGATGCGACATTAACGATTCGACTTGGACGACATTTTTTCAATTTGTCAAGTAGAAGTTGTGTTAAAAGGAAATGACCTAAATAATTCGCTTGTATGACAGGATTAAATCCATCTTTAGTCACAGCATCAGGTGACCAAGCAATGCCAGCGTTACAGATGAGAATATCAAGCCGATCTTCTTCGTTGTTATATTTTCTCGCAAAACTACGAACGGAGTCTAGTGAACAGAGGTCACATTCCATTAGTCGAAGACTTTTCTCATCGCAATTGGTTTCTGAGCGAAGTCGTTGAACTGCATCATGTCCTTTATTCATGCTTCGACAGACAATAATGACTCGAGCTCCTAAAACGAATTCTCAATATCAAGAAAACAGTCTCCAGAGATTGATCTATCTTTTACCTCGTTGAAGAAGATCTTTGGCAGTTTCATAACCAATCCCGGCATTACCACCAGTGATAACCACGGTTTTATTGGACATTGTTTGAGTGCTCGGATAAAATTTTCGATTGACCCACAGTTTATTATATAGCCATCCAGCCATAACTAAAAACAAGTTTATCAATGAAGAATTCACTAGCAATAGTAAAAAACTGTTATACATGTTCCTACAAGCACAAAAACCGCTGTACGATACTGTTCAAAGAATCGATGAACCATGGAAAACATATCATCAGCTGTTGTTACAGGCATTGTCTGTAGTTTGAAAATTATTATCAATCTGAGATTGAAAAATCCGCAAACATATTTTGCACTCAACGAACGGGAGCAAACGTCACAGATGTTAAAAATAGACCAATCGTGAGGTAGACATGTAAACTGTTGGACATGACACTATCGACCTCTGCAAAATAATTCCTTTAACGATGTACATAGTGTGAAAAGAATACCGGCGTCAATATTTTATTTAGAAATATTCATACATCAGTTATTATAATCCTACTGCCTCACAACTCAACTTCCATAGAATTTCTGCCGATTCTTCATCTGTACAGTACGCCGCTGGTTTCGAAGGTGCACAATTTCTAAAGAAAACACATTAGCAGTCGTTTCTGTGAACAAATTTTTTTCCATTTACTCGAAATATAAATGTTTGGAATGTTCGAGTGAAGGTTCAACAGCACAAAACACCGTTGTACGCGATCCTATGTATGGCGTTTTAGCGAAGATAAACTTCGCAACCCGTAAGAGCGGACAAAGAATGAGAAATAGCCATGTACCAACCGCTGGATGTAATGGATCCTGAAATGAAGTCCATACCCATCCCGGATTTATGGCAAATATATCAACACCATCGTCTATAAGCAACCAGAAGTAAAAAAATAACAGAAATCACTCGTATGCTATATACCGTAAAGATCATGTTTGAGCTTGTAAGCTGATAAAATCTGACTTGCTTTTGACGGACAATATGAACCCCACACGGCATCTGACTTAAAATTGGTTAATGCTATTATGCCTTGATTAGCCGGAGGATCTAAAAACCTGATCTGCTCGCTTTCAATTTAATAAAATTCTACTCTTACACTTATGTGCGACTGACGACACATTGATGATTCGACTTGGTCGGCACTGTTTCAGTTTTTCTAATAGTAATTGTATCAGAAGAAAATGACCGAGATAGTTGCTTTGCATGATATCGTTGAATCCATCCTTTGTATATAGAGTCGGTGTGTAAACTCGACCAGCATTGCAGATGAGAACGTCGAGTCGATCTTCTTTCTCATTATACAATTTTGCAAATTTACGAACAGAATTCAATGATGATAAATCGCATTCCATTAATCGGATGTTATCTTTCTTGCAACCTGTCTCTAAATGAAGTTTTGTTATTGCTCGATGACCTTTGTCAATATTACGACAAGCAATCACGACTCGAGCATCTAAATCGAACAAAAGTTTGATACTATAGGAGAAGAGAAGAGATCAAGTCGAATTACCTCGTTTCAGTAAATCTTTGGCTGTTTCATAGCCAATACCGGCATTACCTCCTGTGATAAGCACAGTTTTGTTTTTCATTGACTGCACATTTGAATATAACAGACGATTCATCCAAAATTTGTTGAATAGCCATGCCAGTATACCTAGACAAGTTATCACGAATAAAATCGTGTAGTTTCGTTCATAGAGTTGATGAATAATAGACAAAAGAGTATTGAGAATGGCCGAGAACATGATCACTCGAAAGTGTTCAATCTAAATTTGAGAAAGACATACAGACTTTCTATAGATACCTAGTTGCTTCAATGATAACAAGATTAATATCGAAAACAAACAATAACTTTATTCTTCAAATGTGTAGATATGTTATCAAAAATTTCTTTCCATGCTGACATGCACACTCACACACTGTTTATTCATCATTCATCTTTTCCTTTTCTATAGTGAAACACGAATCGACACATCTATCTGAGATTTTTCTATATACAAAAAAAAACAGGATCTTCATCTTTCAAAATTCAGATATGTATATATAATTAGACATAAATTATAGTCGGAGATCCGTTATTCCTTGGATATTGGTGATGAGATTTTTCATTATCACTACTGATAGTTTCATGATCATATTCATCATCGTTGCTACTTGAGCTAGCATGAAGCATAGCTGTATCGTCTTCGTTCCATATGATTGGTTCGAGTTCCATATTCGATGAACTTGTTCCTGTGGTGTTTGTGCCAAGAATTGAATGCGAAGAAACGCGCTCTAAAGACGATAGCGGTAGATGAGCTGATGAGGATAAAATCCGTGTTTTCGTAGTGCGTTCACTCGATCTTAGAATGAGATCACATTCATCCGAGATCAGATGGGTTAATTTTGCATTGATCATGCTTTGGTGGTGGTGGTGATGATGATGATGAGAAAGTTTGGGAGAACGATGTTGAAGATGAGAGATTTGGTTTGACGATGACTGAGATCGATGCTTTCCATGTATTAGACAATAGAGAAGAATAAGTATAACAGCAATGGCAATAAAAATAAGAATGGAAAAGAGAATTATGATCCAAAAACTAAATCGGGACGACGTTATTTGTACTGAAAAACAAAACCAAAGAGAAATAAATGTTGCGAAGAGTAATGGAAATTTACATTTGTCTTGATAGTTAAAAAAAGCAAGTTGATCTTGACAAATAGGACAGCAGTGACCAGATAATGTCACTGTATGCAAGCAGGTTAATGGCGGGCATTTATGTTGATGACAAACAATTGTTCCGAGTAAACACTCACACTGATGGCAATCGCTCACCTACAATAGCGATATAAATATACAAAGAGATATAGAAAACGACAAATTCTTACATTCCAATGTTCACCAGAACGATATTGAACATAGTTGAAAATACAAACAGCAACCGCCGCTGTTGGTGGAAGACAGAAAGGACAGCATTGACCTTTTTTGAGGATAGGGTTAGAGCATGGTAAATCTTGTTTACATGTCTGGGAGAAACATTCGATTTGGCCAGTGCCACCACGCGGACATAAACATGATTGACAAGCATCTGTTGTCCATAGTTCTCCAGCATGTTTGATCATTCCATTTTCAAGTACACAAACGTCTTCGTCTGTTGTCACTGATGTATCAATACTCGATTCGGATTGAGTTGACGTAGGTGGACATATAGGACAGCATAGGGATGAATCATATATAGGAGAGGAACAACGAAGCGGTGGACATAATGAGATGCTGCAGAAGGCTATATTGTGTAAACACATACATTTTGTACATTTATCGAATTCAAGTTCTTCGCCAGTCACATATTGACTGGCGTAACAAACTTGAGATGATGGAGTCGGTTCAGGTAAGAGTGAAGTATCTAGAAAAGAAGAATTTACAATACAGAAACTGATACTAATATTGAAAGAAATTATTAACCTGGACATGAAGGACAACAACGATTGGGTAGGAATACAGGATGAGAACATTTTGGTGTTGGACAAGAAATAAGTGCACAGAGTTGTTCACCTTTATGGCATAGACATTGTCGACAACCATCAAACCAGATTTCGCCATTTGAATATGAGAATGAATCTGACTGACATTGTCGAGGCCATGATTGTACGGTTACATCCGTTTTCGAATGCAAGTCACTTTCGCAAACACAGATAGGACAGCCAACTTCATTTCGTTTCAATCCATAAGTGCAGTTCTTTGTACAAATTAATTGTGGACATGGATTACAAGCGCAATGTGGGCAGCCCGTTTTTTCGTCGACTGCATAACTGTATGGACAATGCTTATCACAACGTAATTCATCACACTTTCTGTCCGGTGGTAAAGAACATAGACAGTATTGTTTGGATAATTTTTCAAATTTTAATGTACAGTACGGTGCCGGACAGGACATAGTCGAACATGCACATTGAGAGCAACCGTGCTCATCTTTCGTTAAGCCATGTTCACAGACTAACAAACAATTTTCCAATTTTGGACATTTATGTATCGATGTGATAACAGCTGAGTTGGTCTCTTCTGAATTCTTGTGTTCATCGAGGTCACATACGGGACAACAAACGTTAGCAATTTGACGAGGATTTTCGCACGGAGGAGCAATGCAACCTTCAGCAATACAACGTGATCGACCATTTTCACACGAACATCGCATACAACCATCCGATTCAATCCAGGTTGAATTCATATGTTGAACATGGAAACGATCATTTAAACAACCTATGAATTCCAAAATAGAGACTATCTTTCTGGAAAACGAGCATACCTCCACATTTTGGGCAACATTCATTTTCTGGTTTATACATGTAACCGCAATGTGTATAGGTCGGACATTGTACCATGGAACAATCGGCTCGCCCAGCACGGCAAGTGCATGTGGTACAATGATCGATCGACCACGTCTCGTTTTCATGGTAGATTTTCTTTCCATGCTGGCATTGCTCCGCAGCTTGATGAGAGATAAAAAATAAATGAAATTATGGATTAATTATGGTCTATATATTCCCTATTCTCACCTACTCTTAATACAATTGAATTGATCACAGCATTGTCCAGGTAGCTCTGGATTGCCTGTTCGATAGATTTGGATAATCGAGTTTTCTCCACAGATGGTTTTCGGACATGATGAACAAGCACATTGACCTCGAGGTTCACAGCAAATCGATGGAAAAGCTCGCGAAAGAGTATATGCTGTTCGTCGAGGAGGAGTTAAATCTTCCACAAAATGACTGTCCAACGGACATATCGATGAATTTACTGGTGCACTTTTGCAAATTATATTCGAACAATCAATAATATCTTTAGCTAAACAAAACGAATTATTCAGGCATAACCGCCTCGTCTTTTATTGATATAAATACAAGATCTCCGATGTCAAACTGTCTTTTGGATCATTAGCTTAAGAGGCCTGAAAGAACTCTTCTGGAATAATCCATTCGTGTCCTACATTTATTAGTCGGTCGCCATGTCTCATTTTCTCGGGTAATTCTGTACCCAGCTCTGTTTGCTATGAGACACCCTATATGTTATTCTAACCGATAAATGTATTTTCTAGCTAACTATCTATTTGGATCAGATGATTTAACATTCCTAATGAATAATAACATCAATCTTAGTTAACCAAACAAATAGAAATATCGAATTATCTAACCATCCTGGCTTATATCTGTAAAATAAAGGTCTCATCCTCACCATTACTGGCTTTCAAAGCAGTTGCACTGTAATCCTTGTGAATGATCGAATGATTTTTACAATTATCCTTTGTATCGTAGGGGAGAGCTTTATCACAGGGTACACGCCGATTGATACATTCACATGTGTTCTTCTTATCCTTCGTAACCGATAAACATTGAAATTTTAAACATGCTAAAAACAAATGAAAGTCCACATGGTCTTTGTGTTTCCTATAGGGATTCTCACCTTTGACACAAATTCCTGTTTGTTCATAGGCAAAGTTTGTCGTTGTCGTTTTATTTGCTTTATAGCACAATAAACCTTCTTCACATATACCATAAACATTAAATCGACCTCCACATCTTTCGTTTTCTTTTCGAAGACAAACAGTACAGCAATCACATTGATCACGTATTAATTTTGTACAATTCTTATTCAATAATGCATAGTCATAACAATAATCGGCAATACAGGCTTCATGACATTCGGTCTGATAACCGGATAATGAAGTTGATTGAACAGGTACAACAATTAGTCTCAATTCCTTCCCATCGTTGTCAACAGAGTTTGCAGTCGTGAAAGCACCGAAGAAGATCGTCGAAGATAGATGAAGAATGAGCAAACAACGCCCGATGAGCATTACTGCTCGACTGATAAACACATAGCCTTTTTCAGACTAACAGAACGGATGTTGATGGACGACGTAATTGTCGAGACCACCTAAGCATTCCAATCAGATTCGGCCTAGAACAAATAAAGAAATGCTTTTCGATACCTCATAGAAAAATTTTAATCAAAAATAACAACTTCAGTCTTTCATATTTATTCTCTTTCAAGAAGAGTCGGTAGTGTTAGAAAAAAAATATTTTCTTTTTCGAGAATAGGCACGTAAATAGATGGTGACGAAAGCGATTTTGCTCCTCTCTTATTTCAAGATACGCAACTTAATACGAATCGCTCTGATGTTACTGTGGAAATTAGTTTTTCTCAGCACAAGAGAAAAAGCCTGCATCTGAAGGGTATTTATTGTATTCCAGAGAAGTCATAAATAGTTATTCATCAACGTAGGATTTTTATCGAATGAATCAAAGAAAAAGAAAGAACAAGACAGATTGTTGGTATGTTAGAAGAAGTATTTCATTACTAACTTTGTTTTTTTTTCAAAGAAAAACGAAAAGAAAATGTATATATATATTAACATTTTTCTATGTGTCTGTTGACTAATCTTTCGTTCTGCGATGTCAGAAGGAAAATGAAAACTAGGATGTCTTCGAATTCGTATAGACAAAAGTACGAGAGGGAGAGAGAAAAGAAGGTGGGCGATGATCGCATGTACAAATAATTGCCATACCAGACATATCTGTGGTTCTGCTTTTTGCTCGCCGATGTATATATTTCATCTTTGACTAATAACGACAAGAGGCAGTTTTTCATTTGTTATCTCTTGTTTCGGACTCTCCGATGACATCAACAAAGAACTTCGAAGAGGAAATACATCGATAACAATAACAAAAACAACACCTGATTAAGCTTAGCAAAATGACTCTCGCTAATTCTATAAATACTACCTTCGAACTTGATAATTAATTGTAGTATTTATCTAGTATTGATGCTTGTTGCATTGAGATATGCGACGTGTGAAAGGCACGATAATTGTTTTTGATTCTATCGCAATAAAAAGTAAAAATCACAAGCAACAAGCAACGAATGATACTTAGAAAACGAAGAGAAAAAGAAAAGAGCGAACACATGCGCAACTGATTGAAAAAAAAAAGAAATGCAAACATTATTATTTGCAAAAGATGTGACTGACTGCAACCGAAATAGAATCAATAGTTAAATGAGTTGGTTCTTGCACTGAATTTCAATTTGATAAGGAAAGAAATTGTTCAAATATTTGGGTCCGGTTGACTATAGACTTGATAAGAGATAGATATGCCAGTGGATATCGGCTTAGTGAGAAGTGAAACGCAAAAGGTAAAGATAAGTCTTATTTATTGTGAAATAACAAAAGCAGATGTTTCATTTTTTTTCAACATGACGATGGTGATGTAGAAAGAAAAGCATTTTTTGATTTGCTACTGCGTGCATAATCATTCTCCAGAGACGCGTTCGCAACTTAATCGGTAATAAACGATAATAAAAGAACAAGTGTTTTGTTTGTAGCAACAATGATTGCGAGTGATCTTCGAAGTAGACAAAGATTCTCTCACCCATTAGAGCTTGTCGTATACTTTTCTTCCCGTCGACGACTATTTCTGTCATGGAGAGGTTTTATCCTCGGATCAGAAACAGTGCTTTTGGGAAGATTCGAACATGGTCACAACAGCATATCAAACCATTCGACTAGAATTGATTCTCATTAGAACGAACAAAATGAATATCGACTCAATGAGATTTGTACCAAAAAAAAAAGAGCTCTTTCATATATCTAGCAATGATCGTATTATGCTAATTATAATCGATAGTCCAAGTGGAAAGAAAAACACCCATAATCTAAATAGTTTTCTTCGCTTGTTAAAATTACATTTTGATCATATCATTAGACAAGGATATTTTCTTCCCTTTCGCGCTTCTTTTTCGCACATCCAGATAGACGTACATATATCTGACTGTTTGATTTCTATTCACCTGGCAATTTGACACGGAATATTCATAGCACGAATGATATTATCTTTCGTGATGAGAAAAAAAACCGAAAATATGCGCGATACTCACCTTTTAATTTCCTTTTCCTAAGTGAATAAAGAGTGTTTTCAAAGGCAACAGCTGTACATTACCATCAACGCTTTCTCTCTCTCTCTATGTCTATCTTTATCTTTCTCTATCCATCCTTTAGTAGCAACATGAATAACTGATTTCTTCTTTCTCCTTATGTATACATTAATACATTGAAGTAACTAAACAAACCTGTTTTCTGTATGTCGGATGCGTCGTTGATTGAAAGTATCCATTATGGATGACGGCGACCTCGAAATGTTCGTGTCTTCTCCTGATAATCGTAGCGATGATGGCTCCGAGCAAGAACTACTACTAGTTGAAGGCTATCAAACATGACTCATCAAACACAAAATACCAATTTCTAATGTTATTCTCTCCAGCCGGCTTATTTCCCATTTGCAAGGCAAGTTAAACGAGCGAGAAAGAGAAGAACGCAAAGTATAAGGCCAGATAGATATCTAAAAACAAAAGAAGAATAGCATGTATATACAATACACGTTCCGTAGCCGATAAGAAATGCCGTGTACTTGAAATACAAAAATTGAATGTCATTTTCTCAAATGTGTGCATATATATTCTACAACAACAGGTCACTGAGTGCGAAGTGTAAAATCATATTTCAGGCATGAAAAACAAACGGAACGTTATCTTTCCAGAAAGATGAAATTGAAGATACCAATTATATACACACCGAAGTGTTTTTATTGATATTTCTAACAGGAAAAACAAATTATCGTTTGTCAAACGACAAGTTATAGTAAAACATTGAACTACAGAAAATACACACATCGCGAGAATAATACAGTAGATGTTCAATGCTTCAGCTTATTGATGTTGCGCTAAATGTTCGAAGCCTTGTCCAGTTCGCATAGGTTGGCCACCGGAACCACCTGTAGAAGCGAACTTCTCAACACCAGTTTCTTCATGGCCACCTGACGATGGAGCATTTTGCGTATCAACTCGTTTCGAACCGGTATCATCATCAGGTGAAGCGTGTTTAGCTTCACTTGAAGCAGTGCTTGGATTTGTTTTATCCGACATTATTCGTTGTGCTTTTCGAATTCTGAAATGAAATGGCTAGATGAGATGATGAAGATAAAGCTAACTAGTTTTACGTCTCAAAATTTTATCCAATGCAATCATTGGAACTTGGCAGCCTCCGTATTATATTCCATCACAAAGGCGACAAGAACCAATCACAAAACAATAAACAGCTGTGAAGATCTTTTCTCTAGATGCACCTTTATTTCGATCCAGACGAAGTCTCCTATTTATTCGAAATATTAAGTTAACAACTTTATACATTGTTTTAGTCTCTGAAATAAACGTTCTTCAAAACTACCAGAACAATTCTACTGGATGTTCATCTACATGTAAATCTTCTTCAGTTTCGTGTTTGCGATCAGTGCCTCCACCTCGATAGAAAAACATTCCAATTAAAATAATTGGTAAAGCACCAAGACTAAAGCCAATATCCCAACCATCCATGGGTCCTACACCAGCCCATGCATTGACGGATGGAAAAATAAACCAGAATGACGTCGCTAATAATGGAGATATCGATGATAATATCGATAACCAATTAGCAGAGACATGATCTGTTAGAAATGTACCAGTTATATATGTTGCTAAATAAGATACGATAAATAGAACGCCTGTAGCGCCAGCATAATTGCATCGACCACCGTGAAGCGAAGGGTCATTGAAGAAACATTTGAATCCATTCGAGAATGCGCTCCAAAAAGAACTGATATCTTTCGATGTACCGAAACCTGGTACTAAATCGAGCCCGAAACACAATGCAATTGCGCCAAACTGAAATGTTGATTCAACAGCTTGAAAATACATAACTGAAAATCGTGTAATTCTCTCTTGTTGTTCTCGCGCTCCTTGAGTGAATTTCATTTGTAGCTGTTCTTGAACAATATTCATTAATGCACCGGGTACACAACCTACGATGAATATAAATGGCCAGTACCATCCATCCTTCAATTCTGTTGGCGCTGTTCCATCGTGTATGCGTTTAAATGTAGGTATCAAACTAAATGTCACACCGACAAGAACAAGGCAAACGCTGAAGATATGACGCCAATGATATTTTTTTGGTAGGAGAATTTTCGAAAATATAAATGTGAATGGAATGATTGATTGAACAAGAATCGATGATAGGGCTGGTGGAACACGACTACCATGAGAACTGAATACAATCAAGAATCCATTGGCTGCGTCGAAAACACCAACTAAAACCATGTATTTAATCCATCGAGACGATAACATCGAACGAGTGATTTGTCCTTTGTAGTAAAACCAAACTGCCATGATGGAGAAAATAATAGTGAATGACAGTGAACAGAAGAAGAGAACAAAGTAAACACCGGTAAGTCCATTGAAACTTCCAAGAAATAGAACTAAACCGATAGATTGACCACTGGCAAACAAAACATTGAGAATGGACATTAGAATGGCTACGATAGCGAAACTTATGTGCCATTTACGGCGAATTGTGAACCCAGGGTGCACGGCTTGCTTAGTAGAATGAAGAATCGAATTGTTATCGTCGTTGAGCATTTTCGATGAAGAATCTTTCCCTAGAACTGCTCTTTTTATTCATCAAATTTTCGCTAAGTCATAGTGAGAGAAAGATACGGCTAGATCTTCTATTTTCAACTTTTCAAGATATGACTAAAAATTTTGTTTTGTCATCATGATATCATCAGAATTGCATGTATTGTCTTCTACATTGTCTTATCTGTTGTTATTCGTATGCTCTAGATTCAACAGGTGCATTGTTGACAGATCATAGTGTATCACAATATCACATATAGACATAGAATAAGATGTCAGCCAAAATAAAATTCCTAGTTTTATTCTTTAGTCTTGATTAGATATTTCAAGAGTGATAAGTTGCTTAAACATCACCAAAGTAACAGTAAAAATAAAAACAGTAACAATAAACAAGCAAGAGAAAAACAATGTGTACATCGATCACTGTACAGCTGGATTAATATAAATCGATTATCGTTTAACCCTTAATGACTGCCACCGGTCTCAATTTAACACATAATTTACTAATACCAGCTGCGTGACATGTTTCAACGACATCGGTTACGTTTTTATATGAATCAGGCGCCTAGAAAAACATTCATTCAATTTTGTGACATAGACAAGCAAAATTTACCTCTTCTTGTACGAGTTTTGGCGATGCAACACGAATGGCGATACCCTTTTCTTTTAATTCGTCCAAAACTTCGTACCAGTTAAGATTTCGTCGAGATTTAGCACGAGATAGTGCTCGACCCTAAACGCAAGAAATCCATCTTATTCAAGAATAAACTTTGATCTCATTAATCACTTACAGCACCATGGCAAGTCGAACCAAATGTTTCTTGCATACCCTGTTCAGTACCAGTAAGAACATAACTACACGTGCCCATGGTACCTTTTAATATTGAAAAGAACATGGAGAAATCAGAGCACTTGTGTTGTTTACCTCCGATCAGAACAGGCTGCCCGGTTATCTGATAATCGACTGGAATAAGTGGATGATGGGGAGGGAAAGCTCGTGTTGCACCCTTTCGATGTACTAACAGAGTTTTTTGTCTACCATCGATGATGTGTTCTTCAACTTTAGCTATATTATGTGAAACATCATAGATTAAATGCATATCGAGATCATCAGGTGTTGAATTAAAACATCGAGCGAAAGCCTGGGAAAGAGATAGATTGTCTTTTTTTCCAGGAACAGAATCCTTCAACGCTTACTTGTCGAGCGAGAAAAGTCATGGAAGAACGATTGACCCATGCATAATTTGCAGCTGCACACATTCCTTTAAGATAATCTTGTCCTTCAGGAGATTGAATCAGAGCACAAGCAAGTTGCCGATCATTAGTTTGAATTTGATCACGCTTCATGGCTTTTTCCATAGCCACAAGAGCATCTACCGAATACTTCAATGAATTTGCATTGGTGAAACATATTCGTCCTTACCGGTAGCTACTTGATGGCCAAGACCACGACTTCCACAATGAATCATTACACATACTTGCCCTTTAAAATCAATACCCATTTTACCAGCAGCAAATCGATCGTAGATTTCGTCAACAACTTGAATCTCAGCATAATGATTACCAGCTCCTAGTGTTCCTAACTGAACCAATGTACACAAACATAAAATCCTATAGTCCAATCTTTCGATGATCTTTACCTGTGGTAAACCACGTTTCTTAGCTCGTTGTGAAACTTTCGTTGGATCCGCTTGTAACATCCTTCCATATTCTTCACAATGCTCCTTATCTTCTGCCCACGAGTAACCTTCACGTAATGACCAATCCATACCCATCTCTAGTGCTTCTTCAAGATCCCTGAAGTTCATCAACAACTTATTAAATATTCACAAGAATTTGTTGAAAACCTTACTTGGCATTCATTGGTATCACACCTTTTGAACCAACACCGACAGGTATATGATCAAACATAGATTGTGCTAGTTGTTCTTTCATCGGTTGAACATCCTTCTCAGTAAGATTCGTTCGAAGAAGACGAACACCGCAATTGATATCAAAACCAACACCACCAGGCGACACGATTGCTTTCGGATCATTGTAATCGAATGCAGCCATATTACCAATGGCAAAACCATAACCAGAATGTACATCAGGTAAACCAACCGATTTCTGCAAGCCGAATAGGAATAGGTGCAGATGAATTGAAATAGAGAAAACTTACGCCAACGATACCAGGTAATGCTGCAACATTAGCGATTTGTTTCATACCGGGAAGAAAACCACCTATACCACCGAATTTCGATGCAGTTTCAAGTTCTTCAAACATCAATTTCTCCAAATGATTGTTAACATAGAAAACACCTTCAACCTATATGCAATTACATGGAATTTCAACGAAAGAGTATTTATACATCTTGATAGACATACATTCATATTCGGTACAAAACCTTTTTTTATACGCCAGCAGTGGCTATTAATTCGTTCGATATATTTTAGCTCTTCTTCATAGGTGCGCGGCATTGCTGATCGGAGTCGGAAATAGTCTGTATGGATAAAACGAAAGCAGTCTTTCGAAATGTATGCACTCAACTTCAACATTCATCCATAGTTTTTTCATAGGTTGCAACAACCAATTCTAAAAAGAGATGCTTTCGAAAGAGTGCGCTAGTTTGTAGCTGTGATTTCCTCAGCAGAAATTGGTTATTTATTATCAACGATTGAACGAAAAAAAAACACATGGTATAAAGACTAAAATATTTTATGTGAATAGGAGAGTAGAATTTCGTTTCGAAATGGCTGTTGTTGAATGATTAAATCATCTTGTTGTCGATTATGTTTCATGAATAAATTTTTTCTATTACAATTATTTAACATACAATAAAATGCAGATATTAAGTCGGTTTTGTCTATCGAAAGAACGGTTTTTTCCATTAAATTCACGCATAGTGTCGAAAATTTTATGGGTACTGTGGATGATTTGGTATATTCTGTTTGATATTCATCCGCCAGTTGATATTGAAGCTTCTTTGTATCGATTTTTGTCAAATTTCGATCACATTCGATTCGATCATAATGAACTGGACGAACGAAATCATATTCAAGAGGAGGAGGAGGATCATCATAATTCGGTGGATCATGTTCATCTTCGTCGTAGAATGGGTCGTCATCGGAGTTGTCATATGATCTCTGAAGATTATCATCAAAGATGAATTTGGAAAAATTATTCGAATGCATCAGATCAATCAACGGGCATGCTCGACGTGTCAATCGTAATTGATGTGTATGTTTAGGAATGGATAGATGCATTGTGTTTTGTTTTCGTTTCCTGATTATTGCTTTACTCAATGGATTGAGGTTCATAATGTCAGTTACTGATCGTTTGTCTTCGCCAGTGGGAAACTTTAATCTAAAAGTTCGTATTAGCTTACATGATGAGGATGGCTGCGAGTTGGTAAGTCGATTTTGTATGGTTGAAGTATTCTCACAAGTGGCAAGGGATGGCTTGACAATATTTGGAAGGAGATTGACGTATCTCCAGACATAAGGTCCAGCGAATAGTTTCAGTTTAGTTGCATCGAAATAAGTGTAATCTGATAGTTCAGTCTATGATAGAAGAAAAGGAAGGTCATCTGGTTAACAGAACTTTTTTAACACATACGTTTTCGCGAAGCAGATGAGGTACATGATCGACAAACGATATTTTATTCGGTACTAGTGTGACGTCCATTGATGGCATTGTCATTGGACATGTCTAAATGGCATTAAGCGATAATGGTCAATTAGAGAAACAGAAATCGCTTACATAAGTCGACTGCAATTCTTGACAGTAAAAACTCGTTGGTTCATCACGGAGGTCACTGAGTAAACTATGATCGTCTTCGATGTTTAGACTATCGACTATGGAACATTCGTCTATGGTTTCTATGTAAGATACAGTTGGCTCTTCATTGAAAGTGAACTCTCTCAATGTTTGCGATCCTGTTAAGAAAAAAGTGGAATTTTTTAAATGAAACACCAATCTATTTACCAATGATATGATTTTCTCTTTCGTCGTCTTTGATAGCTTCTCTCAAGGGGAGTAAATCGCAGGTAAATCGGACTGTTTCGTCTAATAAACGTTCATGACCAACATATTCCATATTCATTCGGCTGTTTAAATCAATAAAACCTTTAATCAAAGGGAAATCACTCGATGAATACATCGTATATGAAACCATATCTGCATAAATCGAATCGGATCCAACCCCGCCTGGCCATCGGCACATATTCGATGACTGTAATGGATGAAAATCGAATTCGAACGGAAGAGAAATTGTTGATAAATCTGATGCGAGATACGAATTTGCCTTTGTTTTACATTGCTGAACAGGCTTTTTCAGGTTTTTCAACCTTTCTGGATCATTCTGAATGGATTCATCGGTTTCTTCGTCATCCATTGGTTGAATACTTCCACTTAGCTTCTGTGTTTCATTATGCAATGCATCAACACGTAAACTGTAAATTTTCGCACTAGAAAGCAAAACGAAGTCATCGATGTTTGTTTAAAGTTTTTGTTGTCGAACCTTGTATCAATAATGGATCCGACTTTGACAAAGTTTGGTTCATGGCATGTCACTTTATCATCGAAAGCGACAAGTTCTAAAAGTTCAGGTAGCCGTTCGACTAATGGTATTTGAAATGCATTTCTGATATTGATTTTATTTTTAGTTGCTAATTCGATTGTTTTCTCGTATAGAGCCAGTAACTGCTTCGGTGTCGTCAGTTGTTCATCGATACCACTATCGATACTAATTGAAGTATCACTAAATGACAAACGCGATTGTCGTCGATCACAAAGAGATATTTCATTATCTGATGAGAAATTATTAGTAGTTAATGAGTAGCGATCGTTTAATGAACTAAACACAAGAGAAAATCTTCGTAGTGCACGGAAATTGGCAAAGTTCTAGTCTGATTTACCGTCGAGCGATTGGTAAACATGTCTCATCGTCATCGATCATTTTCTTTCTGAATCGTATCGGTTAAAGCTAAGAATAAGAATTCAAACATACACAGCGCTATCTTCGATGTTAAATTTCAACTTTGATAAATGGATTAGTCATTCGTTCTTTGAAACATCGATATGTCACTTTCTTTTTCTTTTAGAATTTCTGTCAAACAAGAAAACAATCCATTAATAGAGATGTTTTCATGTCGTTAGATTTTCAAATATAGTTAACAGCATTATTTTCTGTCCAAACTGTGAAGGTTATTCTTGTTTCTCTCTTTCAATTGACGTTCTCCGATTGGATGAAGCATTGTTCTTTTCGTTCATTGGTGAAAATAAATTGAACAGTATTTATTTTTCATTACATATTTGATCAGCATTTCTCTCCCTCTTCTTTCTATTCTTATTCACTCCATTAGCTGTTCAGAAAAGCACATAGTCAATTACGCATTCGTCTCGTTTTATTGACAAATCGTTCGATAATCTTCTCCGACTGTGTTCTTCTGGAATTTTGCAAATCAACCCGATCGAATGTGTAAGTAGAGAATTTTACTTCTGTTTTATCTGATACTCCACACATAGATCAATGAGAACCTTTTACTTCATAACTATCGAATAGCTGAGATCTTATCTGATGTGATCCGCATATTCTTCTGTGCGCTTACGATCAGTGCATATCGATATATTAAAGGAATGGTGGCGAATTTCTCACGACGAATGAAATATCTTATCACACGAAGAATACGAAGTGTTGTTTCATTTTGTGAAAAGCATTAAGAAAAACAAGTCTGCGACGTTTGCTATGTGTACACATAGATAATTGTTATTACATTCCGCATTTGAAAAAGTGACATAATTGTTGTTGAAAGATCGTATTAAGACGCCGAACACACGAACGGATCATCTTCACTTGACTTGCAATTTTTTGTTTTGTTTTCATGGATCAAAATAAAAGACGCGTTCGTATTTGTCAGCTTGCTCAAAACGATGAGCTCGAAACAGTCGATGTCAGATTTAACATGATGATGTAATTCAAAGAAGTGAAAGCTGTGAAATGATGCGGTAGCTTGAAAGTAAATTAGGAACGATCAGCAGGTGTTATCTATGTAATAGAAAATTTGTCACCTTGTGAGAACATAATCGAATGATGACAATAAGGTTTGTGCCACTTCAATTAGGTCAATTAAGAATTGTTGCTGGCAACATTTCATTTTAGAGATCAACATTTTTTTTCGAAATTTAGATAACGTAACTTCTCTAATGGCAACGTCGCCAACAGCGAATAACAATCGTCGTCATGTATCTGTGTGTTCGGTATGTGGGGATAAAGCAAGTGGAAAACATTATGGAGTCATGAGTTGTGATGGTTGTCGAGGATTTTTTAAGCGAAGTGTTCGGTATGTTATGCGTACGTTTTGATAAGTCAGTTAGACAACGTGTTCTTTTTAGGCGAAAGATCGAATACAAATGTAAAGGTGATTCAACTTGTCAAGTCGACGTCAATCGACGAAATCAATGTCAAGCATGTCGATTCCAACGGTGTTTAGCAATGAAAATGAAACCTAGTGGTGAGAATTGTTGACATCTGCATGATTGAGTCGATATAGATTTATTTACTCATCATCATACTTAAGCAGAGAAAAAGCTTTTTGAAGTATATTTAATAGTAATCAAAAACGTGCTTGTCTTCTCTTACTAGCTGTCCAAAATGAACGAGCACCACGTCATGGAAACAAACGACCATTGCCTCTTCCTATTACAGCTCCGCCTTCTTCTCGTTCTCTTCCACTTCCACGAATGCAGTGTTGGACGCCACCAACATCTGCAGGGTATGTAAACGAGTCACCACAAGTGACAATACCATTTGGCTTTCGAAATTTATCAATTAATAAGTAAGTTTGTTTTCAATTTCTCTGTGTTATTGTCTGAAGTAAGGAGATATTTTCGTTGGCAAAAAAGTGTCACGTATAGTCCGAAGTACATTGAGTAATTTGACTTTCTTTCCGAATAGTACGTCATCGCCTATCTGGTCACGCATGTTGTTTCATCAGCAACCACAACAACTGCATTCGTCATTGAACTCAACACAGCAAACCATTTCCGATGCTTCACATACAGATGAAACGCATTCGTCACTTGGTATGAGTATTTGTTTGAGATAGAAACTCGTCAGATGATGATTTACTTTTCAGATGTCTCGAACGAAGAAACAATGTGTGAAACAGCTTCTTTTATTTTACTTGAATCAATTCGATGGCTATATTCTGTACCTTCATTTAAAGATCTAAATGAATCAGATCAGTATTGTCTGATTGAACAATCTTGGTCAACACTTTTTCTCTTGACATCGGCAGAAATGAAGAGATTTATTGATCAATGTAAGACAAACAAACAAAAATTTCGTTTATATTCTTCCATACATATCATTCTAGATGAAAATGATTCATTCGATGATGATAGTCAATATTTACTATTCCAATCCATAGTCAAGGATTTAGCATCACATTCAATCGATCAAACAGAATATACATTATTAAAACTGTTCATTGTCTTCAGTTCTCGTAAGTTTACTGATTGGTTTTCGAATAACAAAAACGAACTGAGTATTGTATTTTCAGCCAGCAATAGAGAACTACATGGTCAATACGAAATCGATAAATATCGAAAGGATGCATTAGTTATGTTAAATGAATACAACAGAAATTCGAAGTACAGACGATTGGCTGAACTTCTCTCGCTTCTGTCAAAGATTCAGGAAATTATGCCGACAATTTCTTTGGACAAACTCTTCTTCCGACATCTGATTCATCGAATTTCAATGCAGAATCTATTGCACAATATTATTCGTCATATTCAAACACTCTGCCGTTGACGAGATCAAAAGACTGTCGGTGCATGAAACTATTTTTTTTTTAAATTCGTCTCCTGATTGTACTGCTTATTTTTGCTTGTCGAATAAATGTTCTTGTATTTTACTAGAAATACAAGTATTCAGTTATGTTCGCGAATAAGAAACGCACACGTTTTGTTGTCAAATCAGATAGTTTGTCATAGAGTTTCTTTAATCTCATTGTTAGTTTTTCTAGGGTTAGCATATGAGTGCGTATGGGTGCGCAAAAACAAAATTTATTTAGTAATTAATGAAAACTACGGCGAATCAAACATAGTTTTATATTGAGTAACCCATAGAAAGACATTTCGTTCTATATAGATTATTCTATTTGTTGACAGAGAATGATTGTGTATGACGAGAAAAAAGTGCTTCAACAATAGCCGAATTCTGCGAGACGAATAAGGAGGTTTTCAAAAATAAATAAATATATATATATGAGACTACGAAGAGAAAAAGAGTACATTCTTCTGACACACCGCAACTGCTCATATTCTCGTATACACAAATGAAGGGAGCTTTCTTGATTTTCGTCTTCATACAATCTGTTCTTGGTAGTCATTTCCGTGGAGGAATGATTAGCTGGCGGCCAGCATCCAATGCCGCATCGGTCATAGGCACGAAAAGAACCATCATTGTCGATCAGAGATATGCTTGGTCGAGAAGTGCTCCGGCTAGTTCGTGTACAAGCTCAACGATTACAACGTATGGCTTAATTGGGGAAAACGCAGTATCCGTTTTGACATGTGAATCACTCGCATCTACATGTAGTGCCGTCGGATATTCGGATATATCCACATATGTTCCATGTACTGATTACAATACAGTTTTAGGTATGTCATTCGGTCATAGTTCGACAGCAGTCAATTTGACTGTTAAAGCAACGGGTGTCGTCATTGGATATGTGGTGGGTGCTGCGTGGTTAACTTTACAAATGGGTGCTGGTGGTTGGAGTATGATGGTATATATTAACATGCAACCACGTTCCGACAATGGTATAATCAATAGCTCGCCAACGTCAAACATACCACCGATTATATACGTCCCTGCGGGTGCAAATGAAACCAAAATTAACATTCCCATGAGTGATGCTGATGGAGATGATATAGAATGTCGTTTTGCAAAGGCATCTAATAATCTAGGTGGGACCACTGTTAATGAATGTGATGCTGTTTGCGAAACAGCAGCATTACCATCATCGACACAACTGATATCGGGCAATAATACCTGTACACTTATTGTCAAACTGCCATCGATCGGTTACTATGCCGTAGCTATTCAAATCGAAGATTTTCTTGCCAATACATCAACATTATTAAGTTCCGTTCCATTACATTTTCTCATTCTCACTTATGATGCATCGAATCCAACGTCCAGTTGTACGCAGAAGCCGATCATAACGAGTATTCCACCTGATTTCCCAATACCAGACGATACAATAACCATTCAAGTAGGTGTTCTCTATCAAGCAATGGTCATTGCAAAAACTGGCTGTGAAAATGATACAGATGGGACTATATCAAATTTCATAACGACAAGCCCGCCTGGGATGTTAAAAACTAATCTTCCGTTCTCTCTCGGATCAGCAGGATTCGCTATTAATCTCACTTGGACACCTAGCAATGATCAACTTGGTCAAACATACACATTTTGTGCAGTAGCAGTTGACAGTAACTACTATTCATCAGATCAATACTGTTTTAATATTCGTATTGGACCAAAAACGACCACCACGACAACGACAACATCAACATCGACTACTACGAGTAGCTCAACATCATCCAGCTCTACCTCAACTACTTCTACAACCAGCACAACTAGTACATCAGCAACGACATCGACTACATCAACAACATCCACTACCGGTAAATATCACTATTGATAATTTCAGTCAAAGACTTTTTCTGTAATTGCTTTCAGCAACAACTGCACCACCATACAATCCGATACCACTGATACTTGGCCTAGGTCTTGGACTTGGACTACCGTTATTACTCTTGCTTACTTGCCTAGCGTTAACTTATCTTTGCCGATGGTGTCCAGGCCCTCTACGGTTCGTCTTTCAATAATTTGTCTATAGAATATACCTAATCTAAACTGAATTACGTCATTTAGATCACTTCTTCGTCATCGATTCGGAAATCGTGAAGATATGTACTGTTTATATTGTCGGCGACCCGTTCATTTCGATGATCCTCGTAAATCAAATGAAATGAAATGTCGAACTCCAGAAACCGCACGTTGCTATCGAAATTTATATGTGAACAACAGCGAAAGAGTAGCTTCAAGTGAATATCACGCACAGTACATAAGAATACAGCCTGATCAATCGTCAAATCAGTCAATGACAGTCTTTTCGGATAATGAGTCATTCCTACTAAATGATTCATTCCTTTCGAGATCAATAACACCCTTAGCCAGCTCGAAAACAACGACATTTACATCGTTTAATTCACCTTCAACGAATAGTCTACCCGCGGTGAATATTTCAAGTGAATTAACTTCGAACACTTCGGTACTGGTTGATGCATATTCGAGACAAAATCAGCGAATATAAATATCGACATTTCTACGTACTTATTTTTAACTGTAACTGTTTTTTTAATACGAGTTCATTTATTAAGCATCATTCGGTTCTTGACAGTAGCAAGTCAATGTCAAGATAAGAAGATTACAGATTTATCTTCTCACGTTGTTGGTTTAGAGCATAAAAAGATTACCATCGGTGGATTTTTTGCTTCAAATTTTGTTTCGCATTACACCACAGTTTATAGGACTTTTCAATTCAGCCAACAGAAATAGATGGTGAACACTGATTCATTCATTAGGCACGTATAATGTTACGTAAAGAGTTTTCAAATACATAGAACAGTACGACAACGCGCATATAACAGCAACGTTGCTACAATTATGTCATCACTAATTGTGATTAGTCCTACATGTTCTGCACTATTGATGCATTCATAGATAGGTCGAGAATGAATTACAAGATGAGACGTTTCTTTTAACTTTTGTAAATACACGTCGAGTCGATGGGTTTTCTTCGAAGACGATTAGTATCATGCTTTAATTGTCACGAATTATCATTGTGTATGGTTCTTATCAAATCTGACAGCGCTTTGAACTTTTGATGCAAACAAGATAAGAATCTGCGAATCGTTTTTAAAATCACATCGAACGTTCGTTCTTCTCAGCTGTAATAGATTTTGACAATATACAATTCCGTTGCCGATGATTCAATTATTTACCTTCGAAATTGAATGACAAATAAGAAAGAAACGTTTATATATTTTTTCAAATAGAACATCAATTAAATTGAATTCTTATGCGATGTTAAAAAAACAAAACAAGAGATTCGAGATTTATGCATTCAGCAAAGAAGTATAAGCTTTTGTTGTTAGTCTTTTCTTTTTTAAATGAAAACAAAACGATAAGATATAGCGATATTGAACGAAGCGAGAGAGAAAAACGTACACATACGAGAGAGTAAAACAAAACTGTTTTTCTTTTCTTTCACATCAAGCAATCACAGGCATACACAGCAAAGATCATACGTATTTAGCCTATTCAAATGAGATTTTGAGTATGATGAAAAGACGAGGCAAGAAGGAGAGAAATATAAACAAATCATTCTTCCATTGTTTTTCGATTTTCGAGCTAACCCATACTTCCAGGCATTTGAGTTTGTGCTGTAGGAGGTGGATACATGCTCGGAGCACTAATATTCGAAAAATTGTTTTGTTGTTGTGGTTGTTGTTGTGCTGTGCGACTCTTGAAGAATCGTGTTTCCTTGTAAACGAACCAAATACAACAAGCCCAAAGGAAAAAGTTTAAAAATCCAAATATAACTGAAACAATAATGTTAGCATAAGTGCCAGCTGAAACGAAAATTGATGCATTTTTCATGAGAGATGGCAACAAAGAACTTACATTGAACTTGTGTACATCCTAAAGAACTACAAGTGGAAAATTGTTGTACAACATTATCGTATGAAGTCGCGCTACGGATATTTGTGACGCCTTGTGCCCATGCTGAGCTACCAGCAATCCAAAAAATTGTCCAAATGACGGTAATAACTAAATCAATGATTGGGAAACGCTCGTCATTTCGGTATTGACGGTCCATGAGGACGTACATGACGGCAAATGCAAGGGATAATAACATGGCTGTAACACCAGTGAAAACGAAGAATTCCGCAGATGGTTTTATATCATTTGAAACCGACAAATTTATCGAAGAATTACCTATAGTAATAACAGAATTTTGTAAGTTATAAGGATAGGACCAGTCGGCTTCTGCATTGCTTGTGTTGGAAAATTGAATTATCAACGAGGAACTACCATTACATGCAGTAGCAAAAGCGAAGATAGCAAAAATGAACTGAAGTAGCCGAATGAGGCCACGTGGCTCTGAAATCGAGAAATACCGTCGTTTGTCAAGGTTATCAGATTGAGAACGGATGAACTGGCAAACTCACCTTTGAAGATTCCGAAGTAAGCTGTCATTGTATTTACTGAGATTTTTGATTGCAAAGAATCCATTCAGAAAACGACGTAATACAGTAGCGAATCTAGATTAAAAAAAAATGCATAAGGGATTTTGTATGTCATCCGTAGATAATACTGAGGCCAGAAAATGGATTCCTCTGCTAGTAATCCTCATTCTTTCTTCCTTTCTCATACAAATGGTCGATCACTCGCACCATATGTTATCAGACTAGCACATATCTATCGACGTAAACGTGTAAGTATTTCTTTTCTGATATATACCTTCATCTTGGATTGTGCGTTGACGACAATAATATTCCGTTCGATGGCTGAATGAATGAGTGAAAGGCACTGACTATTCTCTTGGTTTTTTTCTTTTCTTTCTCTGTCTTTTTCTCTTTTTTCCTTATGACTCAGCAATGCAGGTGTAAAGAGTAAGAGAAATTTCTCTTCAGCAAATATTTGCCGACGGGTGTAGACCAGAATAGAGCATCAAGAACACAGAAAAGAAGCTTAAAAGCGAGCGAAAGAGATGTAAAACGACAAGAGTATCGTATTCTTTCGAATAAAATTCTTTTTTCTCACTTGAAGAGAAGAAAAGAAAGAAAAAGCAACTTATACGATGTAGAAAAAAAAAGAAAAAAGGACAAGAACGACGAGTTTTATTTCAAATGTTTGATAATATTAAAGCAAATTGCTTTCTGTGTAATTATTTTTTATAGGCATGATCTTCATCTCCAACAGAGGAAACGATTCGAATATATTCGTTTCGAAAAGAAAGGAAAAGAGCGATTGGTGCATGCGGACGTCTTAAGCTGAAAAATCATCTGTTCAGATATAGCCTCCCTAATGATATGTTCTTATTTGATAACGTGTCCACCAATTGTTAATAGAATTGAAGTAAATCTTGCTTTTTGACATTGTTTGTCTGGCATATATTGATCGACAATGAAGTGTCACTGTAAATATTGTTTACCACGGTTTTTCTGTGAAACAAAGGCGGAAAACGATTTTTGTTACTATCGACATTCGATTCATACCAATGAGAGTAGTGATTTCGGCTGCGTTCAAGCAGATGTTGCTCGATTTTTAGTGAGTTAACATTCATTGAATCGAAAGAATTCGACATTTCTTCAATTCAGTGCAATACAAGCGATGCAAATTATCGAACAGAATGCTGTTCGTCATTCTTTTGCAATATTAATTATCGATTAGTAAATGGTTCAATTACATGTAAGTTTTCCATGTTGAATCTAATGAGAGTTGTCATGAAGTTCCTGAGAAAGGAGGGTACTAATGAAGGAATCTGCGAGATGTGAAAGGATTCCAACATGAAACTTAATCTCGTCTTTCTTGTTCAAATTAGCGTCAAGTATGAAATCGATAACGACAGAGCACGATCACACGAATCGATTACATACTACCATTGTGGTAGGCGCACTTGTCGTTATTGCAGTGTTCGTTTTGATGATGTACTATGCATACAAACGAAGGTAAATTGATGATGTTTGTCCAAACGAAATTGATACATTTCGATTCTTTCAGATTTCAATCTCTCTGGTCGTCATCAGTGAAATCGAATACAATTATTGATGATGAAAACAGCTCAGAAGTACATGTGAAACATCGCAAGTTGCCACTGTCATTTCCAGTTGATCGCCGTTCTGATACAATATCGTGGAATTCGGAATCATCTGAGCATCACGATCAGACGACTGTTCTTGTAAAATTGATTAATATGAAATCATTTTATTTGAAAACGTTCCTGTTCACCTAGGAAACACGGCGTATGAACAAGGAAATAACTTTTCTTGGACAACTCGGTCAAGGACGTCATGCGCGTGTACGTCTTGGTCTCATTGGCCAACAGTATCGTGCTATTAAAATGTATGAAAGTAGATTCCAAAATGAATTCGAACGTGAACGAGCCATTTTTCAAACTGATCTTATTCAACACCCGAACATTCTCGGTATTTGATATTACTCGACATCTTTCTTAACTTCTCTCTCAACACTTCTTTCATTTTATTTTTCAGCGTTTTTCGGCGCAGATCTTTTCGCTAAAGGCGCTGACACCTGCCATATGTTAATCTTCGAATATCATCCAAACGGTACACTTCACGACGTTCTCAACGGAAATAAAAGCGACCAAATGATCACGATAGAACAATTATTGCAATATTCCATATCATTATGCGATGGTCTTGCTCATCTACACGCAATCAAATATGGAACACATGGTAATAATCGATATTGATTTAAGCTGTTCTGATCCGACAAGTCTATTCATTTAGATGTTTTTAAGCCACAGATGGCGCATTGTGATATCAAAAGCTCAAATATTCTAGTTAAATCGAACGGTGACTGTTGCTTGTCAGATTTTAGTCTAGCAGTTCGTTGTCATCCGTATGTATTCTCATCTTCTGCTTGGATTTAGTTGAGGTGACTTTACCTGCTTTTCCTTTAGACACACGAATGAGATTCAAGGCGGTGGTATCGCACGTCTCTCTCATCGTGTAGGCACAAAACTCTACATGCCACCTGAACTTCTCGATAAAAATGTTATTTTCAATTTTGACCGCATTAGTGCATATCAACAAGGTGATATGTACTCATTAGCACTTGTTCTTTGGGAAATTGGAAACTGTTGCTGTTCAATAATGCACATACGACCGTATGAAAATCAATTACCATGTAGTTTCAATGTTGATCATTTAATTCAACTTGTGTGCGTCGAACAAAAACGTCCATTGAGCTGTATTACTACATCTGATCCGGTAAGAATACTTGGTCATCGTAGAATCGAATGTCATCTGTTGTTTTGCTTTCGATTAGATTCTCATATCATTTTTCAATTTGTTAAATTTCTATTGGTGTCAAGATCCATGTGCACGTCAATCTGCTGCGAATCTTCAAGATCAACTTCGACAATTACGTCAAATGAATACTAGTTCCTAGTCTGATAGATATGCTTATTTTTGTGCTTGTCTCAGTTGTCAGTCAGATATAAATATGATTCATATGCTTTTCTATTTTGTATGATTTCATTGCAAATAAAATAAATATAAAACTTTCGTATCGTGAATCCCAACGCATCATTCGAAAGGAATGCAAAACCATCGCCGAATCAACTTTTTGCTAATTCATTCTGAAACAGCCGAATGGCTTTGTCGACGTTCGTTGATTTCAACAAACTGATGCATTGAGTACCATCTACATACGCAATCACGTGATCGAATAAGACCAGTCCGATGATCTTTGATATTGTTACCGATATGACAATTTTACCATGCAAGAAGAGTATTCGGCAATTTTCAGCTGTCAACCTTTCGACAATTACGAAATTCATGCGCTTGTTGAATTACTTTGTTGAAGCTCAATGTGTAGTTCAGCATTAATTTTGCCAGTTTATCAAACGGCACGTAGATTGTAAATTAGTTCACTGATGACTACTGAAAGGATAATTTTATTCTTCTTTTATCGCAAAAAAAAACATGTTTCTATATTTATCTAGAAAACAGATGCAATAAACACAGATACTCGATCCGTTATAAACTATATTTGCGTTTCATAACTATGCATCTAATAGTGTTTTTAACTGACACTTCTAGATTTCGAATCCATTTATGTCTCAGTCATACATATATAATGTTTGACAGATTTATATGGCTACTGAGCGCAGGATATTTATGCGATTGCGATAGTGATTAGTAAGGTGCACCTTCAATAGCTACTATTTCATTAGTAATTAATAATACAAGATAACTAAACCAAAAGACGGGTAGTGTAGGTAATATTCAGTGAATCGAGTACGCAACAACATCGCTTTCTCGATGACACTACTACTTAGGTGCAAGAGTATTTTAGTAAAAGATGAGCGAGTACGTCATCAAGATATAGGAAAAAGATTTTATTGATCATGTCAAACGTGCGCAATATCGGTTCTTTCAAGTTCCATTCCGCATGTCAGAAACAATTTGAGTACTCAATTCACTGATGTTTTGGAAGATCTCCTGCTCTACTGGAATTCCTCTGTATGACATGCGGTAGGTGTACCCAGACGTTCGTGCTATCTCTACCGGTTTATAATTATAATATTTATCACGTAAAGTCTTTTTAATTGATCGTCTGGAGTCCAAAGAGCTCGATTACATAACAATCAACTTTGCTTGTCGCATGTGTTCTAGTTTTTTTTTGTTTTTTTATTTTCACATGCCGCCTTGGTGTGCGTTGATTAGAGAGAAAGAGAAATCTTTTCTTTTTTTTTCCTTTCCTTTCATATTAGTTGCTCGAAAGTAAGAAAATGGGCGTAGACGAGAAGAGACTAAACCGATGAAAAAAGAATACTAATGCTTTTCTCCATATATGAATCAGCTATCATGTTGTTGACCGTCCTTGCTTACAATAGCGTCGAATGATTTTGTTTTTCTCGTTATTATTCCACGAATCAATGAAAGTGTTTGACTTTTCCTTCGTAGATGAATGTGACTTTTGATAATCGATTAAGTCGAAGTTTGGAGTTGTATCCGTCGGTAATTATTGAAGATTCTATCGATGAATGTTTAGTCGACCCGAATCTAAGTGTATCGGCGATGATCGACCAGGTAAGAGGCGTTGTCTGCGAAGTCTGCTCTAGTTATTCTGCTGTTTAGTACAATATTTCGACGAAAAATGATGTCGAGAAAAAGTTGACTAAAAAGGATTTGACTTGTGCTGTATGTGGTGCCCAAGCCTTTGGCTATAATTTTGATCAGATTTCATGTGAAAGTTGTAAAGGTATGATAATCTTGTTCAAGAAAAATATTTTCTATAGAAATTTTCTCTTTCAGCTTTCTTTCGACGCAATGCCTTGAAGAATTTGGTAAACTAATTTGTTTTTCCTATTTTTTTTTTGTACTTTTATCCCTTTATTTAGAAAGATTTACAATGTCGATTTTCTGGTACTTGTGATGTAACAGCTGAAACGCGTCGGCACTGCTCTCACTGTCGGATTAAGAAATGTTTTGCAGTAGGTATGTGATAGATGTATGATGACTCATCTCACAAAGAAAAAAGTGCGTTCGTGTACGGGTGAAAGGTCATACGCACCTGATACAAAGAAAAAAAGAAAAACGCTCGATGTTAAAATCAAATTCAATAAATTAGATGAACATTAGAAAGTAAACATTCGTTTAGGTATGAGAAAAGAATGGATACGAAGTGAAGAAGAAAAACAAAAACGGCTCGGTCAATTGAAACACACTCGTCGTCATAAGTTATCTCTGGAACATATTAAAGTTTGTACAGTACAAATCCATTCGCTATTCCAAACTATTTTTCAACTTTTAAGAAGACACCTGTACCTCAGTCTATATCTCCATACTATTCGTCAAATTTGACTTCACTCGATCGCGTTCGTCTGAATAATATTACGCATTGTTATGATCAATTCAGTCGTGAACCAAGTACATTGTGCATGTCTCGTCCTCCCGAAAGCCTCAAATTGCGTATCCATGAATTCTACGACCGAAAACGACCAGTCTTTGTCAACCTGATCAACTATTTTAAGCATTTACCGGAATTACAAGCGCTTCACGTTGATGATCAAGTTCACTTAATCAAGCAAAATCTTCGTTTGATCGGTCCTTTAAACTATGCGCTTATCAGAACATATAAGACTCAACATGTCGTTCCAAAAATTGAAACAGTCGGTTGTGTAAATAACGCTAATATTCATTGCATGTATCGTTCCCTGGCAGATATGTTTATGGGATTCACTAAATATGATCCAATAATTATAAAGATATTTCTTATTATTTTATTCTTTACATCCGATGCTGTCACAACAACATCGATCTTTCAAATCACACGATACGAGCAATCGAAGCGTATTAAAGACATCCAATATTCATATTTAGAATTGCTATGGCTGTACATGCTGGAGAAATTCGGCGAACGAGATGCAATAATTTTATTTACGAAGATGATAACGAAATACTTACATATCCAAGTAGTCGTTGATCAGATTGATTCCATTGTTCGAATGAATAGCGATGTGGATAAAATCGATTCGTTGATGCAGACCATCTTGCAGTTGACCTGATTGTGAACGAGAGTCATCCGCCAAGAAGTAATCTCATCTGTATTATAGAATCTGATTTTCTTATTTTAATTAGGCAAATAAATACATGTGCACATAATTAATTTTCGTTCGAGTATTGTTATGTGTGTTAAAAGAGGAAATCTGTCTAATATTGCGTGACAATAGCGCTTACAGGTAGGAGAGAAAGAAGGAAACATTCCGAGATGTTTCTCACGATTATGAAGCAACTATAGAGAAGAAAACGTCAATTGTGAATACTTGAATCAAATAGAGCAATTTTTCTATCTCCACTGGATCGTATCGAAAGAGTAATATGACTGTAATTTGGTAATTAGTCTGTTTTGATGACACATGATGAATTGTATTACGAAAACATAGCGAGTTACCGATGAACTCGTTACTATGTTGTGCAAAATAACAGAGTATTAACTTCTGTTATTCAATCCAATTACCGTCAGTATGTTCATTGCGGATTATGACTTTCTCGATAGAAGATGTTTTGCGTAATAAATCTTCTTTGGTTCTGATGTGTTGAATGATTTATGATCTGTTTTGTTTTCTTCCAACAAGGACATGAACTGATTGAAAAATTGAATATTATCGAAGTCATCACATACGCACACTTACTGTGATGCTTGATATAGTGAGAAGGCGGTCCAGACAGCAACAGCTAAGGTGACAATCAATCAACATATGAGAAGATCTATATGTACATTGAAGTGAGACCACTCAAGATAGAAATCACATCAAACATAATATTTGCTAAATAGGTGTCAACGACAAGGTCTGTACCATTGCGAATACACGCGAAAACAATCATCAAGAACATATATGTATCTTTAGGCAATTTTGAATTTTCGACTGATAAGTTCAGAGAGTTGGTTATCATTTCGATTAATTTTCGATATGTGAATGCACGCGTAGAAACGACAGAATCATCCAGTTGATCAGAGAAGAGAAAGAGAGAAAGAGAAAGTAAAGCAGCAATGAAAACGGACAAAAGTATTGTCTTTATAAGAATGAAAGAGAGAGAGGGAGAGAAAGAATGTATATATAGCACAGAACATATCCGCACGTCTTTGTATTCGCCACTTGACTCATTTATTTTCTAGCACCATTTGTGTACTTTTGAATTATTACAATCAATTTCATCATGCACGTCTAATTTTTATTAGCTCTTTACTGTGAAAGCAGACATCGATATCGAGTATTGAAGAAAAAAAACACACACACGCATCGTAAGTTTTCTTTTTCGTACATTCAAACATGATTCTGCGCGAATAGATCACGATCAAGATAATCAATTTCTAGTAAGTGTATTGCCTTCTGGACAAACCGTCGATGTTCAAAGACAATATCATCCACATGTTCTTCTCCTGATAGACAGATTCCCGCTGCGTTCGATGTGCCGCCCAATGTAAACTTATGCAACATTTTCATTAATCGAGATTAGTTATAATATTTTTTGCCTCTCTCTCATCTCAATCGTATACACATGTTTTGCATGCATTCAATCATCTTGAAATAAGTCTAGAAAAATTCTTGTATTAAATAGCATGGGGATGTAGCTCACTTGGTAGAGCGCTCGCTTTGCATGCGAGAGGCACCGGGATCGATGCCCGGCATCTCCAGTTAACTTTCTATTTTTGCTTTCTCCACTCTACTGTGACGTGCAGGTATCTCTTCTTTTCGTTCCCATTTCGAGCTGAAGACAATTTGATCTTTCGTTTTGAACAGTACCATTAACGCACGGAATCAAATTGAACAAAAGAATAAAGAGAGAGAGAGAAAGAAAAATATCAATTGAATCACCTTGAATGACAACTTTCTTTGTTCATATAAAGATCAACTTTCATACGCTTGCAAGGATTTCTAATGAAGAAGATCATATTCATATTCACAAAGTTTTTTTTTCACATTTGTTTTGAGTTGAGACTAAGTTCGAAGCCTGCGGCAGTCCTCAAGCCAATTAACACCATTGTCATTTATCTGATTTATTTTTGTCGTCGAACATTACTTGTCACCGAAACGGGTTATTAGCGGGCTGAACTGTCGTCTGTCTCGAGTTAATAATTAAGTACGAAAGTTTTGCTTTTTCACCCTTCGTAAGTTAATTGACTTGGACAGTGAGATGATATATGCGTTGTACGGAGTAAATTAGTTACCGTATGCTGAATGTCGATGTGTTTAATGATCACCTTCGTCTTTCAATAGAAATTTATCACTTCTCAAGGGACAGAGAAAGTATGCACATCATTTTAATCTTTATGCTGATCGAGAATAGTTGTTACGTTAGGTATCCTTCCAATGGACGACAACAAAAACACTTCGATCGGATTAGGTTTGTATCATAATACGACCCCGATGATCATTAGCATGCTGCCACCTTGACCAGAGATATTCTTATGTAAATATAGACGCAGTATGTGTGAGCCAGAACATATTTGATTATGATAAACATGTTGAATGCATTATTTTCGAAATAGTTTGTTCACTTGTCTTTGTTACATTGATCAGCGCGTATAGATGATAACGTTCGATTCTGTCTGATAATGTAAACAATCAATACATCATTTCGAATTTATTATCTCTTTTTTCTCTTCGATGTGTGTTTGTCTTCATTAATCATCAAATCATCCTTTATTATGTCTATTCCATTGCTTTGTTTTTTCGTTTTCAGGTTAACCATGTTATCAAGTATTTTGATTGTCCTCTTTTTATTCGATTGCTGTCAAACGGACTTGGTAGAAAATAGAAGAGAATATGGCTTACGTACGTTTTTTGTTGTATGTTATGCAGGAAAAGAGATTTTGTTGATTCTCCTAGGATTCAAACAAGCAATTGTCGATGCCATGAAGAGAATCGATGATCTTGCGATCAGTAAGTATGAATTGAGTTCGTTCGATGGAATCATTTTTGCCATTCCTATCTTTCTTAACGACAGATTGTCCACCTACTAGTTTTTTCTACAATGGTTCGTGTTATTTTTATCTACCACCGAAACAATTGGACACTCTGAATGGAATCGGCTTGGGCGATGTATCCGTTGACGAAGGTACGAAAAGAGTTCGAGTGGTGCGATTGAAAAATATGGGAGTAAACGAATGATGTGATATAGAAATAGTTGCCAACGAGAGTGTACATTTAACGATGGTCAGTCTTTGTTTTAGCTTCTGCACGGTGTCGTTTCTTCCGTGCAAAACTTTGGGATATCGAAACAGTGAATGAATTTGATTATGTTATTGGACGGATCTACAATCAAATGCAATCATTTGATAGTCCTCGTATTGCTGTTAATTTCACACAGGGAAAACATGGTAGGTTCAATTTCTTGCCAGTTTGGCACGCTATACTGGTTTTGGGATTGTAGTATTGAAACTTTACAAGAGAATGGGCGAGCAGCAGTTTTTAACAGTTGGTAACATTAATGATTATTCATTGATTTATAAATCACTACCTGATGTACCGGCAGCAAATACATGTTTGATTATTGATATTAGCAAAGCAACTCGACGAGTATCTTTAGAAGAGAAGTTTCGTTTAGAACGTCGAAGTAATCACTATGTTTGTAAAATGAGTAAGATTAGATTGATTTTCTAGTCAGTTTATTATATCTGATTTTCTTTCTAGAAATCAATAGTTGCTATAATAATACACGCTGTGGACGGCATGGAACATGCAAAAATTTGATCGTTAAATACACATGCATATGCAATTTTATGTACACAGGAGAGTTCTGCGATAAATGTAAGTAACACAACTAGTCATGTGGCGCCATCTACACCGACAACGTTATATACATAAATTAATTAATTACGATAGGATCTGAAACGATTCGTTTTAATCACTTCTCTGGGAAATGGTGTCAGTTCTGATCGGCATAGTGGTACTATCTGTAGTCACCCTTTTGCAGAATAATAATCATCTTGACGAAAAAGGAAGATGTTCTACATTCGAAATAAATTCATCGTCCATTGATCACTTTGATGAGCCACATGTCCTAAACAACTATAAGCGATGTACCGGTCACTTTCATTTATCGTTCATTTATCTGTCTTATCGTTTCGATCCTGAATTCATGCGAATAACCATGGTTCATCAATCGTGAATGTACACATGTAGAGATCATGATTGAAAAACAAGGAAGTTGTCTGTTCAATTGAGAGGAATGAATCATTGAGACATACATAGGTAAAGCTACGTATAGACAAAGCGAATCTAGTTTAATGCATATGACAAAAGGTAACGTCATCCATTATTCAAAAAAGATAATAATGGATTGTCTGTTTCGTGTTGTTCGAATGATCATCATGAACTTTTATCCGTTCGAATTTCGACATTTGACAAATTGAAAAAAGATGACTCGCTTTTTTCGCTAACATCATATTTATAACGTTTACTTTCTTCTTTTTTTTTCTTGTTTCTAGTGAGCAGTTACAGTGTTCAGTCGATTATTGGCTTGATATTTATCTGTTTAGCAATCTTAATTCTCTTCTTTCATTCGATTTTCGATGGTTCACATCGATTGAAAGATACAAAACAAGACCTCGCTCATAGAAAAAAGTAAGTGAGAACAAACGACCATCCACATCAAAGATTTCTCTTCATTTGCAAATATCAATTAGCCATTCAATCTCATCCTCAAGTCTAATGTTTTCTCTCTCTCTCCCCCTATCAAGTAGAGATAAATGAACCGTTTATTATTATATAAAAAAAAACACGAGAAAACAAAGAAGAAAGAAGACATTCGTTTGTTGATATGTTCAATGATGATGGATCACACTGCGGTGTCCCCCAATTAAAAGTAGGGCGGCGAGACACATTGAGAGTAGATGATATCATTATTTTCGAATTTACTATTGCTTATAAGGATAGGAGACAATTATAGAGGAAAGATAGTGAAACCGGGATTGAGCTTGCATCATTTTCATTGACTATCTATTGATCAAAATTCAATGTGAATGATGCATCAACTATATAACACTGGACTCGTTTGTTATACAACGTTTTTTTTATTTTCTCTTTCATTCGACTGGACGATGATGATGATGATAAATGCGATCATGAGAGTATAGACGAACGCACACTATCTACGCACATTTATCTTTCGTGAGCATCTGTTGCAATGACAAAAAAGGGAGAAAACGAATATATCTTACACAACTCGTCGTTTTGAACGTAACTTTTTCTTTTGCTTTCCTTTCATTTACATCATATATGTAACGAAAAGAACAATCAACCATGAACTTCATTTCCTTCCTGTTCATTTTAGTTTGATGTCGACTGTCAATACTCATCGTTTGTCGCGAGACAAATTCTACGCAATTCCGAATGTTTCGTCCGACCAATTGATTCTTGAAGATGGCATGAAGAATCCCGCTTTTGCCAATGATCACGACTCGTCGAATATTGCCATTCATTTACCACATACCGTTGTTCATCTTCGTCGCTACTCATCAGTTTCATCGACAACAACTTCATCATCTACGTCAACAGCGATCTTCTTTCGTCATACATTCTTCTACTACTTTTGGCGTTTTTTGATCGGTTTTCTGACGGTTTTGTTCGCAACATTCTGCTGTCATACTATCTATGTGTTTAAAGTTCGACATTTGCATGCGTACAAACAACTACACAATATTACCGACGAAGAGACATCACGCGTGTGTCGCCTATTTCAATCAAGCTTAAGTTTATACTACAAAATTCCGGCGAACTATATTTCTATGGGCTTGTTAGTTCTGCTAATTCTCAATCAATTCTTCTTCGAGAATTTTATATCGAGAAAAAATTCAACAGCAAAAACGTTTTGGCAACATTTTTCAATACCTATGATATTTAATTCTCATTCTCATATCTATCGTTTTCAATCGGCAGCTGTCTTTGGTATCATCGCATTGGATATTCTTCACATCTTCGATGAATATATTGTCCATGGTGCAAAACATTTTCGAAATGGTCCCTTAATCGATCTGATAATTCAATTTGGTATGGGTTTAATGTTAGGTTTACGATATTTTCCAATCCTCGCGATCTTTGAAAAGGAAAATATTCAAGAGAATCGACTGGAAAATCGCATTTCATTCGCACTAGCAAGCGTTTATCTCTGGTGCGAAATGATTCTCAAAGCTACGGCTGACATCAATTGTGCTTTCGATAAAACCAAACTATCAACCATCAAGAATACATTGGAAAAATTAAACGAAATCGGTATCAACGTGAAACAGTATTTCATCGAACAATTAGGTCCCAATCGAACCGACGCGTTGAACGAAACATATCAAGATGCGCGTACTTGGTACCATACTAAAATTGACAGTCTAACAGCCAATCTGACTTACGATGATACATACGAAGTGGAAAATGAGTTAATGCGTTTAAATTACTCATTAGAATTGAATAAACAAAGTGTCCTGTACAATGTCTTGCGCAATGCACCGTATTATTATTTTATTAGTTATTTAGCGGTTTGCTTAACCATTCTTTTTCTCAAATCACTCTTTGTTAAGGATCACAAGATGTTTTCCTATAAATCTCTTGCTCGTTGGAAGTATGTTAAATACAATCTATTGAAAACATCGAAATTCATCCATTCGGATAATCAACATGAGTATTCACGATTATTTCGCTGTTTAAATTCGATCATCTTCGTTCTTAAGCGGCATATTTACACCATCCGTCCATATTTTCGCTACTCAAAATTAATCGTCTGTATCTATGTCAGTGCATTTACACTCGTCTATTACTTCACATTCTGGATCCAAGATCATACTTACATTTTAACGAAGAAGTTACTACTGTTTCTGAATTTGATTCTATGTGGTCTAGCCGATCTATCGAAAGATTTATGTTACAATCTAAGTTTAACACGCATCAACCGAGATATAAGGTATATTTGTTTATCAACAGCTGGTATTACATTCATTCAATTATTCTTTGGTTTGAAACATTATCAAACACAAATGTGCAACGCATATCGAGGAATATTCGAAGATATACCTCAGGCGAAACAAATCTCATCAGTAACCATTGTCAGTCGCTCCGTCCATTATCCAGGCAGATTTATGGGTATGTGTAGGAGAAAGCGAAATAGTCGAATGAACTTTCTCTTTTATGTTTAGGCTCAATGATTTACAGTTACGGTTTCTTGTTTCTATTTGTTTCGATCTTTTATATACTTGGCCGTTACATATTCTTTTCGTTGATTGTTATGGAATTCGCTTCGAAGATCTTTTTGCCAATGCTGATTTTCTTCTTATTTCAATTATTGTTCGTTCGTCTGCTATGTAAATTATTATTTGTTCAAAATCGTCATTTACTCGCATTGAGAAATCTTCGCTTGTACTATACATTCTCATATTTTAGTTTCTTTTTCGATTGCTTTCTTGGTTTTATTATGTGTTTATCGCGCATATCCAAAGGCTTCCTATGTACATTAGTCTTTTTCGCACGATTAGACTATTCAGCATACGGCCGAGGTTTAGAAATGTATGATACATCCTATGCGTCATACGTGAGCTTCTTTCATATTGAAAGAAATCAACGACATCCTGTTTTGAATGTTTTCATCGATGTTGTTCGACAACGACTGATTGACATACGAAAATTCAAATTGCGGCTATCGAAGGAACGAGTAAATGAAACATACGACAAGGAAAGATCGGCACAATTGGCACGATTTCGCTGGGCATTGGCGTATACATTGATTCACAATGAACAACTGAAACGTTTTCGAAAGCATCGATTACGTACGACAAAAACGATACAATCGAGAACATTGGAACGCATATTTGATAAAATTGGACTGTCGCAGACACTACCACGAAAATATTGAACAAATAAAAATCTCCGGTGATTGTTCTGTATTCTTTCTTCTTTTTCCTCTGTATGTGTTTAGTATTGGATCATATGAATAATAAACAAGAGAACAACTAGGTAGATGATCGACTCAATTAGTTATTGATGAAGTTGATAGATTAGATTTCAAAATGTCCGACAGCTATTTATGTAATAGATATGAATGATAGTTGAAATGAGAATGGATCTGGTTACATCAGATGAACATGTAACTGTCCATCATCAGCGTTATTGCCTTCAAAACCTTGATGCATTGTCCTCGTTTTCTTACCTTGATTATTAAATGAAGATAGCCTTTGGTCATCTTTGAATGACCTTTGCACAGGAAACATCAAATAGCATATCGTTTGTCTTGGTCTTTGTCTTTACTGTATTCGATAGCTGAAATCTATTCAGGTCATGCTTGATTGCCCTGTTTCTTTTTCTCTTTCTTTCTTTCTTTCTTTTCTTTCTATGTCTATGAGTTCATTCGATCACAAGTAATCAAACGACGAACTCATTTTGACCAACTCCTCTTGTGTAATCGATATGGGAAAGCAAATGACATCATTTTATTTATTTATTTTCGTTCTGATTCAGTCGATTTCGTCTCAAAATATCGTGGATTTAATTCACACAATAAGAAATAAGCATCCGGATGACAATCAATCAAAAGATGGTTTAAGTACGTTGGGTTTTGTTTTTCTCGAAAAATTCTCTTTTACAATGATAAATCTCATTTAGTGTCAGAATTTCGTGATGTTATACAAACAATTCAAGATCATCTGTATAACACAAGTATTCCAAGTAGGAACATTTGAAATCAAGATGTTTATTTCGAGTTTTCAAGTAGTTTGTCTTCCTGGTTTTCGGTCTTACGGTGGTTCGTGTTACTTTCTTTCGCCCCTGAAATCAAATTGGTTAGCCGCATCGAATATTTGTAAGCTAAAACGAAATTCCTCGTTGGTTTCGTTCGAGACCAACGAAGAATTAGACTTTGTCGTCGATAAATTATTGAAACCATCAGCTGTCAATCAAGCTTATATCGGTTTATATGCAAGTGATGTAGGCCAATGGCGCTGGCTTGATGGACGGACGTTTTGGGACTCGATCTTCGGACCGTTATTCTATGTCTACCGGCCGGAAACCTCACATTGTGGGTTGGTTAATTTAGTTAATCGAAGTCAAGTGGCGATCGAAGGAAGAGATTGCATCAATGATGAAGCACGATTTGTCTGTAAATATGGTAAGAAACAGTACAATGGTTTTGACATCGTCAATGGAAGAATTTTCTATCAGATAACTTAACTCGATTGGAAATACGTGACTAGTTGAACGAGAATTTGAATCATTGATTATTTTGTGTATGTGTGTTTTTTATAGTTCAAAATCATTGTTATGCAAAAAATGTGTGTGGTCGCGGTGGCGAATGCATGAATTTTGGTTTATCATACCGCTGTCGATGTAACTTCTTATACCGTGGCCATAAATGTGATAAATGTATGTCTACATTGATTTACCATTGACTTCGTGTTTATATAAGACATTCTTCTTCGTATTTTAGTAAGTTCAAAAGCAATACAATCAATCATTGCGTTGGCTCTCATATTCCTAATGTGCATAGCTGGATGCTGCTTGAAATTCGATGTGTATTCTCTATGTCAATTCAAGAGAAAGTATGTACCAATGATTGTCAAAAACAAAAGCTGATCATGACTGTTGCATTTAGATCTCATTCAACGGATGAATTCTCCAATGAACATCAGAACATTTTACCATAGAAATTTCGTCCACGTTTACATGTATATTTGTCTAATAGTTTTACTGATAAGAGAAACCTTTCAGCGAATCATTAGTTGAAGCCATACACATATTGTAATCAGTCTTTCTCTGTCAAATTTTAATAAAAGTCAAAACATTATACATCATTCCAAATGGTGTGATTTCTCTCGAGTCAGGCAAAACACACGACGTGATATAAACACAACATCAGTGAGCACTGTCTAAACACATTTGACCAATATTTACGTGTGATATTTAGTCAAGCTATGTCGAAGCATCTTTAGTCTAGAAATAGAAATGCAGAAATATATTATTGTTATTATTATCATTTTTCCAGATATATCGACAAGAACAACATATTTGCATAAACATGTTTTCTTCTATGACATTGTCCTCTTTATTCATAAAGACTTTTGACGTAGGTTTTTGTTATCACGTACCCTCATCGGCCAGTCGACGGAGAAGAAAAAAGAAACAAAATTATGCGAAAGAGAATTACAGTTGATCAATTAGATATGTTTTCCTAACACTTATCATTTAATTAATAGCAGATTCGATCATTGTCTATCGACACAATTTCTCCTCCTGCTGGATATTTTGTTCTCTTCTGGTAGTTATATAAATATTGTAATTGACTTGGAATCCAGTGCTCATTATTATCTTTCGTCAGGTCAACAAATGATGTCAAAACAACAGAGGAATATTTGTTTTTCTTCGAGTTAATTACAAAAAATTCCTCTCCAAGAATGAAAAGAAAGAGAGGGAAAGAAGGAAACATTCGCTTACAAGAGAAAATCCATTGACTAGATGTGTTTTTTTAAAGGGTAACAGTGAACAGGAAAAAGAAAAAGAGAGAAAAAACGTTTTTTTCCTGTTACAGTCCGATGTTGTCAACAGCATAAACGTGTTCAATTTATTTGAAGTAGATGAATTTTATATTTGTTCCCACCTCTTTTTTTTCCTTCATCTTCCCTCTAGAAACAAGTAGGTAGAAAGTCAGAGATTTGTTTTTGTTTGCGTACAAGTTGAGACATAAAAAGCTGGTGTTAATCTCTTCGAAGTCGATCAGTTATACAATGTTTTTCTCTCATTTATCATTCATGTCCTGAACGGTTTGGAATGAAGCGAGACGAAACATAGCCGAGATTTATTAAACATTTATTCGCTCATGTGCATGCAGTAAGTGAAAAAACTTTCAATGATGACAATGTGTAATCGATCAAACGGCAGAAATGTGGAGAAGAAGCAGAAAGAAAGAAAGACAGAATTGATGCGAAAGAAGATTATTGCTCGACTGGAATAATATATTAATGGGTGATGGCGTCTTAAGAGAAGTATTTCGATGGATAACAACATGACAGAACAAAACAAGAGAGAAAACCGAATATAGAGCAATAGACAGAGGATGATGACAGACAGGAGAGAGAGAGAGAGACATGGCGACATCCACAAGTCTACAATGAGTATGCAGAAAAAAAATACACGGATATTTTTCTTTGCTTAGACGAATACCAGGGTACTATGGGTAATTAGTAAACGAATGTTGGCCCTGAAAATATATTTTTTTCTTGAGGAGAGATAATAGACTGTTTTCTTTTTGGTCTCCTTCTCGAAGAGCGATTACTGAAGTAATCACATTTGATACAGAGAATATATCAGCTTTTTTTTTCAATCTTATTTTTGACAGAAATCTACAACACAAGGTCGATACGTCTTTCTTGCTTTTCTTCTAGACCAGTATACATATATAGTTGCGGCGAAGAAACAATAAATGGGTAACAGTTCGTCCTCTTCATCGTCAAGTGCTGCGATGGCTAATTCAAGTCAAGCGCAGATTGAGGCGCAGATCAGTACATATCTTGACCATGCAAAACAAGATTTCGAAGGGAGATATTCATCGCCGGCGAAACAAACCGCTAAACTAGAGGATTTTCATTTGCAACGAACGGTCGGAACAGGTTCATTTGGCCGGGTCATGATTGCTCAGCATGGCAGTCAAACGTTAGCTTTGAAAATCATGGAAAAAACAACGATCGTTAAATTGAAACAAGTGGAACATACCTTGTCGGAAAAGAAAATTCTACAAGCGATTAAATTTCCATTTCTAGTCAATTTAGTTTATTCATTCAAAGATAATTCACATCTTTATATTGCCTTAGAGTTTGCCAGTGGCGGAGAGATGTTCACTCATCTTCGGTGAGTACACAGACTGATTGAATTATTTGATTTTCGGATTACTCGCTCGAGTAGAAGTGTTGGCAAATACTCCGAAGATCAAACACGATTTTATGCAGCTCAAGTCACCTTGGCCTTTGAATATTTACATTTTCTTAGTATGTCGAAATGTTTGCCTTTCTTATCAATAATGTTGAACCCTTTGTTCATTTAGATATCATTTACCGAGATTTGAAACCTGAAAATATCCTCTTCTCTGCTGATGGATATTTGAAAATCACCGATTTTGGCTTTGCTAAAGTAGTGCGTGATCGAACGTATACATTATGCGGAACGCCCGAGGTACATAGAAGAGAACTCGCATGCCAAGAATAGCAATCTGATATTTTTGTTTTTCATAAACTAGATGGAGAACTTTTCTGCGCATGAATACATTGATAATTATCATAGTAAATGTATTTTTCGTCGTTCGAGAGCTATTAATAGGTTTCCTCGCGAAAAAATTTGGTTTCATAAAAACGTCTCGAGATTGTCGATTACCGTTTATCGACGCTCGAGTGTTTCAACGCCGAAAGAACTCGCCGGTTTTGTCTATTGACATTGCAATTTGGAGCCAGTGACCTTTGCTCTACTAGAACTCTTGTTTGTCTCTGATTTCTAATTGGATAGCATTCGTCAATCGATAGGAATCATTCTCAGATCGTATACAAATTGTCAAATAACATCCTAACCTTTGTCTGCTTTTAGTATATCGCTCCCGAGATAATTCTTTCACGTGGTTACAATAAAAGTGTTGATTATTGGGCCCTAGGCATTCTAATATATGAAATGGCTGCCGTAAGATATTTTCAAACGATTTGTCGTCTTCAAAAACTTGTGTTTTCCTCTCTTTTCAATCTTAGGGCTTCCCACCATTCTACGCCGATCAACCTATTCAAATCTACGAAAAAATTGTACAAGGAAAATACAAATTTCCATCGCATTTCTCGAATGAATTAAAAGATATTATTCGTAATTTACTTCAAATCGATCTAACCAAACGTTTCGGCAATTTGAAAAACGGTACGAAAGATATTAAATATCATAAATGGTTCGCAACAACCAATTGGATAGCAATATTTGAAAAGCGTGTCAAGCCATCGCATGTACCTAAACCAGATAAAGACCATTACGAGAAATATGATGAAAAACCAATGTCCAATGCGGCGTCCGAACTATACGCACATGAATTTGAAAGTTTTTAACTAGGGAAAGAAAAGAGAAATATGTTTTGCTAGTTTGTATATTGTCCGTGTTGCTATATTGCTTCAAATTGTCAAGAAGACCGGAAAAGAAAGAGGTTTTTTCTTGCTTTCTGCTTTGCTCAAACTCTCATGTGATCGAATCGGTACAATTTTGTTTATTACATTGATGTATTTGAAACGTACGAACTTGTCTCGGAAGGGAGTAAGACGCGCACAGCTGTTTGAAACTACTATCATTATTGAATTGAGCCAGCAAGGATGTTGTGCTTGTTATAAATCAGTTATCATTGAAATTGTATAGAAACGGAAATAAGCTACTTAAACACTAGTGAATGTCTTTCTAACTATAAAGCTGAGCAAGTGTAATTCATTTCGGAAATGAAAGAAGATCAACCGTGGGATTTGCAAAAGTCGTTCGAAGTTCTACAGGTGAGAGTATTCAAATCCGTGAGTTGAGTAACTATAAATGTTTATTTCATTTGCACACATACACATATCTGTATCTGTGATCGAAACTGGTACTAAGTACGAATAAATACATTTAACAAATTAGTCTGTCGTTTGAAGAGGTTTGTAATGTTGAATTCCTTGAAGGAAAATATCTTTCACAGATTGTATGGTTTCATTGTATAATTTCAAATCTTCCTCTTTGGCATCTAGCATGGATTGAAGTGCATTTTTAAGTGCATCATTTTCTTCCGTTTTCAATGCTAAACGCGTTTCAAGTTCTTCAATAGTTTCATGATTTTCTCCCTGTGTCGATGCTGATTTCGGTAACGAAACGGCTCCACGTCCTTTGACTAGAAAAAATTAGTAGTCTGCTTAGGTTCTTCGTGCGAAAAAAAATTACGATTTACCTGTTCGATTTTTGACATTGTTCAGATCGAGTTTGACTTTTTCCATATCTTTCTCTAAACGAACATTCATTCGACGATATTCGATTATTTTGTTTTCTTGTTCGACATGCTGAGCATTGGCAGTATCGAGACGTTTTTGCAGCGTCTGGACGAACTCCACCAACCGATTTCGTTCGACTTCGAGCGCGGCATTAATACACTGAAGATCTTTATCATCCTACAGACAACCTTCATTGACGATGTTTATTTATCATATGTCTATCTTACCGAAGACCGTTTAAAAGTCGCTGCACTTGCTGGCCGACTATTCGATGCTGTGCTAAATCCACTTTTTTCTAGACGGTTGATTACTGGATCGACTGAGGTCGATTGCTTTAGAGCGGTCAGTTGCACTGGTGGAAGTGTGACACTTTGAATAGGTGTGTGTCGGCTAGTGATGTTCACAAATGGCAGAGAGTCATTCAGTTTAGTTTGAGATAAGCGGGGTTCACTGCGTTCTCTTTCATACTGAAATTTGCATATACATATTGGCAAAGCTGTAGACTCGAAGAAAATCGACGTACTTTGATTCGATTTTCATCTAAATGCATTTCTAACTCTCTGATTCGCATTTCTTTTTGATCTAATATGAGCTGCAGTTGTTTGATCATATTCGCTTGTTTCATCTGATCTAATTTAGTCGTCTGTTCGAGCTCGGTACTTATTTTAGATTTGACCTCGAGATCTTTTTGCAAATGATCATGTGTGGATTTTAGCTGTTGCTGTTGTTTCAGTAGAACTTCAATAAGTTCATCATCGTGTTTACTTTTTTCTAACGAAGTCTTCAATTGTTCACGGAGCGTTTTCACTTCATTGGCAAGAACTGTATTGCGACTTTTGGATTGATCGAATTTGTCTTTTAATGTTTGATGTTCGGCTCGTAAAACCTGAAGTTCTTGTTTTTGTTGCTCGTATGAATCTTTACGTTCACGTTCAATCCGACGAATTTCATCACGATGACGTTGCTGAGCATTCGACATAGTTTCATCATACTTGGATGCTAATAAACTCCCCTCCCAGTCGTCAATCATGCCGGAACTCGTACCACTATTTGTACGCGCTTTTAGTTCATTGACCTGTAATATAGAATGGAGTCTTCTACGATTGAACTCATCGGTGAACAGCGTACTTTTTCTTGTAAAGCGATAATCTGCTGTTGGCGACCACGCCAGTTGCTCGTGCCGTTGAGAATGTTTTGAATATTGACAGTATCGCCGACTTCCTTTTCTAAAGCCTGAAAATAATGGAAAAGTCTACTTATTTGCTGCCAATCAATGGTACCTTTTGCGTTTTCTTTAGTTCTTGTTTAGTAATATCAAGTTGCGATTTTGCCTCGGTATGACGTGCTTGAAGATCTTTGAATTTATCACGTAATTCTTTCAATTCTTTTTCCGTTTTGTTCTGCACAAACACGAAAATAATATTCATGTTTTTCGATGATTTTCAGCTTACCTCATCAGCGGAAATCGCAGGATGTGGTCCATCAGTCTGAACATTAGTGGTCTAATGAAAATTAACCATTTACGTGAGGAAATACTCTTTGTTCCTACATACCAGAGATTCAAGTTCTTTGCATTTGATTGATAACTTTTTCAACTTTGCTCTTTCGCTTTCTAACTCTGCTGATAGTTCTCGATTCTTTTTGGATAGCTCAACTACTTTGGTAGCTATAGCGTCACCACCGACAGTGTTCGGACCTAAGTGGAAAGATTCGCGTCAATTAAATCGATGAATCATACTAAAAACCACTTACTTTACCTGTGAATGCTTGTCGTTCCTCTTCTTGTATCCGACGTAAATAATCGATTTCATAATCTTTTTCTGCGAGAAGTTTGCGAAGACGACCATTTTCGTCACGCAATTCCTACAAATATTCAATCTTCGAAGATATATCAATTCAGCTATAAGCATTTACTCGAAGTTGTTCACTTTGGTTTTCTTGTTGAACAGCAATGATAGATGCGATGACATTATTACTCTAAATACGAACATTCTCTTGTAATAAATCTCAGCAAAAGCATGTCACTGACTTCTTCAATAGGGAATGGACCTGAGTCAACTTCGTAATTAATTGAATCACTAGTCTAAAGAATATCGAATTTGATACACAAAGACAAGACCAGCTAAGTCACACTTCAAACTTACATCCACAGTGGAGACTTTCTTCTTTGTTGACTTCTCTTGTAGTTGATGAAGTCGTTCCTTTTGCTGTCGTTGTAAAGCAGAGAACTGTTCCCGAACAGTGTCACCACTACTCATCCTATAGTCTCTATTTAATTTCTATTTGTAAGGTAACGTCAATTGACACAATACACATGTATAGCCTGCATAGCTATCCATTAGTTCTCCTTCTCGCTATAGAAACACTCTCTTTCATGACGAGTGCATTATATGCTCGTCTTTCGACACATCAATGCACTTTGCATCGAACACGACAAAGCCTGGATCAATCATTAGCTAATGTGTAACATACAATGATCGTTTTCTGATCTGATTTGTTGTATGAACGTAAGGGAACCTTATAGAAAGATATGATAAATAATACAACAGCTTTTCAAGATGCAGTGGCACGTGCGAGAGAAATAGCACAGAAATTAACGGCATCAGCGCCAAATACACCAGGAGCACCATCATTGAAACGGCCGCTTAACGAAGATGATTTATCAAATAAGCGCTCGTCTATAACTTCGCCGACACAATCGGCTGATGTCTCATCACCGGTCCTACGAGCACAATTAATAGCACAACAAATAAACTCGCAACTAGGCGTAAAATCATCCGGTGATCCATCATTGCCATTATCAAATCAGCTAACATTTCAGGAAGATTACAAGATTCCCGACAAATTCGTTGGTTTAATTATTGGTAAAGGTGGCGAACAGATCATTCGATTACAAGCAGAAAGTGGCTGTAAAGTGCAGATATGTCAAACGCGCCCAGAACCAGTACCAGGAGGTCCAAATCCACCTGATCGTGTAGCGAACTTGTCCGGTACGCGAGAAGCTATCGAACGTGCGAGACGAATTATGGATGAGATCATATCGAAAGGAAGAATGGCTGAAGGCGGATCAAGCGGTGTAAATCCATATTCGTTAGGTGGAACCAGTGTCAAAACTATCGATGTTATGTTACCATCGTGTAAATGTGGGTTGGTTATTGGTAAAGGTGGAGAAAATATTCGACGAGTATCGGTAAATAATCTAAAAAAAAGAGCTTATCTTAAAAGAATATCGAAGTTGATTCTTTTTCTTAGGAAGAGTTTGGTATTAAAATGTTTGTTGGACAAGAAACAAGCGACATTGACGGTATTGAGCACAAACCATTGAAAATCACCGGAGAAGCAGATAAAGTCGAAGTAACTAGAAAAAAATTATGTGTTTCGAGTCATATTGGTGTTTCTCTTTGCTCTGTAGCGCGCCAAACAATATGTACTTGAGACATTATTGAAATCGGGCGGTGGTTCATTTCCAAATCGTTCGGGTTCAAATTCGAATGGTTCGGGTTCGTTCAATGAGTATGGTTCACGAGTAATAATTGATTTAACGTCATGTATATGAAAAAGTATGCGAACGAATCGTGTTTTAGAATGGTGGTGCGCCATCGAGCGGCCCATGCAATGAAGCAACCTATCACACGCCTCACGATAGAGCGGGCATAGTTATTGGCAAAGGTAGGCTAAAGGAATGAATTTTGTTGAAACTATTTCAAATATACCTAGGCGGTGAAAGTATCAAAGAGATCAATCGAAAATCGGGAGCTTTTGTTGAACTTGACAAAACATATATACCTCCGATCGGAAATTCATTGGATCGTCTATTCAGACTACGTGGTACACCAGAACAGATCGCGTCAGCACAGCAATTAATGTATGAAAAAATTGCCAATAGTCCTGGTGGCGCCGGTGACTTGTTGACACCGCTCCAATTTCAACAACAATTCAATCTTCCATTGATCGGGTCATCTCATACTGATGCATGGAGTGGTAGCACTGATCCTTATGCAACTGATGCGACTGGAGCAGCTGGTACTGATCCATACAGTCTATGGGCAAGTGCTTACGGGCAATGGGCTCAAGGTACAATAAAGATTTCATTGTTGATGAAAGAATTGAACCTTGTTCTACTTGTGTTACAGCTAATCCTTATGATACCAGTGGAACAGACGGCAAATCATCCTCAACAGATGCTTCGGCAATGGCTCAGATGGATCCAGCATGGTTAGCTTATTATCAATCGATGAGCTATTACAGCATGATGCAAGCAGGAATGACGGGTACGACTTCGTCTGGTGTATCGACAACTACGACAACAACGGCAACGGATTCGACGGCAACAGGCAATAGTAGTTCAACTACATCTGGTAAGTCTATCGTTTTCGACAAGTAGCCACTATTCGATTCACAACTGTACTTGTAACCATTAACTTTACTACAGGCCAACCTGATTATAGTCAACAATGGATTGAATATTATCGTTCAATTGGACAAAATGATGTTGCTGATCAAATTATGCAACAGATGAAAAGCGCGGTATGGTGTTTCACACATGAACTTCATTGAATTGCGCCGTTTTCTAGTCTGCTTCAGGTACATCCAATGTGTCGTCCGAGAACTCATCCACAACTTATCCACATGCAAATGGGGTTGATGCAACAGCTACAAATGGTAACAACTCATCAACTGCGTCTTCTTCTTAAGGTAAACAAAAAGTAATATCTTCTTCGCCCATAGATCGTTCTTTAAGTCATGTAGCACACGATTTATCTCTTTTCTCACTGTTATTTGTAGGCATGCTTGAACAACAAAAGAATATGCGATTGTGTACTAATGCTATTGATGTGTTTTCCATAGAAAACAAATATGATTATTTTTTGTTTGTTTACAAACACTACAATTACAAAGTTCCTTTTGTTATGTCTCAACAACTGTTATTTGTATTTGTTCACTTCTTTCTCATTCTCGTCAAAATTTATTTGTATAATTGTGTACATACATTCTACTGGTTCCAGTCGCAGACTATGAATTGCTCATTTTAACGTGATTCTACACGTCTCAATGATGCTTTTCTTTAAGACATTAACGGTAAGCAGATTTTTAGTGCGAATGTTTAGTTGAGTGGATTCAGTCATTGGAAACAAAGAACGTGAGTTCGAGTCTGCCCATGTGAACTATTATGGTCATCATTATATAAGTCAAAGATGAATTGGAAGGGCCGACTGATGCTCATACTGAACGACAAATTTCCATAATAACTGAGACTTATGTGATGTTTGACTGAACAAAGTTCATTCAGAAAAACAAATCTTGCCATTTTTGACTATCATTGAAAATCGAATGTCTGGGAGAATCCATTACAATCCTATATTGCTGATTACAAAGTGATACATAGGAAACGCAATAGTATTTAAGAACTGCACTGATTGACAATTCGAATCATTCTTATCATCGATAACGTCTGAGAAAACCACGAAAGGGTGTCTAAGAAGGTCTTTTTGAATGATATTTCATTCGATGAGAATTCAGATTCAACCATTGATTACAAGAGCCTTTTAAAAATATGAATCGAAAGAGTTACGGTTGGATGACTCGGAAGAAAAAAACTCAGCGCAAAAGATCTGTTATGAAAGCTATTTTGAAACCATTGTTGCACAATAAATAGGCTACACATGTTCAAATCATATTAAAAATCAATACAATCATTCATCAATTTCAAAACGATCATGGTGATATAGCAAATCATTGTCTATTTTGTCCTCTCTCTTGAGTATAAATCCATAACCGAGATATAAACCACAAGTATATCTTCTTTCTTTGTCTCGGTTGATCTCTAACGATATATATATATATATATATATAAACGATACGAATAGCTCAATAAGTATTGTTGATTTCGTCAAATATGCACTGTAAAATCTTGACTATAAATCTTGCTGTACTCATCGTCGTGTGCAATGGTCGATTTGTCGAAGAAACCAAGTCACATGATCTTCTTGAGACTATCAAACATGACAGTCTTGCCATTAGTAAAAAGTCGGTGAATATCGCGCGTGACCGTGCTTTAGAAATTCTTCGTGATTATTACCTTTCTGCTGATCATGGTAATGAACTTGATAGATACATCCAAGCTCGTCGTTCTCTCACTGACATTTTCGACGATCTTGTTTCGAACAAACCGAAACGTATTGCTGATGACATTAGAGAATTCCTACGAGATTTCGACGAACGGAAAGAAATGGAGTTTGACAGAGAGTAAGTCTTAGTGAATTTGTTCTATATCGTGTTCACAAGTATGTTTTTCTATTTGTAGAGATCGTGTCGGTAGTTAATGATCGTTCAGAGTGGATAACAATTGATGAACTCATATTTAGATAGATCATTTTTTAGTTAACTTACTTTTTTTGTGACATTTTCAATGTTTATTTATGAATTTCTATAAAGTCGAGTATTTAGGAGTAAACAAAATTATCATTTGCATCTAGAAAATGTAAACCTATGAGTATCGATTGCATTTACTAGTGCTTGCCGCACTGATGTGGATATTGTAAGCAATATACCAATGTAGAGGCACAGCCGGTCTTTTCATTGGTGCATAAATTGATGAGTTCATCGTATAAAGCCAAAATGAAAAGAATGAATGAGTGCACATATCATATTGTTCTACTAGGTCAAACAAAAGTAAACACTTTTTCGTGAATGACTCTTTGCATCTAAACGGCGACTTTCTTTTCGAAAAGATCCGTTCGTTATAAAACTCTGGAACTGATGTATTTAATACATAAAGTTTTTGAATTCTAGTCGAATGAACCATGTTCATCTGGGCAGAAGATGTACCGATTCATTCATCATTACAATAGTATCGAATGAACTTATAGGTGCTTTTATTAATGAGGATCATAAGAGAAATTTTCTCTTTTTTTTGTCCTCTAAAGACAATTATCTGCATCCTTTCTGATGCTATATTTATCTAAAGAACGAAAACAATGCCGTACAGTCATCGAGTATAAAGCAGCTGAGAGAATGTTGAAATTACTCGTGAGTTTGCTTGAGGAAGGCGACTTGTACTTTCTTACTTTCCTTTCTAGATAATTCATTCAATTTCATGACGAACATAACCGATACAGCAGCTCGGGATTTGACCGCCCGACTGCCAACAACTGTCATTCCTTTACATTATCAACTATATAAAGATGTCAGTCAATTAGAACAATATGTTTTTCAAGGAATTGTAGATATAGATGTTAAAGTAAACTGACAAACATTTTCACTCTGATTCGTGTTACGCGAGAATTCGTTTAGATCAATGCAATTGTACATGAAATTATTTTAAATAGTGTTGATTTAAATCTTACGAAAATTGAGTATCAATCCAGTGATACATCTTCTCCATTGAATGGATCTGTTGAATTGAATGATGAGGATGAATTAGCGATAATACGATTTGGCCAACCGATCAACGTAATTGAAAGATACTCGATCTCTGAAAAGGAAATCTTGATTACTTGAATTTAGCCCGGAAACGGTCGTTTACATATTGAATTCAATGGTATAATCGAAGATGAACTTCATGGCTTCTATCGAACGAAAGACAAGAACCAAATCGGTGCATGTACTCAATTCGAAGTAGGACCTACTTACGTCTAATTCGATTTTTAATACTTATCGTTAGCCTGCATACGCACGTCGTGCTTTCCCTTGTTTTGATGAGCCATCGTTTAAAGCCAAATTTACAATTAGTATTCGAGCACCAAAACACCTGACAACATTATGTAACATGGTATTGTAGGCGATGAAGATGTACTTTTCTACTGACAATTGATTCTTTTAGCCAGTAAAATCTCAGCAGCAACATGATAATAATACATGTACTTATGAGTTTGAAACAACGCCGACCATGTCGACATATTTGGTTGCATATGTCATTGGCGCTTATGATTATGTTGAAACGCGCGATTCAAACAATGTTCTAATTCGAGTTTATACGCCAGTTGGTAAAAAGGAACGCGGATTATTTGCATTACATGTTAGTCTTTCTCTGTATTTCAATTTTTGAACTTCGGAAACCTTTTCTGCTAGACAACAGCAAAGATCCTTCCGTTCTATGCAGAATATTTTGGTATTAAATATCCGTTAAGTAAAGTGGACATGATTGCTATTGCTGACTTTGGCTCCGGTAAGTCAGAAATCTATCTATTCACTTGAAATTAGTTGTTTATCTTTTTAGGTGCAATGGAAAATTGGGGGTATTTACCATCTTCGAATACTTGAGAGTCATTCGATTGATTTGTATCGTTTAGTTTAATCACATATCACGAAACGTATCTGTTAGTTGATGCTCAAAATACCACTCAAGAAACAAAACAAGATGTTGCTCTGATTGTTGCTCACGAACTGGCACATCAATGGTTTGGAAATTTAGTAGTAAGTCATCACCAATTCTCTTTAACTTTCTCAAAATACCATCTTTTCCAGACCATGGAATGGTGGAACGATCTTTGGCTTAATGAAGATAAGTATTCCTATAGTATTTGACAACTCTGATCGTTCAATCTTTTTTTCTACGCTTTGCAACTTGGATTCAGTTTCTTGCTGTTGATCATGTTTATCCTGAATACGATATTTGGACACAATTCGTATCAGATACTTTAGCATTGTGTATGATTCCTGATGCACTACATCACAGTCATCCGATTGAAATTGATATAAAGAAACCGAGTGAAATCAGTGAAATCTTCGACGATATAACTTATGAGAAAGGTATGATTACCCTTCGAACATACTTCTCTTACATGTCGAATGTTTCTGGTAGGCTCTAGTGTGATCCGTTTACTTCATGCATATATCGGTGATGAAGCATTTCGGACTGGTCTAGCAAACTATCTTGCTGAATATTCTTATAAGAATGCAATTACAGAAAATCTTTGGTCACATTTGTCACGAGCATCGAAACGACCACATCTATCTGATATTCTCTCAACATGGACCAAGCAAATGGGTTATCCGTTACTTACTGTACGTATCCGGAAGTATTTTGTTTCTGGCAATAGTCATTTCTTTTTCAATTATGAAGGTAACGCAAGAACAACGAGGAAACGATCGACTGTTGAAAATCGAGCAGACACGTTTTCTAGCTGATGGCTCAGCTGATGGTGCTGCCAGATGGAAAATTCCGATAAATATCTGTACGAAATCGAATCCAAACGAAAGTGTTCATCAATTGTTCATGAATGGAGAAGATCAACAAGAGTTTCTACTGGAAAAGGTGTCAGAAAGTGATTGGATTAAGTTGAATCTATTCAGGTGTGTTCATTCATCGAAAGACGAACGCTTTAAAAAAAATGCAATTACAACTTTAGTGTTGGTATCTATCGCGTGAACTATCCTCACTGTATGCTCGACTCGATCATTCCTGGTATTCAGGATCAATCTCTATCTCCTCAAGATCGCTTCAACATTCAAACTGATCTATACGCACTGGCGCGTTCGAATCACATGAATTATACTGATTATTTAAAATTACTTCGTCAAGCCTATCGACATGAAGACAATTTAACTGTTTGGAAATCGATCATCAAACAGCTGACTGATTTAAATTCAATCTTTGACTATGCATCGATTAACAACACAAAGAAACTTTTTCAAGCCTATATTTGCGATCTTCTATCGAATATCCATTCAAAACTACTATGGGATCCGTTGCCAAACGAAGGTTCGCAAGCTGCTATGCTTCGAGGCTTAGTCTTAACTCAAATGGGTATCAATGGGCACAATCGAACACGTGAAGAAGCACGCAAACGTTTCGAAAATCTGTTTACCACCAATCGACAAGCAATCAATCCAAACATTCGTTCCGCAGTCTATTTAACTGTGGCACAAACAGGAAATACGGACACATTCGAAAAACTGAAATCAGTACGATCTTGAAATCGATCATCGACTATGGTTTTTATCGAATTTGTTTTTAGTTGTATCGCGAAGCTGATACACAGGAAGAACGTATTCGTCTGTTAACTGCACTATGTCGTTTTGATGATCCAAATATTCAACGTCAAGCGCTTGAATATATTTGGGATGAAGTAGGAAACACAAAAGTCTGCCCGAACAAAACACTCCATCGTTTTGCTTTACCTAGAATGAAGTTCGTAAACAAGACCATGTTTCTGCTTGTGTATCTTTGGCTGGACATAATCGTCATGGTTGTGAAATCGCATGGAAGTATATACAAGAAAATTGGGACAAAATCGAAGATATCTATGGTGAAACAGACAATCATTTGATACATGTTGTTGAAGTAATACAATGATGTGTAGTGCTAAACGACAAGATTGCTTTCGTACTGTTCTAGCATGCGCCAAGCCATTTCGTTACGAAAGAACGCGCGGATGAAGTCGAAGTATAGACGATTGATTTCTCTTTTGTAATGCTAATATTCTCTTGCGTTGTTTTAGAAATTCTATGCTGATCATTCAAATCCCTTGTTGGACAGACCAATAAAAAAGGTTCTCGAACAGATCAAAATTCGCGGACTTGTTCTTGAACGACACGAACGTAGTATTAACGACTTTCTCAGTCTTTAAACAAGTCCAGTAATTATTACCATTTTGCTCTACTGCTTTGTCTTTTCTATTCATTTGAAATGCTCCTGATATCTTTTACAGATTGAAAAGAAAATAGAATACAAATCTTCATAGGATGATTAAGTTTAAGAAATTCAAACTGATCTGTATGTAATTATCTTTTGTCGGCATAATTGGGCCAATGTTGTAAGATAACAAAGCACCATAATCGTCAGAAACAATTTCTGATTTCATGCATCAATTAACTGGAAAAGGTTCATTCAAGGATTGTATATTCTCATGGCTGATTCAAGGGGAAACATGTGAATCTGCCGTCCTACAGCAGTATAACCGTTAAGTTTATATTTTCATTCAAAGCATAAAACAATAGACGTGAAACATTCAAATGACATTCGGTTTGTGGTTTTTTTTTTGTTTATATACATGAAGTGGTTTGTCTAGTGAACGTCAGTGTTGAGATTCTCGACATCGGCTGGTAATCGTGCGGGTTTCTTGCGAAACACGCTGAAGAATTTGGAAAAGACATTTTTCGAATTACGACTTTGTACTGTAGAGTTCTTTCGTACGCTTGCTTGCATCAATTGCTCGGCATCGAAGTCTGTTACATCGATTATACCGTTTGTAACTGTTAATCGACGTCTTTGTTCCAGACGTTTTTGTTCACTAAGACGTATTTGAGTTAACGTTCCAGCAAGCAAGTCATCGACTTTATCGTTGATAGCAGCCGATGTTTCAACAAATTTACAGTCATGTCGAAAGGCTGCAAGACGAGCAGCTAGAACACAAGAGAACATGAATTAATTAGTTCTTGCGAGAGATACTCGTGTTTACTTACTTTCTTTAGTAACAGCACGTTTACGTACAAGATCAGATTTATTACCAACGAGAATAATAGGCGTATGACGTTTTATTGCCGATGACGAATTATCCGTCTGTTCTTTTTCGCGAATATTCTTTATCAGTTGAATAGCTGTTTGAAACGATTGACGATCGGTTATTGAATACACGACGACATAGGCATCACCTGTAATACTGCATTTGATCTAAAACGTCAAACATGTCGACACAATTCGAAAGACGAAAAGAAAGTTTTCGTTCAACATACGAGATCGACATCGATATTGATGATATGTAAACGAGATTCAACTCCATCCAACATAATCGATACTGTATTATCGGGGTCATCTTCTACAACAAAAAAATCAAATCATGAGTTACACTGAAAAACCTTTTTCTTTTATATGAATAAATTAGCAAATCCCACGAGAATCAATCATTTAGAATATCGAAAACAGACATGATGCATCTGATTCAATAATATACTTGAGATCATGTCGAGCACATGAGATTATACAATTCAAATAGAGAGAGACTATTTTAGATGAGCCATTGCCTATTTTCGTCTAAATATAACTTTTCCAAAAAAAAGAGAAATATCTATCGGAAATTATTAGTGCCAATATCTAGTTGATCATTAATATGCTCGGAGATTATAATCTTCTTTCTCTTCTGCCTTTTTGCGACTTCTTCTCTTTTCTATCGAGCTTTCTAACCGTTAATAACCTCGAATGACAAAACGATATGTTGTCAGACATAACTATAGACTTTATTAGATTTACGCATGTTTAACAAATACAGTTTGATAGAAAATGACAGAGTGATTAACTGTGTGTGCATTTAACGAGAAAGAAAATACAATAGTGCAATCAGTTATAGTGTCTTTATGCAATAGGACAGGTCAGTGACGATTTCGCCCAAATTTCTTCATTGTTCTCAACTAAACTGATTAATGTCTTTCGACAATGATCTTTCTCTCTCTCTCTCTCTAATGAGATCTTATCAAAAACGAATTAAACGTTTGTTTATATATCTGTTTGCTTTATCTCCGAAGTACTTTTCTCGTTCATGGTAAAATATAAACAAAACATTTCAACAAGCAATCTTCTCTTTTATAAGCTCTTTCTTTTATGTAATATTATTGTTTATATGTGTTGTAATACTCATCAAGTTCTTTCTTCGTCATCTTCCTCCTCCTCCACCACCACCAATCATTTCTGATTCATGCTAACAGTCTATCCATTTCTGTTATTGACAATGACTCTCTTACCCTTCTGCATGTAAATGTCGATCCTGTCAGCTATCAACTAACAATCATATCGATGGAATAATAGATGTTAACTTACCAATTGAGCCTGAATATTCATAAATTCCTCGATATTCCGTTGTTTTGAACTGTCTTAAGAGTGAACATTTGCCTGTTCCACTCATTCCAAGAAGGTAAACTTGATAGACATGTATGTCTTGCACATGACCATCTTCAGTTTCAATGCGTTCAACAAGTGGATTTTCATTCTCGTCATCAACTTCATCATTGACAGCTGGTGTTGATGAGATGGTAGTTTCGATCGTTGAATCAACAAAATGATTATCAAGTATTCCATTGAGATTAGGTCCGGCTGGTGTGACATTAGTGTTGGATAATGAATTTGAGCTAATACGCGTTTCAGCATTTAATTGATTCGAATCACTAACACGTTCTTGAGACGGCGTTCGATCACCTTTACGAAACGAATTGCGACGACTGGTCGAACCACTTCGTTTGAACGAACGTTTGAATGAATCACTAAAAACATGTCAAGTTGTTTACTATGATCGAAATTGAATTACATTCATACCCTCGGTTAACAAATCCTTTTGACGTTGTATGGAATTGTCGTACACGATAGATTTCCTCATCACCATCGAGAGGTAATTGTAATTGATCCAATGGCAATGAGCCTGTAGGAGAACAGAGTAACCGATTAGTTTTAGATTCTGTTGTCATAAGCGATAAAGTGACTAGTTAATACTACTTCGACTCGAAAAAAAAGGGAACAGCTGGTGCTTTAGCAGTTTTTCTTTATAGGAAATTGGAAGGAGTCATTGGGGAAGTCGGAAGAAAATATATTCATGTATATGGGAAATCAGATCGTCTCTCTTTTTTCTTTTTGTTATCTTCGACTCTTTATTTTGTTTTTATCTTACCAACTCGTCCCGATCGAAGTGTTTTGGGACTTGACCATTGATCATGAGGATCGGCAGTTGCCATGAGATCTGTTGCTGAGATTCTGGATGGTACACCGCCAACTGATTTGCGTGCAGAATCGGAAGCGACTGTGTGAAGAATGTTATTGTTATATGTGCTATATTTGCGTGCACAAGAATATTCTTTCTGTTCTCTTTCTCTTTCTTTTTCTCTTGCTTGTTCTTTCTTCTGTCGATATTTTTTTATCGATTGAGGACGTTTATAAGAACACGATCGTGCTAATGGTTCTAACTGTTCGCTTTGGGAATTGGACGATTGAAGAAATACTTGTGCAGCATGAGTTAAGAAAAACGTTTTTCGTTTTGTGTGCACAACCGTCGGCGATAGAGTTGTACTTGATTGTTGACTTTTGCTTGACGAAGAATTCGATTGTCGACGATCGTCGAGTAATCGAACTGAGCGCGTCGGTGAGGACGTTAGATGCGGTTGAGATTTTGCATAGTGATGTGGTGATTCATCAGTGAACAATTGAAATGGAACGGTAGCAGGTGTCGTTGAACTGTAGCAACGCGGATGGGGAGACGGTGGGGACGATGCGTTCGAACGCGCAAATAATGCATCGAAATGATCAGTATTCGTATTGATTTGCTGTTTCAGACTAGGATTATCTTCGTCTCTCGAAGATTTCCAGTGAACTGTTGTTCGTGAAGTAGTACGTGAGTTCTGCTGCTCTGATGGTTTGTCATGACGTGAATCATCATGGCCATCATCAATCGACTGTTGACGAAGATGTGGTTCGTACATCCTATATCACAAAGATAACAATAAATAACTTCAAGACGTGACGTCCTAATGAATGTCAAGTATATCATTTTTCATTCAACTTGAATTATCATAGGATTCGATTCGAATTCTCTGCTGAATATTTTCATGTCGATATAGAATCGATCCTGATATCCTTTTAGTTTGATCAATATTGTCATCTTTCTGTTCGAGTTAGTCAAGTTATTTCCTTCTTGTTTTTACTTTGCGAGCATGTTTTAACATTCATTTCATATTAACTTTTCTGAATGAAAGAAACAAATGATTTGAGACGACTCGAAAGTAGTCCATCCATTAGTCGAGCATTATCAGACACATCAAATGAAACAAACGTTAAAAGGGAAGAAGAAAATCACGGGCAGGATTGACTGGAGTCGATCTTGAGGAGAACGTGAAAGGAAATGGTCTATATATAAACTTATTTGAGTTTGAAAAACCTCAACGACTAACAACCGCTGAGAGAGAGAAAAATCAGGTTTTTTCCACTCGATCAATCATTAGTGAAGACAACAAGCTGTTCTATTCATAAGATGGAAAGGAAACGAAGAAGCTAGGCCGGATATTTACACATAGTTACGTATCTTCCAACTACTCTTAACAGCAACAAAGTCAACAAATTGAAAAGAAACAGCTCGAACAAGTGTTCTTAAGTGAATGGGTCGATTCGAAGACAAATCCGAGTGCTTCAGATATACATTTTACTCATTCTAATTTGTCTTATTATAAAGATGTCAGAAAGCAAAAACCTAAGAATACATTCAAAGATAACGAATATAATTATTAGCCTAACGACAAATTTACTTCCGTCATCCAGCGGTAATGTCTGTCAGATTTCTTCATACAAATAGTCACAAGACGAACTAACCAATTTCTAATGAGATTTACTAGATAACAGAAATACGACAACGGTTTTTCACGGAAGGAAGCGAAATTGAAATTCTGTTTACCTGTTGAATTTCACTCGTTTTCGTTGTGTCGATTGTCGACGAAGTAAGGATTGCAGTGGCGTTCCTGCCATCATCATCATGCAGTTTCGTGCTTCTCAAATTTAATACATATATTGAACGACCTGATCGAGCATTATATGACGGTTGGGTAAAAAGGCCGAAGTAATTGAACGCGATCACTCATCGACAAGATGCAACATGCATTTACATACTTGTAAAACAAATGCACAGCAATCTCTCGAGTTCTAAGTAGAATATGTTTTCTCATAAAAGATAGTGACTTTAGTGTCGACAGCCATTAAAGCAAAGAGGAAAGGAAGAGATGAACACGGAAGAGAAATGATAAAATGAAGGAGGACAAGATTGAGTAGTAGTGATAGATACTAACATTCTTTTCAATGGCAGTGTAAAGACATGTGAAAAAGAAAACGAGAACAGAAGAGAAGAAAATAGATAAAATAATCACTGAAGAATATCATATGCTTATTACACATGAAAGCAATTGAGTAGAGCTAATTCTTAGATTAGTTCGATGAAAGAATACAAACTTTCGTGTTATTGAGAAAGTCGACATTCTCATCGATATGCGCAATGGATGAACGAATGATAATCAATAGACGAATAAATCTGGAAGTATGGCAATCACAAAGATGTGACGATTTGCCGAAATGAAGCCCGAGTATTAAAATTAGATTTGTAGGAACATTATATGTTCCTCTATTCATCCTGCGCTGTTGTATGTTAAGTCATAACACTTCTATTCACGATTCTCGAAAGATTCAGTTGGTACGATATGATCTGATGACGTTGTAGTGTTTGATTCATGCGGCGTCTATAGAATTATTCGCTTTTGTTAATAATTGCTGAAGTGAAAATGTTCAAAAACTGAAATTTGTGATGAAATCAAGCTTGAAATCTTAATGATTTCCTCGAGACAAGAGACTAACATGAAACTATCAGTTGATGGAAGGTCGACTCTTTTGTCTTCGCTCTTTCACAATCGTTCTACTGAAACATATCCCACCCGTTAAAGTTATTTTTAAACCATCTTCAACAATTCAAATAGTTAGATTTTTTACTACTCATCTGCTCTATAATTCCTTTTCCGTCGTTACTTTTGTTCATGGTAACATCAGCTCAAAAAAGTTTTGCAATACTACACTGAGGTTCACGTTGACGTTGAAGACTTGCACATCTTATAAGGATAATCTGCATGTGCAAAGTTCCTGGTTTAGAGAATCGGCCAAAAGAAGATCAACGTACGATCTATAAGAGGAAAATCTGGAAACAAGATTCAACTTGTGTCTGCCTATGTGTAACATGCTAATCAATCTTTTCGTACTTTAAACCAAAGATGCACAAATGTAGTTCGTCATCGTGGTCCGATTGTAGGGTTACTCGTATATCACTCAAGAATCGCCTGTCAACGAACATTATTCACATGATTCTGTTTGGCGACATGCGCAATTTTCATTTTTTTTTATAGACCACTGATCACGCGAACATGATTCAATGTGCACTTTTTACTTTCTGACGGACAATTTTGTAACTTGTATGATTAGACGTTAACAACAATCGTTCAGACACTACAGTACTCTGACGTCATGTTTTTTCAGCTTAGAATTGGTTGCCTGTTTGAAAATCTAATAATATTTACATTCTATCCAGGAAATTAAAGCTACTTGGTAAAGTTAAACTAATAGTCCTTCTTTTTGAAAGGAATTTTTTATGATTTTTCACGAGGAGCGTGAAATTGTGAGATATAACATTAACTAGTCTATCTGTGAATAGTGTATTTGATATTTATGAACACAAAAACAAGGATCAAGCATAGGACCGCTATTCTACGCAGAAAAAAAACTTACACGCTTTTGTGTTTTGATACAAGGATAATTTAGCATTCATGCTTAAAATCTAAATGGAATCTGCTGTAAATGAGATGCTATGCCTCGACAGAAACTGATTATCTAAAGATATTTCTCAATTAAAGTACTCGATTTTCTACTCCTCATCTTTGTTTGTTCATGACGTACTTGTAAAACCTCGTAGCAAATCGGCAAACTAAGTAATTACTATAGACATTTTATAAAATTAAAAAGACACTTGACTTCAACGATAGCTTATTGCATTTTTTCTTTCTTCATAGCAGATAGAAGAACTCAAGAATATTTAACGTGAAATATATGTATTGCATGTCGATAACAATTATGAAGTTTCTGTCAGATATGTTGCTGATCGCATCTGACAAAGCTCCTACTCATAATTATTATTCATTGATGACGAATGAATTACATTCATGCGTGTTTATTTAGTAAGTTCGAAGAAATGAATCATTGTTCCTATATTGTCTGGAGGAAGTGTAAAAAAAGACACGATCTCTTATGTCAATCATTACAAGTCTTATCTCTCTTCAAGTTTTCTTTTTGTCTGCTTATTTTCATGATATTGTATCAAGATATAGCTAATGAAAAACAGGAAAACCATTGATTTGAACATTTGTTTGGTTTCGTTATTGATGCCATTGAAAAAGAAAACAAACAAGTAATCAATCTAGCGATTCGGATTTTCAAAAGGATCAAGAACAACAGAAGGCTGTGTTATCACCGTAGGGAAGCTACTTATACTTCTGCATGAATGCTAAACAAATAAATTTGTCCTAGCGTTCTATTTTTACAATAAGACTCAGCAGATAGATATGATATTTCTTCGATATGTTTTCCCTATGAGTATCCTTGAACATTATGCGGTAGCTGAGATAATATACAAAACAACCTACATCTTAACCAGATATAGTTGGATATTAATGAAAATATCGTGTGTCATTGTCACAATGAATTTTTCATCGGAAAAAAGAGCCTTCGATCCCTGCACGATTATGAAATACTCACGCTTCTGGCATGCTTGTCGTTAGATTGATGAATCTAATTGAATAATGTTATATTGATGTTATCGATTTGGATGTTGATGATTGAAAGAAAGCTTGTGTTGTATGGCTAGCAACACTAAGTTGTAACCTTTCTTCTGCTAGACGAATCAGCAAGAAAAAAAGAAAATGAGAAAAAAAGGAAAACGAGAAAGAAGAAGAAGAAGAAGAAACAACAGAGGAAAAGAGAGGAAGAGAAGTGAGTACAATCCTAAAACATAGAACGGCAGAGAAACCAAAAAAATGGGTTTGTTAACCATCAAGATAGCTCTTTTTGCCTTTTTCTCGTTGATGATTATTCTATATTAACCATTAGAGTTATTCAATGATAGAATGCAACTATATATATAAATATCTATATGCGCAATTCGCGCGTTCATTGTCTGTCTGAAAAAAAACTATCACATGTTAAATCAACTCTATTATCAGGAAATTGTTCTAAAAATGCAAAGTAAAGGAAATGTTTTTTCTTCGTCTTCTTCTCACTCTTTATCAAATAGAGAAGTCGAGTTTGTTTTTTCCTCTTAATTTATTCACGTACGAATGATCAATCATTATTGATCAGCTTTGTAAATCGACAGTACATCATGTGAAATTAGTGGCGTTTTTTACAGATTGTTAATAATATCAACATTAGTAACAGCTGTATGTCGTAAGAGCTAATACGATGAAAACAAACAAACGAACGGACGGCAAACAGCTTTGTATATAATATAAAAAAATGATTATTCATGTTTGGGACGCTCTCGTGTTTGTCGATGTTCCGATTGATTGAACTGCTGATATCTTTTCCCAGGGATCACGATGAACAATAATAAGAGCTTTTGCGCGTTGTTCGTACACGTTTCTGAAACATTGTCGCAATCTTGAACTTGGCACAGCAGTATCAGGTCCGATGAGGAACGGTTGTTCAATCAAATATTCATCATACGGCGTAGCTTGTTCACGACGCCAACTTTGTAAAATACATATTGGAGGCTGTTGCTGTGTGAATGCCGAACTTACAGTAGCCGACGCCATACGACGGATGTTGAAAGTAAAGCAAGTATTGAATGTGTGCGTTTTGCGACGAATGGATTCGTTAATTTTCGAGTACAAGTAACAGAAAAGAAAATCGGTGTTCTGTTAATGGCATTGATGAAGAACTGAAATTGGTAACTATTGACGTATGAAAGTTGTTTTCTTTTTTTCGAAAAAAAACTATTCAGAAGCCTGAGAACGAGACACTCCAAAATACAAATTGATACTGGTCATTTACAATGTTTATGTTCGACAAGATGAGCCTTGTGAATCCGATCGTTTCGATTGCCTTGATTTGACAATATCTATCATACGTCATTAATTATATTCATACTAATTAATTAAACAACACTTGTTTCGTGATGCCTTGAATATACAAGTTAAGGTCAATATTATCTTACTATCAGTAACAGACGTGTACATTTATCCCATTCTCTTTCGGCACTTAGAATAAACACAAACAGTTGTCATGATAATCTCTCCTGTAATACTTCGCCATGCTACAGGCGACAACTTCGTCGATAATTTAGAACAAGGAATTGTGTCGAACAACGTAGTAAGAAAATGAGAGTGCTTTTCCTAGGTGAGAAAGAACTAAAATGAAGTTAATTACAAGGAAAATGTCATATGACGAAAAGAAAGAATGTTCTCAACAACAATTATGACATGATCACCGAGAGGAAATAAATAGAAAATAGTTGGCTGAGTTTCTCGTGGTAACTCAGCACCTCTCAAAATACGATTGACTTTTTCCATGCTGAGTTTTCCTCGATTTCAAGGCAACGAAGGAGAATTGAATGTATCTGAAATCGATAGAAAGTATTCGATCTTCCGCTAAGTTGAGCAACATCTCTTTTTATGTTTTATCAAAGCTCTGTTCCTTCGCAAATGTCATTCTTTCTTCGACATTTTCGGAAAAATTCAATGCCAATAGTTATTTCATGTGCTTCGTTGGTCTTAGAAGCAAAACTGAAAAACTACAATCTTCTTAGCATTATACATTATCAATTAAGCAAATAATATATCAGAGATATTTCGATTATCAAACTTCTATTATTAGAAAAAAAAGGAAGTGCAAAAGTTAATGTCAACCAGATGTCGTCGATGGGTAGTATTCCGTCTAGTTTCTCAATGGTGCTCGTTTTTACCAACAGGATCGCTCCAAACGGATGTTATGCTATGCTATGCTACTGGAATCATCGAGAAAATAAACTCAATGACTCATAGATATATATAAACAAAATTCTAGCTAATGATCGTGTAATTACATTGCACATTGAATATATTCTCATTCGTGTTACTTTGATTGTACATCTAGCATGCACGATCTCAAATCTTTGCAACTAGACGATGAAGATTCATCGAAATATTTTATCAATTATATAAACGAAGAGTCTGATGACAATGGCGAGCAGAATGCTAATCAAAATGAATCTGAGCCAACACATTCGCCCACTGATAATGATGATGTCGATGTTTCATCATTACCAACGAGTCTCATCATAACGCCAGTTCCACAAGAATTATTTACGAATCAACAACTTAAAGTAACACATTTTTCATATCAAATCGGTTCTTGTTGATGTTGATTTGTTAGGATGAGTTCGAAGCGCTATTTCGTGCTTATGATTCGCAAATAATTGTACTTTATTTGAAATTTTTCCAACGTGTACGAATTACATATACATCGCCGCATAACGCGCTACAAGCCCGATTGCATTTACATGAACATCTATTTCATGGAACGACTTTCAAAACTTATTTTGCATGTGTAAGTATTACAGTATAGATTATCAATAGGCTCGTATTTCGTGTTCTTTTAGCCGATTATATTCCGCGGTGCGAATTCAGAAATGTACTTACGACCGCCTGAGCCAGAAAAATTGTTTCTTATTTCACCTCCTGTAAGTCCACCCGTTGGTTGGGAACAGAAAGTCGAAGATCCACCTGTTGTTGATTTGAACCTAATTGCTGCTATCGCACAACTTCAACCTAGTAAGTCAAATCTTTGATTAGCAACAATAATGTCTAGTTGTGTTTTCGACATCTGTTTAGATCAATCTCATCATTTACTAGCATCGGAAGATGGTTCTAATGCTCCGTCTATTATCATTCACACGTGCGATGATGGCGAAGAAAGCAATATGATTAGCCGAGAGAAGTCAATGAAACTAGCGTTAATTCAAACGCGACGACCGCCGGGAACAGAATGACAGCCTTAGTTTTCCTATTCAATTTCGTTTTGTATAAAGTCAAGCGTCTTGTATTTTATTTCAAAATAAATATTAAATGTCTTAGTAGATGTCAAGTTTTCCAAGAATATGATTCACTTTCGAGCTTTTTTGTTTGTTATTACTGTCAATAAGTTTATATTAAAAGCATGGATGAATTACTCGATGTTTATCAACCAAATATCTTCTCAATATCTTAATTTCCAACATGCGTAGACGACAGTAATCTCTTGCACTATGTCAATGCAGAAATGACATCTATCTATCTCTTGTCATTGATATCAAACTCTGGAAATATGAAGTACCAAAAGTGTCAGTTGATGATGATGATTCATCCTTCAATCTCAAATAAAATTATCATCATGATAATTAAATCAACTGACCAAATCAATCAATCCCTTGAGATTGCCACACTTTCTGTCAAATTTAGCAATTTGGTCAGATGGATAACTGATGAAAATATTTGCTCATAGAATTTAATAATATAACACCGAACGATAAAGGAATGCATGCATGACAAGAAGGGCGTAGACACATGTACCGCACAAATGTCCATAAACTAACACCGAGAGAAGAAGAAAAAATATCAAATCGAATAAATGCAATTACAACATACACCAGACTGAATCCTTTGCACATCGGGTTTCTTATGTTAATATCGAATGAAAAATAAAATAAAATGAAAAGGATAAACGAACGAACGTAGTGGAATCATTTGCAAGTTAATGTCAATGAAAATACTCTTACATACGTACAGCAAACAAAGACAAAGATACAACAGAAAGAATAATGCTGATACAGATTCCATGAGGGATATAAGAGGAGAAAAGAAGAAGAACTAGTTATCGATTAATCGCAACCAGGTTGATTTTTTGTTGTCATAATTAGAGCAACGATTAGACCATAAAGACCAAGTACTTCAGCGAAGATTAAAATTAAAATCATTCCAACATATAATCTGTGCAAGGAGAAAAAATGAAAGTTCTGAGTATCTTTTCAAGAGAGAAGATCTGTTTACTAACCGTGGTTGTTGAGCTGTTCCACGTACGCCAGCATCACCAACAATACCAACAGCAAATCCGGCAGCAAGACCACTCAATCCAACGGATAATCCAGCGCCCAACTGGAGAAAGGCCCTGCAGATAGATATTGGGAAAGTTTACTTTTGAAGACTGAAATTGACCTATATCTTACTTATAGAGACCATAATTTTCCGTACTAATATTGTTAGCAATGAGCACAGCCACGACTAGACCGTAAATTGCAATAATACCAGCCATAACTACAGGAATGACACTTTTCATGATAAATTCTGGTCTCATAACAGCCATAGCGGAGATACCACAACCAGATTTCGCAGTGCCATAAGCAGCACCTAACGCTAAAAGGGGATAGGCAGCAATTATTTTTTTAAGGTTCAGGAAGATACCTTACCACTAAAGACAACTGCTGCTGTGGCACCCATAGAGCCAAAGAAGGCTGAGTAAGCAGGACATTTTTCTGTAACACCTGATGACATTGTAGGAATGATCCGAGTTCACCGAGAGATTTCGATTGGAAGTAAAAAAGATGATAATCTGAAAAATAAGTAGAAAATTGTTTCGTTCGATTCCCACAAGGAGTATTCTTCTAAATGACACTTTATTAATGTATCAAACGTTATAAAGGTGCAATGCTGTGCTTGGTTTCCAATAAAAATTAATGACGAGCAATAACGTTTATATTCTCACTTATCAATTACTGACCTTCCGGTGCTGTTTATCAGTATAAGGTGATCGGCCGTAGTTTCTCACTGAAATCAAAACTAAGTACAGTACTAACACACTGCGAAGAATAAGAAGCAGAAAACATCATTGGTGTATGTCTATGAACAAATAACAAATAAATATTCATCATCATCAGATCGTTGCGACACACAATTTTTGTTTCTTTCTTCCTTTCATCCATTAGCAATTTGTTGATTGACTCTCACCATTCATGTTCGATTTTCTAAAATGTAAAATTTACGCGAAAAAAATCGATGAATAGGAAAGATCGCACGTTATAAAATGAAAAAATTATTCAATAGTATGTATCTCACCAATAATCAAGAGAGAGGATCGCAGAGAAAATTTGATTGGTTGAAGAAATGTCACAAAATGAGCGAGACAGAACAGAAGTACAACTATGCGATACGGTCGGAATGAATGTTTTCTAATGTCTCCGTACCAGTTATCCTTATTGTTACATGTTCATTGAGAAAACAGACATATACAATAACAAGATATTTTGAATATTATTGTAACTTTGTTCGCGAAAGAGAAGATGAAGATATTTTCTTTTGTATATAATAAGAATCAATCAAATCGATCTAAAGCGTTTCATTCTTTGATAAAGGTTCTCAAACTTGAAAGTTGAATTCAATTATTCTAACATCCATCTCACACTGAATGAATATTCAAATTCAAATTTCGAGTTATACATGTATGAAACCGTATCGTGCTCTTCTCAATCAAAGCCAGCGAAGAATGATGTGTTTAATTTTAGTTTTATTGATTATTTATCCAAAGAGTCTCCATTGAATTATAGGAAATGTTCAACGAAGTTTCTTGGAAAGATGAATATCTACGTCAGCAACAATGACTTCTCTTCTCAACATAATTTACCATTGAAAATTATCAATCAAAATAATAATCAATGACCAACTTATTCAATCTTTTCTTTATTATTTTAATAAAGAATATTCAGTCATATATTTCAGCACTGACTTGCCTTCGATAAGCATTTCAGTTGTGGTCTCACATCGAACGTGCCCCGTATTTCTCGAGTTCAGCCGTGATATTTTCATACGCATTCCTACCTACAAAATACTGATTTACGTACCGGTACAACACGATATCATGTGAACTTACTGCTTTTTCGAAAGTCACAAGCTATTAATATATCATGGAAAGGCCTGCATCTACTTTTTTAAATTGATATTATAAGCGTCGATTCATTTTCCATGTTCGAGATCTGAGCAAAACCTTGAATGTGAGAATGTGGAGTCGGAAGAAATGACATATTATGAGCATCAAAACGTTAATATTTCATGTGTATTCGTAGTGTTACCTTTTCATTTCATTGAGTGAATTAAGAAAACTACTTCACCTTTAAAACAGGTAAAGTGTTCTTTTTATACTCATTGTTCAAATACGATTCAAAGCGTCGATCCAACTCTACTGAAAATCAACAAATATTTGACCTTCTTGTTTTACGACATGATGAAGGTACTGAATAATAGTAGAGGCTACTAATCATCCGAAGGAAAGAAAAAAAAAGGAAAAGAAACAGTTGCCATTAAGAGAGAGTTTTGTGTGCATGATGTTGAAGACACCGTTTACACCGTATAGTGAAAAATTACTTGAAGCAGCTCATCGTCGTAAAACTAAAACACAGTACAGTATAGGATGAAAGTTGTCTTCAGTTAAAAGAATATTTAATTGTATTTGTCTCTGCAGATCATCGATCGTTAAAACAACTACGTTGCATATTGGTAATCATGCACCAGATTTTACTCTATACAATACGGCTAATGAAGAAATGACATTAAAGGGTTTCATTGAAAGCTCGAATGTCGTTCTTCTATTCTTTCCATTAGCATTCAGTGGAATCTGTACTAACGAATTATGCTCGATTCGTGATGATATGCATAAATATGAGCAACTGAATGCCATTATTCTTGGTATCTCTGTCGATTCAATGTTTGCTTTGAACAAATTCAAAGAAGAACAGCAGCTACAATTCGAATTATTATCTGATTTTAACCGCGATGTTGCTCGACAATATCACGTACTTCACGAAGATTTTCCATTATTCAATATGAAAAACGTAACAAAGCGTGCGGCGTTTGTGATTGACAGAAAAGGAACGATTCGACACATGGAAATATTGGACGATCCCGGAAAAATTCCCGATTTTCATGCAATTGAAGAAGCATTGCATACATGTCATCATGACTAGAGCACATGGAGAAAAGACAAATATACTTGGAATAGAAGTAGTCTTTGAAATACTGAATAAATCTTGAGAGATCTTCACTGATTATACGACAACATTATCAAATCGTATTGAGATTAAGTGCTTCGTTCAGTCATTCAAAGATTGGAGAAGCTATATCGTCTAGCCGTTTATGAACAACATAAAGCTCTGATATTTGATAAAATCAACGTTCTTTGTTGAATCAAACCATAGCGGTTTTGCGCGCACAGACGTAATGTGCACTGAATAAAGATAAATAAGAAACAAAGGACGGTGTACGGCAGCAAGAGCTAACATATAAAACCGCTTTGTTAATGCATACATCTGTATTATGAATTGTGTTCTATGATTATTCTTACTGCGTCTGTACTCATCGGTTATCTGAAAATGATGAAAGCACATGTCTTGAAATATCAATTGTATGTATGTAAGAAAGACGGCGGATGTCAGAAATCACCGAGGTTGTCTTCACTTTTTTTATTATTCAAAATTCGATCATTTTGATAACGACTGCAACAGAGTTAATTCTGTTGACTGTTTTTAGACTAGAAAGTTGTGTTACATAATATATTAACCAACAAGTCCACTACGCCATATGCCACCACTAATACGAGACGGACGTGAACCGAATGTATTCATGTCGACATAACGTTTTCGTCCTAAAGATTCCATAGGCCGACGATTTTGAGAGGCCCATCGGAAATATTGATCTTCGCCTGAATCCCAAGTTTCTCGTTTTTCTTCATTCGTCTGTTCATTATATTCTGTTGGTGATAATCGCTGGTTCATTGCTTTCCATATAAACTGTCGATTTCGGAGAACAGATGAATGTTCGTCGTTATCTTTTGCATTCATCGATTGACGAATTAGATTGTAGAATCGACTTTTACCGTTTGAATATGAAGAAACTAACGAGAGAAAAAGATTAATTACTTGACAGCAATCGTAGATATTTCACTTACCAGTATGAATAGTAAAAAAAATGATAAACAGTGAACATAAATTAATGATCAGCTTCATCGGTGTAGTTATCGTACAGAGAAGATGACTATTCCTGTATTGACAAGTTGAATATGATAAAAGAAATCAGTCTCGCTTAGTATTTATAAGTTTATGCGTGAGTAGCATCTGGTTGATATGACGTACATTCCCCATTCTACGAAACTACGTCATCTAGGAAAGATACTTCACAGTAGTCCACGCACATCGCCATGAATCTCTGAACAGAATGCAAGGGAATATCAACAGATTGCTAAGTGTTTTGTTCCGGTTGGAAAGAGTTTATAGCATGATATCTCAAAACAGGCAAAAACAAGTTGCGTTACAAATGCTTTTTACGCAATACTATCCAACTGATTCCAAATAAGTGACGTTTTCAACTGTGTGCGAGGTTTTCATCCTAGTGCGTACTCTACTAAGGTGGATCCGACGTAAATAGATTGAGGCCGTCTAATAATATTCGAACGCCTACCTCCGCTTATCCGGATGGCTACGATACTAAGAATACGCACTATTTTCTTTGCTTGTGACATCGATAACATGATCGTATCAGTGTTGCACAGAAAAATAGTTGAATTATTCGGACAACTATAGTTATATTTATATATTTCATTCGATACAAAAGATAGATATTCAAGATGTGCGTGTAAATTGCACACAGCGGAAGTTTGTAGAGATTCATATTGGTTATATATGATTCAATTTCAAGGAAATAAGATTTGTCTTATGGAATTATCCCGAGATATGGTGAAACTATTGATTGTATCGTAACGCATGTGCAGCGGTTTTCCTTATCAAGACGCCATAATCTATATCTCATTCCATATCATATGACGTTATCAACAGATGTGAATTCATTGATATTATTGTTATAACGGTATATTCTTTGATGCATTTATCAGAAGGCTGCGCGTGATTTAATAAATTGCCTGAAGAACTAAGTTTTTTTGTAAGATACGAATATATGTAACTATGTGCGTAGCATTGATAAAGATGCTTAACTCGTTGCCAAAATTCATGGCTCTCCTGAGAACGCTGATACTTGCAACGAAAACGGTCATGTTGATCCGCATATCCTATGTGCTGAATGTCAATTACAACAAATGTAAGGCTTGTTCTTTAAAAAGAATTGTAATTTGACGAACATGTAAAGTTTTTATATTGCAACTCTGAAACGGAATGTTGGTAAACTAATAACATTTTCGGCGATGTACTGCATGCCGCTATTGATATATGTCGATTGAACTAACGAAAGATAGAATTCTTATCTGCAAGGTTTATGGTATTTCAGAGTCTTGCAGGATAATCAGTAAATAATCCTATTTATGTTCAATTATCAGAGCTATTTCGGAATTTAATCTTTTAATTACATTTAGCGTCGTAGAAGAAAATCCGATTTGGATACTTGCGGAGAACAGTCTAGATCACGGATCCATTCTAAAACATTCTTAGGAGAGGTCAGACATAAATAGTCATTCGTCGACAATCATGGACTATAATTTGATTTCAACATTATTATCTGTTCAACAAAATTTGTTTAAAATTGGTGGTCCAATTTTAATATTCTTGGGCGTCGTCAGTAATCTTCTGAGTCTAACAGTTTTCATTCAAAAAAATTTTCGCAAAAATCCTTGTTCAATTTATTTTATGGCATTTAATGTCTCCAATTTAATATTGATCTATGGATCCTTATTACCTCCTGTACTAGAAATCGGCTACAATATTAATCATACAGCATTCAATCTTGGCCTTTGTCGATTACGACTCTATGTCGCATTCGTATTCAATTGCCTGTGCCCATCATATTTAATTTTAGCGTCGATTGATCGAGTTATAATGTCATCAGCGAATGCAAACGTACGAAAGTACAGTACTCAACGTCACGCTTATATTCTTAGTATTAGCAATGCAGTATCATGGTCGGTATCCTTAATTCATGTTGCCATTTTTTCGACAATCATAGAATTAAATTCTGTTGGTTTCCTATGTTATTTACAACCGGGCAGCTATACGATAGCCGTTACTATTGGTTCACTTGCCAAGGAAATTATAACACCGACGTCAATGTTCATACTTGGATTATGGACAATCAAGAACGTTCGTCGAACACGACAAGCTGTAGTTTCACCCAGTGGCAGGTATACGTGTATAATTCACGCAAGAGATCGTCAATTGATTTCTATATTGTTAACCGATATAGTTATCTACATTCTCTTCAGTTTAGTAATGGCAATCTCATTGATATACAAGCAGGTCAAACAATATGGAAACGAAACTTCTCAAGATACTATCGTCGAAACATTCTTCGGCAATGTCGCAATGTATAGTGCACATATTCCGTTTTGCATCACTTCTTACGCACATTTATTATTATCGAAAACATTTCGTAATGAATTGAAAAGCATCGTATTACATATGTTCGCGTGACTTTTGAAACACTTTTTCTCTTGATCGTATTCGCATTAGAAATTCGTTTTTTCCTTGCTAAAAACGAAAGTCTACTACGGAAATTATGCATTTGCTACATTAATTAAAAATAACTATTGCGTCTTCTCTTTGCTCTTCTCGCCCGTCATGTACTCCCCTATCTTAGGAAAATAAATATTGAACAGATTGTCCGTGTACCAACGCATCGTACGTGCCCACCACACCACCGTAGGGATTTGCAATAAATGGAAAATATCATACTTCCATGAACTTTATTTTAGGCAAATATACAAAAAGAAGACTAGCCAGAAGGCATTCAATGGTGTTTAAGAAGAACTTTACCATCAAATGGTTTGAGATTGAGCTTGAACGTCGAATTTTTTACTGAATAATTTTCACTTGTTAACCAATCGACCCAGTGGCCGTTAGAATGCCTATGTACAATTTCAATATCCCTTTTCAATTGATCAGATAAATTCAGGACTATAACAATATCTGCATCTGTTTCATCTGACGATCTCGTATAAGCTAAGATACGCTGTTCAGCATTCTCATAAATAAATTTGACTTTGGTGTAATTCTTCTGATTCAATATCGTCCGTCGAAATTCGATTAGCCGTTTAAAAGTTCGATGTAAACTTTTATTGGGCTCTTCTCCTAACAGAGACCATTGCATAGGAATGATTTTTCGATGTTGATTCGGACTTCCTAGTTGTCTTGCTTCACCAAATTCATCGCCTTGCCATATCATCGGAGTACTTATTGACGTCATAAGTACGATCGCGCCCAGCCTTGCACGTTGAAAAGCATTGTCATTGAAGGCTTTACCCAGATGACCGATTAAATACATCAGACGCTCATTATCATGGCAAGTTAAATAGTTAACGAGATTTGGTGCACTGATAACGTATTTTAAAAGATCTAATTCAAATTTGGTTTGATCAACTAACGCATTGCATACAACGCCATGAAATGTCGACGACCAGCATGCATCGACAGGACCATTGTTTGCTTTGACAATATTTCCTTGTTCGGGAACGTATTCCGCTTGACTGAAGAACGGTTGATTTGGACGAACGGACCGAGCGACACGATCTAATTCGCGTAGAACATCGTAATTATCCATTTGTTTGGCTGGAAAACAAACAAATACAATAAATCGAACACGTTTCGTAATGATCAGATTCAATTACCAGCATCAAATCGAATGCCATCGAAATGAAATTCTCCAATCCAATATCGAACAACATCTTGTGCATATTTCACAGCTGGTTTCAATTTCAATGCTTCATCGTAATAATCGTAGTTAAACTCTGCTCCCCAGTGATAAGGATCCTCGGGATGATGCTTGTCTTTATAGTACTAAATTAAATGGCGATCTTTTGAATGTCCAAAGAAAACTTTTCGCTCTTTACCCAGTAGTTTTTATCAATGAGTACTAACGGACATGCTAAACTTGAATGATTGAAAACTCCATCGAGAAACACCCGAATGCCACGTCCATGGCATTCGTCAACGAGCTTCTTCAAATCATTTTTCGTTCCATATGTTGCTTTCAGTGCAAAATGATGCGTTGGAGAGTACCCCCAATTATGTTCATTCCCCATATAATCTATTAGGTACATACGAGAATCATTTGTATGAACTCTTCATCACAGTATACTGTACCGTGAATAGGCATTAATTCAATGGCATTGATACCAAGATCAGTAAGATAGTTTAATTTCGACAAAACACCCGAAAACTGTCCGTTATCCGTAAAATCAGCGACGTAAAGTTCGTAGATGATCAGTTGATCATTTTCTGGTAATTTGATATGATCGTGCTTCCATTCGTATGGTTCGACGTATTTCTTTCCATCTTTAAAAGTAATTAGTCCACAGTGATGCTTGGCATCGTACTTTTCCGCGTAAGGATCGATGACTGATGTCCAATACTTTTGCTTGGCATGTTTCCGAATCGAGAATTTATATTCATGTTCACCATCATCGATATGTGGAGAGGGCGGCATTTGGAATACACCTGTTTCCACGTCTTTTTTCAACGATATTGGTTTCCACTGTGAGAATGAACTAACAAGATTCACTTCATCAACTGTTGGTGCAAACAATGAGAGAGTTTTCGACGATGGGATCTTATTATCTGGCTTTGAAGAGTGATTCGATGATTGACTACGAGCATTGTTATAAACAGTTGATATACAGTAAGAATTGACGAATAATGAAGAGACGACATTGGATGAAGTTCGAGTTTTACCGAGGATTGAGAGCATATTGGACGATACTCTTGCAAGGAGAGAAGAAGAATGTATCTAAAAACAATCCGGTTGATATTTAGAAAAGTGAAGCATGAAAAGAATGTTCGCGATAGTCTATATTTAACAATTATATTAAAAAATGAATAAAGTGTTAGTGCGATGGAAAAATCTTACGGTGGCATGCGAAGCGCTCCATCCAAACGAATAACTTCACCATTCAAATACGGATTTTCTACAATTGTCTGTGCTAAACGTGCGAAATCGTCGGATTTACCTAGTCGTCGCGGGAATGGCACCATATTTCCCAGTAGAAATCGAATCTTTTCGGGCAAAGCTGCAAGCACGGGTGTATGAAAAACACCGGGCGAAATTGCACAAACTCGTACACCCATACTGGCAAGATCGCGGGCTAATGGTAAAGTCATCGAAACAATTGCACCTTTGGAAGCAGCATATGCGACTTGTCCAATTTGACCTTCATATGCAGCAATTGATCCCGTATTGACAATCACACCACGCTGTCCTTCGGAATTCGGCGAATTATCGGCCATAATATGACAGGCCCAACGAATAGTATTGAATGTACCACATACATTTACGTTCAGTACACGATTAAATTCACTGAGATCATGAAGAGAATGCTGAAGAGAAAGAGAGCGACTCACTATACAACAACAGTAATATACAGGCTCTTTACTTTATTTATGTTATAGGTTCGAAGAGCAATGCCGATTCCTGCACAGTTAAGTAATACATCAAGTCGTCCATATTTTTGTTTGATACTTTCCATCATAATCCTAACTTGTTCCTCATTAGTTACATCTGCTCCAAGAAATATCGGTTTGGTTGGTGTAGAATCTACTTGCGTATTACTATTTGCATCATTCACTTTTGATTCAGATGCATTTGACTAAAGTTGAAGCAACTATTTAAGAAGAAGAATTGACAGATATATGCTCATACTATTAGCTTTTCATCGGGTTCATTGATTGCAATATTGGAAGATGAGGCGTAGACAGTTGACCATTGGTTGACGATTTCACTGCCTTTCGATGATGATAAATCACATATAATAACGCGAGCACCTTGTCGAGCGAAACGTTTGGCACAAGCGAGACCTAAGCCAGCTGCACCACCGGTTACTAAAGTCACCAATCCTTTCATGATTAGCACTAATTCAGCTAAAAAGTCATTTATATCTACAATAGAATGAATAAATAGTTTGGTGCATTGTTTCTAAGGTTTTGATCGAAATATTTTTTTCATGCTTTGGTATTTTTTTTGGTTTAATCATGAATGAATGTCGCCGTTTAGGGATCAGAAATTTTCAGAGTAATCGTCAACCTGGACACATTGATCTTCTGTTCGATTTATGTATCAACGATCCATTAGCACCGCGACACATATCATTCAAAGGAGAAAAATACGATCGAATAAATCCCACACTAAATCATTATGATAAATCTCAATTCAATTGTCCTGTGGTGAAAAAGTCCACTCGTGATTGGTCGCAGTTATACGTCTACTTGAAAGTATTGCTTCGTTTTATGATTGATACTATCTGTTTGATTCTATGTGCGCTGTTTCAATATGTAATCCATCTATTGTGGTATCTTCTGAAAGCATTCTTTACTACGATTGTTCATATACTAACCAGATCGATCGTGTATCGCCGTGAAGGATTTTGTCGATGTTATCATTATCATCGTTTCTGAATCCGAGACAAGTGCAATATAATCCAATAAATCATCATAAGTCTTAGCATCTGCTTCACAATCTTATCAAATTGTTCGTTTCTGTGTATGTAAGGATTGGGTACAAAGCATACAGATTTGATGTGTAATATTCTATGAAAAAAATATACAACAGATGTCGCCTAGTCCCAAAAAAGTTAGTCGAGATAGAAGATGAAGAATTATATGTGTGTGTGTGATTGATGATCATCAAAACATAAGCGTTAAGGTTGTCTGTTTACCTTGTTTAATTAATACTTTTCGAACAAGAAAAAGATAAAGCAAGAATCATATTTAACGGGATATATAACATTTTTTATTCACAATTTCGTTAAAACATGAGATTATATATATTATTACATATGTATCGAACGGGACCGTTTATGTATAGAAGACCAACCAGAATTCCTGCCAAATGACCTAAAAATAGGAATGTTTTAATCGTGAAAGTATTAAAAAGAAGAACTTACCAAGAAAAGAAACGTTTGGTGTAATCAATTGAATCACAATCAGTTCAACCCAAACAGCATATTTCGTCGAAATTGGAATAAAATTTCCAAGAAATGAATTCGAACTGTAAGCAGGTGTGTAATGAGTTGTGATCACTTTCAGTGCAAATATCACTGCACTAAAACCAACAGCACATGTAAATAAATACTCGGGATTATCCAACAAACTCGACGCTACTTGACCAAGGATGACTAACATTAAACTTGATAAGACAGTTAACACTGGCAGCAAAATTGCGAAATAGCGACCACCGAAAAGCGTTTCTAACTGTTGACCTTTGTATAGAAATGATGCCATGTTATAGTACAGATGCATATCATCACCATGGAATAGCGGTGCTAGCAATATTCGCATATAATCTCCTTGATCAAGCACTGCATGTGTACTGACACAAACAGACTGGAGGTTACTTGAGAAACCGAATAGTGGAAAAATATCGAAATAAATTAGAACATTAAGAATGATAACAGCGAGTGTGACTGGTGGTAAATGTGATGAATGACTTAATTCTGCTAGCAGAAGTAAGATGCCATAGTAAGATCGATTCGTTTGTTGGTAGTGTGAATGTCTCCCACGACTACCAAACATCTGAAAATAATAAATTACAATATATATATATATGTATTATTTGACAAGATTTGTTTTGTTTTTCTTCGGAATGCAAAAAAACGTGATAAGAACTGTTTTAAAAACGACATCAAGAAGAGGCAGAAGGTTTATTGCGAAATGTTAAGGCCGGTAGTTGTTCATCAGGTGGTAAACATAAATTGATGACTCGCATTCGGTCAGCGAGAGTGGTTAACGACTGATCGAGCTGTTTCAGTGTTGTGGCTATATCGCGTAACTTTTTTGATTGTTCACAATAGCCAGTAAAACGCTTCTGTTTATCGATGAGGCGTTGCTGAACAGAATTTGAACGTGTGTCGACTTCTTTCATTCGAGTTATCAATTGTGTTTGTTCAGTTTGAATGATTTCAGCACAAAAACGAAAATGAGTTTGTAAACGCATTGATAGTTGCAAGAGCTGAAAATAGCGAATAGAATCAATTACGACGGTGATCTTGTCAGACATACCGATCGACTTTCTAAATGTGGTATTTGTGTGGGATCATTCTGCTGATTGATTGACGAACGGAGAATTGGTAAAAACTTTGGTATGGCAGCTAGTTTACTTATATCGTTATCATCTGCTAAAGATGTATTCGACGCCGTCCCACCAGAACCACCTCCAGCAACCGGGCCAGAATTGACTACAGTAATGTTTGGATGGTAAACTGGTGCTATACAAAAGAAGAAAATTCGCTATATTGAAAATGACAACAATCATTTCTGATTACTCTTTGAAGTTACTGATGTGCGCAGAACATTTCCTGTCGACTGATCATTTCCCATAATAGAAAAAAAAAAGAGAGAATCTATCTAAAATGAGAAGGATGGATCGAAGAAGTTCTGTTTTGTTTTGTCTGGGAATATTTTATTATAATTCTTCTTGTTTCTGTTTATTTTCACCTAATCATTGTTAAGCAAAACAAGAGCAGATGAGAATACACATAATGTTTTGCTAGATAAAAGCAAAAAAGACAAGAGCGAAGCGGCAATGTGAATAAACATATTGTTTTGTTTAGCGTTGAGTGCCTTTTTTCGGACCAGCCTTGGGGATATTCTTTTGGATCTTTTCAGGCTTCTTCACTGGTTTATTAGCCTAGATAATTCCGAATAAGAATGCGTGTTGTTTCTTTAGAAGGAAAACTTACTTTAACACCAGCAGTTTGAGCAGCTTTTTTCTGTTGTGTTTTGGCTTTTTTTGCTAATTTAGCCGCACTAGAAACAAATTTTTACTAATATATCAGAAGAGAAAGACAGATGGTCGCGCCTTCATACTTGATGGCATCTTGTCGTTGAGCTTTACGGAATTCAGGTTGTTGATTACGTTTAGCAAGAATGTCATTCCATGTTGCGCCGGTGATAGCTCGTTGAAATTTGACAGTACGGCGTGTACGTTTCTTGATTTCTTGTTCTGCTGCGCCTTTCTTATGTTTACGACGGTATAAAACAGTCCACGTCACGCGACGAGGATTTCGTCGCATATCAGCCGATCGCTGGCATTTAGAATTCAAATAGATATGGACCTAAATTTCAAGAACCCTTTGTAAGTTTGAAAGATAAGTCAAAATCAGATCTGTACTTTGCCATCTATCTTAACAACACGTTTACCGTGTCCGGGATATATTTTATATCCGCTGTAGTTGCAAATTTCAAGTCTATAGAAACAATATATACATATATAAACAGATGAACGAGATGCTTTTCTTCTACACATACTTCATGATGGTCCGATTAAATCAATCAAGACGTGATCTAAAACGAAATTTTTAATCGAGAATATCAAGAACTTGACTAATTTGTTTATGAATGACTAAAGCTGACTCTGGAAAAGAACTTGGTAAACTATGGATTGCCTATCTAATAGTCTGCGGTAATCAATTTAATTAAAATTCAATTCGTTTGAGAAAAGGTAAACATAGAATCTCACAAATAAGTAGTGAAAATAGATAAAATTAAATCACTTTTATGACGAGAGAATGCGTACAAGTTCGTAAGTACTTGTGCGTCATCTACAGGATCACGTCAGTGCCGTCCGATCTGTGTCCAGCCACTGTTACATGACAATTGTGATCGATCATTGACACTATCATATGCCATCGGACCCATTTGATTGATAGTAGTCTTGATATTGTGCAGATTTTTTATAGTCCATGCTGGTGAACGTGGTTTGATTGCATCATATTTCGGTAAATAGAATGGTGTGAAAGTACGTTGAGCTTCTTCAGATGCGGAACGAAGAAGATTACCCATAGCATCACGAGGATGAATAAATCGCGCTGGATCTATATGAATAGTTCGTTTCGGTTTGATAGACGTCTTTTGATTTGGAAATAAATATTTTTCGAAACCATAGATCGGTCGAACTTTCCAAGAATCGTTTTGATTCCTAGTGTGCACAATTGGGTTTTGTTGATGTCGTCGAAGCTGACGTCTAATGGACATTTAAAGAAAATTAGAATATAAAATAGATGGGGAATGTTTTTTTGCACAACTTAGCAACCTACTTTGATTTTTATTTTCGATGAATGAATGTCGAGTGGAAATAAGATCGCAAAAGTACCACCGTTCTACAATGTTAACAACGACACTTTCTATCATGGTCCAGCCTGGGTAATTAAACCGAAATTATTCCCACGGAAAGAGACTCATGTGAAACATCCAGGTCCAGCCTACTACCGTATACCGAATCGATCTGTCTACGCACATCCAGGTATAAAACATTCTCATCTACAGCTCATTTGTCAAAAGTAGCGATTGTCTCTCATCTTTAGGAGTAACAATAGCTAGTCGATATGAAACAAATCCTCCGAGTTCGACACATCTATTAGCATACTATCATCCTACTGATCAATACATTAGCAGTACACAGATGCCTGCAATATCTATCACACCACGTCGAACCAAACACGAACAGTCACGTAATTATGCAGGATGTTTGTATACGCCAACGAATATGTTGGATCACTGTCGAACTTCTCTTCTACGATCTTCATATCATCCGAGTACAGCATGGAAATCACGAAATCCTCACTCATCATCAACATCAAGTTCACCCGGCCCGGCTGCTTATCCTATCTATGACGACGATGAAGATATCCTTCCTCGTCCACAACCTGGCTTTACACAAAAACATCGCTTCTCATCAAGCAAAAATCAAAAGATTTCCCAAACGAATCCGCCTTTCTACTATCCGAATAAAATGGATCAACATCGTTTACCATCATTTACGATTGGCAAACGTCTACTACCGTTCGAAAGCACTCGTCAACGTACACCTCCTTACTATTCCTCGATTCATGATAAGGCGCCTTGCTTGAGTACAGTCAAACCGGGTATTACATTGAAAGGACGTTGGAGTCCGGCAGTCTGTGTACTAACTGAAGGATAGACTCTGGAAGACAATACAATATTTCAATGAGTCTCGCTGCTTTTTTGTCTTCTACTGTGAAAACCATGATGGATGGATGAATTGTATGAAAGCAAGAGAATTGCTTTTTTTTCTGTTCTTTTCTCTTACACGCTGCAAAACGTAGCTACAACGAAAGAGAAAAAACAAAAAAACAACAACGTTGCCGATCCCGTCATTCATACTCGGCGGAGAAATACTCCCCATGAATCAACACAAAAACAGTCTTATCGAACTTTGACTGATAGAACTATAAATAAAGATGCTTTTTAAACGATGTTCGTCGTTGAAAACTGTCATCCAGCGTCATTTATCATCAGCAAAACCGACTCTTTACGAAACACTGAAAGTCCATCGAAGTTCGCCGGATGTTTTTATTCAACCAGCCGAAACTTTATTCGTCTATCCTTATCGCACGAGTGTATTTGGTGGTCAAATTATTGGCTCCGCTATGTATGCTGCACATCAAACACTAGTCCAAGATTTTCCACTGCATAGCTTGCATTCGTATTTTCTGGCCGCAGCAGACAATTCCTCCGCTATCACTTACACAGTGAAACGATTACGTGACGGAAAATCATTCGAAACACGAGCTGTCACTGCGCGACAGGATGAGAAGATCATCTTCGAATCTGAAATGAGTTTTCATCGAAAGGAACAAGGCACTTTGGCACATCAAGCAGTCATGCCTGATGTTGGTAAGTTTCTCTCAATGTAGTCTAAGTTGACAATGGTCTTTATTTTGCCAAGGTGTTATTCCACCTGAACAACTTCATTCAACCAGGGATCGATTTCGAGATCTTCTCAACGATGAACGTCTTAAACCTGAATTTCGACCATTTGTTGAAATGGCTCTTGAAATACCTAAACGCATTGACATTCGACATTGCCAACCACGCGATCTTCTTCGACCATCACCCGTGTGGCCAGCACGACAACTCGTTTGGATAAAAGCTATCGATCCTTTGCCTGATGATTCCCATTTACATCGATCTGCCATCGCTTACTGTAGTGATCGAGTGTTATTAACCAGTGCATTGCTTCCCTATGCTCTCAATGTCTTCAGTCCACGTATCAGAATGCAAGCATCCCTCGATCATTCCATGTGGTTTCATGATGATTTCGCTTTCACTACAGCGCCTGAAACTCAGCAATCATCAACAGAAGATGAATTTCTGAAACCAGTTCGCCGTAGCGTTGATATTCCACCCGTTCCGCCGAAACTACCGGTTCGTGCTGATGATTGGTTACTCTATGAATTAGAATGTCCAATTGCAGCAAACAATCGAGCGTTAACTTTCGGACGAGTATGGACACGCAATGGTCGATTAGTAATAACATGCGTACAAGAAGGCGTGATCCGCTGTTATTGATAATTCTTTCAGTCACAAAAGATATCAGATATAAATCAATAGAAGATCTCAAATGTTTGTCTATTATGTCGTATTTTATTTAATTCATGTTTGAAATTTAGCTAATTTTCACAAAAATATATAAGAATATAGAACTATTTTCATATCGATTTATGCTTGGCCTGTAAATACGTGAACACGGCCACTGGAATTGCCACCGACAATAATCGGTAATGTAGGATGACCAATATTGATCGTTGGAAGAGAATTGAGATTTTCACTACTTAGCGATGCTACTGTCTCACAGTTTTCATCCAATACAGTGATCTAGAAGTAGCGAAACATTCGAGATGCATATTCGATGACATGATTTACCTGACGAGGGTGTGTATTCGAACCAATAAAAAAATGAGATTCTATTAGAGAATAAGGTTGAGCAGTAAAAGGTGTAACAAAACGATTAACATAATTTCGATGATGAATTTTCTTCGTTGGTGCAATATTCAAAGGATCATCCGCACTTTGCATAGCATCCAATGAGAATGACATAACACTATCATCTCGAGTAGCAACGAACACATGACTACCACATTGGTTATAATAGGCTCCATAACATGAACTATTTGTTTGTAAACAATATTTCATTGTGGACATGTTTCGTAGATCCCAAACTTTAACACAACTGAAATAAACTGAGATAACAAAGTCATTTCTCATGAGAGGTCGTACTTGTCAGTTCCAGATATGCAAAATTCATCTTTTTTCTTCGGATTGATGTGAAGCGAACGTATACGTTTCTTTGTTACGTCAAAACGTTCGACAGATGCAGGACTAAATCGAAAGCTATTAATAAAGTAAACTTCTTGTAAGAAGCAGTAGTTCTTACACGGCTCGCAAGTCAACTACTAGAATATCGCCGTTATCTTCCGACACAAGACATATTTGTGGTGAGTGGTAATCAAAAGCTGTTAAACCATGGTTATTCGTGTCTTTAAACATCTAAATAAGACAAAATGGTGTTCTATACCATCTGGTGTTACAATTCCTACTTCAATGAATTGATTTTTCATGATATCGCATGTTAGAAATGTCGAATCATAAGATGTTGAATTGATACAATTTGGATTCGATTGATCAAAACGACAACATGTCGCGTATGCTTTATGAAAGTCATAGTTAATTTTAGACCACGGGCCATGTAGATCGCTTGTTGGCTAAAATATGTTTAATCGATGTTTTCATCCTGATGAGAATGAGTTATCTTACTTTGACTGCAAGTCCCACAGTGCCCTTTCGATCGCATCCGATAACTGCTAAGACATCCGATCGTGAATGCATGTCCATTGATATTAAACGATCAGGCGTTAATTTGAAGACATTCTCGTCAGCAACATCCAGATCGGAAAAGTTAAATGTTGATCTAAAGAATATTTAACAAAGGATTCTTTTCGGCCAAATTCTGCAGTCAATTATCTTACTTTGTTGACTCGATAATTGGCTGTTTATCTTCAAAGAATGATTTGATTTTTGCATTAAGCGCTTCTTGCTCTTCCGGTGTTAGTTGGGACACTATTCGTTTGGTTACTTTTTGTCGTTTAACCATCATGTCAGTGTTTTCGTCCTATTTCGGATAGAAGAATAATTCTTCTTAAATCGAACTATTCACAATTTACTTCATTAGCATTTATTTCACTATCGCTAACGTCTGGTGATGGAAGTTTATTTCCATCGACATTCATATGTGCAAGACGACGTGATCGGCGAACTGGAGCGTTTTCGGAAACGGTAATACTAAAAATAAGAGCGTGAATATTCATGTTACTCTGGAAAGAAACATACTATTTATAATCTCGTTTCTTTCCTTCTGGTTGCAATGAATGTGTCAAACTTTTGAAGTCGTCACGAATCTAAGATTAAATAGACCCGTTAGAATGTACCGCCAGAAACAAGAATGAATTACTTTTGTCATTAGTAAACCTTCTAAGAAGGCTTTGTTGTCTTCCAAATTCTTTCGACGAATTTCTTCAATGTTACGCATTGGTTCCTCTTTCATTTCATCTTCCTCAGGAATTTCCACCTATACACACAATGAACACAACACGTGTTTGAAAACTACCATTGATCAACATACTTTCGTTTGCACTCGACGTTTTGTTACAGGTAGTAAAAGTGTGTCTTCCGATTCATTCTTCAAAAAAATGGACAAATTTAGTTTTCAGTACATGTGGAACAGAAGGTTACTTGGTCTCGTAACGAACGTGAACGTAGAGCAACTGGCATCATTAATAGAATAGAATAATAAAAAAAATCTCTGAAAACTGAAACAGTATATATTGGAAGAATAGTTAACGGTTAACACATAAAACCGCACTGAAGAAAGACAAATTCTCTTTGTTTGTATTAGTCCTTTCATGAGCCAATATTATTTCCAGTAGAGGGCGACATATTATTTACCTCTTGTTGTTTTTCTTTCTAACAATATTTCTTCGTCTTGGGTACTTTGATCTCCCGCCACGCGTATTCAAACAATTTCTCTTTTAAATCAAAAAATTTCAATCATGGCTGCTTACAAGATAGTATTAGGTAATTCTACATCTCTTGCATTATCTGACACTAAAAAAAGCAATCGTCTTTTGTTTCAGTTCGTCATGGTGAAAGGTAGATCGTAGAAACTCATTTGATAAATATGCCTTCTCGGTTATTTCTAGTGAATGGAATCAGAAGAACTTATTTTGTGGATGGTACGACGCTGATTTATCAGAAAAAGGTTCAGAAGAAGCCAAGCAAGCTGGCAAAGTTAGTATTTCTCACTTTGTCAAAATACAATTGATTTCTAATTGAGATAATTTCTCTTGTTTGTAGTGGCTCAAGGAAAAAGGCTACACATTTGATGTGGCTTTTACATCTGTATTGAAACGAGCTATTAAAACTCTTTATAATATTCAACAAGAATTAGACTTACATTGGATACCCGTTCATCGTCACTGGCGTTTGAATGAACGTATGTATGGCGCTTTACAAGGTAAAAACAAAGCTGAAACTGCAGCTAAATACGGTGAAGATCAAGTCAAAGTGAGTTGAAATCATCTTTCATAGTACTTGACCAAGATGGCTTTTACATTTATATTCAGGTTTGGCGACGTGCTTATGATATTCCACCACCACAACTCGAAGAATCGAGTGAATACAATCCAAGAAATGACAATAAATATAAAGTAGACATTCGTATTGATTTCAGAGAGTCGAATTCTTCACACTTGTATTCAGAATTTAGATCGACGTGTTTTACCGTTAACTGAATGTTTGAAAGATACTGTTGAGCGTGCATTACCATATTGGCACGATGCTATCGTCCCAGCTATTCGTTCCGGACAAAAAGTTCTCATTGCTGCACATGGCAACTCCTTACGTGCTTTAATCAAATATCTCGACAATGTACCGGATGCAGAAATTGTCGAACTTAATCTACCGACAGGTATGAATTTATTTCACTGATAATTGTTTAAAAGTCGATATGCATTTGAAGGTATTCCACTCGTTTACGAACTCGACGAAAATTTAAATCCCATCAAACATTACTACGTTGCACCCGATGATGTCGTTCAAAAGGCGATTGATCAAGTTGCTAACCAAGGCAAAGCCAAGAAATGAATGATCTGCAAGACTTTATCTAACAAATTTTACCGCTCATTTTAGTAGATTAATCTAGTTAAACATTATTTTCTTAAAAATCCATTTAGAATATATCCTCTATTACTCACTATATCTATCTATTTATCACCGGTAGAAAAATGAATAGGTTAACTGCAGTATTTTTTCAGTCTATGAAATAAAAACTTCGATTCGTGAACACGAATCTCACTTGATTCAATTCATGTTACAATTAATAGTTTCCTATCGTATGAATGCGAAGCGCGTTTTTAATATACATTTTTTTTCATTGTATGATTGTCAAACATTCAGATGATCGGAAGAAACTATCCAAACTATATCTCGTCAAATCCAATTATTTTACAAATATTCGACTCAACTTAAAGCAAAATTCTTCGACAATAATCAACAACACTTCCTTCTTCAATTCTCTCCACGAAAGGTTTTTAATCAATTCCTTCGACTGTGAAAATGATTCACCATTAGCAGCCGGTGAATATTCTTTTCTTGTATATGGAGGACAGTATCTCACTCTGTACAATCTTGATGGTCAACTTCATAGACTCTCTTGGTATACAAACATCTATGACTCAATCAAACAAATCCGATGGTCGTCCTACTATCGATCATATCTAATCATGACAGCGCGATATTTCACACTTTTCAGTTTAGCTTCTTACAAACTTTTCCCAATCAATCTTTCATTGAAATCGTCCGAATATTTGCAATTATTTACATGTCATCAAACGGATCTATGGCTTGTCTGTTTAGTTGCTTCCACTAAACAGCAAATTCTTGTTCAATGTGATCTATCAGAATGGGAACGGAATGAGTTCAGTATGACGAATATTTCTCTAGATGAGCTAGGTCTTCATCGAACGGATAGTATTTGTGCGATAGAAACTGACCGGCCAGGTGAATGTTTAGCTTTGTTAATCGCAGAACGAAATCAAAACTTAACTGTCGGTATGCAGCGTCGTCGTCGATTGATTCTTGTATCAACCTATTACATGTCTCCGGTACGTGTGATCTATTTCAGTGATGCTGATGATCTCTATTGGTCAATGGCACCGGTGATCAACCGACAAAATGGACAATATGGTTGGTTACTTAGTAAATGGCAAAATAAGGAATTAGCTTTCGTGAACGAGAAATGTTTTTGTAAACCATACTCAAAAGAATTGTGTAATCTAGCTGTCACAATCGATGGACATTATTTGATATTGAGGACGATCAATAGTTTAGATATTTATGAAATTGATTAGATTTATTCTACGAAACAACGGTTTTTTTTCTCAATTCGTAAATGAATAAAAAAGAGAAGAAGAAGAGAATCTTCATGGCGCATGATTTTGAGGACTTGATGGATTTGTCAAAAACAGTTTAAAGCGCGTAAGACCTAAGGATTTCTTATCAAAATAGATATTTTTGGCATACAAGCGGCAAATCACATGGACGAGCACTTTTGGCTGAAGATTATTAAATTGTATCCAGACGTAGGGCGCCTGATAAAGATCTTGACGATCGACTTTACCTCTGAAATTGCATCGATAGAATGGATTAATAAACAGAAATCAAACGAGATTTACTTGTAAGGAAACCATTTGGTTTCCAATGAACCACATTGATTGTCAACATTACTCTCAGAAATATAAGTCATATTACCAATACTATCAACATCGGATGCAGACTAGACAGAAATCGTAAAGTATCATCTGTTTGAAAAGAGTTCGAGATTACCTCTCCATAGCAATGAACAGCAATAGCATTTGGTCCAGGTTGACATCCAAGTTTTTCATATGCAGCCTGATCGTCTTCTTGATAACCTGGTTTGGGCATGAAATCAACAATCTAGAATTACGTCTTGCTTCGATTAATCTTCTCATTCTTCAGTGACCTTACTTTATTCATTTTGACCAGTACACATGGTCTTCCAGCCGAGAATCCATAGTGTTTCTCCGGCGTACAGTTATGTGGATTTCGAATGACGAATTGTCTGATTGCATCTGAAGATTTCTTAGGTTTCCCATAATCTATTCGAAGAAGAACAACGTCGGGTCTCTGCTGATGGTTCAACTCAATACATACAAACTTGGAGATATTGATTAAGATGTTTTATATAAGGATCTGAATCGCAACTGCCATTAGTTTGATTAATATAAATTAGATTTTCTAGCACATTTGGTTGTGGTCGAAAACCCATACCTAAATCGAGGAGTCAATACAGTTTACACAAGGCAGATACCTTTCATGTAATACAAACCCGGTGAAATAGGACTAGAACGAGTTTCCATACATGAATCTGCTGAAGAATAACGTGGAATGTCTTGTGGTGTGATAAACATTAGTATTGCGATCATTGCACAGAAAAATCCGGTCAAACCCAAGGAGAAAGAGCTATAGAAAATAGCTAGTTTTGCTATGAGTCGAAAAAGACAAAATCCACATCGTTTATCAAGCGCAATAGTCAACAAGTTTTCTTTACCCCATCGATGTCCATCTCGTCCCATAACTTCTCGTCGCTTCGAATCGTAAAATGCATCTCGCAGATCGGATAACTGGCTATTCATATTGACTAGAACCGGTGTATTCTATTTGATCTAAGAAAATATATCCAAACTAAACCAGCTATATACAATCCTTCTATTTTCAGATTACACACTTCGTGCTGGAATGTAACAAAATGAAAAAAGGACGATCGACAGTTATGTGAAACTATTTCATTAGTTGGATTTCTTCGTCAGAGTCGTGTTTTTTCTCGTTGATGCCTGTTCGATGTACAATCTGATGGAAGGAAGTATAATCGATTTATTCTAATGCAATTCAATCTTTCAATTAACCAATTATTAAAAGAAATGTTCATTTTCAAGCACTTCCTGTTCGCGTACATGCATGTCTAAACATATTTTTTTCTTTGTTCGTCAAGTCAAGCATGTTAGAATGTAAATGCAAGTGATTCTTTGACGTAGACGAAATACTTCAGATAATCGGATTCAAATATGGTCTTTCCGAAAGTTTTTCAATGAATGTGATTGGTCCGATAGAGTGCACTATTAATTAGCGACCTCATTTGAATTAAAACGGTTCGACGAAATTCAAAGACATTATGACTATCTTTTGACATAATAACAAATGTGTTAGCCGTACATATCACAAATAAGTTTTATGTTAGAAAATTACACAATATATTGATTCTTATTGGAGCAGTTGTGCAATTACATTTAGGGTTTTTTAAAGTTAACTGTAAATTTGGTCGAAAGACATATTTATTTTGAACTTATCATCAATCATGTCTCGATTACATAAAATGTCGATCCAAGGCATTCGGAGCTTTGGAAATCGCGATCAAGATACCCAAGTGATCACATTTTTTTCGCCGCTAACAGTTATCGTTGGTCCTAATGGATCAGGAAAGACAACTATTATCGAATGTTTAAAATACATGGCGACGGGCATCATGCCACCAGGTGCCAAAACAGGTGGTGCATTTGTTCATGATCCAAAAGTCGCACACGATACTGAGGTACGCGGTCAAATTCGTTTACTATTTCAAGATGTGACTGGACATAATGTACAAGTGCAACGGACACTTGTTGCAACGCAAAAAGTATGTGATTCATGGAGAAAACTTGTCGCTTTGAGATTATGTTTCAGAAAACAAACATTAGTCTTCGAACGTTGGAGGGCGTGATCATACGTGAAGGAATCAACGGTGAACCGATTCAAATCACTTCCAAATGTATTGAACTAGATAGAGAAATGGTCACTGCTTTTGGTGTTTCAACAGCGATTCTTGAAAATGTTATCTTTTGCCATCAAGAAGAATCGAACTGGTTAGCGAAGACAATCTGTGACATCTAAACTCACACTGATTGTTTAGGCCATTGAGTGAAGGAAAACAATTGAAGAGTAAATTCGACGATATTTTTGCAGCCACTAAATACATGAAAGCACTGGAACTCATCCGAAAAATTCGCACAGAAAAAGTTCGTCACCATTCTTTCTTCAACAACTTCGAAAAACAAAATTTGATTTAGTTACAAACAGTGAAAATAAGTCGAGCAGAAATTGGACATCTGAAAACTTATCGAGATATGCTAGTCCAAGTACGTTTAGTTTTCTCGATAACAAACGAAGACACCTATATTGATTTGTATAGAAAAAGAGACAACATGCTGAAATCGAAGAACGTCAACAAACATCGACAGCGAATGTTGAGAGAATCAATCACAAACTAGAGCCAATCGATGTAAGCTGTCCGAATGAAAGATTCATATGTAACATTGTTTAGTAGACTCGTTTGGAATTCATCGTCAAAGAGAACTCGAAAATGATCGATTTCCAGCGACAAATGGGTATGTTCTTATTTCTGATCTATAGGAATATCAATTCGTCGCTTCTTAGATCGCCTGACCAATGAATGTGAAGCTTTGAAAAAGCAAATTCGTGAATTAAACTCGGTCATCGACGAACCATTTCAGGGTTCGGAAGATGAACTAAAACTTGTCATTGCTAATTTCCAACGTGATCAAGATAGAAAGAAACGAGAACTTCAAGACGTAAGTGTTTTCATATATTACTAAAGAATCTTTAGTTTTTGATTAGTTGGAACAGAAGAAATTGTCCATTGAACGGCAATTGAGGAAGCTTGCCGAGAAACGAACATCAGACACAAGTCGTTTAGGTGCCTATGAATACGAAGAGAAACAGTACAAAGTAAATTTGACGCGTCAGCAGCAATTTATTGATGAATATGGTCACCAATCATCTCAAATTGTCGATAAGACCAACTTCAACCAAACTTTTGATAGACACATTCAATTCGAACAGAAACAACTAATGGAAAAACGTTTATTTTATCAGCAGCAAGAAACAAATCTGCAACAGGAATTAGACAAGTCCAAAGAACAACGTATCAAAATCGAATCGACGATTAAACTGAAAAGTTCTCAAGTCGAAAAAACAGTCAAAGAAATTCAAGATATAAAACAACAGCAGAAGCAAATCGAACAATATTCCAAACACTTGAATGAATTGAACAAACGAATTGAACGTAAAGAAGAAGAATATCAAGAGAAAATCGTCGGAGGACTTAATCTTGAGCAGCTCAAACTTGACATCAGTACCGATGAACAGACACGTGCACAGTTACAGTTTGAATTAAAAGATTTAAACACCGAAATCGATAGTTTATTAGTCAATGCGAAGATCAATACTGAATACGAAATGTTCAACAAAGAAAAATCTGAACGTGAAGAACAGATTCGAAAAATGTAAGTGTCAGACTGATTCCTTCATTTCCAAAATTCCATTTTCCCAGTAAGCTCCGACATCATGAAATTCTTTCGACAATCTTTCACGGATCCATTCCGGAACAAGATTCGAATATATACACTCAATTTGAAAATGAACATCGCAAACTGCAACAAAATCGTTCGACATTAGAGAAACAAGTTCAAGATATTCGACAAGATTTATCCGGCAAAGATCAAAAACGACGTTTACTTGCGGAAGACTTGAAACGTAAAGATTCACTACGTAGTGATTACACCGATCGTCTACAAGAGCAGCTAAATGGACAGAATTACGATGAATTTCTGGAAAAATTGTCCAGTGACGTTAAACAAAAACAAGATGAAAAGGGCAACATCGTGGGAATGGAGAAAACCTACCAAAAATTCGTCAGTCAAGTTCGATCAACTTTGCAAACCGACCCGTAAGTGAAACTTTTCCTGTATTGACTAAATCATCCGCAAACATATGTGCAGATGTTGTCCATTGTGTTATCGTAAATTCGAAAAACAGTCCGAAGGTGAACAGTTAATCCGCGATATGGAATTGCAAATCAAAGGTCCGGAATATCGACGCAAGATCGATCGTGATCTAACTTTACTGCAAGAAAAATTTGAAAAATGTCTTAATTTGAAACCGATTCACACTCAACTGCAAGATCTTGAAGAAAAAGATCTGCCGACATTGAAAGCTCAAATGAAACAGCTGGACAAAGAGATTGTTCAACTAAAGAGCAAACAAGCTGACATTGAACAAGAACTGAACGATCAAATTTGCTTACCGTTAGAACAATGCGAACAAATTAAAACCGATATGATTATGTTGAACAAATACATCAACGAAAGAAAAGATTTCGAAAGCAAAATCAATGTTTGCCAACAGAAACTGGGTAAGTTCAATCGACTGTTCGGTCTTTCGTTGCAAGTTGAATGCGTAGGCCAAGAGCAAAGTTCGAATCCGCGTACACTTGACCAAGTTAAACAACTCAAGGACGAAGCTCAGCGTCAATTTGATTCCTTAGACAAAGAATTACAACGTAAACACAAAGAACTTCGTGCTCAGCAAGATCTCGTCCAACAATTACGAGAATCGTTGACTGAATTGAAAAATGAAAAGTTAAAATTAAGTTCCGATATACAAAAGAAAGAGCGACTTGATGAACAACTGCATAAATTAACTAGTTTAATCCAAACATTGAAAGATGAAATTGAACATGATAAGCAAGCATTGGAACCGTTAATCGTACGTTTATTTGACAGTATAACCATCGGTTCGATGTTCTTACTTTTAGAACGAGATCGAAACCAAAACCAAAGAAAGAAGTCGAATATTAATAGAGAAAGAAAAAACACTTTCAGCACTCAATGAATCGGTTCACGTCTTTTGCTTTGTCAATATCCTTTGAATAGTGAATTTCAATGTTTAGATCAACGCATTGGAGCAGAAACTCAATGAATTAAAAACTCTATCGGCAGCGATTAATAAGTAATTCATAGAAATGGGAAAATGTAAAGACTTGTCAAATCGCATTATTTAGTTTCGAAGACCGTACGTCAAAGCTGTTAGCTGAACTTCGTTCATCATTTGATCAATTAAATATCAGCGAAAAACAATTCCAAATGGAACTGTCATCATGTATGACAACAATTTCAGAATATAAGGACGATTTAGCACGATCGGACATCCGTTATCGTCAATTGAATGACAATCGACAATTGCTTCAGAGTCAATTTGAACTCGAACAAAAAGAAAAGGATCTTGTTGAAGTCGAAGAGAAAACTCATGGCCTCAAGTAAGTCTTACTCATGTTCAAACTTTCTCTTGCAAAATTTTCTCGTAATTGAACAGATTGGATTCGCTTATTCGTGAAGAAAAACAACTCCGGTCGACTCAGGAAAGTTTATTGAAAGAGAAACATACAGCGGCGGCACGTCTAGCAACACTCGATCAACAATTGATCGAGCTAGAACAGGAACTCGAACAAGAGCATTTGAAAAATGCACATGAACGTTATTTGAAACATTTCGTCCAACAAACAATTGAGGAAATCGCTTCGCAAGACCTCGAACGATTCTACAAAGTTCTGGATCAAACTATGATGACGTATCATACACAGAAAATGAATCAATTGAATAAGATCATCCGTGATCTTTGGCGAACAACTTATCGTGGCTCAGACATCGACGCGATTGAAATTCGGTCTGATGCAGATGAAGAAAACGCATCGAAAGCTCGACGTACATACAATTACCGTGTTGTCATGCTCAAAGCTGGTTCTATTATGGACATGAGAAATCGATGTAGTGCCGGACAGAAAGTCCTTGCTTCATTGATCATTCGTTTGGCTCTAGCTGAAGCTTTTTGTCTCAATTGTGGCATCCTGGCATTAGACGAGCCAACGACTAATCTGGACTTTGAGAACATCAATGGATTAGCTCAAGCATTAATTGAGTAGGTCATATTTTGCCATGATAAAGAAATGTCAATGTGAGACGTGTTTTGGTTTGAGCCCATACGTCAGATGATAATTTCGTAGGATTCAACCTTTGAAAAGATTGACTAATTTCTTCGGAGAGATGAAAACTATGATAATGTCTTGTTTAGGATTGTGAAGAGTCGAGCGAGTTTGAAAAACTTCCAATTGATTATTATTACACATGACGAAGATTTCGTCGATTCGTTGGGCAAATCGGCATATGCTGATAAATGTTATCGTGTTTCAAAAACAAACAAGTATCTCATAACTATATTTTGATTGTATCTAGTTCTCTCTTTTTTTTCGTATTTTAGTGGCTTATCGAAGATAGACGTTTGCAGTATAGCGTCTTTTGGTGCTCATTAATCGAGAAAATGTAATTGTAGATTTTATTTTAGACGAACTTTAGTCAGATATATTCTTTTGTTGTGATTTTGATAAGAAGAAATGTTCTTTTTCTCCTGCTTTTGTTGCAATCTACACTTGAAAATATACGCGCAAATATAAAATTTTTATGACTGCTAAGAAATATTTACGATTAAGATAAAGCGACGCTTTAAGATTCAGTTATACCTTACTCTCCGTTGGCATTTTCATTGAGTACACGTAGAAAGGATTACGATTCGAATAGTGTGCTCTCTAGCGTCCTCTATTGTTTGTTTAGATTTCTGAAAATTGAAAGATGTAAGCAATGCTTGTGCAATGCCCAAGTGACATTATAGTCGATTTACTTTTTTTTGACACTTATATGAAAATGATTGGTAACTTCCATTTACTTATCATTTGTTCCATTGATCATAATACGCGTGTCTGCCTTTCTCTTCCACGTGGATCCTATACACGCGCATTTACACAAGAACTGTCTGACTGACAGATGCTTTATCGGAATGAATCATTTAACTTTCTTCTCTTGCAGTTTTTCCTATTTTTTCATCTAGATACATGCATAAAGTTAATGTGACAGAACAATCTTTTACTGCAAACCCAGTAACTGACTATCCGTGGACGAAAACTACGGAAGAAATTATCAATACATACAATGTCGATGAACAAAACGGGTTGTCCGAAGAACGCGTTCAACGTGATTTGGAAAGATATGGACCTAACGGTAATATTCTAAGACGTCTACAAAATCAATCAAACGTTTTCTCTCCTATAGAATTACCAGCTGAAGAGAGCAAACCACTTTGGAAGCTCATTTTAGAACAATTCAATGATCTTCTAGTCAAAATCTTACTTGCTGCCGCTTGCATTTCATTCGTTAGTATACTCGTCTTCCTTCCTCTTTCCGCCACTTCTCATTTCATTCTTCTTGCATCTAGGTCTTAGCTCTTTTCGAAGAACACAAAGAAGAAGACAGTCTTGTCGCAGCTTTTGTTGAACCACTTGTTATTCTTCTTATTCTCATTGCGAATGCTGCCGTTGGAGTATGGCAGGTAACATCACTCTCCCACTATGTGCATCCTTCTCTGCATTGTCATGTACTTTCCTTCTTTCGATCGACTAGGAACGAAATGCAGAGAGTGCCATCGAAGCCTTGAAAGAATATGAGCCTGAAATCGCGAAAGTTGTTCGACAAAATCGACCAGGACAAATCCAACGGATCAAAGCACGAGATCTCGTACCAGGAGATATTGTGGAAGTGGCTGTTGGAGACAAGGTGCCAGCTGATATTCGTATCACGACGATTTACTCGACGACACTTCGTGTTGATCAGTCGTTATTGACAGGTGAGAGTGTTTCGGTGATCAAACACACAGACCCAGTGCTTGATCCACGTGCTGTCAATCAAGACAAAGAGAATCTTTTGTTTTCCGTAAGCTAGGACACTTCATTGTTGTTGTAAATTCGAACACACTATTTGTACGTGCTGTAGGGAACAAATGTTGCATCGGGTAAATGTCGAGGTGTTGTTATTGGAACTGGTTCCAGCACAGAAATAGGTAGGCGAACTGAATGAAACCATAAAATACATTTACCTCCTTTTTTTTCAAGGTAAAATTCGATCAAAAATGGTTGAAACTGAAGAAGAGAAGACACCTTTACAACAGAAATTGGATGAATTCGGTGAACAATTATCAAAAGTGCGTTGTATCAAGCAGGTGATTATTAGTTAAAATTTTGTTTTTGTAGGTCATTTCTGTCATCTGTATTGCCGTTTGGCTAATCAATATCGGTCATTTCAATGATCCAGTTCATGGCGGTTCATGGCTTCGAGGTGCTATCTACTACTTCAAGATCGCTGTCGCTCTAGGTCTGTACTCTCCCATCATCTTGCCTTCTCACACTACCTCCCACTATCTCTTCTAGCTGTCGCTGCTATTCCCGAAGGTCTACCAGCTGTCATCACAACTTGTCTTGCATTGGGTACACGCCGAATGGCCAAAAAGAATGCCATCGTCCGATCACTTCCATCCGTCGAAACACTCNTCAAGCATGTCGATTCCAACGGTGTTTAGCTATGAAAATGAAACCTAGTGGTGAGAATTGTTGACATCTGCATGATTGAGTCGATATAGATTTATTTACTCATCATCATACTTAAGCAGAGAAAAAGCTTTTTGAAGTATATTTAATAGTAATCAAAAACGTGCTTCTCTTCTCTTACTAGCTGTCCAAAATGAACGAGCACCACGTCATGGAAGCAAACGACCATTGCCTCTTCCTATCACAGCTCCGCCTTCTTCTCGTTCTCTTCCGCTTCCACGAATGCAGTGTTGGACACCACCAACATCTGCAGGGTATGTAAACGAGTCACCACAAGTGACAATGCCATTTGGCTTTCGAAATTTACCAATTAATAAGTAAGTTTGTTTTCAATTTCTCCGTGTTATTGTCTGAAGTAAGGAGATATTTTCGTTGGCAAAAAAAGTGTCACTTATCATTCGAAGTACATTGAGTAATTTGACTTTCTTTCCGAATAGTACGTCATCGCCTATCTGGTCACGCATGTTGTTTCATCAGCAACCACAACAACTGCATTCGTCGTTGAACTCAACACAACAAACCATCTCCGATGCTTCACATACAGATGAAACGCCTTCATCACTTGGTATGAGTATTTGTTTGAGATAGAAACTCTCGTCAGATGATGATTTACTTTTCAGATGTCTCCAACGAAGAAACAATGTGTGAAACAGCTTCTTTCATTTTACTTGAATCAATTCGATGGCTATATTCTGTACCTTCATTTAAAGATCTAAATGAATCAGATCAATATTGTCTGATTGAACAATCTTGGTCAACACTTTTTCTCTTGACATCGGCAGAAATGAAGAGATTCATTGATCAATGTAAGACAAACGAACAAAAGTTTCGTTTATATTCTTCCATACATATCATTCTAGGTGAAAATGATTCATTCGATGACGACAGCCAATATCCACTATTTCAATCCATAATCAAGGATTTAGTATCACATTCAATCGATCAAACCGAATATACATTATTAAAACTGTTCATTGTCTTTAGTCCTCGTAAGTTCGCTGATTGGTTTTCTTCAATGACAAAAAACGAACTGAGTATTGTATTTTCAGCAAACAATAGAGAACTACATGGTCAGTACGAAATTGATAAATACCGAAAGGATGCATTAGTTATGTTAAATGAATACAACAGAAATTCGAAGTACAAACGATTGGCTGAACTTCTCTCGCTTCTGTCAAAGATTCAGGAAATCATGCCGACAATTTCTTTGGACAAACTCTTCTTCCGACATCTAATTCATCGAATTTCAATGCAGAATCTATTGCACAATATTATTCGTCACATTCAAACACTCCGCCGTTGATGAGATTAAAAGACTGTCGGTGCATGAAACTATTTTTTTTAAAATTCATCTTCTGATTGTACTGCTTATTTTTGCTTGTCGAATAAATGTTCTTGCATTTTACTAGAAATACAAGTAGTCAATTATGTTCGCGAATAAGAAATGCACACGTTTTGTTGTCAGATCGGATGGTTTGTTAGAGAGTTTCTTTAATCTCATTGTTAGTTTTTCTAGGGTTAGTATGAGAATGCGTATGGATGCGCAAAAACAAAATTTATTTATTAATTAATGAAAACTACGACGAATCAAACATAGTTTTATATTGAGTAACCCATAGAAAGACAATTCTTTCAATATAGATTATTCTATTTATTGACAGAAAATGATTGTGTGACGAGAAAAAAGTGCTTCGACAATAGCCGAGTTCTGCGAGACGAATAAGAAGGTTTTCAAAAATAAATAAATATATATATCGGACTACAAAGAGAAAAGAGTACACTCTTCCGACACACTGCAACTGCTCATATTCTCGTATACACAAATGAAGGGAGTTTTCTTGATTTTCATCTTCGTGCAATCTGTTCTTGGCACTCATTTCCGTGGAGGAATGATTAGCTGGCGGCCAGCATCCACTGCCGCTTCGGTCATAGGCACGAAAAGAACCATCATTGTCGATCAGAGATATACTTGGTCGAGAAGTGCTCCGGCTAGTTCGTGTACAAGTACAACGATTACAACGTATGGCTTAATTGGGGAAAACGTAGTATCCTCTTTGACATGTCAATCACTTGCATCTACATGCAGTGCTGTAGGATATTCGGGCATATCCACATATGTTCCATGCACTGATTACAATACAGTTTTAGGTATGTCCTTCGGTCATAGCTCGACAGCAGTCAATTTGACTGTTAAAGCAACGGGTGTCGTCATTGGATATGCAGCGGGCGCTGCGTGGTTGACTTTACAAATGGGCGCTGGTGGTTGGAGTATGATGGCATATATTAACATGCAACCACGTTCCGACAATGGTATAATCAATAGTTCGCCGACGTCAGACATACCACCGATTATATACGTCCCTGCGGGGGCAAATGAAACCAAAATTAACATTCCCATGAGTGATGCTGATGGGGATGATATAGAATGTCGTTTTGCAAAGGCATCTAATAATCTAGGTGGAACCACTGTTAATGAATGCAGTGCTGTTTGCGAAACAGTAGCATTACCGTCATCAACACAACTGATATCGGGTAATAATACCTGTACGCTTATTGTGAAACTACCATCGATCGGCTACTACGCTGTAGCTGTTCAAATCGAAGATTTTCTTGCCAATACATCAACATTATTAAGCTCCGTTCCATTACAATTTCTCATTCTTAGTTATGATGCATCGAATCCAACATCAAGTTGTACACAGAAGCCGATCATAACCAGTATTCCGCCTGATTTCCCAATACCAGACGATACAATAACTATTCAAGTAGGTGTTCTCTATCAAGCAATGGTCATTGCAAAAACTGGCTGTGAAAATGATACTGATGGAACTATATCTAATTTCATAACGACAAGCCCGCCTGGGATGTTAAAAACTAACCTTCCGTTCTATCTTGGATCAGCGGGATTCGCAATTAATCTCACTTGGACACCTAGCAACGATCAACTTGGTCAAACATACACGTTTTGTGCGGTGGCTGTTGACAGTAACTTCTATTCATCAGATCAATACTGTTTTAATATTCATGTTGGGCCAAAAACGACCACCACAACAACGACGACATCAACGTCGACTTCTACGACTAGCTCAACATCATCTACCTCTACATCAAGTACTTCCACAACTAGCACAACTACTACATCAGCAACGACATCGACTACATCAACAACGACAACAACATCAACTACCGGTAAATATCACTATTGACAATTTCATTCAAAGGCTTCTTTTGTAATTTCTTTCAGCAACAACTGCGCCACCGTACAATCCGATACCACTGATACTCGGCCTAGGTCTTGGACTTGGACTACCGTTATTACTCTTGCTTACTTGTCTAGCGTTAACTTATCTTTGCCGATGGTGTCCAGGCCCTCTACGGTTCGTCTTTCAATAATTTGTCTATAGAATATACCTAATCTAAACTAAATTACTTCATTTAGATCAGTTCTTCGTCATCGCTTCGGAAATCGTGACGATATGTACTGTTTATATTGTCGGCGATCCGTTCATTTCGATGATCCTCGCAAATCAAACGAAATGAAATGTAGACCTTTGGAAGCCGCACGTTGCTATCAAAATTTATATGTTAACAACAGCGAAAGAGTAACTCCAAGTCAATATCGCGCACAGTACATAAGAATACAGCCTGATCAAACGTCAAATCAGTCAACGACAGCCTTTTCAGATAATGAGTCATTCCTACTAAATGATTCATTCTTTTCGAGATCAACAACGCCCTTAGCCAGCTCGAAAACAACGACATTTACATCGTTTCATTCACCTTCAACGAATAGTCTACCTGCGGTGAATATTTCAAGTGAATTAGCTTCTAACTCTTCAGTACTAGTTGATGCATATTCAAGACAAAATCAGCGAATATAAATATCGTCATTTCTACGTACCTATTCTTATCTGTAACTGTGTTTTAATACGAATTCATCCATTAAGCATCATTCTGTTCTTGACAGTAGCAAGCCAATGTCAAGATAAGAAGATTACAGATTTATTTTCTCACGTTATTGGTTTAGAGCATGAAAAGATTACCACTGCTGGATTTTTTTTCCTTCAAATTTGGTTTCGAAATACACCACAGTTTATAGGACTTTTCAATTCCGCTAACAGAAGTAGATGATGAATACTGATTCATTCATTAGTCACGTCGAATGTTACGTAAAGAGTTTTCAAATACATAGAACAGCAACATGGCTACAATTATGTCATCACTAATTGTAATTAGTCTTAGCATGTTCTGCACTACTGATCCATTCATAGATAGGTCGAGAGTGAATTGCAAGACGAGATGTTTCTTTTAACTTTGTAAATACACGCCGAGTCGATGGGTTTTCTTCGAAGACAATTAGTGTCATGCTTTAATTGTCACGAATCACCGTTGTGTATGGTTCTTATCAAATCTGACAGCACTTTGAACTTTTGATGCAAACAAGATAAGAATCTGCAAATCGTTTTCAAAATCACATCGAACGTTCGTTCTTCTCAGTTGTAATAGATTTTGACAACACAGAATTCCGTTGCCGATGATTCAGTTGTTTGTGCTCGAAAGTGAATGGTAAATAAGAAAGAAATGTTTATATATTTTTCGAAATAGAACATCAATTAAATTGAATTCCTATACGGTTTTCAAAAGCAAAACAAGACATTCGAGAATTATGCATTAAGCAAATAAGTGTAAGCTTTTGTTGTTAGTCTTTTTTTTTCAAATGAAAACAAAACGATAAGATAGAGCGATATTGAACGAAGCGAGAGAGAAAAACGTACACATACGAGAGAGTAAAACAAAACTGTTTTTCTTTTCTTTCACATCAAGCAATCACAGGCATAGACAGCCAAGATCATACGTATTTAGCCTATTCAAATGAGATTTTGAGTATGATGAAAAGACGAGGCAAGAAGGAGAGAAATATAAACAAATCATTCTTCCATTGTTTTTCGATNACTTGATGATGAGAGGCGCAAAGAACTGTTGTGATTTGTTTGTTGCGATAGACGAAGAAAGTTTATGAAAAGGTCGGCGAAGCAACCGAAACAGCGTTGACAGTGTTAGTCGAAAAGATGAACGTGTTCAACACGGACAAGTCTCGTTTGTCACCTCAAGAGATGGCGATGTCGTCGAACACAATTATTCGTCAGAAGTATCGCAAGGAGTTCACGTTGGAATTTTCTCGTGATCGTAAATCGATGTCTACCTACGTGACACCAGCAACAAAAGGTGCAGCTGGTGGTGGCTCGACAGGCGCAAAGATGTTCGTGAAAGGCGCACCAGAGTCAGTGGTAGAACGATGCACACATATTCGAGTTGGAACACAAAAAGTACCAATGACTGCAACTGTCAAGCGTGAAATTCTGACCCTGATCGATCAATACGGAACAGGTCGAGATACTCTTCGTTGTTTAGCTTTGGGCACCATCGACAGTCCATTACGTCGAGAAGACATGGACTTAGAAGATCCCCGAAAATTTGTTAATTATGAAGTGAGCTGTTCCGAATGAGAAATATATGCGCAAACTATTGCTTGTTTTCAGAACAATATTACATTTGTTGGTGTTGTTGGTATGCTTGATCCGCCACGTTCTCAAGTACGAGGAGCTGTGGAACGATGTCGCCGGGCCGGCATTCGTGTCATTATGATTACGGGTGATAATAAGAATACAGCTGAAGCGATGTGTCACCGAGTCGGTATTTTCGGAGATACAGAAGATACCCGCGGTAAGATCATGCATTACTCTTTCCAGACTATTGACAATTATTACAATCGATTGATTATAGGAAAAGCATACAGCGGTCGTGAATTCGATGAACTAACACGAGAGGAGCAATCGGAAGCTTGCCGTTATGCAAAACTATTTGCTCGTGTCGATCCTGCACACAAATCAAAGATTGTCGAGTTCTTACAATCTCATGGTGAGATCACTGCTATGACTGGTGATGGTGTCAACGATGCACCTGCTTTGAAAAAGGCCGAAATCGGTATTGCTATGGGCTCTGGTACTGCTGTTGCCAAAACAGCTTCTGACATGGTTTTGGCTGATGACAACTTCTCATCAATTGTATCAGCTGTCGAAGAGGGTCGTGCAATCTACAACAACATGAAACAATTCATTCGCTACCTTATTTCATCCAATATCGGAGAGGTATAGTGGATCATCTCTCCCTAGTATAGAAGACATTCTTGTATCTCTGTCTAGGTCGTCTGTATTTTCTTGACTGCTGCACTTGGTTTACCTGAATCGTTGATTCCTGTTCAATTACTTTGGGTGAACTTGGTAACAGACGGCTTACCAGCTACAGCTCTTGGGTTCAATCCACCTGACTTGGATATCATGGAACGTCCACCACGAAAATCGAAAGAATCATTAATCACACCTTGGCTCTTCTTCCGCTATTTAGTGATTGGAAGTTAGTTCATTCTTACAAATCGATATATGTCATGTACTCTACACACTTTCAATAGGTTATGTTGGTTTCGCCGTAGTATGGAGTGCAACATGGTGGTCAATGTACGCATCGAACGGCCCTAAACTTTCCTATTGGCATTTGGTACGTAATGATGATTCGTGCGTGTTTTGAATAAGTTCATATAATTTGTATAAAAGAAAGGAAAGGAGAGACTAGTTTTTCGGTGATGTCAAAGCGGTAAGCTATAGAGCAAGTCTCTTTGCATGAATCTATGCTTTCACTAGTTTGAAGAATGGATTACGCTGTAATGTAGTTGAGCACATCTTGCATTCCTAACTCCTGCTTTTTCTTACGTAGAAAAATCACTTCAAATGTCGCGCTGGTGGTAAAGAATGGGAAAATATTGATTGTTCAATTTTCGAAGATCCACATCCAATGACAATGGCTCTCTCTGTCTTAGTCACTATTGAGATGTTGAATGCCCTGAACAGGTACGACTAAACAAGTTCTCGATCGAAAATATCGCATCTTCTTATTTTTAGTTTATCTGAGAATCAATCCTTGCTAAGAATGCCACCATGGAGAAATAAATATTTACTCTATGCTATTGCACTATCCATGTCATTGCATATGATGATTTTATATATTCCCATATTTAACGTAAGTTTGTTTTTCTCTCATACGGTACTTGATAAATTGTAAACTTTTTGCCTAGACTGTATTTCAAATTTGTCCACTTTCGGTGGAAGAATGGCTCGCAGTTATTAAAATCTCTCTACCAGTCATCCTGCTGGATGAAATATTGAAATTCGTTGCACGACGATATCTTGATCGTAAGAATTCAAACGATTAGCATTGACAATTTCAAACAAACGACATCTTCTAATTGTTCTAGGTGGCAGCAAATCTAAACATATCTTACCTGGTGTATTCTCCTCATTTAGTACGTCACTATTCAAGAATGATCTACCTTCTTCAGTCGATAAAATCTACGGACATGAAACAGCACATGTCGAATGAAAACAAAGTCATATCTCACTTTAAGATATCTATTTTCAATTCAAAAGACAATTCACATACATTGTAAAATAAATGAATTTTCTTTTTCTTTTTCTTTTTCTTACATTCAAAGTTCAGCATCGAATTTTTACATGTATAAAATATTTTGTTTGTTTGATGATATGAATGATCATCCATAGTTCCTCTAATCTCATTTCATCACACCAATAAGTGCATGGTATTTGTTCGTCGTCCTCGGTGGTTGTGTTAATTCAATCGTTGTTAGTATTGTACATTATTGTCTTCGCAGGATTCCTGATTTTAGTAAATAGTCTTAACCCAGTCGTGAGATTCACGCATGGTCTTTGATTATGTCTCGATGTTAATCATCGGATACTTGGAGGCATGCCTTCGCTTTTTTTTTCTTTCTCTTTCGTCTATAATTGATCTAACCTATACTCTTCGCAATATGAAATAATAGAAGTTAGTTAGGATACAAGTTACAAAAATAATAAACGAACAGATAAGATTTCACTCGATTATTTTAGTTTAGTCCGGCCGCAGACTTTCAGTCCGAAAGAACTGCCTTTTAATTAGAATATTGACATATATCTACGAGAAAATAAAAGTACAGTTGAACATATATTTTCCAAGACATATTATCGACGTACCTATCTCTCCGATTAAGACAACGAAGAACTTTTGTCTCGTCTTCTCCTATTCGATCAAGTGTACACTATCAAACTGATTGCACTTTTCGAATGAATATTTGAAGATAAATTGTCCGTAGGAAAAAAAAAGCGCATCGTGTTTTAGTTTATCCTTCAGTAAGGCAACTTATTAATGATGTTTATATTTCTCTAGAAAAAATCAAGAGCAAATAAATAGTATTTGATCTAATACACAGAATGCAGTGATTGCTATCAGTTTTTTTTGGTATTCATATCATCCATACTGTTGTTGATCAATGCAACGAGTTCATCAGATTAGAGTTCTGCTTGATCAATTGTCCTAGCATACTGAACTCCATTGGATGATTGATAACATCTAGCACAAAGAAACTTCATTATTTATCTCATGCTGGTACTAAGATAAGCTAATCAACAATTTCATAATAGGTCGCATAAGTATATCTCGATGTCGAAATTGACAAGAAATGCACTCAAGAGAAACACCTGCTTGAAGGAATACATTTGTCGCAAACAACTTTGCTAGTCATATGATGCTAATGATGGGCAATACGGTGTATATGTATGCATATTTACTGCTTTCGAAGATGGTTGTTATTTCTAGTGCAGCTGATTGCATAGTTTTGTTCTGGTATTCATCTTAATGAGACAACACTAGCACGAGTTTTTTGTCTAAACAATCGTTGATCTCTCTTCGTTTTCTTCGTCTTTTATTGCCGACTACTAACGTCATCAACACATCCGATATGGACACCTTTCTTTTCCGTTCTGTAATTTGTCCATTTTCTCTGAGATTGCTGCGTTTTTTCTTCTTTTCTGGCTCGATAACTCTTCGCGTTTCTACATATGTTCTATTCTAGCCGTTATGGTACGAGCATAGAGAGACATCAACTTATATATCTATCTGTGTAGTGCAAGACATCTTCTGATGGATTCAAGACGTGTACGATCTCCGTCGATTTCTAATGTGAGTAAATCTGCATTAAGACGAAAAACCAGTAGGAGATAATCGTGCAATTCGATCGATCGATCGATCATCAGCCTTGCCGGAGTCTTAAAGTGATGCTTGATAGCAATCTGACGAGAGGAAGAAATCGCATTGTGATTGTCATTTGTGCATTACCTTTCTGAGAAGAATAATGTGATAGTCTGATAAATATCAATCTCGCGTTGCCTTTGTCGAGAAAGGAGCTATTATATATCTATGCGACGATGTAAAATGATCTTTGGCAATTCCTAGTTATTATCTTCAGCGGTGCTACTTTAGACATTCGCCGATTGCGGTATTGGAAAGATCGGCTTTTTTACTCAAGCTATCGATTGTTTTTCCTAGGCCTGTTTATTCGTCTGTTGATTTTTAACGACCAGAAAAATGTCTTTAGTGGTTTACAGTAATGGCAACATGGCCATGTAGAATTAATACGATGGAAAAATAAGAACAAAAAAAATACATCATGCATTGTCTCTCATCATCATCATTGGCAATCGCTGTTTTCTTTCGTATTGAGTTCTTCGTGTAATTATTCGTCTGAGTTGTCCTCTTATTTCTTGCTACTCTACTAAGTTAAGATAGGCAAGTCGGATTAGAGATAAACCATGACGGCAATAAGTGCGAGAACAACAAATCAGTTTTGCCAAGCAGGAGAAGATTATGGTGGCGAAAGAAAAATGTCGATATGATAAAGAGAGATGTTTAACAACATATGTTAGAAAGAAGAAGGAAAGAGAGGAAAAGACGTAGACATAAAAGAGAAGAAGAGAAAAAATATATAGAAGACAATATCTAACAAGGTCTGGATATAAAAAACCGTGAACTCTCATCCGTCGATGTTGACAGAGTCTGAATGTTTATCTCTTTCGTTCCCTTTCTCTGTATTCAAGTAAATCTGATACTTAGAAGATATTGAGATAGCTAATCAATTCTCGAATGACTAATTTTTCATCTTCAGGTAGAATGTAATTGACAAGTCTATTTAGATTATCATCTTATATTTCAGTTTTCTGTCGATTGACGGGAATATTACAGATCATGTCAGTTTGTTACAGAAAATAGTCAGTGTCGAGTTGACGAATGATGTACACAAACAGCGATGACTGTTGACGAACAACAGGTTACGTTGAGTTTCATCTCTTTTTTTTTCGTAATGTACGTTTACGTAGAGGACAGATCAGTTTGTTAAGCTGCCACTATTCGAAAACAACAACAACAGCAGCAGCAGTATCCGTAATAACCTGAATAGAAAGATAAAATTTTCTCCTCCCTTTACTATTATCATCAGAGCAATTTCTTCAACGGCTGCTGACGCAAATCTATTTTTCCTCCAGTCGTCGAGAGCAGCAAGATAATATTCGACGAAAGTGTCGACTGTATAATAATAAGACAGAACGGATAGGAAAGAAAAGAAAAGGTACACGCGCAGAGGGTGTAAGATGTATGCCTACAGTATCAGGCGATATATATACAACACCAGCAAAGACGAAGTCATGAAGGAAAAGACGATGCTAGTAACAAGTCAAAATGTGGTTGTAGGTCTGCTTATAGACAAACAGAAAGAGATGAATTTTCCTTTCTTCTCTTCTCTTCTCTTCTTTTCCAGTTGGTTTTGCGGTATATGTTGTTGTTGTACAAATGCATACTCAATGCTATATCGTTTATTTCCGCCTTTTCCTTCTTCTTTTTCTGCTTTCCGATACGACGACAACAACAAGTACAGCCCCATCCTTGTTGTTCCGTTTCTCTTCTGTATAGATGCTGTTGTTTCCGTCATTTCAGTTCTAATCTATAGCGACTGTTTCTTGTTTTTAATCCATTAAACTATACAAGAATAACTTCTGCTGCGTTTCTTCTTCTTCTTCTATTCCATACAAACCTTCATTACTAAGTAAGTCTTAAGTACAATTTTGAAATAAAAAACCACTACTCCTTTTCTGCAACATTCATGGCCATAACAGATGTTTATCGATTGCGCTCGTATTTAAATCAGTCGTAAGCGTCCTGCAATGACCTTGATGGATTTACTTTTCCTCGTGACATACGATAAACTGAAACTGAAATATAGAGACGCATACTAATACGCGATCTGGATAACGCCAGTTGACATGTAGAGATATTAATCGAAAATCAGATAATTAATTAAAAGATCATCCCTGACGATGGATAATCATCATGTCTTATCGATAAGATTCCGATGGTAGGGTGTGGGTTAATATTTGTTTTTCTCTTCCGACAACAGCTAATTATGAGACTGAAAGTCATTCATCCGTTTAATTTAACAGTGTGTACCTAGTCTCAAAGTTAGATAAGCTACTGCCTAGTGACCTCTATATGAATTATTCTCGCATATTTAAGCGAGATAACGTGATAACATCATGATTTTTCGGCAAAGCTTTGAGAAAAATTGCTTGGCTTGTCCTTGTTCTTGGAAACACTCTGGTTGGTCATGTTGACCGGTCTTTGACACGAAAAGAAAGTTATTCGTATGTACTGTTTATAAGACATGTCGGCTATTCGTTTGTTTTCAGACAGCCATGCATCGGCCAAGCATGGCCCATCGTTCGTCCGTTTCAATGATAGTCATTGACTATCCATGGACAAAGACCAAAGAAGATGTTGCCGCCTTTTACAATGTTGAAGAGATAAAAGGTCTCTCTGAAGAACGTGTTAAACGTGATCTGGAAAGATATGGACCTAATGGTAAACAATCCGAAGACAACTGTACATACATGAATGATATACCTATATATTTCTGCTTTCAATAGAATTACCAGCCGAAGAGGGCAAGCCACTGTGGAAGCTCATTTTAGAACAATTCGACGACCTTCTAGTCAAAATCTTACTTGCTGCCGCTTGCATTTCATTCGTTAGTATACTCGTCTTCCTTCCTCTTTCCGCCACTTCTCATTTCATTCTTCTCGCATCTAGGTCTTAGCTCTTTTCGAAGAACACAAAGAAGAAGACAGTCTTGTCGCAGCTTTTGTTGAACCACTTGTTATTCTTCTTATTCTCATTGCAAATGCTGCCGTTGGAGTATGGCAGGTAACATCACTCTCCCACTATGTGCATCCTTCTCTGCATTGTCATGTACTTTCCTTCTTTCGATCGACTAGGAACGAAATGCAGAGAGTGCCATCGAAGCCTTGAAAGAATATGAGCCTGAAATCGCGAAAGTTGTTCGACAAAATCGACCGGGACAAATCCAACGGATCAAAGCACGAGATCTCGTACCAGGAGATATTGTGGAAGTAGCTGTTGGAGACAAGGTGCCAGCTGATATTCGTATCACGACGATTTACTCGACGACACTTCGTGTTGATCAGTCGTTATTGACAGGTGAGAGTGTTTCGGTGATCAAACACACTGACCCAGTGCCTGATCCACGTGCTGTCAATCAGGACAAGAAGAACATTTTGTTCTCCGTAAGATATACTCTCGTTGATGACTGCTAATCTAAACAAAAATATGCGTCGTAGGGCACAAATATCGCTGCTGGTAAATGTCGAGGTGTTGTTATTGGTACTGGTCTTAATACTGAAATTGGTAAGAGGAAAAGAAAAGTTCAGAAGAGAAGACATTTCATGCGATTGACCCCTAGGTAAAATTCGATCTGAAATGGCTGAAGCTGAAGAAGAGAAGACACCTTTACAACAGAAATTGGATGAATTCGGCGAACAATTATCAAAAGTATGGGTGTCTGTTGATAGGATGAAAGATGAGTTCTTGTAATCTTCTCTCTAAAGGTTATCTCAGTCATTTGCGTCGCTGTGTGGGCTATTAACATCGGTCATTTCAATGATCCAGTTCATGGCGGTTCATGGCTTCGAGGTGCTATCTACTACTTCAAGATCGCTGTCGCTCTCGGTCTGTACTCTCCCATCATCTTGCCTTCTCACACTACCTCCCACTATCTCTTCTAGCTGTCGCTGCTATTCCCGAAGGTCTACCAGCTGTCATCACAACTTGTCTTGCATTGGGTACACGCCGAATGGCCAAAAAGAATGCCATCGTCCGATCACTTCCATCCGTCGAAACACTCGGTTGCACGTCAGTCATCTGCTCCGATAAAACTGGAACGCTAACAACTAATCAAATGTCCGTTTGTCGAGTAGGTCATCCACTTCACCTCCACCACCATCATACTTGTTGTTGTTGTTATTACTATAGATGTTCATCTTCAGCAAAGTCGAAGGCAACGACTTTCAGATTGATCAGTTCGAGATCAGTGGGTCAACCTATGAGCCCAAGGGTGATATCTTGTTCAATGGCTCGAAGTTCAACTGTTCAGATCGAAGTGGCTTGGTCGAGCTCGCTGAGTGTGCAGCATTGTGTAACGATTCAGCATTAGACTTCAACGAAGTGAGTGCATTGACTTGATGATGAGAGGCGCAAAGAACTGTTGTGATTTGTTTGTTGCGATAGACGAAGAAAGTTTATGAAAAGGTCGGCGAAGCAACCGAAACAGCGTTGACAGTGTTAGTCGAAAAGATGAACGTGTTCAATACGGACAAGTCTCGTTTGTCACCTCAAGAGATGGCGATGTCGTCGAACACAATCATTCGTCAGAAGTATCGCAAGGAGTTCACGTTGGAATTTTCTCGTGATCGTAAATCGATGTCTACCTACGTGACACCAGCAACAAAAGGTGCAGCTGGTGGTAGCTCGACAGGCGCAAAGATGTTCGTGAAAGGCGCACCAGAGTCAGTGGTAGAACGATGCACACATATTCGAGTTGGAACACAAAAAGTACCAATGACCTCATCAATCAAACAAGAAATCTTAAAACTTGTTCATCAATACGGAACAGGTCGAGATACTCTTCGTTGTTTAGCTTTGGGCACCATCGACAGTCCATTACGTCGAGAAGACATGGACTTAGAAGATGCACGAAAATTTATCGGCTATGAAGTAAGCTAATTGCTTGTTTAGCTGTAGTCAAATCAGCGTATAATGCATCGCTTTTTTGTCTAGAACAATATTACTTTTGTTGGTGTTGTTGGTATGCTTGATCCACCGCGGTCAGAAGTTATTGACGCTATTGAACGATGCCGTGATGCTGGTATTCGTGTCATTATGATTACGGGTGATAACAAGAATACAGCTGAAGCTATCTGTCGTCGAATTGGTATCTTCAAAGAAAATCAAGACACACGAGGTAATAGGATAATAAATGAACGCAGCGAATGATTTATATTTTATTTTCTCTCAAATAGGAAAGGCATTTAGTGGCCGTGAATTCGATGATCTCTCGCTCGAGGAGCAATCGGATGCGTGTCGTCATGCGAAAATGTTCGCTCGTGTCGATCCTGCACACAAATCAAAGATTGTCGAGTTCTTACAATCTCATGGTGAGATCACTGCTATGACTGGTGATGGTGTCAACGACGCACCTGCTTTGAAAAAGGCCGAAATCGGTATTGCTATGGGTTCTGGTACTGCCGTCGCCAAAACAGCTGCTGAGATGGTCTTGGCCGATGACAACTTCTCATCAATTGTATCAGCTGTCGAAGAGGGTCGTGCAATCTACAACAACATGAAACAATTCATCCGTTATCTTATTTCATCTAATGTCGGAGAGGTATAGTCTATCATCTCTCCCTAGTATAGAAGACATTCTTGTATCTCTGTCTAGGTCGTCTGTATTTTCTTGACTGCTGCACTTGGTTTACCTGAATCGTTGATTCCTGTTCAATTACTTTGGGTGAACTTGGTAACAGACGGCTTACCAGCTACAGCTCTTGGGTTCAATCCACCTGACTTGGATATCATGGAACGTCCACCACGTAATCCCAAAGAATCATTAATCACACCTTGGCTCTTCTTTCGATACATGGCTATTGGAAGTATGTTCATATTATCGTCTCTCAGCAGTCTAATCCATATTTCGTTGATAATGAGAAATATTTAAAAAATGCATAGTATTTCTTATCTCTTCTGTCAAAAGCCATTGGCTTTAGCAGTAGATAGATCATAAGTCAAGGATAACTCGATTACGAACAGGATATCTAACAATGTACTTTGAAGAAGAATTCGTGAGACCGAGATGACCTCGAAAAATATCATGCCCTAAGGAGCTTTACAAGTCGAAAACACAAACGTATACTCAAACATACTCTTTCTTATAGCATACGTCGGTGCAGGTACTGTGGGTGCTTCATGCTGGTAAGTACTTGATTGAGTTCGAGCGTGACAGGTTAATCGACAAGTGGATTTCAGGTGGTATGTTTCGTATCATGACGGACCGTTACTAACATGGACACAATTGGTGAGAAGATAAATAGTTGATGCGTGCAGTATGGATTGAATTCATTTTAGTTACGCTTTGTTTTCGTTTTTGTTCTTGAGAATGAACTTGTGCATGAGAGCAAACGATGAAGTCCTATGAAAACTATCTAATTCAATGCGTTCATTTAGAAACATCATTTTAAATGTCAAGCAGGTGGTAAAGAATTCGAAGATATCGACTGCGATGTCTTCGATGATCCACATCCCATGACAATGGCCTTATCAGTTCTAGTCACAATCGAAATGTTAAATGCACTTAACAGGTAACATCAGATGACTCTAAATAGAAACAAACATTCGTTTCCTCTGCTTTCAGTCTATCTGAAAATCAATCTCTTCTCAAAATGCCTCCATGGTACAACAAATATCTTCTATTTGCTATTGCTCTATCAATGTCATTACACATGATGATTCTCTACGTACCAATGTTTAACGTAAAATATAAAAAAAAAGCTCTCCTTTTCGAAACGAACTTTCATTCTCTTTCAGACCGTATTTCAAATTTGTCCTCTAACAGTGGAAGAATGGATGGCTGTAATGAAGATCTCTCTTCCTGTTGTATTTCTGGACGAAGTACTGAAATTCATAGCTCGGAATTATATAGACGGTAAATTTCCTCCCGCCCCGTTGCAATAGTTAATCATTCTGAAAAACAAACATCCAATACGTGTTTGCATGATAAGTATGTCAATGATTTTTCTTTGTTTGTTTTAGTTTCACCGAGAAATAGTGAATTAAATGAATTGGATGGCAAATAGATTAATTAGAAGAAGAGGAAGATTTTGTTTTCTTTATTCTCAACAAATACTCAATTTTTCTTAAGAAAATCTCGTCCGACGGTGATCCTTTCATTTTCTTGATGTCTTATGAAAATTCACGCATATATCAAAGCAAACATATGTAAAAGAATCCATCATCATTCTCTTACATTGAAATCCTCATCCCCTCCGTTGTGTTAGATTTTAGAAGTCGTTTTTCTTCTTTTCTCTCTCTCTCTCTTTTCTTCAAAGACAACTTGTCTCGTTCATCATACGTGTCTGTCTACTCTATTCAATTCTAATTACATCTAGATTTGATTGTGTGAGATTTTCATTTTTGTCTTTTAATTTCAATGATATGACCCTCAAGAATGTATTTTACCATTCTCTTTTTTTCCTGTATAATTTTTCTACACAGTTTTGTCCTGGTTGTTTTGTCTGACACTCATAAAAACATATCTGTTGTTTCACTGCCGGCAACAGTTTTGTTGTCCTTCTTTCTATTCTTCTTTTTTTTTGGGAATATAAACACACATATACACGACTGAGGTGTTCAAGATTTATTTCAAGAACGTGAAGAGTCAGACGTATTTCAACGGACATGGTTCACACTGATTGCCTAATCTAGTCGAGAGAAGAATGAATAACCTTTTATGTAGGTAGAGAGAACAGAAAAAGAAAAAACAAAATTTTATGACTGATTCATGCAAAGTGTGTTGCTTGCGTAGGCGCTGAAGAATGTCGTGAATTTTCGCTATGCTTTTTCTTTATAGATAAATATTCTGTTTGATTCACCATAAATTTAGTTCTTTTGTTTGAATACTCGCAAGTAGTCGTCGATGGCATCACGGGCAAAGGCTAAACCACCAAAGAAGCGCCAACAGCGCGCGACATCGAACATCTTCGCCATGTTCGATCAATCACAAATTCAGGAATACAAAGAAGCTTTCAATATCATCGATCATGATCGGGTATGAATGTTTGGTTTGCTTTCTTATATCGTATCTTCTGTGATTAGGATGGCTTTATTAGTGGTGATGATCTCAAAGATATGTTTGCTTCGTTAGGTATGCTGATTTGATTGTTTTGTATTTGTATGCGTGTGTTTGATCATTGTAGGAAAAGTTGTTAGTGATGTTGAGGTCGATGCGATGATTCGTGAAGCACCAGGTGATATTAATTTCACGATGTTTTTAACATTATTCGGAGAGAAATTAACGGGTACCGATCCTGAAGATGTGATCAAGAACGCATTTACATCGTTGGACGAAGATGGTTCGGGTAAAATCTCGGAAGAACGTTTACGCGAATTGTTGATGACGATCGGTGATCGGTATAGTGATGAAGAAGTCGATGAATTGTTTAAAGAAGCACCAATACGTGATGGTTTATTTGATTATCAGGAATTTGTAAAAATTCTTAAATATGGTCGAAAAGATCAAGATTAAATCCGTCGGATCAATTCCTCTCTTATTCAGATGTTTCACTATAGACGTTACAAAGATAACACGTCTTTTTTTCCTTCTTCTACATCTTATTTTCCATGTTTAACATTCATTAATCTCTTTTTCTTTTTTGCCTTGGTTTTCAAAAACGAATAAAATCAAAGACAAATTGTAACACTGTGCTTGAGCAAACGAAGGAAATGTCTATGTGCACCCGAACGTCCTCTTTTTCTTGCATAAGGATTGGATAAGAAAGATTTATCCAATAGGAAATATTCTTTCACATTTCTTTGTTTGATTTTGAAATTCTTTCTATTAAATCGCGCATTTTATTCACAAGAACTATGTCGTATCCATTTCTGGAAATACTTTTCCATACGTATCAATCACAGATTGAAAACAAAGATGATGCACTCATTATCTTTACACATTGGTGTATGATCTCACATGGTTTTCAACGACTGAATGGCAATCAAGTAGATCTTTTTCGTTGAGACTAACATTGAATCTCGTTTTTTCTTCTAATTTAGAAAACGGAATTGTTACCCAATGATTGGACAAAGAGGTCGGATAATTCCATTACAATGGAATATACGAAGAACGACATTGGCTACAATTTGAAATTATTTGATGTTGAAGGCGTTTTCTTTGCTCATCTGTTTGTAAGATGAATTGTATCGAAAGAAATTATGAATAGTTTGGGATTTGCTTTAGCGGAACAAACAAGGCCGACATGTAGAAATCAGTTTTAGTGTTAACGATCATGTTCATGAAAACTACAAAGAATTTCAATCGTATGATTACGAATGGCATACTCGATTACTCTATATGAAATGTTTCTTTTTAGGGCTTATAAGAATTTGAATGATTTGAAGAAAGAATTTCATGAAAATATCGAATCATTAATGAACGGTAGTTCAGATTCCAATACCACTAGTGACAGTACCACAACTGGTAGTGCTCGAACAGGAAGTTCAAGTAATCAACAGCAACAGCAGCAAACCGGTGCTCGACGTCAAATTCCTGATGATCCTTTGATCGATCCTCTAGCTGCTGGTCGACGACCTCATCCATATGCCGGTGCTTGGTAAGTTGAAACACGAAAGAGCTATTCAAGACATTCTGATTTTGATAATTTTAGGGGACCGATTCCCGGTGGTTATGGTCCTGGTATGGGCGCCTATGGTAGTTCGGATCTTGATCCATTTGGACGTAACACTCGAGGAGGAGGTAAGATTCAATCATTTGATACTGATGTAAAGAAAAATTGTTCTGTTGCAGGTATGAATATGGATCCATCTATGTTTCAACCGGGAATGAGGTAAGAGGTTTAAACTTTGAGTTCAAAGAATTCCAACAGTTGATGATACTTTAGACCACCCATGGCTCGATTTCAACCGCCAGGTCCTCAACGTGGTCCCTATGGTCTTGAGTGAGTCTTTTCTTTTATGTGTCACCGTTTTCTATCGATAAATTTCACTCTTTAGTCCGTTCCAAGAACCAAATCCTGATCATTTACCGATGCCTGGGTCACATCTCGATGACATGTATAATTAAAATTTGTAATCTTGTTCGTTTTAACACAGTTATTTTCGTTTTCTTCTACTCTCGATAATTAAAACATTAAAAAAATCTAGCTATAAGAAGAAAAATATATATGTAAACTCATTTCAAAAATAGTTTTAGATTACTTACATAATGTCGAAAGATTTAGATCCAACTGGTGGTATGTTCAGTGGTAAGTTTTCAAGATGAAGTATGAAATGTTAGTATCTATGATCTGCTTTTCTTCTTTGAAATAATAGGACCAAAAGATACAATGGTGGAAAAGATTAAAGGACCTGGTAAACCAGATTCTCAAACGTAAGCGGACTAACCATCCGAAGGAAATCACGTGTATAAAAAGTTTTCTTATAGATCTGCTCCACCAGGTGCTAAAACTGATATCATCAATCCACAACAACCACCTGAGTATGTGATAATGTGCCCTTTCATTCTTTGTTTTTATGTAATAGTACCTTTAGACCGAATCGCGATCATGCACCAAAGATTGACTTTCAAAGAGAGTCATTACCAGGACAAGGACCGCAAACGGGTGGTTTACTTTGATCGCCATTGCTTTGATTTTTGTTTGTTTCTTCTATATGCTATTCAAGCTTGTAATGTTTCACTTCTGTGCATGTCGATTGTCTTTTAGATACATATCTCATGGCGTCGAATACTAAAGTTCGAGTAACTGTTACGTTACAACCATCAGGAAAATCAAGCGTTCTCATTGTGCAAACATTCGATGATCTTCTTCGGCAGTGTTCGTCGAAATTTCGTGTAAAAGCGCGTCGCATTTTCTTTCCTACTACGGCCGAAGAATTACTCACAGATTTAACTGGCGTTTCTAATGACACAAAACTCATCGTCACTTGCGGTGATACGTATACACTAGCCAATCCACCAACTTCCACAAAACCAAGAAGTACAATCGATCCATCACCTGTTTCCATACAAATTATTGCCAACAGAACTTTGGTCGAAGAGACAGCTGTTGATCAGTTGAAAAACGTTGCAAAAATCTATGCACATGTCAAACACATTTGGGGTATGACGAATTGTTTTTCAAACCGATGCAATCATTTTGACAACTGTAGGTATGCCTGATTTGCATCTGGGCCAATCAACACCAATTGGTTGTGTTGTGGTTACGGAGCCGTGTGTTGTCTATCCTGAGCTAATTGGTTCTGATATTGGTTGTGGTATGAGTTTTGTGCGCACATCTTTACGGGTCGTCTACGAAAACGATGAAAGAAAATTAACGAAATGGACTAAGCAATTGCAAGGCCTAGATGATTATTTACCGAAAGAAGCACTTGACCGATTTCTTCGATCTGAATTAGAATGGCCAACTGCAGTCGCCAAAGTGAATACAGAGCATTCAGAGAATGAACAACTAGGAACAATAGGAGCTGGAAACCATTTTGTTGAATTACAACGAATCGAAGAATTATACGACGAAAAACATGAGCAACTGTCCAAAGATTTTCTTTATCTTCTTGTTCACTCTGGAAGTCGTAGTTTGGGTGAGAAATATCTGCGTGAATTCGGTAAAGGAACAGCTGAAACACGTGGATTGGAGAAAGGCACGGATGCCTATGAAACCTATATGAATAAACACGATGAAGCATGCGCATGGGCGAAGCGAAACCGTGCTTTGATTGCACAGCGTTTCCTTGCCTGTCTTGGTGATTCGATTTCTGGACAATGTCTCGTCGATATTTGGCATAATAACGTTGTTCTAAAAGAACTATCTTCGGATAAATCTCAAGTACATCTTCATCGTAAAGGAGCAGCACCGTCTGATAAAGGTCTCGTGGTGATTCCTGGTAGTCGTGGTACACATTCGTATCTGGTTGAACCGATTGAAGTCAATCAAGAATCATCCGGTTACTCATTAGCACACGGCGCTGGTCGTGCAATGTCTCGTTCGAAAGCGCGTCACTATTTTAGTGAAAAATATCCTGATATTGATAGACTGAAAATAACTGAAAGTTTAGATTCACATGTCGTTTGTGATGATAAACAACTACTTTTCGAAGAACATCCTCAGGCGTATAAAACCATCGATGCTGTCATCGATGATCTTGTTGAAGCTAAGTTAATTCGAGTAGTGGCAAAAATGAGACCTTTAATTACATATAAAACACGTTTGACACATGAATAATATATCGTTTCTTGCTTTTTAGATTAAAAGTTCTTCTTCGCAGACATCTACACAATGGCTGATAGTATGTGAAAAGAGATTTTTCCATAATCGAATTGAAGAAAAACTTCCTTATCTTTTCTAGCTGATGATGTATTGAATGAAGAACGTCAAATCAATGATGATTATAAAATTTGGAAGAAAAATTCTGCTTTCCTCTATGATTTAATTATGACCCACGCATTAGAATGGCCATCATTAACTGTGCAATGGTTACCACATGTAACAAAGTAACTATCCGTTTCTTTCATGTCTGTTTATGATTATTGTGCGAAAAACAATTATTGATTCGCAGACATATTTAGTACAGAGTTATGAGACACGTTAACCTTCGATTCTGTCAGCTTATCAATGAAAAATCATGCCAGATGGTCTTTATCCGGACATATTCGTTATCTGTGTCAGTTTGACCGGAATGAGACAGTGCTATTCTCTGTTGCTTTCAATGTATTTTTACCATTGTTATTGTTTGCGGAGGGCGCTGATAGATTGTTAGTCGAAAACATTTCTGAGAGCACATCAGTAACTAATTGAGGGTTGCTTTTTTTTAGATCCGACGATAACAAAGATTGTACGACGCATCGTCTTATTCTTGGCACACATACATCAGATGAACAAAATCATTTAGTCATTGCTTGCGTACAAATTCCTAAAGATGGAGGTGTCAGTGATTCTACGCAATATGAATCTGAACGAGGAGGTGGGTTTATTTTCGAAAACAAGGTTGTTCGATCTCTCGACAATGTTCGCTTTTCAGAATTTGGAGGTTTTGGATTATTCAATGCAAAAATCGATATTGAATTGAAAATCAATCATGATGGTGAAGTCAATCGAGCTCGATATATGCCGCAAAATCCGTCTCTGATTGCGACAAAGTCTCCCTCAGCTGACGTTTTGATCTTCAATTACACGAAATTAGCCAGTCAATCAAAAGAGCAATTAATGAACCAAAGTGCCGACTGTTGTCCTGAACTACGTCTTCGTGGACATACCAAGGAAGGCTATGGTCTTTCATGGAATCCAAAGTCCAGTGGCCATATTTTATCTGCATCAGATGATCATACAGTCTGCTACTGGAATATTGAAAAAGGAGCGACCGAAGGCAAATTTGTTGATCCATTGGCAGCTTTTTCTGGGCATCAAGCGGTTGTCGAAGACGTCGCTTGGCATTTATTTCATGAAACGTTGTTCGGTTCCGTTGGTGACGATTGCAAACTAATGATGTAAGTGTTCGTTTGACAAAAACGAACTATTGATGTGTGAAACGACGTTCTTCTCCGTATTTAGTTGGGATACTCGTTCGTCAAATTTGACAAAACCATCGCACGTCGTCGATGCACATTCTGCCGAAGTCAATTGTTTATCATTCAATCCATTTTCAGAATACATTCTCGCAACTGGATCAGCTGACAAGGTTTGTATTTGATCGCTTGAAAATATCAATTCATCGAGAAACAACCGCTTTAGACGGTGGCACTCTGGGATCTTCGAAATTTGAAATTGAAATTGCATACATTCGAATCGCATAAAGACGAAATCTTTCAAGTTCAATGGTCACATCACAATGAGACTATTCTCGCGTCTAGTGGTACAGATAGACGATTACACGTTTGGGATTTAAGGTATATTTGATGGAGAATGTTTGTCAGCAATATCGATTTATTTTTTTGTTAGCAAAATTGGTGAAGAACAAACCGGTGATGACGCAGAGGATGGTCCACCCGAATTATTGGTAAGAAAAAGAAGGTTGAAAGTGTCAAAAGAGAATCTCTTTATTTAGTTTATCCATGGTGGACATACAGCAAAGATTTCGGATTTCTCCTGGAATCCTAATGAACCATGGGTGATTTGTTCAGTTTCGGAAGATAATATCATGCAAGTCTGGCAAATGGTATGACGGAAAATTTCAGTTTTCTATTGTTAAAGATCGATTTTCTCCTTGATTCTAGGCTGAGAACATCTACACAGAAGATGAAACTGAAGCAAATTCGGCTGATCTCGAATAAATCTTATCAATGTTGTTCCATTTTTTTTCTGTCTTGATATATCGATATTGTATAGTGTTAAATTTCTGTGAAAACCTCGGACAATCAATATGTGACTGAAATAAACTAGGTAGATAGTGAATATAAAACACCGGCTTGTGTATCTGACAGTTAAGTCAACATGAAACGAGTTAATGTTTGTTCTTTTTTCCGACCATCAACGTGAAACATGTGATGGTTGAGAGTGATACAGTGCATATAATATATAGAAAACCTACAACTCATCTCCGAATGGATAGATCAAACAAACATACCTGCATTCTAAAATACATAAACTACATGATATTACACCTTGGTAAACAGACATTCAGTGAATTGCTTATCGACATTTAATATCTGTTCATCAGTGGTGAATATATTCGTTACTGGTTCTTCATATGACTGTATTTCTTGATACATGACATTAGTCCGAATTAGACAACTAAGATGCCAGACGAAAGTGTGATACGGATGTATGTACGATCCTTCCGATTCTGATGAGAGGATATTTCATCGTCATATGTAAACATACGTGAAGAATTTATTACTGCCGACTTTTGATTACAACTGACTGCGTCAACAGTGTACTGTGTTTACTGCATAAATTTTTTATTTCTTTCCTTCAGACCAAACAATAATGATAAATCCTGCTTCTCGTTTTGTATTTCTCGCTGTTTTCGTAAATTGTATACAAATAACTTACATCAACGAAACTATTCTCGTTCCGAAATCTAAATCAAATACAACTGTTCTCATCAATAACGGAAACTGTTTCAAAACCTCGTCGTATCACTATTGATAATCCCGGTTATTTTATCACAGTTTCTCAACAGAATTTTACTACCGAACGATTAGATCCGACAAATCTAAGTCGAATTAGTTATCCAAGCTCGCCCGTATTCACTGCTGTCCCGCTGTCTACCTCCTATTACACCAATGCATACTTCGTTAGCTTTCAATCTTTTCTTCTAGCTTTACTCACTAGTGATTGCAGCGTAGTTAACAATATTACAGCGCAATTTTCGTATGGTACATGAGATATTATATTTCTTAACAACGGCAGTGTATTCTGTAGAGAATGGACACATTTTGTTTTTCAACCAAACTGATGTGATTTCCAACACTGACAAATATGTTAGTAAGCAATTACCACTAAACTATCTCTCACCACATGGCCTGCGATATATGAATGATTCGTTTTTCTTTACGCTACATCTTGGACAAACAATAGTATTTATTCATATTCCGCTGTGAAGGATAGGTTTACATCGACTGAACAGTTGTATCTGGACGCGAAATTCATAGGACCACCATCGCGTGGTAATCAACTGACTATTGACGAATCTGATCAATACTAGTTTTCATTGGGTTCCTGTGGAATACAAATTTTCGACAATCAAGGTGCCCATCTAAAAAGCTACAGCGTTCCAGATGGCTCATTTTTTGATACAATTATAACTGATAATTATGTTATATACATTTCAGACAATCAGTCAAATCAATTCAATTGAAGACATTTTAAAATGTGATTTGTTCCTGTGACCTCTTATAAAAATGTTCTTGTATAGAAAGAGTAACAAGAGAAACGGAATAGAATTCCAAATTATTCTTCGATAAGTTTCTCGTTAGTTAATAAATATACGTGCATTTATAAAAAATGTCTCCTGGCATGAAAATACAAACAAATGCATCGAAAAATCCTATTGATATAGTTTGTCTTTGTTCTTTAAATGAAGCACAAACTCTGCGTGACAAAATCATTTCACTAGAATTCTATTCAAATATTTCCAAGCTTGACTTGTGCGAACATGATCTTTCGCCTATTGTTTCTCACTATTATTGCTGTTCATCCCATTCAAATACCTTTTATTGATCAAGCCATTCTTATTGCAAAATCTACAACGAATATGACTATCCTCACCAATCAAACTTGTCAGCAATGTCTTTGTCGCTTCCACTCAGCTTATACTGCTCTGAACTGGTTTTCTAACAATACATGCCAACTATTTTATTCTTATCCACGTGTTTATACCGTTGATGGGTTATCGAATGCTCGCCTTTACTTTCTGCAAGGTATTTTTCCAAACGCAAGTGAATGTTGTATGTCAAACAGTTATGTTTTCCAACAGCTCGACACGGCTCCAACAATACGCACGAATGTATCAAAACCTCGTTGTCTGGTGATTGACAACTACGGATATTTAGTGACTGTTTCTCAAAAAACGAAAGATATCATTCGCTTATATCCCGCTAATCTGTCTATTGTTAATCAAACAACTTCGCCGGTATTTACCGATACGCCAACTAGCATTTCATATTACGATGAAGCGTATTACATAGGATTCGATATCTATATTTTAATTTTGCATACCAATAACTTCAGTGTGTTGGCCAATATTACAACAGCATCATTACTCTTTAGTCGTGACATAGGACTTCTACACAATGGACAAATCATGATTGTGTTGTCGACTGGAAACAACTATATCCTATTTTTTAATCGAACAGATAATGTTTCAAGGCAATATACTTACCTCGATCAACAGTTAGTCACTTACCCATCCCCACATGGCTTCTGGTATGTCAACGATACTTACTTTTACGTTACTTCATGGGCAACAAACAGTATTTACTCGTATTTAGCCACTAACAATATTACCATATGGTCTGAAAACCTTTTTATTGATGCAGGTTCAACTACATCATCACCGGGTGGCAACCATTTAACAATTGACGATTGCGGCCGTTATTGGTTTGCGTTAGGAGCGAATGGTATATACATATTTGATCAGCAAGGCAACTTATTGAAAAACGAAAGTCGAATAGCATCATTTATTTTTCATACACTGCTTACTGATGATTATGTGATGTATATCTCAGATATGGTGTACAATCAAATAGTTCGTTTGGATTTGAATGCTATATGTGCATAGAAGATATGTATTACAGTTATGTTCATCACAGTGAGATTCATTAAAAAAAATGGTATAAGTATTTATGCGAAGTAGTGGTTTTTTCATCACTATTAAAACGATATACAACAGTGTTTACCGTGGCGTTAGTCGTTTTCTTTTCCTGCTTAACCCTTTCCGGCCGGCTACCAGAAAACAGCAAGCAAAAGATTTTCTTCATATATATTCTTGTTACTTTAGTTATGAGGATCAATTTTTCAGCCCCGAATTTTTGGAGAATCCTGTACCCCCCTACGGCAAAATTGTATCCATATGGATACATCCGGCTGGAAAGGGTTAAAGATTCTTTTACATAAACTTCTCAGTTGAATGTAATAAATTGAATGGCGTTTTTTTCTCATTACTTTAACAAAGTGACGAACAATGCTCTTATTTCTGTAAATTGCATCCAGATTCCATTCATTCGAAAAACTACTGTAATTTCTTGATCTCAACTCAATACTGCAATCATCACCAATCAGACATGTATTCAATATCTATGCTGTTCGAAACATTTCCCATTCGATATGTTTATCAATCAATGTCGAATGCTCGTGTGTATTTTATTTTCCGCAACGTTATGCTTTCAGATTAAAGCCAACGCTGCGTGCCTGATCTTGTCTCTCTGTTGAATGAATTACAGAATGGAACATGGCCTTATGTGTATGTATCGTTTCTGAGAAATGTTATCATGGATATATCGTCAATGTTCAATCAACATTCGCCGTTCGTTTCGATCCTCAAAGTTTGATTATTAATTGACTAGATACCAATCAATGGAACGAGTCCTATAGCTTTAGCGTTCTTCAATGACGCTTGTTTTGTCGGATTCATAAATAATATCAGTCTAGCGATTGACGGTATCAATTTGACTATTCTCAACACGATAAATTCGTTCTCTATTCAAGGTTTACGCGGCATTGTATTTATTGATGATGGTCGAACGATGCTAGTTACCTTCTATTGCAACAGCAAACTACTATACTTTTCTCAGATACTGAACACTTCTTCCAATTAAGCATTTGTTTATTACAGTTCACAAATACTACCTGGAGCACATGGTCTGACGACTTACAATAGCACTTCTTGAAAAATTTAGTTTAGGTTCTGCAGTACTGTTTCACACATTGATTACAGATAACTATGTCATGTATTTTGCTAATCATGATAACAGTCGAATCATCTGTATGGATACACATATTGATTGTTAATTTTTTGTAGAAATAAAATCTTTGTGCTTCACTGTACTTATACTCCTTGCTTCGAATAAAAACTACAAATTTCTCACACTGTGATGAGCTCTACTACCAAGGAAAAGTGACAATCAAACAAGACAGAAAACTTCCACATCGTCACAAGAAAAATATGGATCGCCCGTGAAAGTAGTTCGATTTTTTCCCGTTGTGTCACGGTACGTTTGTGGAAAGAATGTGCGATTACCATTAGCGTTGAAGGGACTTTGTAAATATAAATCGACCGCTCCATTACGATTAGATCCAAATATAGGTCCATCTTTGGCTAAATGACTTACAGCAAATCGAGTGGCTTGCTCACGAATAAGGTATTTAGTTGGTTCAATACTGTGAGGATTTTTTAATGTGAACAAAAAAGCCAATGCATCATCTCGATATTGCGTAGTCGAACTCCATGCAACAGTAGTAAAACCGCCGAAAATAAAGCCATTTTTCGACCGAATAACCGTCATTGTAGGCCAACGGCCATCGCAAATCTGATGAAATGCTTTCGCTGTATATCCATCACGACTTGCCGAATAAATTAACTGCCACTGTTGATTTTCACAACCAAATAAGTTATTCAATTGTTGCTGATATTCGACAGACAAAATACTCGTACCCGAATAAAGATTCTTCGAATTTGTTTCCTGTTGAGGTTGCGGCGGTTGTCCTACTTTTGATGAACTGACATTCAGTAAGCTAGTTAGACTACTTAACCCATAAAAATCTGCTTCAAGAGCCAAATCTCGTTGTAGTAGGTCGCACTTTGTATCTATAGTGATTCTTCCTGTTCGTAAATATTGTAAAATGAAACCAAACAAATAGCCATCTCTGTCGATGAAAATACTTTCATCCTTCGAGTCTTTTTCCAAATGCCATTGTCGAGAAAAGAGTACTTTGAAATATGCATTGTTGTCCGAAGTATACTTTGTTAATGTACTAATCGTTGTTTCATAGTATGTTCCACCGATGTTGAGTTTCACTCTTTGATTAGACGATGCAGTGGTTGATCCCAATTTAGCTTTTATATCGAGCCATTCCGTCGTTGCATTAATGAGATTGACTTCTTTCTCCTCTTGTTCTTGTTGGAGTGCATCGGTTTGTGAATAAAATTGTTGAAGTTTAAGTTCATAATCATGTAAACATTCATTATACTTTGTTTGTATAGTTGTAAGTTCAGTTTTTAATTGTTCCAATTCAGTTTTCTTTTGTTTTAGTTCACTAAGTTGTGCTTTGCAAAGTTCATGTAATGTCATTGATTTTGCAGCCATTTGTAAAAGTAAAAGTAAAAACAAACTGCCTCTAATAATTTTCTATTGCGCATGATGAAAGAAAATAAGCGGGCCCGACTGGAAAATGTAATGACGTATGCAGTCGAAGTCGACAAAAATTCAGATGCAAATTTGACCGCATTCTCATAAAGGAAGAGGAATACGGCATACCTGTCGAAAACGACACAGAGTGCTCGTGATTGTAGCGAAAATTATCTACATTTCTTTTAAATAAAGAACTATGGAGTTTTTATCCGCTCTAATTCGTTTTCTTTCGATCAGGTATATGTTTTATCAGGTTGTCCAAAAAGTTCATGCACCTACTCTTCTACTAGATATGACCGAGAAGCGGCTTCCATCATTGTGTAGAGAGAGAGCGCATATATGTTACTATATACCGCGTTCGGCCTGATTGGATTATTTCCTTGGTGGAAAAAAAATGTTTTCTTCATTATTTTGGTCGCCATGTGAAAAATGTCAAATATATGATTTCGAACAGTCATAAAGCTTTTTACTTGTAAAGGACTGAATGCCACTGAAATCCACCATGAGTTGGATAATAGTTACCACGACTTTACCCCATCTTACCACATAGTTGCGAAATGGGTAGTTGAATTCAAGGACTCAGCACGTGGCTTCGAAGATCCACTACGCGCTGGCAGTTCATCAACCTCCTTCATCGATGAAAATATTCAAGCTGTGGAACGTATAGTAATGTGTGACCGACAGATCTCTGTTCGTTGGCTAGCTAACGAATTGAGTAGTTCAAAAAGTAGCGTCAATGACATTATGAGTAATTACTTGGGTATGAGCAAGGTTTGCACGCGATGGGTGGCAAAATTACCGACACCTCTTCCACGCATTAACCGGGCGGAATGTTACCAACAGCTGCTGCACGAGAGTGAAATCGACCCGGTCCAGTTTCTTAGCCCTATAGTGACCGGTGATGAGATACGGATCACCCGCTATAATTCTCTCACTCAACAAGAAGCAAAGACCTAGGGGAAACCACATGAACCAACTTCAATTCGATCTCGCCAATAAGGATCGATTGGAAAGATCATGGTGAATATTATGCATCACTCATCGAACGGCTGCGTTCTGCCGTTTTGGGAAGACGTCGGGGCAAAATCAGTTGTGAGATGCTGCTTCTCTACGACAATGCTCCTTTTCACAAGACCAATGTTGTACGAGCCGCCACTCATTAATCAAGCTACCTCGAATTAAATCATCCGGCCTATTCTCCAGATATTGCCCTGACCTACTACATGGTCTTGATGCCGAATTTTTTTCTCAAGATATAGAAAGTTTGAGTGATCGTTGGCGGCGCGTGGTTGCTGGCAAAGGTCAGTACATTGAGTAAATGCAGTAATTGTCGTTCTATGATTTACTAGTATATGACAGTCGCACCAACTTTTTGGACAACCTGATAAGAAAGATGTGAAAGTGTGGGTCAGTGCAAATCTGCTGGTAATTGAACTGCAATCACAATATCGCCATGTACAACATCTAATAGTAAGAAGGAGATCGCTCGCTCGACCTACTCACTTATAACACTGAATCAAAAACTACACTTTATACAGTGAAATATGAAATAACTACAATGGAAATCGTTCGCGATTCTATGATACTGTTATACAGCTCCCTCTGTTAAAAAGAGAAATGAAAATGAATGGACTATTTTTCGCTCGAACTATTTCTAGCTGATATGTTTTAAGTTTTAACTAATATATGTACAAAGATCGCACGGTGGAGGCACGTCTTCTAGGTCTTGACTTTTGATTAACTTTCACTTGTTTTTTCCTAGATGACTGATCCACTCCGACGCGTTGCCATTGTTGGCAGTGGTAATTGGTATGTGATTAGTAGAATGATCTATTTTCTCAACCGCTGTTCAATTCAGGGGTTCGACGATTGCAAAAATCGTTGGCACAAACATATTGAAATTCAATACGTTTGAAAATGAGATTCGAATGTATGTCTATGAAGAAATGGTTAATGGCCGGAAATTGACCGAAATCATCAATCAAGAACATGAAAATGTCAAATATTTACCAGGTCATAAGTTCCCACCTAATGTTGTATGTATTCTGAAGAAAATATTGGATTAGTAGATTGAATTACTATGAAAATTTTCTAGGTCGCATATTCTGATGTGGTGGATGCAGTGAAAGATGCAGATATTCTATTGTTTATCTTACCTCATCAATTTGTAGAACGTACATGTTTAGCAATAAAATCTCATGTCAAGAAAACAGCATTTGCTGTCTCCTTTTCTAAAGTACGTTTTTCTACACATCGTTCTTGGGGACAAACAAGAGTTTTTTATTGCTTCAATTAGGGTTTTTATGTTAGTAAGGATAAACGTGTCGAATTACTGTCCACAGTGATTAGTCGTTTATTGGAAGTTCCTTGTTACGTATTAATGGGTGCTAATATTGCCAGTGAAGTGGCAGCTGGAACATTTTGTGAAGCGACAGTGGGTTCAAGAAATTACGAGCATGGACAACTAATCAAAGGTCTCATCCAAACCGATGAATTTCGTCTCGTTATCAAGCCAGACACAGAAGTCATCGAAGTCCTTGGTGCTTTGAAGAATATCGTGGCTGTTGCCGCTGGATTCTCAGATGGCTTAGGATACGGTGATAACACGAAAGCTGCAGTGATTCGACTTGGATTGAAAGAAATGGTGAAATTTTGTGAAGAATTCTTTCCCGGTTAGTACCAAGTGAGATAGTATAGCGATAATGAAGTACATTTTTGTTTAGGGCATCATCCACAGATCTTTTTAGAATCATGTGGCGTTGCCGATTTGGTGACAACCTGCTATGGTGGCCGAAATCGTAAAGTAGCTGCAGCTTTTGTTAAAACAGGCAAAGATATCAGAACATTGGAAGAAGAAATGCTTAACGGACAAAAACTACAAGGTCCAGATGCTGCAGCAGAAGTTCAAGAATGGTTAAAACAAAAAGGGCAAACCAATAAGTGAGATTTATGAGACTCTTCGATGCAAAACACTCGAATTCTATCTCTTTTGATCAATAGATTCCCATTATTTGTCGCCGTTCATGAAATTTGCGAACGACGGCTAGATCCGAAAGCTTTAATCGATGCTCTTCGATACCATCCAGAATTTTGGTAAACAAATCAACTGGCATCGACAGCAAATCAAAAACTTTTCAACTATTCTTTTTTTTTCTGTAGTTGACAGATGTGTTTTCTTCTTAAAAAATACTTATTTACCGGTTAGAATGAACTGAAATAATTTCTATTTCATTGATTTTAATCGTCACTCGTTTCTTTTTTGTTCATAACACGCGATATATTCCGTGTATGAGTGTTTCCAAGGATAAAAACAACATTTTCAAATAGTTTGCTCCGACCAACCGATACAAAACAAGTAAATTGTCGAGAATGTTACCTTAGAGATTTTCCTGCTTCTTTTTCTTCTCTCGTCAGTCGTTCAAAAGTATCTACTACACAAGTTATTTCATTTCGAACCAGTATGAGTAAAGAAGAAGTCAGACAAGTGAGTCGAATAATTCATTTCAGTTTTATCGAAGTAGTACTGAGCAAATTGATTTAGCTGTTTGAAAAATTTGATAATGGCAACGGACATTTATCTTTGGCGGAAATTGAACGAGCCATTATTAATTTCTATCCGCAATTCGGTACGAATCGAAAGGCCATCCTTCGTGCGTACAAAGCGGCAGATACGAGTGGTGTATGTATTGTATAGAAAGAAAAAAATGTATCAAATCGATTGCTTTTTTTTCTAGAATGGCTTTGTTGAACTGAAAGAATTCAACAAAATCGTTCAATTACTCAAACAATACGATACAATTAGCAAGGTTTTTGAAGAGTTGGATACCAACGATGATCACCGGATTAGTTTCCAAGAATTCAAAAAAGGTTTTGAACTACTTGGTGAAGATAATTCTGACGAAGAAAGTTTAAAAGAAGAATTCAATGCAATGGATTCCAATGATGGCAATTACGTTCTTTTCGACGAAGTAAGTCGAACACCACCAGAGTATAAATTGATTCCTAATTGTCTCTGTATAGTTTTGTATGTACATGGCTCATCGGCAAATGCAGTAATACAAATTCTCACGAAATCCACCGATAAACTTCTCTCTATTGATGTTGTTGTGTTCAGCGAATAAAAATAAGATAAAGGCACTATGAAATGGATTGCAAATCATACGCATCACTGGATACTTGTGTTCTTGGTACGATTTGATTCCGTCGTGCTCGATACACTCGGCATCCTCGAACGAAAACATTTCTTACTTGTCGTCGATATCGTGCCGATGAGATAAGAAACAAATAGAAAGAACCCTAAAGAAATTTCAGTCATACATTCATTAAATAGTCAACTTTATCTACCGAATAGTCCATATAGAAAAGTGAAATTGTGATTGCTCCGACCAGCTGAATAACAGCCCGATAAACAGCATCTTCTTTGCTAATATATACAACATATGAATAAATTCGTTGTAGAACATATGGCAGAGTCGTCACGACGAGAAAAGCAACGCGAACCATGATCATTGCTGTTAGTTGTTGATCAAGTTTTCGTCGACGAATCGGTATTTGTCTACGAATAATACGACGAACATTTCGATAAGCTAATATAGCAAATAGCGTTGAAATTGTGATCGGTATCATTCCCGTTAAAAACAGATAGTACACGTAGGCAACATAGTTTACCATCCCAAGATCGTACAAATTGCAACCAGATGATGAGCGAATTTCAAAAAATATTGCCACCGGTATACCATGTAGAATCCAGAGAAGAATAACAATTATGATCGAAACTTGTGCGGTTCTAGGTGAACTCAGTCGTCGTAGATATGGATGGTAACTGGTGGAAAAGTATTGATCAATCGCAGCGAAACAAACGATACTCAGCGAGATTAGGGTTGACGATTGAGCACACACTGAACGCAATTTACACCAAAGTAAAGATGTTTGTGTCAAGTCGTTCGCGAAGCCATTCATAGCAATACGAGTGGTGAATGGAATCAGCATTTGAAAAAGATTCACAATCGATTCAGCTATGAGATAGGTCGTTGCCGGATTTCCCCGAAAGATTTTTAATTTCGTTAGGACAAAGATATTACAAAGATGTCCAGCAACGCCCGAGAAAAGAATGATAAAGCTCACATAGATCGTATATTGTTGAGAAGCAACCAGAATAGATTGTGCCAGCGATGGCATGATATAAAAATGGTGAAATAAGTCTCGATTATGACCTCATAAAAAAGAACTTTTAATTAAAAACAGCGTCATTTATCTGAGCTGTGTTTGTGTAATGTTTCTGACAGGAAAAAATACATGATGTATTTTGCAATTCACTCATGCAGTAAAAAAAGAAAATGAAATTCTCCGAGCGTATAATAATAATTATTGAGGTTGCATAGGGTAAATTACTGCCTGTAATATACTTCCTGAAAATGATATCAGTTATTAGCTAGTGATATTCGGTTTCTAATAAGAGCAACGATAATGTGAAGGATAAATAAGATAGTTTCAGTACATGAAGTTTAAATTAGTTGGAAAATCAAAACACCAGTTTATCTTCCGGCGAATGACAGCGTGTGACTGGTTTCCTATCCTTAAGTCTTCAGCTGATTTTTATTCATCTAATAAACGAGGATAACCAAAACAGATGTTACAGTAGTGGAATCATTCAAGCTCCAGATTATTTGATGCTGGCACAATTTGATAAGCATTATTAGTTGAGTTAGCGTGTTTTATAACTGGTAACCGTTGAAAGAACAGTTTTATGAACACGGACTTCACTTGTCCACGATATTCTGTTGACTACGAAGAGAAAGACATAAAATGTACCCTGAAAAGGACAATTCTGATGATGATGTTATCGTGAACACAAGTTGCTTAACGGCCACGCGCAACTCATCAATTTCAGAAATGATTACATTCAAAGAATAACTGCACTGTAGGACGAATAGTGAAGATGAAAAATGTCACTTGGCTTAAAGCCATGGTAGTCAACTGTCGATCTAAATTTCGTCACCCGATCGCTATTAGCCGTCAAACAATACGGCGAATATTCTTGTAGGCAAATGCTACAAACACCATAGATACTGTGATTGGTAAAACAACGGAGAAGAAACAAAAGTGTGATTTGATTCCGAAGAAAATCAAACGTGGAATGTAGTATATAATAACAATAATAGTCGTTGTAAAAATAGGACGATCAGCTAGTTTTAATGTACTCCATTGTCGTACATATGCCCGATAATTGGTTGATTAATAGTGATCGATATGCATAGAGCATGTCGATGATAGTGAAAGAAATATAAATACACCGACGACACTTTGCCATACCATACACCAGGTCAAGGGGTAGTTGAGTTCGAACATAACCGAAACTGATAGCACAAAGGCGTAATAGCAAGACAAGAACCAATAGAATGAAATTGCTAATTGAATCCACGATTGGAACGACAATATTACAAAAGTTTCCAACCAAATCAACAAGTAGTACAGCTGGATAAACAAATATTGCATAGCATCGCCAACTAGATAGTATCTTCACCACTAATAATGACACTGACGTATCTTCAATGAAAATCTATTTCATTACCCAGCGTGCATATTTTCAGCGGATCAAAGGATCATAGTTTTTGACGAAATAAAAATTTAGTTATTTAGCTTTTTGAGTCAATACCAATTTGTGATCATCGATCTTAGTATGCTCATAGAGAGCAGAACGATGTCTGTCAGGAAACATCCGAAGAAAACGACTGTGATATGTAATGACTTTTAACATTATTAGGAGAATATGCTACGTATTTCGTACTCATTCGTACGCTCTTAACGTTTTAAAGAAGGATACGTTTGTTCGCTTTGTATCTGATTTCTATTGCGTTACACAATTAAGAGAAAAGTAGAATAGTTTATCGTTCTTGTAGTTATTTATATTATGAAAACCTCTCATTTGACCTTTATAGCACATTAGATTTTGTGGAATTGTAATGACCTAAATTCTTTAGATCTGAAAGACGCTTTTCCAATTAATTAAGGCAGATTAACTTCTAAGACCATGACTTTGATGTCTGTCATAGAACGCACGATTCACGTATGAAATTCTACTGACGAAAAGCGACATATGATACATGAAATAGCTCAACATACATCCTAGAGGAGAATGTGAAAAAAACATGGCTTGTTTCATTCTTTTCATATTCATGTCAAACAAACTTGCCTCACCTGATGAAGACCATTGGTTGCTAATAATAGCATGTTAAATCTTACTTTCTGGCTGCAATACATTAGGGTTTTCCTATCCATTCTATGCATCTCTTTATACACATACATCAAATCACGTGTATTTGGTAATCGAAAGCGTGTGCCACCGCTATTCGATCGAAATTGTAAGATTGCTGTTGTGGGCGGTGGTATCGGAGGTGTAAGTGCGGCGTATGCCCTGCTACGCAGTGGTTATAAAAACGTTACAATATATGAAGCACGTGATAAACTTGGCGGTAACGCTAAAACGCATCTGTGGCAAAGTGATAGATATAATATTACTACCGGTCTTTCCGTCTTAGCATGGCCATTGATATTCCGTAATTATATTCATTTACTCAATGAATTGAATATTCCTACGACAATGGTTGAATTGCCATTTTTTATTCATGATAAACAAAACAATAGCGTTTTTGCTCATGGGAAACAATCTGCTGAATACAATACTGATCTAAAACGTTGGTCTCGAATGGTAAATACAGTTCGATGGCTTACTGAATATCTCAGTGGAAAAGACGCATCGCTGTATCATTTCGCATTTCTCAATCCATTCAATTATATACCTATGCGATCTTTAAGCTTGTTATTTGGTGTATCCAATCGGTTTTGGCATCATGTTGTCGTTCCTATGTACGCTTCATCGTTTTTATCAACAAAATTATCGTTCATACCATCATCTATTCTTCCAACCATTGACAGTTTGATTTCATTGCAACCAAATCAAATCCCAACGATGCAAACATGGATACAAACATCGATCGATGTTTTCGATAAGATGACCCAAGGTGCAACAGTGAAAACCAATCATCCCGTAACCAAAGTTCGTATCCAACGAAAATCCAATAGTCAAATCATGATTAACATCAATGAAGAGGACGTCAATTATGAACGAATTATTTTCGCTTGCAATGCTGATGCAACCGTAAAAGCACTAACGAGCGGCCGTACCAATATCTCTTCGTTATTGAAGCTGATGCTCTCCAATGTAACTTATGGTGATGATGACGATCTAAATCTTCTAGATGGAGTGATCCATCGCGATATAAACATTTTACCAGTGGAATATGCAAATGAACTACGTTGTAACTACGCGAATTACATTGATTTGAAATATGACTCGACCAGTCAGTTATATTATCATTATAATACATTTATTCTGAGTTCGTGGCTGCCAAATGTTCATGCAATGCTACAAGATAATCGAATTGAACATGAAACTATGGAACCGATGCTCGTGACTTATGCGCCCAACAATCAACCGGCCCCAAAGATTGATCAAAAGAAAATCTTCGGCAAAGTCGATAATCGTCGTGCTCATCCAAGTCTATCATTTCGTAATCAAACTATTGCATTGTTAATGCGCTTAGTGCAAGGCGAGAATGGTATGTATTTTTGTGGAAATGCTGTCACGCCCGCAAACGGTCATGATCTTTCGTTGATATCAGGGTTTGCTGTAGCGGAATTGATTGGTGCCAAATATCCATTCGGTGAAAATCAATCAGCATTACAAGATTTTAATCGATTTAAAAGAATGTGTGTGAATTGAAAGTTCTCGAACAGTAGAGTATTTGTTAGAAAAGATTAAAAACAAAAAAAATCACCAATAAAATAGACGTTTTCATAAGCAGATGTTAATTTGATGATTCGTATCACTAAATTCAACTTGAGCATGATCATCCAAGCCATTTAGTGCTTTATAATCGTCGAACCACGAAATAAACTGTTGTTGATTGATGCACGGATTCGATTCGTTGATTTTGACACTCAAATTGGTGAGTATGGGCAGTCTTCGAAGACAACATGGAAGAAATACGAATACATCATTTCTATCGTCTAATTCGAAATACAAAAACGATATTTGCGAAAAATGGGTGGTTATCTGCCGGAGAACATGCGTGACGTTATATGTCATATTTAATAGCGTCACGATCGTCAGATATTTTACTGATGGTAACGGGTCCGAGATGTGTAAAGACGATGCTGTCAATCGGAGACTATCAACATTTGGCAGGATTTTTAGCATATCCGAAACTAAACTCAACCAAAGTCAGGCTAGAGTGAAACTTTTATCTTTTTTTACTTACTGAAATCTTTCGGATAGTTTTCGTCGGAGAGATAGACTGATTTAATTTGAGCGAGTGTCATCACCGAGAAAACTTGTTGAATATCGATCAGCATCGTCTCGAATTGATACGAAGCAAGATTATTCGACTCGAGCGAAAAGCAGAATACTTTGAGATTCGAATATACACGTTTTGGTGGAAGATCTTTCGAGGAAACATTCTCAAAGAAAGTGAATTGCATTTCGTCAACATTTTCATAATACAATCTTGTGCTTTCCCAAGTATCAATCGGAGTGCTGGTTCGAAATTGTAGTCCATAGAAATGTGTAGGCAATCGATCTTCGTGAACCGGTAGTGTATACAGAAGTAAGCGTCTCTTGTGGATGGGCTCTGCGTAATATTCGATGACAACTGGCCACCGTTGCCAAAATAAACTATTGAATGGATGCATTAATTGCTCAAGATCGATAGACGTATAACTCGGAATGTACGTTTCATCGATAAATAGACTAAATTTCTCTAGTTTTGGCAAATAAGTGGTAATAACTCGTTTCCAATTAGATCCGTCTACATAATCTTCCATATTGAAGGATGTCAATGTTAATTTAGTCAAGTGTGGTAATTGCCGAAGAAAACATTCCATTTCTTCGAATGCTATCCCGATCAGTCTGACTGTTAAGTGAGTTAAATGTGCTATACGATTAGCAAGCCCATCGTATATCGCAAAGTCAAACCTTTGATAATCATCCGAGTAGCGATCGGGTGGATTTACACATGTGATAGAAAATTTTTCTATGTTAGGCAAACAACGAAGAAGTTTCGGTAAATCTTTCATAAGACAATCGCACAATTGTACATTTGTCAATGAACTACTGATATCTAAAATGAGAGAAGTAAAGAAAATCATAAAAGAAAGATGACTTGCTCGTTATATTGTCCCCAAATTCGATTGTGTTGTAGATTCTCACTGTTAATCGCTCGAGTGACGTCAGACTAAAAAGAAACTGAAACATGTCGGAATGACAATCTGCCGTACATCGAAGATTGTCAGTAGTGAATATGTATAACTTGTGAATATTGCTTGAATAGTTCAGAATTTTCATAATGTCAGCTGCTTTTGGGTCGTACAATGTTAGTGAGGTGATCTGAGAAAATATCTGTTTCCTTGTTGCAAAATCGAGCGGTATTTTGCCATCGTCGATGAGATAATTTGTCAAGCGTTCGTATGTATCAGATAAGACCAGACTACGAATTTGATGTCGTGCTGAGAATAGGATCGATTTGTAATACTGATCGAGGTCATACTTCGATAACGATTCGCTCAAACAAACTGTAACACATTGACTATAAAGAAGATTATCGATACGCGCGTTGAGGTTGTAGAAAGATTTAAATAAATCTTCGACATTGCAGTACGCAAATATTTCGACAAAAAGTTCGTTTGGTAGATGTTCGAGTTTTGCCATAGATGAAACACTCACTTACAACATTACTTTCGAGAAAAGACGCAGAACGAAAAGGCACGTGATTGCGAACGTAAAGGGCTAAAGGAGACGAAGACGGATTTCAGTATTTTGTGAGTAATAAATCATATCCGAGGACCATACCATGCAGCAAACGTTGTGAGTCACGTTGTTACCTGATATTGTTGATTCCTACGTTACGTATTTTAGATTTCAATTTTAAATGCGACATCTAGACGATGTTTTTTTTGTATTATTGAGATTTATTTATGAAAATGTAGAAAAGCAGACAAACAACGTATGTTTCATACAAAAAACAGCACATCTGGAGCTAGATTTTTATTCAAAACAATTCGCTTGTTGAAATTCATTCCTTCTCTAAAAAAAAGTAAAAGAATGTTACCAAATTGGAGGTGGCGGAAGGCAAATATGCTTACTGATTCGTCGTATTACATTTAGGCAAATAGCATTTCGTACGTTCAGAGAGTAAATTTGCATATTTGACAGGCGTTGGAATTGAGATAGCATCGGTAGTCCGTGCATATGTGAAACATAAAGCATAGGTTAGAAGTTGTATCTCATTCGGTTTAAGTCTATTATCATCGTATAAAACATGATAATGAATTGGATGACTTGTTCCCTTCTGTAGACATGTAAAGATAGAGTATGATACAAAGCATGGTTTAAATGTATCTGTCTTACCGTTGGATAGTTATGACTTTTCAGATAGAAATCACATGTGGCTGGATTGGTGATATCTGGTGAATCAATGACAGTACCAGCTTCGATATTTCTATTTGAGTTGGCTAGGACAAATCGAGTATGATGATTTCTGTTAACCACAATATAGGTTAAACATGGTTGATAGGCAGGAAACAATTCTACACAAGCCTCTCGTGTGGCCATAATTTCCTTCTCGAGTACCGGATCAAATTCATTCTCGGAAATACCATCACGGTAAATGACTATAGCAGTTGGAGCTACGTTATCATGCTTAACGAAATATTGATAAATTAAAGATTTCATAATATCTTTCATGTTGACGACGTATTCAATACGTTGCTTATGGTTAGACAAGAATTTATTTTGTATGTAGATTTCTTTGAAATATCGACTCGGTACATCATCAGCTGAAGCTACAGCGGTAACAATAGAACGCTGATCGTCGGGATCAGTGAGTGAATGCCGTAGATCAATCCCAACATACATAATTCGCCGGCCACATGAAAAGAATCGTTCAATTTCCTCGCTAGAATAGACGTATCAGAACGGGATAATAGCTGGAAGAATTGATAACTTACGGAACTTGTATAGTAGAGTTAATTCCGTTCAGTTTCGCGTTGATTTTAAGTAGAATGTTATCTAGTGTTGAGTTAGCATCTGATCTATGATCTTCTAATACACGCTTAATAGTGCGTGGATTCAACATCTGTGTAATTACTCCGAATCCATCATCCAGTTCACACTAGAACATAACAATATCAAACAATCAAGAGAAAATCTTTACTGAAAAAATATCTTACAAATTGTTTTATTTCACCATGTATTTTATCATTTATATTGCTATCATCAGATAAAATAACAATATAAAAATGACAGTCATCATACTCTCGCATCACATTTTTAACATTATCCATCATTTTATCAACCGAGTAAAATTTATGACTGAATTCTACATAGAGAGCGCGTGCCGTACAGCTGACACCTCGATAATTAGCAGCTTCCCTTAGTTGCTCATAGAACCTTTCAGCAGATCGCCTATCCAATGTCGAAGATAAATTAATCATACCCCATACAGATGGGAAAGATATTGGTTTGCAGAATTTCTTATCGATTCTATTTCCAAAAGTAATTGAGGGATTAGGTAGAACGCGAGCTGTTAGCTTGTGCATTTTTGTATCTATCTGAAATCCCCATGTAGTTGTCACAGAGTTTTGACGAAAACTTTGTTGTTGAAGTTTGTTGCAGACATCCTTGGTTTGTTGATAACGTTTGTCCGGTGGCAGAATCGCCGTGCGAGTTAGTAATGCTCTGTTTTCATCGCTTATTTTCTTCACTTTGACCGGTTCAACATCAACAACCTCCATGGGAACAACTAATCCATCTTGCATCTTCAGTATTGGTAACGATGGATATCTACATAATGAAGAGAGGGAGGCAGACTTCGTATCTATTCTAAATGTATTTCAAAATACAAACTTTAACGCTATTCCATATTGTTCGCGATAATAATCTGCTACGGTAATTGTTCGGTTACCTTTTGCAGTCCACTGAAAAGTTTGTTCCAATGCGGATGAACCTAAGTCGCTAATATCCTTCGTCATTAGTCGATTTCCAGCTTTCCAGCTGACGCGAACATCTAATGGTGAGAACAGAAACAGTTACATGGGAAAAAATCGATAAGGATATTTACGTTTGCAGTGTTTTAGTAAAAACTCAATTTCATCCTTATAAAACCCAGCATTATTCTTCGAATCTAGATACTCTTCAACATTCTCCATCGACAATTTCGATTCATGCCGATTTTGCGTCCGGTAATATCTACCGCATGGACTATAATGCATGACTTCACAGACGAAATCAAGAAATTTTTGTCTTCGTTGGAAAATTCCATGATTAACTATACAAAAATAAAACAAAAGATCATTTGATGTGATCATCGGCCTTTACCATCGAGGTTCATTAATAACTGGTGAGTGCCATTTGCAAATACAAGACATGAATAAAAACCACGCCATACAGCCTTGCCCAAACCGAGATCCCAGTGATGCTGGCCATTAGATAGAGTTGGTTCTTTGAAATATGTTCGATTATAGATAAAACCGGAATCCCCAGAACTATATGCATGGATAACAAGTGAGAAGATTTGCTGAATGTATTTCAACTGATTCTTGGTATCTTCAAGAGTATCGTTTGATACATAAAACTGTTTGAGTGATTTTAATAGATCTAAATCAGTTGGTCTGCCTGCTTGTTTGATGGAACATTGATAGTCTTCATAGCGACCCGCTGAATTCGGCGCTGAAAGTATTGTAATCGTTTCCTGAAGAAGATGCTGACGAAGGAAATAATTGCTCAATGAAAACCTACCGTATTAGTTATGTTAGGCAATGGTTGATTGTAGGTAAATATCGTTGTCTGATTATCGAAAATGATTCGATTCGAATTGATTTCCGGATGTCTGTCACGAAACTTTTTCAACCAAGCTTGATATAGAATTCTATAAATTTCATGAATAGAGAGAAGATAAACGAACGTTTCATTACTGTCGAAGGTTTCGTCGAATGATTTGGCATCTTTTGTTTCTTATCTCGATAGTATACCGATAAACCACACCCTCTTGAGGGAACTGCAAAACTGGGAAATAATTTACCAGAATTTCGATTTTTCGACCAAGTGTCCCCAATTCATCCGATTTTGCTAACCTGCTTAGTGATCTTTGTACAGGCATCACGTCGGATGATACGCTGGTCTTTGCTTCAGGTCCATCCATAACTTGATTAGTCATCATCTCTGTCGGTACGCAATTCGCTTTCGCTTCTACAGACGAACATACCGTTGAGTTTAAAACTGGAATTGAAGGTGGAGGCGGTTCGTATTGTTCAGGACGCTTTCGTCCTCGGCCACGTCCTTTACTTTGCGATGATGCCATATTTATTATTTCAGTGAATATCAAATCGATTGTGATTGAATTTCACTTTCTTACAGCCTTTGAATATTTTTCGACGTTCCAAGACAAAAAATTATTTGTCAATTCTTTCTTATTTCTATAATTAAGAAAAACAAAGATACGACTTTTCAACAAATGAAAATTTCTGGTTGTTTCCACGTATATGATTACCTTCGACAACAATAAAAAGAAACACAAGATACTGCGTGATAAGCTTGTTTTTATTTCACGATGGTAGTGTATAAAATGTACGGTTATTGCTTATTATTAGTGCGATGGATATAAATTTAAGGAAAAATAGGGTAAAATATATAAATTATATAAAATATACACAATCCGTATCCAGTTTGGTATTGAGAACAATACGTTTACTCAAAATTTTGCTAGACACCTCAGTAGATTGATTGATTGGGATGGCTGGTTGGTCCCTATTTAATTGTCGGAAAGAATACCGATAGAGAGATATCAGTATTGATCACCTGTAAAAGCTGATTAACTTACGTGTTTCGTGGTTCATTGATATCGACGTAGAAAGTAGCGCGAAAGGCCAGTAGGTCAGCGTATTTCACTGGTGCAGGAATCGATATTGACCGAGTACAACGAGCACTTGCATAACACAAATTGTATGTTAATAATTGTACTTGATCAGGCGTCAGTTTATTGTCGTCATACAATACGTGATAGTGCGTCGGACGACTCGTTCCCTAAAAGTATCCATACATTAGGTGAGAACGAAAACAAAGATGAGGCTACTGTTCTTTACCTTTTGTGCCTGATGACTAGTTAGGAAAAAATCATAAGTGGTGGCATGTGTTACATCATGGGAATCGACAACAGTGCCAGCAGGCACATTATCCTTCGAATTCGGAACAAAAAATCGAGTATGATGTCTCTTATTAACGACGATATAGGTCAAATGAGGATGGTAAACAGGAGATAATTCCACACAGGCTTCTCGTATGGCTGTAAGTTCTTTTTCAAAAACAGTATCAAATTCGCTTTCAGATATTCCATCACGATAGATAACAATTGCGGTTGGTGGTTGTCCCTGATGCTTTTCATAATATTGATTGATTAAAGATTTCATGATATCTTTCATATCAACAACATACTCCCAGCTTTCACCTTTGGCGTCTGATGGTCTTTCTTGCATATAAATTTCTTTGAAATACCGATTAGGTATATCATCTGCTGAGGCGACGACTGCAACGGTAGAGCGCCCTCGACTCGAGCTAGGTGCACCATGGCTCAAGTCAATGCCAACATACATAATTCGGTGACCACGCGAGAAGAACTCTTCAATTTGTTTTCTAAACTCGATTTTCTTTCTGATTTGCAATAGCTATTGGAATAAATGATGACTTACGGAACTTGTAGAATCGAGTTCACGCCTTTTAGTTTTGTATTAATTTTCAGTAAGATACTGTTTAGTTTTGAATATTTCCGCAGTAGTGCATACGATTTCTCGTCAGTCTTTATCATTTGAGTAACAATACCTAGGCCATATTCTAATTCACACTAGAAAAAAAAACGCCTTCCATTAGAAACGACATCTTTGATTAGAAAAAGATCTTACTAATTTTTTCAGCTCACCATATACACGATCTCTGATTTTGCCATCGGCCGGTAAGAGAACAATGAAGAATTTACATTGGTTCTTCTTTGTCATTAAGCTATGAACTGACGAAATCATATTTGATATTGAGTATTGCATTATGTTGTACTCTTCATAAATCGTAGGATTACAACACTTCATACCCCGGTGATTAGCCACATTCCTTAGCTCTTCGTAGAATTGCACACAAGTAGCCTCATTCAATATCGATAAATTAATGATTCCCCATACATCTGGGAAATTCATAGGCTCGCAGAATTCGTCCTGAGTATTGTTCCAGACGCTGGTTGATGAACCGTGGACATAAGATCTATCAGCGTCTCTGATATAACTGATTATGGGGCCAGGTAAAACACGTGCAGGTGCTGTGAGCATTCGAGTGTCGATTTTAAGTCGCCATGCCTTAATAAATGGATCTTGTTCAAATTCTTGTTGTTCTGAAGTACGACGAATTGTATTGATGGAATTAGAATAATCCCGTGGCAGCATAGAAGATTTCAGACAAAGCATTGCTCGTTGCTCATCGGTGATTTTTCGTATTCGTACTGGTATAGTTTCAAGGAGCTCCATGGGAACATATGATTTCTTTTGCATTTCTACTGTAGGTAACGATGGGTATCTATGTAAAACAAGCATATATGTTTCGACTATGCATATATCAAAGTACTAACTCTAGCTTGGTTCCATATCTCTCCTTGAAATAGTTTTCCACTGTTATCGATTCGTTGTTTTTTTGCTCCCACACAAATGTTTGAGTGGACGCAGATTTACCGAAACCATGGATAGTGTAACCAATTTTTCTATTCGCCGAATTTGATCGAACGGAAAGATCTTTAATCAGAAATCAAATTAGGACCACGCACACAGTCTCAAGACACTTACGTTTACAATACTGTAATAAATATTCAATTTCACCATCGTAATACTCAGCATTCTCATTCGAATCTAGATATTGTACAGCACTGGACATCGTCACCGCATGAGTATGACTTGAATGTTTATTATACCATTGACCGCATGGACTATATCGCAAAAGTTCGCAAAGAAATTCAAGAAATGGTTGCCTTTTTTGAAAAACTGCATGACTAACTGGAAAAGTAATAGAATATAACATCGATATTTTTTTCCACTGAAACTTACTGTCAAGATTCATCAGTAATTGATGAGTGCCTTTGCTAAACACAAGACAAGAATAAAAACCACGCCACAGTGCTTTGCCTAAACTCAAGTCCCAATGGCCGTGTCTATCGTGTACAACTGGTTCTCGGAAAAATGTTCGATTGTAAATAAAATGGGCATCTGATGAACAACGTTCGTGCGTTGCGATCGACAAGACTTGCTTGATACTGTGCAGTTGAACAGGAGCAAGATTATTATCATGTCGCGGTTGATGAACTTCTTCAAGCATAGCAAGAGTTTTCAGATCAATTACGTCACCCACTCGTTTCACAGTAATCTGATATTCTTGAAAACGACCGGCTCGATTAGGTGCTTTGATGCTTTCTTTGATTCCCTTTGAAAAACAATTGAAATGAATATAATTTCAGGCATTTGTATTTGAGAACGGTTAGAATTATATGTGAATTCATTAACTTACAAATTCATCAATTGCGGGCAATGGTTCACCGAATGTAATCATGGTATTTTGATTATCGAAGGCTATTATCTCGCGCTTAACTTGCTCGTGCTTCGCAAGATAGCGACTCAGCCATGATTCGTACAATATTCTAATATCAGTTAAATATCAGACTGATTTTAATAACAGAGAAAAATAGTTTTACCGGCGTCGATCACGGGGAACATCTATCTTCTGTCGAGTTTCCATATGGAAGTAGTATTGATAGACGAGTCCCTCCACTGGAAATTTTAATACCGCATAGAGATTGCTTTCAAAATTCATTCGTGTGCCAACTTGTCCCAATTCCTGCGGCTTTGATGGACGAATATGTGTGTTAAATCTAGCAGCGGTTAATTCCGATACTTTCCAAGAAGCATCATCAGTACCGATGGTAACAGTAATATGCGGTTCAGAAAGTACCTGTGATCTCCCTTTAAAACGATGCGCGCGGCCTCGAGCAATCGGTGCAGGCGCCTGTGATCTCGCTTCGTTCGGATTTGAAGAGATATTCATAGACGAAATAGCGACGGACTCTGTAGCAGCTGCATGTTGTCTTGGCCGAGACCGGCCATGATCAATTTTTGGTGTTTCTGATGTAGCCATGTAAATTGCAAGATTCGAAAGAGATCATTTCAACTTTTACAATTTCTATATAAGGAGAGAATCGAACACTGAGTTTTTCCCAGTGTTTCTGACACATTATTTGCGATTACTCATGTCACGAAGAAAATGACAGGCTAAACTTGTGAGCCAATAAAATAGCTTGCCGCAATGTTTATAATCATAAGTTTAGAAGACTTTTATTTTATCCTAACATGCAGATTTCTATCATGTTAGCAAGTTTTCGAGTTCAGAAAACAATATAAAGAACAAGAGACATTGCACAAAAGTATCGCATGCAAAACAGAGAGCCATTGAGCTTTTCCTCCGTTAGATCAATTGATCAGCGAAGCAAGTGAGCTAGTACTAGACGTTAAAATATCTGATTGACAGTCGCCAAAATACGTTGTTTGGTTTTGGGATAAAATACAGATGCCATAATAATGGACACAAGCTGCAGCCACAACAAATACATGAAACAATTGATGACTTTGAAACTAAAGAGAACGTAACATTTACAACCATGAATACAATATTAAATCATCCGTTAAACCTACCCAAATATCGAAGAGACCAGGCGCTAATCGTTCTGGTATACGAGCTATTCGAAATGAAAGCATTACAATACTCAATCGACGAAATATGAATGTAATTACCGGCGTAAAGAGCAGCACCAATAATATACAATGCACCCACTAAGAAAAGATATTGAATTGCACCAGCTAGAAGAGAATATAGATTGCCGCGTAAGTCTCCAATTAATGTATTTGCTATACCTGTAAAAGCATGTTCGAATCCAAATCTTAAAATAAAATGACAAGTTGGAATAAAACCAAAGACGCCAAAGGTAATAAATAGTACTAGAGAAAACAGAAGCATACGTTCGTTGTTTTGTTTTCAGAAATATAAGGAAACCTACAAGCACGATATACTCGATAATCTGATGATGCGAATCGATCCCACATTGAGATAACAATACATGCAATTCCCAGTAAACCAATCAACGATAGATAAATAATTTTCGTTCCAAATTCACAATAGAACTGATAATACAGTAATGGAACAACCGAACCAATAATTAAAATGGCTATACCACAATAATCAAGTCTAAATTATATACATCATCGATATAAATACTTTCAAATTCATGCTTACTTGCTAAAAAATTTGGATATTTTTGGCGAATGACAGTACAGTGTATGATACAATGTTGAGCAAAGTAAACATATGATAGCGCCAAGAAAGAATGCACCAAAAATCATTTTCTTTTCAAAGTGCACTTCGCTAGTTGGCCGAGAGAGGAAATAAATGGCAATCACAACGAAAACTAGTGTTCCAAGAAGATGCGTCCAGATATTCACTGTTTCAGTATGTAAACGAAAGATCGATGCGAAACATTGTTTGACACTTGGCATAGGTGGCCGATGTCCCGACAGTAAGAATTCATTGTCAATAAGCCAATGCGGAAGATGACTATGATCGACGACGTAATCAACGACAAATTTACCAACTTCTTTGGCTTGTTCAACGCATTTCGTCGGAACTTCAAGCATGGAGTCGATTAGATCATCGGTCGTGCCTTGTTCAGAATCATCAGGTGATGCGTCCTGAGCAGCACAAATGAGAATTTAGTTGTGAAATTTCACAATGATTTACCGGTGAGTTGGTCAACAGTCGCTTTCGAATTTCTTGCTCGTCTGACTCCCGATCATTGAAAGATGTTGCATCTGATAATAAGTGACTGTTCATTCTCGTTACACGATAATAGATTCGATCTGAAATAACTCTAGACAATACATATATCCAAATATTTAATGAATTTTTAAAAATGTGAACAAAGAAGAAAACAACATCAAGCCAAAGAAAAAACAAAATTCAAGTTTATATGAACCATAATAATGGTGATAATAATCATAATCAGAACAACTACTGTTGTGGTTGTATTGGATATCCATTCATAATCGAACCGTTTTTAGATGACATTAACATCTGATGATGAGAATAAACATTTGCTTGTTGTTGTTGTTGTTGTTGTTTTGCATCGACCATCGATTGAGGTAAAAAGGGCAATGTATTCATATAGTCTAGGCAAAACGGAAAAATCGATTCATGTAGGAAAAGTCTGGTTCACACATACTTGGCATTTGTGCTGGCCCTCGAATACGTGGCATTTGATTAGCATACGAAGCAGATGCTGCTGCAGCAGCAACAGCAGATGGCGAAATATAACTAAGATATGCTGAAAATGCCGATTGTGTTTGTGGAGAGTAACCAACAGCAGATCCCGCAGTTGCATTGCGAGAAACTTGAGATGATGACTGGGAATACATGGAACCTGGACTGGGTGGTCCTGTGAAATAGAGGAGAAAATGATTTGATTAGATTCGCCGAGGGAAGCAGAGTCTTACTTGGATGCATTTGTGAAACATGTGATGATCGTGATGATTTGCCTGATGGAGATGAATAAATATGGGATGATGATGGACTTCGTGGACGTTTCGAGGCAACATTGGTTGCGCTCGTTGTTGGAATGAATGATTGCGGTTGAGGAGGTTGTGGTGGTGGTTTATATGCTAATAAACGGTGCGATGGTTGAGTCGAGAGGTAATGCTGGGGATGATGAGCATATTGCGCCATTTGCGGATCTGAAATTCACAAGTAGAGTTAAGAGAATTATCTACGGAAATTTTCACTGGTATTACTTGGTGAATAAAGACTTGTCCATGATGGTTCTTTTGCTAATGGCTGTTGGGACTGTTTCCGACGATCTTCTTCAGTCAGGGCACGTTTCAACAAGCTGTACTGTTCAGATTTCTGTTGTTGTAATTCAGCTATTGTTCGTTCGAGTTGAAGGATGTCTTTCGCGTTGTCTTCTAATTGAACTTTTGATGATGATAGTGCTTTAGCCTAAAGAAGGACGCTCCTTGATCAGTGAATATTTCACAAAAAAGAAACTCCTCAGCAAACCTTTTCTTCCCGTCTTCTTTGTTTATCGGCTTCATTGGCATCAGCTTCTTCTTTCTTTCGTTGTCGTTCACGTAAAATGTGTTTTTTCAATGCATCGCGCATTTCTGTTGGTAAAATCGCTCGTTCAACAACGACAGCAGGCATCTTAAAAATAGTCAATTGAAAAGATTATGAACAAAGAAAAAGAACAAGTTACAGAGCGTTATTATCTGGCATTTCTTGAATGAAGAAAAAAAAAGAAAAGAAAACATGCACATCAAGAGAATATAATAAATAAAAACAGACAAGTACAATTGTTCGGTTTGTTTCCAAGCATGTACACAATACAAAAAAAAAGAAAGAGCTAGCGAAAAAGATAAGAACTGGAAAAATATTATCGAAAGGCAAGTGACCAATTATGAATATAATCATAAAACTGTGGAACAAGCGCGCCAATACTTGAATCGATTAAATCTTTCAGATAAATCGTCGCTTTTTCATCATCCAAATCCAAACGAAATTTGTCCAATAACTAAAGTAAGGAAATAAGAAGAGTCCATGGCTCGTGTCTACTTACCTTTTTAACGGTTTTATCTCGTTCGAGTGCGATATCGGGTATGTTTGCATCGAGCATCAATGAAAATAGATTTGCAAAAACATTCGCATGTCTAGTGAAAAGGAAAGACATATAGAGAAAACGGAAATTAGTCGAAGTTACTTTCGAAGGATGATAAACGCAGTAAAACAATGTCGTAAAAAGTCAAGTAAACGTTTCTCGTCTAGCATTTCCATCATATCTTTAGATACACGCATTGCTTGTGGTAATGGCTTTGGATCGCGACCCATAATAAAGCCGAAATCAATGTGAAACAGTTGACCGCTATCTCGTAATAACAAGTTATCGAGATGTCGATCGCCAACACCCAACAAATATGTTACAACACAATATCCAGCTAAAAACAAAGGAAAATATTTATCTGAGGAGATTCATTGGAATACAACAAGTCGACCGTACCGCAACTTTTTACATAATTGTCCATCATCTCTCGAGGTATGCCAGTTTCCACTAGAGTTGCATCTTCGGCATTACTTTGAGTAATTTTCGTTTGTAAATATTGACGAATGGTGCGATTACGTTCGAGAATCTTTTGTAACGGTTGTGAATCAATAAATTGAACAAAACCTTCAACAGAAAGCGAATCATGTCAAAGTTCAATGAAGACCAAAGGTAGTTACCGCATTTCAAACTTGTCGATAGAACTTTGTATGGCGTCAATTTCAAATCGATATTTTCTTTTCGAAGAATCTAACAGAAACAAAAATCATATTCAAACACGAATTGTTTCTCTTCCTTCTTACTCGATCCATCAACGTTATAATCTGTAAGATCAATTGATCTTGTCGCAGATCATCACCGTATTTGAATATAAGTGGATATTCTTCTCCTTGAGTTGTTTCACATACGAATAGGAAAGGCAGTTTGGCACTCTGTTGATAAGCAAATGAAAATTGAGATTTTATTCTTGAATACAATATTTACCTTGAAGATCCTGATTTTTTCCGGAATAATTCGACGAATTTTAATCTCGGGATCCAAAGGTAATGGAATTGGATCGAAATTGAGAAAGTTAAATTTCACAGGAGAATCTTCGCCAGCTAATATATAACTGCGCAATTTATCTTCCTAAAATCATTGATTTTACTTTGAAAGCAACAAGAATAACTCCAAAGCAACATTCTCTTACCTTGACTTTCGCTGAACCTTGTACACGTTTAACATTATTCGTTAACTCAACAAGTTTATCCATGAAGTTCTTCTGTGCTTCGATCGACAAACGAACTTGCTGAGTTTGTTCATTTTTCTAAACGAGAAAGTGCAAGAAAACAAAAATCGTACCTATCAAGTATCTACTGTTTTCAGTGTGATGCTCAGTCGTTCGACAAAAGCTTGGTACATATCAAAAGTAGCTTTATCTTTGGCGGAGCTGCTATTTTCACATTCCACATACGCATACCTAAAGTGAATTGATGAAGGAAAAAGAGAAATGGAGTTTATTCAGAGGTTGCAGTTTTTCCTACCAAAATAGATAATTTGCAATAATCGGTTTTTCACATGCGCGTTGAATTAAGAACGTTGACAAATCAACTTCAGGAATAAAAGACTTTGTTGGATCACTGGAGACTGAATCAGATGGAACAACAACATTCGCATAATTTTCATTATTATCACTTAAGCTATAAGATTACAGATGTGAAGTATGACACTGAGCAACATCGTCTAACTAACCTATATTGTTCTTCACCTGCTGTGTCTACTACGAACGCATTGATTAGACCATATCGTTCATATCGAAGAGCTTGTACCAATTGTAACAAATACAACAGTAAATCCTGAAAGTAAAATTAAAATAAAAGAATTCGTAAAAGTCATGTTTTCAAATGTATCGTACTTCATCCGAGGCTTGTCGTAGTCGTGATACTGCATACGAGCGAACTTTTGGATGATGATATGAAGGTCCTAATAGTTCCAAAGCATCCTCAGTGTCCATTGTAACCCATTGTTGTAAAAGATCGAGTGCTTGCTTGACTTCTTCTTCTTTGTCCCAATGAACACATTGCAAAAACTTCGCTAGAGCTTTCTTGTGTTGAGATAAGAAGAAACGATATTTCCAGACTAAATCTTGTTCTTCGATTGTCAGAAATTGTCCGGATGGATATGCTAGAATATGCATTAGTTTATCACGATGTTCACGCGTTGGTTTCAAGTCTTTGTCCATTGCTTTTCGACCACTACGTGCTAGTTTCAAATGTTTGCTTTCAACGATATTTTCCTAAAAGAACAGACAATAAAGAGTTTTCAATAAAAGTGAAATGAAATACATACCAGATCCATTTCAGGATCAAAAACAACGAGATCGGTATAGCCAATCGGATAGTTAAGAATATCTTCACAGTTCTAAACGCCGAAGAAGAAGAAGAAGAAGAAGAAGTAGACGTTGAATTCAGAATGAGGTGGCCAATACGAACCGGTTCGAAATAAAGTACGGTGCATTCGTTGTCTTCGATCATCGTTCGAGCAAAGTCGATCATAAGTAACATCGATTTCGAATTTGATCTTTCATTATCCAAGCATGAACGTGCTTTTGCTAAAGCTAATTTCTCTAACCATTCCTGATCAATCGTATGACCATCACATTGAGTTTTGATCAACTGAAATTGATTCATAACATGTATCATCATCCAAACGATAGTAATCGAAGTGAACTCACTTTAGCTATGCGACTTAATTCATCAAGCATCGGATATTCACTTTCGTCATTCATAGTGATCACTGGAGGTTTAGCTGTAATTTGTTTGGAATTATTTTGCAGAGATGATGTGGTTATACCGGTTCTGTTCGTTTGATTAACAAGAATCGGATCTTGATTGGACATTGGCTCGACTTTTCCAGGCGTTGAAGAATTATATTTGACATCCGGTACGACATTTGGCCAAAGTTTCAAATCATAAATACCTCGTCGAAACGTTCTAAAAAGGAATCAGTGCGCTATCGACAATCATTCAATTGTCGCGCTACCTACCCATCCGATGCAAATAACGAGAGAGTTGAACTGCCAACGATTCGAATATTCGTCGGTGAAATAATCTCATGAATTGAAAATGTTATAACTGCATATCGAGGCAAATCACAATATCTCAACGGCAATGTTAACCATTCATTCCAGCTAGCGATGAATAAATTTACAGTGCACTATTAAGAAGAACTCGCTTCTCCTGACTTACTTCCATTTGTCAACAAACGATTTAAATGATGTTTGAACAGGCAAACAAAGCGGCTGCCCGTCGGAAAAGACTTGACAGACCACAAATGGTTCGCTGCGTTTTGTATCATTCAAATTCCGAGCAAAAGATGGACTATCGGAGAAGAATAAATCGTGGGTAGATGGTTGCAGTCGTTCACCATCAAGTGAACCACTAGAATACAACAGAAACAACTCTTTTTTCTTGCAAAAAAACAACAACAATAAATACATTTTAATCTGAATTCGATCTTCGAGTTCATGACTGAAGACGAAATGAAGCTTTTCGGATGCTGCTGACATGTGTTGACTAGATCATCTACGTAGAAAAATAACCTACACATTTATCGTGCACAAAACAAAACATTCGAAGTCAACGAATGAATCAGATCAAACTGTGTTGCTTGTTTGTAAAACACCACCTGACTTTTTTGTCAACGATTGTAGCGATAAGTAACTAGCACGAAAACAATCTCATTGGTGTGTTGAAAATAACCAATAGAAATGATTGTTTATTATAATCTTCTATGCAATAGAACTTGTCAAAAGATATCATGTTAAATAGCGAATATTGATACTAATATTTGCTTTTTTGTTTTGCAAATGTCGTATTTGACATTTACCTCAACTATAATAGTGTTGTGTCTATCCGTGTGTCTTCCCTTGCTAGAAACATATCGTGTAAGTTATTTGAATGATCTATGCCGCAAGTTTAGAATCTCATGCTTGACTGCTTTTAATTAATCATCCGTAGGCTTCATTTAATCGATTGATCTTCATTATAGACAGAAGATACTGTCCGCCGTCATCATCACTATCGATGTCTCTCGACAGGAACGAATCATTTTCGTAGTAAATTACTTCGACCATTATTGATCGAACGCGTTTCAGGAACGAAAGGCAATGTTCAAGCTCGAGAGCATATCATTAGGACTTTGCAAGCAACTGACATGTGGACAATCGAACTTGATACGTTCAGTGCTATGACATCTAAAAAAAAGCAGGTCGAATTTACGAATATTGTTGCTACTTTAAATCCGAGAGCAACTCGCCGCATTGTGCTCGCATGCCATCACGATTCAAAAGAGTTGCCCGGTTTCATCGGTGCTACGGATAGTGCAGTGCCATGTGCCATACTATTGGATATAGCTGTCGATTTACAAAAGCAACTTGCTCAACAGAAATTAAATGTAAAGTTAAAATTGAGAGTCAATCCCAGTAGAAATATCTTTCATACGCAGGAAAACTATCCAACACTACAGTTGATCTTCTTCGATGGAGAGGAAGCTTTTGGAGACTGGTCTTCAGATGATTCGCTCTATGGATCAAAGTATGATTTGTTGAATCGATGAGAATAACTGAGAATAACTTCTGCTTTCCAACAGACATCTAGCGACTAAAATGCGTCATACAAACGTTCTTGGACAACATCATTTCAATCAGATCGAAGCGATAGTTCGTATTCACTACTGATCTAAGAGCGTCAGTCTCAAATTTACATTAATAAGGATGTATTTGTACTATTGGACTTGATCGGTGATAAAAGTTTGAAATTTAGCAATTTTGTCAATTTGAATGCAAGGAAATATTACAATCAATTGCAGGAGATCGGTAAACATTCAAACTCGATCTTGTTCATTCTAATCTGACATTTAGAAACTCAACTCATTCATTCTTACGATGACAATGAACAACGACAACGATTATTTTCTTCCGAATCTCTCAATGACATGATCGAAGATGATCAAACTCCGTTTTCAAGCTTTGGTAAATAATCCGAACTTACAATGATTATGAAACGCGTTTTTATCTCTTCTAAGATATTCCAATTCTTCATTTGATTTCCAATCCCTTTCCACCGACATGGCACAAAATCAGTGACGATGAAATCCATCTCGATTTCTCAACTATCGACCATTTTCGAAACATCATAAAAATCTTTCTTCAAAAGAATCTTCATCTAAAACAACATTTCTGTTAAGGAAGCTCTTTCTTTCGCTACGGTACGCACTTTCTATACTAATCAAATAAAACTTGCTATTGTGAATGTTCCTGGTAATGAAATGTCGTTACAAGGCGTCAAACCGCTCGTTAAATGTCGATTGTGCATGAATGAATTTCTATAAAACAAATGTGGGCTTTTATGTCTGTTTACTCAATTATAAGCTACTCTTGCCTTTAGAATGAAGAGAACAGATAAAAAAAAAGGGCGTCTCGTTGAAATACAACGATGAACAAAAATGACAATTCAATATGTCACCATTACTAACTAGATATGCGCACGTTCTTGATGTAACGATTGAAATAAAAAAACGAAGCGGGCCTGACCGGGGATCGAACCCGGAACCTCTCGCACCCAAAGCGAGAATCATACCACTAGACCATCAGGCCATGGTATCTGTTCGTAAATAATTTCGTTAAAAGATACCCGTCAAGTATATCTTAGCGTCACATCGCATATCATACTATTCGTCAGTTCCGTCTCCGTCTGACGCTAACTGCAAATTTCATATGAAAGAAAAGATTCCAATTATTTTATAATTAGAAATGTCTCCGTATACTTCCTGTTTTTTCCTATCGAATTGTCGTCGATTGTTTTCATTGTTGTTCAAACTAATTAGAAAGAATTATACGCATTTTGCATAATAGAATACTATTTGCATATTCTTTTTTCTTATGTTATCAATCTTCGCCATGAATTTTTCTTCTTTTTTTAACTATTGACAAAGACTTTTTTGTTTCGAATTGAATCAATAATTCTCTTGACGCACAACAAATACACATCGCCAAGGTTAACATAAATTCCATACAAAGAGAAATACATTTTCTTTCTGATTTTTATTTCAATACTTTCCTAGATATATTTTTTTTTGTAATCTCGTACTCTATTCATCGTTTTCCTTACTATATACATGTATATGTAGGTGCTAGAGTCGACGACAAAAGGCGTAGAAGAAGTACAGGAATATATATAATATATATATATAAAGTTTAAATAAACAAACGTACACATTAGACATACAATTTTATCTTTTCATACACATTGATTCAAAAGCATAAATTAGAATGATACAAAAGAGAAAAGAAAAGGAGTGAGAAAACTTTTGCTCCATAGTTTGTCCCACATCGCATATCTGCATTTTTGATCGTCGTAACAAAGATGAAATAAGAAAGATACCACATACAAATGAGAGGGATAGGAAAAGAACACAGAGAAAACCAGAAACGAAGAAAGTATATACACAGGTAGCAAATGAGACCTCCAAAAAATAATATGATATAAGTGTACAAATACTAGATTAGCAAAAGAAATGAAATCGGTATTTGAACAGTTGTCTAATCTAGTTTTTGGCATCAAGACAAAGGAAATACGCACTGAGATCACTTGACTTTGACAACGCATTGTTGAGAAGTGAACAAGTCACGTTTATCATATAATTGTGCATGTTGATCCATTACATAGGAATCCAGATTAGCAGCATTAACATTACCTTGAACACTGGTCGATGGTAATGAGTAGAGCACCTTCCATTTACGTTTTTTATTTTGTTGTTTCGTCGCTGTTGCTGCTGTAGGTTGGGACGGAATAGTTGACGACTGATTATGGTTGCTTTGTCCTAGCGGACGTTTTGATTGAGGAGATGGCTGTTGATGTTCTTTTTCAATGAGAACAAAGTCTGATTCATCTTGATCATCAATGACGATCCATGAATCGCTCATTTGTTTTGGTGTCGATTTCAATGCAGAAGTATTTTTAGCCATCAATAAGAAAATTTAAAGACGGTTAAGTTGTAAAAAAAACAGGAACGAAGAGAATCTAGAAAAGAAGAAAAACAAGTTTTCTTTCTTACCAAGGACATTCCTTTTTTTTTTGAGAAAAACCACTGATTTCTGCCGCGAGACAAAACCAACCTGTTTGTTATGGAATGATTTCTTTTCGAAAAGATAGTAGATTTTATAGAGAAATAGTGACGATAGTACATAGTCGAACATTTTCTTCCTCCATTTCTCTCATTCGCTCTCTCGCTTTCTCTTTCTCTAGAACAATCGATGACGGCGAAGAAAAAAAAATGATGCTGGATCTTATTTTCTACTCTCCATATACGTTTTGACAATTGCTGTGGCTGCTGTTAGTGACGAAGAGAACAGAAGAGAAAGAAAAGAGAAAACGAGAAAGAAAGAGAAAGAGCGATGACGATGTAGGCATGTGATCGTCGTTGTTGTGCGCATATCATGTGAATGTGCGCTCACGAGGTCCATGACATCATTACCATTGGGCGAAAGAACAGAGATGCATTGGCAGCAATATGCATGTGCCGTCTGTGCGGTTAGAAAGAAGCAGAAAAAAAAGAAACGAGAGAAAAGAAAGAAAGAAAGAACGAACGAATGAATATGCGCACGAAGAAACAAATCGGGTGCAAGAGTTCCTGCCTTCACACCAACTCATAATATTAACGTTAAACAAATCGAATAAAATATTTCATGAAATGGTCCAAATCTCTAATAATATTTATTATTGTCTATTCAAAAAAAAAAGATTGCCTGATATATATATATATATATATTACCTTGTTACTCAATCGAGTGAAACGTGAAAAAATGTTTCGTTAGTGTAATTAAAGCAATAAACCTTGGTAATGTGATAATATTAACTTTCTCAGCATTTGATGTTATCATGAAAAGAAAGACTGAGATTTCAGCAGATGTATTCATTCAAGATCTGATGAAAAACGAGCTTCAGCGTTATCAGGATTCATACATAACAAATGAATGTCTCCATTGTGTAAGAAAATGATCAATAATAAATAACATCTATTTTTAAAAATTTCATGTCGTTTTTCGATAAATTGAATATATGATTAGTTGTTGACACAATGTATTTTGATAAACATGTTTTGATTTGTGTCATCAATGCTAGAGCACGTGTGTTTCAATAATCTCTATTAAGATATATCTATACTGTTACAGGAAGTACCTAGGTCACGATGGTTTGTAGAACAGCAAAGTTTTCTCGCTGTTTAAGTACTTTTGACTAGTATGTCAACTCTTTGAGATGCTCTTCCTTCTTATCAAGTATATTTTCCATAATAGACTATCCTATCGTCTCCACCCAGTATTATCGACAGTTTCTTTTCGAATACGATCCATGAATATCCTTAACTGTTGAACTATCATCACCAGTAGTTAGTGATTATGCAGTTGTTTGATTGAATCTACTCGAAAAAAGATATCTATTAAAAAGAGACTTTCGACTTCCGGTTGAAAATAACTAACTTGATCAATGGAAGTACCAGGATCATTAGACATGTAAAAAAATGTCGCCTATATTCATGTGTCTAAGAACAACTTTAGTAAAAGTCGGGTAGTCCTGTAATTTCCTTTTAGTCGTCGAAGAATTGTCACTGGCTCTCTTCAATAAACAGAACACTACTCATTACAACAACTGCGAATCTACTACTAATGTAACTAAAAGATTCGTTAACGAAGGTCGTAAATGAAGAATCCATATATAAGTACACACGAAGGTTGAATCTCATTGCAAGACACACATTTTGTCAGGTGCAGTAGGAGGTTTGAGGTATGCGGTTAGGTTGGAATGGATGCAATACTCATGATTTTCCTTTGACGGCATGTTTTTGTTAATATCTAACATTTGAATAAACAAAAAAGTCAGTTATATTTTAACGTTTATATTTATAATAATCAAAACAACACGTCACATCATTCATGATAAAAATACGCGTCCTGTGGACAACATTTAAAGCAGAACACTTCTTCGATTTATTATATTTGTTCAGTAGCGAGGACAAACAAACAGTAAACAAGAAAACTTTGATGAAAGACGAGAGAAAACAAGCTAGAAAATTCACATATATACAAAAATAGAATTCGACAAATACATGCAATTATTTTTGTCGAGTAGAGATAGAACGAAGAAGTAATAGACACATTTTGCAATGTTAATAATTGAGATTACGGTAACGTACGGGCGGTGGAGGACTACGCATGGATCTTTGGCGAATAAGTTTCCTTCTTGATGTTTTGGGCGATGAATTTATCGGTGCGTAATAGTGATTTCGTCGAAACTAGAAAAATATAGAACCGATTAGGAATATTTGTCTTCGTTATGTTAGGATTAATCACCTTTGATTTGACGTTAATTAGCAGTAATCAAATAAGGAAAAGAAAAACAAAGGATTAGTTAAGCAAAATCGATTAGTTTATTCAAGCAGCGCATGCGCATGTAGGTTAGGATAAATCATTCACTGTCTGAGCATCGTTGTTTACCGGAACGTGTATTTCATCGCTGTTCGTACTATTCTGATGAAATAACCGTGGAGGTTCGGACGTTGTTTTACATAGAGATGGACGAATCGGCTCCTGGTTTGCGGAAGCCGATTTAATCAATGGTGGGTTTGAGGTCTGAAAGAAAGGAAGTCAATGGAATGCTTTCTATAGAATTTGAAATCTTTACTTGAGATTTTTGTTTGAGAATCGATGGTAGTGTAGTAGTTTGTGATGAATTAGATTCATTGGTGGATAATGTCAATTGATTTAAGGGTGGCCACTCTGAAGGGTCGAGTTCATGATGGGAGGATGGAGAGCGTTCGTTGTTGGCACCCGAGATTGATGGATTATTGTATAAGAGGACTGGCAAAGAGGATGAAAGAACGTTGGTTGGAGTTGTTGAAGTTGGCAATGCATTGCTTGGAGTGGGATTCGGATATGCAGTCGGAATTGTTAGCGAAATTCCTCCGCCAGCTGCAGCTGCAGCTTCCATATCTCGAGCAACTTTTCTTTCACTTAAACGTCGAAAAAGAGATGTACTTTGCGAGTTTTTTCGATTGGAATTAGTTCCATTGGTAGTTAATGTATTTGTTCCTGAAGAATTCATTGAATGCTTTTGACAATATGATTGATGTGTAGGTGCTGTAGAAGATTTCTTTTCCGATTGTTGGTAATAACGTAGTTTCTGTTTCGATGGCGAACGACGTCGACCACCAGTACGTATCTGCGTTTCCGAACAAGGTATGGCTCGAATGGACAATGTTTCTGAGCCACTCAGAATCAATTTCACTACTTCGGAATGAAGTAAACCAGCAACAGGACGTTCATTCACATGCGTAATGACGTCATTTGGTTTCAGACCAGCTTCAGCCGCTGGACCATGAACAGCAACAACCACATGTTGAGTGGTATAGTAGTCTGTGTTACCATGAAAGACTTTGACAGCCCGTAATGTAAAACCGAAACTACGTGGGCCTCGATGTATGATAATCAGTGGCCGAAGATTATTTTTAATCGAATGACTTGGTGACAGCGTCCTAGATGAATATGCGTCGTGTTCGAGGGGTGAAAAAGTCATGTTTTGACGATATGCTTGACGACATGACCGATCATCCTAAACGACAGAAAAACACGAAATATATTAGATTAGAATTAGAATTGACAGTTTGTTGATCTCAAACCTGATTTTGAATGCAAAACGGTGGTGGTGGCGGCGATGAGGAAGAAGATGATGATGAAAATGACTTTGAAAGCGATCGTGGAAACGAACGTTGTTGTTTCTGTTGTTGATTAGGGCAATTCCCTGGTTTATGTGCTGATGAACAATGTTCATTGGATATCGATACAATGGGAGTGATTAAATTCGTATTTTGCTTGGATTGAATAGGAGATAGTGTTCGAGGTATTCGAGTTTTTCTCGAATAACGAGATTTATTCTTTTCTTGATGATTGTCATCACTACTATCCACTGAATTCTGTTGTTCGAGTAGTTTCACAGAAATTTTTCGTTGCTTATAATGTTTGGTTGACGAAGGTGAAGATTTCTTTTCATCATTCTCGCCCGCCTTCTTCGTCGATGATGACGATTCAGACTCATCGGAAGACACTGGAATTGGCTCAAAAGTTCCAGAACCAAAGACTGGTTCGGCTAAAGAAAGAAAGAAAATTTTGATTGGTTTTGGAATACTAATGTAAGAAATATTTTTAAAAAGTACTTCTACGAACTCATTAACGATACAATGCTATTCAGAGGATTCTTCTTCTTTTAAGCACATCAAAATATAATTACTTTCTTTTCTATCTCAAGCACGTTCCAAAGTTTCCTCCAAAGTTATTCTGTTCCTGCCTGGTATAACTATGTGAGAAAAAAAAAGTAATTATCATTACCTTTGTCGTCACTCATTGATTTATTCATTGACGAGATTTGAAATTCATTGGGAAAATCAATTTGGAACGAGCTCGTCGATTCCGTGCAGGAGTTTGCTCGAGATACATCCGTTGATGACACAGAACCACGATTACTCTTCGGTTGCTTGTGTGTGCCCGATAATTCCGAAGCATATTTGATTGAAACCGAAGAGAATGATGCAAACAAAGAATCTGAATCATTATTCGATAAACTATGATCATCTTCATCATCAGAATGCTTGTAACGATCTTGTCTTGTATCGAAATATGATGTATCATCCGGAGATTCCAATACAGGAACGAAATCTGCTTTCTCCCGCAATAGTGAACTCCAATTAATGCAGGAACAGAATGGATGTGAACGAATTTCATACGCACCAGCCAATGATCCCAAGCGTTTCGACGGATCGGGTTCGAGTAATTGTTCGATTAAATGTTTCGCACCTGACAAAACTTCATCTTCCGAAAAATTTTCCTCGCCATCCGACATCAGTGGACTCCAATCAATTTCTCCACTGATCACATTGGCAAATAATTCATCAGGTGTATTACCAGTAAAAGGTGGTATGCCAACTAAAAACTCATAAAGAATAATTCCCATGCTCCACCAATCCACCGCTTTGCCATAGCCTTGTCTTAAAATGACTTCGGGTGCGATGTACGATGGTGTGCCACATATTTGCTTATCATTAAATGCTTTGGTTTCTTTATCAGTATGTTTTTCGTAGAAATTGGTTGTTAATGACATGAGACCGATTTTCGAAAGACCGAAATCGGTCAGTTTTATATGACCCACTGCTGTTATTAACAGATTGTCTGGTTTTAGATCCCGATGGATGATTCCATACGAATGGAGATATTCAACAGCTAATGTTGTTTCGGCAAAATACATTCGTGCAATGTCGATATTCAATGGTCCACCGATGTTCTTCAATAATGTTGCCACGTCACCTCCTTCGACATATTCCATGACTAAACATAAGTGATTCTTCGTTTCGAACGTGCATATGAGAGCAACAACAAATGGATTGTCCGTAAATGTCATTATGTCACGTTCAACAAATGCTTGTTCAATTTGATTTCGAAGGATTAGATGAGTTTTGGAAATCTTCTTCATCGCATAGCGTTCTTGCGTTTGCCGATGCTTAACTAAATGCACAGCACCGTAGGCTCCGTTCGAGATTAATTTTAATACTTCAAAATCTTCTTCACATGGTCCTTTCATTGACGTTGAACGTTCCAGCGATGGAAATATAGTATTCGGTGTGATGGTTAAGTAATTCGATTCAATTAAAGAGTCATTTTCATTGTCAGTTACAGATGTATTGGTTAAACTTTTCTCCTCCGACTGTTCACTTGAGTCGGTTACCTAGATAAAGTTTTATTAATACTTTTCATGTCATCTTATCTTAGTTAATTGATAATAAAAAAAAGCAAAGACTTGTCTTTATCTTTGTTTAGCTCTAATACTCTCTGATAACGTTTTCAAACGCATTCTAATAAACTTGAAGAAGCAAATTCCTATCCTTGACGCATATTTTAGTTACCTGTAAGCCATCGATGACGTCGAATGGATTTCTTTCTAAATTTAATTGTGAGCAGATGTACTTGGGAATGTCTTGTTTAACATTAGTGATGGTCTTCGCTTGACACTCGACTTCTTCGAGTGTCCGAAGAAAATTTTCTGGATCGAAATGTAAACATTCTAAAAGACGAGCTGATCTCGCGGTGATCAAGAGTAGCTTTCGAACAATGCCTTGAAGATCTTCGACAGCATGAGGACATTTTTCTTGAGCATTGAGCAATAATCTTTCGAGATTGTCGGTCATTTCGTTGAAGTACAAATTGGTGATTAATTCGTTTGTAGACTTATTTAAACAATCTTTAGCTAATTCAACAATTTGATTGTGAATAAATCGAGCTGAACCGTCGGAACAATAATCAAACTTATCGACTACTTTGTGCGTATCAATAAAACTTTGCAAGCGTTCTTCCATTTGAATTTTTGCTTTTGGATAACGTTCTTTGTAAATATACGCCATTGTGTTCATATCTTGGTCGGGAATGAACATCAATTTGCTGGGTGAAGAACACACGTTTGCATCGAGTAACGACATAGATATAGACCGGGATTCCAAATGTTGAAAACCATCCAATGGATTCGTATCCGATTGTTGTTTACATGAACAAAGATGATGTTGAAGACGTTCGAATGATGAGTACTGTGAACTTGGTGGAGATGTCGTTCCATAACCACTCGACGATGGCACAGAGGTTAATGACCATCGACGATTAACATCATCATCAAGTACATTCAAGTCTTGATTTGGCTCGGGAGTACTGACTGAGAGTGTTTGTTGACGAGGTGAGAGTTGCTTTCTGAAAGAATGTTTGATGTTGCCTAAATTCATACCGGTTAAGTTTGAACGACGTGCGCTTGGATAACGTGTTAATAATGAAATGGTTTGAGTTGTTGTTGATGCTGACGACGTTCGCGGAGACGATTTTACCGATGGACTTGTTTGATACGACGGATTGATTTGATGAGAAGTTAAACTTGGCTCGGAAAGACTGATTCGATAACGACGTAAACGGCACATGTTAGTTACCGGTGGAGAAGGCAGTACAACTTCGATCGGTGACGAATTCTGCGATTGAAAAACCATCCAACTTCGACGACGAATTGCATCTTTAAGAATCTTTTTCGAATTCTGATCGCGAGGACGAAGAAAGTTTTGACTAGAACATGTCGATGATCGTTGGCGGTATGGGACTGGCGTCATCGGCTCGGATACTTCACATTCGTCAACATTCAACAAACGTCGATCCGGCTTCTCAGGTCTACTCTCCTCTGAACACGCTGGATCAGCATCTAAATAATGTATGTACTCAAAAAACACATTTTGTAACCTTGAAAACATCAAATATACCTGAAACAACAACAAATAATTTGGTTGATTTTTCTCCATTATCATTAGATTGTACAATATCATCGACATTTGTTTTTGTTTCATTTTCCGATGTTGTTATAATCGGAATGTTACTTGCGGTTACCGCCTGCTTTTCTTCATCTTTGTTCACTGCTGCTAATGACGTGACGAGCGACGATCGTGCCATTGGTTTGTGCTTTGACTTTTGACCAAACAGTTTTCTCATAATTTCATATATTTACTAGATAAGTCGTTGTCAACAACAGAGCAATGATAATATATATCACCTTTTTCTCGTTTTAACATCAAGTGCACGAGAGAAAGAGAACGAAAAAGACGGAGCAAAAAAAGGTATAATTACGGTTGAAAATATTGATGACAAATGAAAAATAACGTCGACGTATTCTCTAGTGTTTTGCGAGCTTGTTTGAATAAAAGACTTTCTGATGTTTCATGCATCCTATAATATCGAGAAAAACACGGTAAATAAACATTGATGTATTTCTATCAATGATAAAGAGGTAGTGTTGATAAGTAATCTGAAGAAAATATCAACATGAAATGATCGTTGACAAGCTCAGAAATATAGAAGAAGGAAAAACAAGACGTTTTTCTTATAAGAACCCGACAAAAATAATGAACACAAGAAGAAGAAGACGTGCAAAAGAAAATTCTCTTTTCCTAGCTTATTTTACTCATTCGCTCGCATTTGTTTTTCAAGTGACGAGTCGCTTTTTCTCTTTCTTGCATTTCTTGCCTTCGTTGTTCCTCATTTCTTTTTCTTCTCGCTCGACATCCTACGAGAAACTATCAGCTGTCATTATTATGACTCGATGGCAAAAACAGATTAAAAAATTACATCTAATTTCAGCACGAGAAAAGAACGCCGTAGCACTCCGACATATTCAGAATGAAAATAAACTTTCTTATCGAAAAAGCAAAAAAAAAACCATCTTCGATCCTTCGTTTAGTTTTCATTACAAAGTAAAATGTTACAATGGATTCAAATACCATTACCCTTCATGCAAATATGCGCGTTTTTTTTTACAACTCGCTCGCATACACACATGAAAGTATCGAAAAGTTTATCGAGTGTGTTTCTTTGTTGTTGACATCGAACACAATCTCGAGAAGTAATTAATAAAATAGAAAATGAGAAAAGAAATATTACTTTTTGGTCGTTTTACAACTCACATCCGTCGGCGAAGTTCTTTTTATCTCAAAGAAAACTCTTTTTTTCTTTGTCATCTAATATTTATTGATTCGAACGAAAATATAAGATTAGCGACTGTTTGTCTTCTTTCGAAACACAGTTATCGAATGATCTTTCTATGCGCAGGCGCCATTAAGTACAATTCTCTACATCACACTACATTCACTCGTGCGAAGTCGATAACTAAATTAATAAGTTGTTTGCACGTAAAGAACTGTATTTAGCTCATAAGAATACTAATATGTTTAGTTACGTCTCATATTCCTTCGCTGCTGATCCGAGTCAATTATGTTTATATGAATGATAATGATAGAATAGTGTCGAATTTTGTTTTCATATTTAGCGCAAGATCAAATGAGCAACAGCGATTGACGTCAGTCAATATGATTGTCATTTTCTTTGGTTTGAGCAAAGAAAAACATAGTTATTGTCGTAAATCAACGAATAAAACAAAGTGTTGTTGACAATTTCGTATGTCTTTCATCTCATTAGCTTTCGCTTGGCAAAGAACTTCTCTTCTCCGTTCTAATTGACGTAAATACTATTTCTATTGACCTGGCGTTTTACTTGACATTGAAGGATAGTAATCAAAGGAAGAGGAAAAAAAAAACTCATCATATTTTGTTTTGTTTCCTATTTGATCTTCAAGAAACACTCACCTTTCATCTTGTTAGGCACAACAGAAAATACTCAAACATGTCGAATTTGCTATTATTGACATTTCAGACGACAGGAATAAATACACATAATAAATTATTCGGGATTTTTTTTATATCTGAAGAATAGGAGAAAGAACACGAATATGCCAGTATTTATTCAGTGTTGAGGACAAGTAAAAATAGACGGTAAAGAAGCAAAATAACGTTTCCTGAGATTAGAAGGAAAAATGAAGAATAATTATCACTACAGGGGCGATGATGCGATAGAAACACGAATGAATTGAGAAATTGTGTTTAGAATATTAAATCAACTCTCTGACAACCTAATCATATAATCACAAAACGTGCTAATAGCAGAATTCATTTATTTAGAGTTCTTCCTAGTTTACGATTGGTGCCGCTATTTTCCTATATAATCAAGAATAAATATTATAGACATACAAACTAAAAAAAATACTAATGGTACAACATATTTATATATATATATATATACAACTGTTGATTAATATAAACGAGCCCATCAGGACTAAATATAGACATAATTGCATACAATGACGAATCATCATTGGTAATTTGTCACTACAATCAACATGAATTATAATCTATTATTTGAAACTAATCGAAACAACTAGCGGTTAGATCTTTGGTATATTTCAAGGATGTCTTATGATCGAGTTAGAAAAGTTTCTTCTTTTACAGCAACGTAAAGTGCAACGGGAAGCCAAACGAGAAACATGAAAAGAGAACGTGCGTCTGTTTTTAGCACAATGTTAGAGCAATCTATTGATTTTGCTCGATGATTTCAAATTGTATTGATGGTAGTTGTTGTTCCCGACACGACGCAAGGTTGTGTCGACATATGAGATGCCGGAGAATTAATTAGAAGTCTTGTCGATGAGACCGAAGATGTGCTTATTTGTCTATAGAGTAGAAAAGAATTCAATGCCTGTTTAGATTTTCTTTGTTGTTGTTTTTCTAGAGAAAAATCAATCATATATGTGTGTCAGAGGATTTGCTTTGCCTACTTGATGCCATTGTCAGTTCCGATCCGGATCGGCATACTTTCAGACATTTACTTATCAATGAAATCATTATAAAAAGTAAAAATAGACTGACAGCAACAAAACCAATGTAGACCAGAATCGATCGAATTTCTTCTTGATAATCGATTGAAACTATGAATAAGCGCAGAACTTTTGATCTGAATTGCATGTGAATAGGAACTTACGATAATCTTCTTCTTCTCTTTCAGCATAAGAAAATTGAAATTGATCGGAATGTTTTACAGTTGTTCGATCACTCACATGCATCGTTGGTTTGAAGTGTCTGGTAAATGACAATCATAAATTTCTAATCTACACTACCGTTCTTTCACTTTAACAAGACGAAGTGGTTTGCCAAGGTGAATGATGGTTGTAACATCGACAGGGAATGAATTAGATACACAATGACAAACAAGCATTGCGACGACAAGTAATGGCCTGCGTTTTAAATAAACAATCTTAGAAATGTTGACCTTTGTTGAGGTAGAATTCGAAATCTTATGTTTCACTTTGAGTTAATGTCAATGAAATGATAAGATTGGAATGTATTTTCTTTTTATTTCACATGGAACCGATACTCTTCGATATACATCAATTAACGCACAAGCAAAGAAAAGGAAAACAATAGAAGTATTAATGTAACGACGAATATATACGAATAACATTGTCTTCATCATCAGTCACATTGTCATCTGTCGTTCGATCTCCATCTTGAATAGTGAAATTGAATCTTGTGGTTGTGTGTCTTGCCAATGTTTTCTGACTTGTCGTCGTCAGCGACAAAGAATTGTTCTCCAGTAAATGCTCTTGTGTTCGATTGAGATTTGGTCCACTCAAATATTCAGTACTCGTGACGTAATACGTATGATTCGATCGGGTTTGTCGCCGGCGAATTAGATGGAGTTCACTAAGAAAATATTGGATTTCATCAAGTATAATACTGCGAAATTTCCGTCCCGCTAGACAATAGAGAAAGAAATTCACGATGTGTGGTAAATCAGACAGGATATCTTGTGTCACACTGGTATAAAAACTAATTTGATATAAGCTTATTTCATCGTCACTAATCTCCTTGCAGTCACGATCTCGTAATATACCTTTTGTATCTTTTTTTTTCGTAAAGAAAAACATGGCAGTGTTAGGTAAATTGAAAAGAATTAATGAAACAGTAACGGCAAAGAGCATTCTGGTTACTTGGGTACTGGTATGACGGCGTTTGGATGCCTGACTTACATCTGTTGTCAGCGAAACCGTTGGCGATGTTTGTTGACGACCGAATGTCGATGGATTTTTGACCCTTAAGATTTCTAACTCTGAATTTTGTGAATCAGGTTTACGATCCTTTCGTGACCAATTAATTGAAGTACGAGACACCCGATGCAGAGTAACGGCTATGACTATATTTGCAGCTGTAATTAAAGCTAAAAAAAAAGAAAGGTAGGAAGAAATTAAAGAGCTTAAACATCCGACAGCATTTGTTTATCTCGTAAGTTATCTCTTGGTAAGAAACAAATCCTGACGCATATTTGAGAAGTGCCAGAAGAAAACACGTTTGTTTAAGTTTAATTACAGAAATGCTCAAAACAACATGAAATGATGAACTTCATCAGCAACGCTTTCTTGTCTACTTTGTCGTCGTCGTCTGCAGCACACCTGGATGTCAACATTACGGTATCCTGTTGGACTAGTACTTCTCACCCATCGGTGAATCACTTATAAATATTTAGAGCACATTACAACATACGTGAATAGACTTTCTGTCAACTACAAATGAATTTTTCTTCGGAGCTCAAACATGCTCGAGTTAATATCTTAAAGTATGCTAGTAGTTTGATACATCTAAGGAATGTTTGTTCTTCTGTGCAAAGAAAGAATATACTTAAGTGGTATTTCCGTGTCACAGTATAATTAGTTATTTATAAAGACAATTGCTAGAAACGATAAACTCTTTCAAGTGAGTGTATTCGAGCGAAGATAAATGACGATAGAAGACGAGGGAAATCTCGATGGTGGGCATCGTGAAGACCATTGTGTAGAAGAGCAAATTGTTTTATAGTTGAGAGAACTTTCAAATCCAACAGGCTCAATATATTTTGGTTAACGGCATGCAAAGTGAATATACATGCTTGTTCGGTGAATAAGCGAAGATCGGGGTCACATTGTGAGGTTTGTAGGGCAAAGTTTCTGGAAATAAAATACATCACGGGATAGATAGCAAACTATTTTAAGATTAATGAAGCATCGCAATAGGATTAACTGTCTGAAGAACTTTTAATTACCACAGGACGAGGTTTCTCTTTAGTCCTTCATTTTGTTATTCTATAATCAACCTAATTTTAATGATCATCCTTAATGATACATTTCGTCTTCAACTGAGAGCAAGAAGAGTTTGGCAACGCTGTGTGGCATACGCCTAAAGTCGCGTTGTTTTCCTTATGATAATTATGTTGGTTACTAAAGCAAGAAAGCTCTATCTTACCAATTGGTAGTATCGATGCAGTTATAATATCGAGTACCAAAGGATCTTTTTCATCATCTAATCCACATGACTTTAAATTGCCTCCAGTAACATTTTGTGTGGCAAACGAAATGAAAGGTAAGTTCGCCAAGAAAAGAAGTAGACTTGTCGCATAGCATATATAGGAAACACGCTTTTGCGTTAGCCAAATACTTGATTTCAATGGATGAATAACTGCAATCGCTTTATCACTAGAGAACATTGAGAATCAGTAAATTGCATTAGTAATTTCGCCTACTTACACACTCATCAAAACGATTGTCCACATGGCAATTGAGATGCATGTGTTCATACATACATATAATGCTTTACAGAAAGCACTCGTGATAAAAAAGATCTCTCTTCTTTTAATAGTAGATTGGTAGTTCAACTCGACGCGAATGTATTTGAGCGTAATGGCCAAGGTATCGAAAATAGCGAGGAAACGTAAGAAAAATATCGTCGTGGATTTATTTGATAATCTTGGTCGTGAAAGAACAATCAAACAGAGTGCATTGAGTAAGACGCCTGGACCGATCAATATACGTAAGTAATGCGAATTGAGAAATTTGAAGAACAAATAACTATTCGTATAGACACGATCGAACAACGAACAGTTACTGATGGGTAATGAGCTCGATAAGATCGTTGGCGTAGAAGTCATTGGTCTAAATCAAAAGTATATAATCAGAAATTCTTCTCTCGCTCTCCGTTCACATACGAATCAAAGACGCCAACTTGTCAGAGTCAGCATTACAAAACTCTTTTCTTTCTATTCTTTAAACATGCATGCTAAACATCTGAATTGACAAAAGCAATTAGAACAAGTGCATCTAGAGAGGTAAACCCTAAGAATATCTGACAAACGTACTGAAATCAAATTCATTAGAAGATCAAACAAAGCAGCCTCAGAAAAGAACCAAGAAAATCTAATAAACACTACAACGAAGCTGTCGTCCTTGTAGTTGATTCTCTGTTTACCATGACTTGCTCAGTAACGCATACATTAGGCAAAAAAGTCAATTTCTTGATGAGTAGAAACAAGAAGAAATTCTAGTTGAATAATAATTAGTTCGAACTTGATTCGTTACTATCAAATTACATCGAACGATTTCGGCAATCTCACGTTTCGACGTCGAGAAAGCACGAGCTTATGCTGACTTAACGATTTCTTTGGTGCGATGATTTTCGCATATATTTAGGACATGCCGATCGGAGGAGAAAAACAAAAAGCTTAGATACTCCTACCTGAATCAAAGGAATTATTCAGTACGTATCAAGTTGAGAGTTTCATAGAAAACAAAGCACGCATCTGTGATGTTTCTATAATGTTCAAAAGGCAATAATCTATTATTGAAGACTTACATGAGTGTTAATTCATATGTCGATGTTATGACAGACTTTATGAAAAAAAAGATGAGATACTCAGGGAATTATATATGCTAGAAATCATCTTCTTGTCATTCCTTTTTCTCTCTCGCTCTCTCTAGCCGTCTCTTCTTTTTCTCGACATGTAAGACGAAAAAAAAAACAAGGAAATCCTCGCAATGATGACAATATATAATGAAACTACGAGAAAGAAAAGCAACTTCTTTTCAAGATAGAAGAGTAAGACACCGGTGTTAATTAGTAAGTTTTATTACAATGATTGGTTTTCTACCTTGCAGTCACTCCTATAAAGCGAAGTTAATATTAATGTGGCATCTTCAAATGGGATAGAAACTCTCTCGTTTTGAATACGTTCGTTGTACGGCCCATAATCTATTTAGGACAAATCTTCTGTAAAAATCGACCGTGACAAAGTAGTGTAAGAAGTTAAATAATAAAGAGAAAAACTTGTTCAAACCGTTTCAAGTGAGATGGAAAGTTTTTCTTTGTTTGAACACAAGCTACTTATATTTCACCACAACAACTTCTTCCTGAAAGCAAGCGACTAAGCTTTACTTCACTCGACTTAGAAATCTTCGCTGAAAATATCCATCAAAAAGGATAAAAGCATTAAAAGATGAAGAATTATCAGCAACTCGAAGAAAACCTAATGAAAGATCCACCCTATGAGCGGTATTTCATTCAAAGGTATTAATTCAACAAGAATATAAGTATACACTATATTAATCTCCGCATCAGATCAATTTCCATCTATTCTTTTTTGAAAAAAATAAGAACAAATAATGTGTGAGTTGTTTGCAAATGAATGTATTAAGTCATCTGATTAGAGAACAGGAATTACAAAAATTACACCTAATCTGAAAATAGTACATAAGAACATTAATCAGATGCATAATGTGCAACTTTGTCTATACTAATTTTGCTTTCTTCCAGTTTGTACTACATTCGGAAGCAGATTACCTTCAACGCCACCATATTTAACATAGCGTGTCGTTCATTTAGGATTTTGATTAACTGTTTCAAGTTCCGCTTGTCATTTTTCTCGATGAAAACAGTTATATATTTGCTGACGATGCTCAATGAAGTGATTTCGCATATATATATATTTAGACCAATAACCTGTTCATTGGTCATTCAACCGTATATTTTACTCTTAAGTTAGCATAATTAGCATTTGTAATAATAGATACGCATTTGTAGATGCATGTATCTGATTTTATCTAGCGCAATTATTCACGTTACATGACGATTCATACACGAACGAACTGATTCTGATGAGAATGCATAATAAAGTAGACGAAAAAGAAAGAAGAAAATGATAGAATAATAAATATTTATTGACGAATTTCTTCTCTTCGCCGATTGAAAATCCAAAACAATGTCACTAAGAATCATTTTCGATGGATGAAAGGTACGTCAAAAACTATCGGTTTATTTCAATTTGGAATCTCTACATGATTACGTACGCATGACTGAACCAAACAAGCATTAATCCTTATCCGAAAATATAACCTTGAAGTAGAGGACGTGCAGATGTTGCAATCATACTCATGCACTTACATTAATCAGATTGAAAGGTTTTTTTTCTTTTTTCTCAGATTAAACTCTAAATACTGAATCAAAACTAGTTATCTGGTTCGTTGATTGACATGAAAAATATGTTTATTAAGGCTAAAAAGAAATAGGGGAAAGAAGAAGTAGTGGAACCAATTGGAGAACGCACGAACGAGTTTTCATACAAAACTACGAAGAGAAAAAAACTAGTGTCGTTTGTTTTTGGACGTTTATTGGGCTGACCAACCGCCATCGATTGGTATGGCTGTTCCGGTTCTAAACAGAATCAGTAAGCATGCATGAAGAACTTGACGCCTTTCTCTTCCGCAATGGAACTTACAATGTGGCACTGATCTCATCAGCAAGTAGTAATGATAATCTACCAATTAATTCAACTGGTACAAACTTTTTGACGGCATGTTTCTGCAGGATTACGCGTGGTATAACTTCCGATTCTAGAATATTACATAGAAATACTCCAATCGGAAAGGCGTTGGATTTCGAAGAATCTACCGGATATATCATGTGATTTCGCTTGATCACGTATTTGCGCATCGACGAGCGGCGTTCGTACATATCCGGGGCAAATAGCATTACAATTAATATTAAATGGCGCACCTTCGAGAGCTGTCACTTTTGTTAGGCCTAATACACCATGTTTAGCAGCGACATAAGCAGATTTGTATTCACTAGCGAATAATCCATGAGCTGATGCGATGTTGATGATTCGACCGAATTGCTGGGTTTTCATCGGTTTCATCAGCGCTTTGGTGAGAAAAAATGCTGATGATAAATTTACACGGAGAATGTCTTCCCATTTTTGATCGGGAAAGTTTTCAATAGGTGAAACATGTTGAACACCACAATTGTTAATCAGCACATCTACGAACGAGAGAGAAAGCTTTGCATAAAATGAGATGATTAGCAAAGAACTAACCGATATGATTGAATTGTTTTAAACCTTCGTCAACCATAGTGCGTAATTGATCGGTATGCAAAGCATTCGCAGGTGAATACATATGATCAACTTGAAATTCTTTAGCAACAGCAGCAGCTATTTCATGTCCATTTTTTTCCAATCCGTTAAATATGATATTATATTTAGCTTTAGCAAATGCGCGAGCAATACCAAGACCAATGCCACTGAAAGAAAAACAAATACAAAGTGTTCTATTTCTTCTCTCATTCCATCCCACCTTGTACTGCCCGTGATCAATACTGTTCGTGCCGCCATTTATCTACAAATATAAAAAGACGACATTCTTCGTTTCGTTTTGCTGATGCAAAATTTTCGAGGAGAAAACAATCACTGGACGACATGGCATTTATTGCTAGTTAGTACCAGTTTGTTGCTTAGAAATGATTTCATCAAGTTTCTTTTCTAATTCTACTAATTCAACTTTGGATTTACTGAATAAACGTTCAAATTCAGCTTGTTTATTAGTACCATCCGTGAGCATTTTCGCTTGAATCATCTTCGATACAAGGATCGTTGCTTTGCGTTCGTGGTACTTGGCCATTCGGCACTGCGTAAATCGTCCCATGGTCAGAACTGGCAAAGAGACGACAGCCGCTTGAAACACTCGATTACGATTGGTTGTTAAGAGAAATGCTGCCATACTGCAGAAGAAGGAACCTGGTATTCCTGAATAGATATGCAAGAGATGATTGGAATAAATCAGTTTTATCCTTTTTACCGAATATGAGTGCTTCTTTCAGACAAAGTACTTCTCCGAGAGGTCTGTTTTTCGAAACTTCGGCAAACATGTTATAATTATGTTTCATCTGCTGCCATGCTGTGGTCGGCGGAGCATTCGGGTCCGTGTTTATCGGTTGCACGGATTTCAACTTAGAAAAATCAGCGGGATCATTCTTCGATGTCATATCTAAAAATAGAGAGTTACTTATGGTGATAGACACGCATGAATGATCGAATTAGAACGATCTTTTACAACAAAACATACTCTTTTCTTACAGTCGTACCCTCGATGATCTCAGTAATATGTTGTGCATATTATTAGAAATAGACTCACACCTCGAAGTCTATCTTCTAATTCTATTTTTAAGTCTCATGGATAAGATGCTGAAAATTTTCTTTTGTTCATATGAAAGAAAACATTCTAACAAAAGAGAGTTTATTTCAACAATAAACAAAAGCCAAACAACGACACACATATATTGACTATATAGAAATCACCGAGTCTGAAAGCTTGAATAACCTCTTTCTACTTATTTATTAAAAAAAAACATACACGATAGTAAGCACCATTATAACCTCTCACCAACACGAATCTTATCACCTGTTTGACGAGCAAAATGAAACGTAGACGGAGCTTCGAATACCAATACAATACAAGAGCCTAACTTAAACTCTCCAAATGGATCACCTTTGTCGAAAGACATCTGATCAGTTGACTGAAATTTTTCTTTCCAAATGCGAAATGTATAATCATCTAATTTCTGATTGGTTTTCAAGGTCTTATCAGCGTAGATATCAATTGAACCGACGTTTGTCGCACCGATCATCGTTTGAGTCATTAAACCATGTTTATATTCACCCAAATAAACCACACGTTCGTTCAATAACAACAAATTCGGTATCCAAATAATGAATTCCGGTCGCACGCTCATCAATTCACCGGTTATATGACGACGTTCTCGAATACGCCACTTCGCCGGACTATGAAAATGGTGGTAATTGCCTGGATTAAGATAGATACATGTGTAGAAAAGTGAAGATGCCGATTGTTTTTCTTGCAAACGGTCGATCTCATACTGATCGAATTGAAATAAATCTTTGATTGTATATGGAATACCTTTAACGACAATGTTCAAGTTTTCCACCGACGTCACTAACCCATTGGCTAACACTTCACCATCACATGGCGAAACAACATCACTGATGGGATCTATCGGACGCACACCGGGTTTAAGATTTCGTCGGAAAAATGCACCGAAATTTGCGTAATAGTCAAGATGATCAGGTCCATGTTCACATTCGTTGATATCAGCACCGAAAACGTGACAAAAATATTTATAAATTGGATTGCGGAGGGAACGAGGATGGATATTCACAGAGAATAAACGTGACCAAAAGCGAGATGTTTCACGTAGTGGTAAGGAACGATACCAAGCTTCATTGGATGTACATAAGGATTCACGTTTTATATAAATGGAGCGAGTATAGTGATAAGCAGTGACAGCGGACAAGGTTGTCAATGACAGACATCGACCGACGGGAAAATTCATTCACGACGGATATGTTGACGACGAATGGGTTGTTGTCGAGTAGCGGTTGTTGATTGTTGAGCTGGTTGTTGGTCGTTGTTATTGATTTGAAGGAGAGCTCGTATAACTCCGAATCGACTCAAGACTAATTTCCACAAGAGGTACCAAGCTAAAGAAGAAGCACAAATGTTCGAAATGAAAAGAAATAGAAGGTTTAAGCTTACACAGAACGATGATAGCTAAAGCAATAAAAATGGAAACGATCGAAGAGATGATTAATGCAAACCAATAGCGTATCGAATGATTTTCGGTCATTATACAAACATTGGAAAAATCTAGAATATAAAAAAGATTGAAAATTCCTTTTTTTTGTGTTTTATTCACATTTCGTGATTGTTTATAAAACAAGAAGAAGAAAAAGAGGACTAATCGAGAACTATTTGTAATAGCTTAAAAATTCATTGTCTTCTCATCGCGATATTGATACATGTAATCATTCGTATCTTTCTCTTCGATCTTTTCCCAACCAGTTTCTTTCATATGATAAACTAAAGAGAAAAAGTACGAATTATTCGTCTGGAAAAGAAATTATTCGTCGTCTTACTTCGAACAATGTTTCCGGAAGCCGCATCACGATGTGCAGCATGTACAATAGCTCGTCGAGCCAAATCAATTGCATCAACAGTACTCATTTCATACCTATCAAAATAATCGTATTCATTTCAAGAACATTTTCGTTAAAGGATCATTTCTGTTTACTTGTAACCAGCATCAAGAATACTATAGGCATAGATAGATCCACTACCAACGGAAAATATATTATCACTAATGCGTTCACCGTCGTCTGATACCATATATAAACCAGGACCCTGATGAAAACGAAGAATCAAACTAACTTTCTATTGGGATATACACATTGTCACATACTCGTTTGTCCCAGCCAACAATCATTGTACCCATGGATAAGCCCATACCACGATATTCAAAGATCATATTTGCTAGAATTTTGGAAGCAGCAGCTACAGAAATCTTTTCCTTATTACGTAGTTCATAGATACGGCAGTGTCGAGCGAGAACACGTTCCCAAAACGCACAATCAGCTGCACCACCGGCCATGGTTCCCAACAAATATGGATTTATTTCAATGACCTTCTTGACTTCTCCAGAAGCTATAAAAGAACCAAATGTTTGAAGTGAAAGCAATATAAGACCAACAAACCAATGAAACCACCAGCTGTGGCCCGACTGTCAACAGCCACGATGACTCCATTACGGAATTTAAATGCTAATGTCGTTGTACCTTTGAGAAATTGTATTTTAACTCGATCGACTTTTTCATTGACCATTTTCAAGTACTTTGCTGGCTGAAAATAGCAGAAAAATGATTTGTATAGCGGTAGAAAAAAAACAAAATGTGAAAATTTTTACATCAGCATAAGGTGGAAGTGTGATGAATTGTGCGATATTTTCAATATTCAACGTAGGACAAAACTCATCAATATTATTATCGGTTTTTTGGCATTGAAGTGAACGATCAAATTCATTATTCGATTTAAAGCCGAGTACATTTGCTAAGGCCATGTTTATTTTGATTTGAATGATAATAAAATGAATAACCTACATACATACGCAACCCGAATGATCTGATTGAACAAACGAATTCGACCAATGAACGATGTCACCACAATCGATCCAATGGAAAACCTCTCAAAAGAATCTCTTTGCCTAAGAAATACAAATATCAATATTTTGCTATGGATTTTTGCTTCGGAAGCGATTTCTCTAATCAATCACCTTGTCATCTAATCCATACAATACCCATCGAAAAAAATTTTTCTTTCTCCTCCACTAAAAATATCATCTCTTTTCTCGTTTTTTAATGATTTATTCACTGTTGAGTACAGCATGACAACATCGTCATCATCGGGTCTTTCGCCAGAAGCGAAAGAATTCGTTCCTGTTATCCTGAATCCTTCGTCAACAACGATTCCAACAATTTATTCGTCGGATCAACAAGCAATGATATATCCATTGATGAAATATCCCGAAATGGACTTTCGTATGCCGCCAAATCAACAATTTCATCTGAATACCAACAATACATCTCAAATCATGCTCCTACCGACACCTGGTTGTTACCCAGCTACACAAATACTTTACCCGCCGCATGAACAATCATCGGTATTCTATCCTATAGATTACAATCCATGTTCATTGATGAACTATTCACTTTCACATCCGAATTCTATTCGAATCTCATCTGCTCGTCAACAGAATGGTGCTAACCATTCGAATACACCATCATCGGAGATCACGTCATTCAATGCTCGCCGAAACTTTCATTCGACAAATAGCAAACACCAACCAAAGAGCAATCGAGCTCGTCCTAATCAACAACAGTACGAACAAAGAAAAGACATCGCCAAATCGTCCAATAATAATCAGGTCAAGATGAATGGAACATTATTTAAATTGCGAACGGAAGATTTTCCTAGTCTTCCAATGGGCAACTCGCAACCAGAGAAGACTGCAATACAATCGCAAACCTCCGTAGATACAAAGTGAGTATTTCTACAAAAAAAAACAAATTCATAGCAGAGAAAAATCGTTATTCTAGATCAACACCGTCTTGGAACAAAGTTGTTTCTTCTCCGCGTCCGCGTTCAACATCTACACATTCGGCTTCCTCCGAAAATCAACAATCGAGGAAAACTAAATCGCCAACTCCGACAAAACAGAGTGAAGTCACTCCGCAAAAGCAGCGTTCACATTCCTTGACTCGTGATAACAAAACCCAGGAAAAGCAGCACACAAAACCAGCGAATGAAACAGATGCTCAAACAAAGCAGAATCAAAAGAGTTCTAAACAGAAGAAAACTAAACCGAAAGAAGAACCAGTAATCACTACAAAAGCAGAAGAAGGACAACAACAACAACAACCATCTATTCCATTCACACTCGATGATGAAAACTCATTTCCAGCCCTCGGTCAAGAAACGTCCGTTTCAGCAACAAAAGAATCTAATCATAATACTTCGATGAAAACCACTAGTAAGTGAATGTTGCTGGAAATCATTTCCACATTCATATTATCTTTTAGCTTCTACTCCTGGATTGATCAGTAAATCCAAAATGAAAGCCAATCACACTTATCAAATACGCTTACAGGACATGTTCAATGCGTTAAATACAGCTATACAAAATAAACAGAATAATACCCAGCAGAAGTCGTCCATGATAGGATTCAATGGTGCTAATCCGCTCGATTCCAATCCGGCGCCCAAACGTGGTAAAGAGCGTGAACATCCTAAAGCACACAAGCCGACCAAATTGAAGCGAATCATTAATAAAGAACTTGAGGAGAATCAAAAACAACGACAACAACTGCTAACGAAAGTTGCCAACATCAAACAAACCGATGACGGAGAAAGTCAGAACGAAACCGATGTGATCACGGATGAGTAAGTCCAATCTTGTGCACACTAGTTGTAAAGCACATCTCTATGTTTTAGTTACACGAACGATGCGTCACCAATCAAGCTGCATGATAACACCACTGAGTGCACTAGTGCGTCATGCACTGAGGAATCGAATAACGATACTGATGACGATGACGAGGATGAGGATATGCTCGATCATGAACCGACGAGTCAATTGCAAACTCCGTATGCTCAACAAATGCCACAATCAAATATCAAACAACAAATTCATGATGCTGGTTTTCGTGAATATTGTTCACAATTAATTGATCGTCAACTAGATGAATTATGCATACAATTATTAATAACGCTGAAACGTTTTCAAGATCGTAAAAAGCAACAATTTCAATCCAATCCTGAACGTGCACGTCGAAAACGTCGTTTTGTTCATGGTATTCGTGAGGTCACCAAACATTTACGTTTGCAACGTTTGAAATGCGTTCTCATTGCACCTGATTGTCAATCGATTCAAAGTGAAGGCGGTCTCAACGATGCTATCGATCAAATAATCAGTCTATGCAAAGAACAAAGCATTCCCTACATATTCACTCTTAATCGTCAAAAGCTAGGCCGATGTTTGAACAAGATTGCTCGAATATCCACCATAGGCATCTTTGATTACAGTGGTGCCGATGAACTTTACAAACAAATCATTGGAATTACAGACGAAAATCAACGTGCCTATAAACAAATCATTGACAATATTATCAATCAAGAAGATGCAGCGGCTAGCGCACCATCGCACGGATTGAATAGTCGAGAGTTTTACAAAATCCTTCATCGAACATTTCAACAACAAAATCAACCACGTCAATATATTGTCAACACCATACCTGATGAATCTCGATCGAGATTATTACCTAAAGTTGCCGCACATCATGCACACTCGAGACAAACATCTGATGCGTCGACCATTTATATCGATCCTCAATTGAGTAATTCAATAAAGAAACAACATACGCGTGCATCGAGTGGAACATTTGATATGGGCAAAAGTTCAACGACGAAAAAGAATCACCAACGAACGCTATCGGATGGTGCAACAAGAATCGATGATACATCTTTACAAATCAAACATCACGTTAAGACGCATTCACGGACGCCCTCAGGTTGTAGTGCCATTAGTCAAATCGAACAGCAAGATTATTTTGAACAATCAAGAAACATGCTAATGAATACCAATGATGAGTCAACTGCCGATAGTGAAGAGAATCGTTTGAAATCTATCAATGAAGATACCGAAGACAATTCCGCAAATATCAAACGGAAAAACGTGGAGAAATGGATTAATGACAATTGACGGCTATGTACAAATATATTTCTATTGAATTCCTTGTGAGCACACTATTTTTCAGCTGACAAAACTCGTCTTATTTCTTCTCTTCGTTCATTATAGTTTTGTTAAATTTTTTTAATCTATTCGTTATGGATCATTTCCTCACAGCTTGTGCTTTCTGTACATGTATATATATATACATATGTATGATTATTTTTCACTACATTACCAATCTACTACATGTCTCTGATCTTTGTTTAGCAATAATAGTATCGACACCAGTGATCATGATATTGCAGTTGACGTCCATGATTCTAAACGATATGAAAATCTTTTTTTTTTGTTATTTACGTGACTTTTACTAAATCTATGTATTTGACGGTATTTATTACAATTTTGATATCGAGAAGTGAAAATAGTTGTCCGTACGATACATTGAATAAAGTCGTTCTTTTAATCTAAACGCACACGTCAAACTGTAAGTGATAGTTTCGTTCCTCTTTTGGTTTATGGAGAATAAAACTCACTATTCTGTTCGTGATATGACGCGTACAACTTCAAGACACATAATTCAAACTTATGTCGACCGATAACACATTCAATACACTTTTTTGCCTGTTCTATCAGTCCGAAAAGAAAAGGCCACGAATAAAAAGTATTGTCAATAGGATCCTTGCAAATATTTCATTACTTCTTACAAAAAAACTTCATCATGTATTATATTTACCAGATGATTATAATAATTCTATTTATGTCCAGTCAAAATATACTTATCGCAAGAGCCTGTTCGGTGATTAGAATAGTAACACCGGATGAATTGATCCTGCAAGCCTATACTGTCGTTCGTGCTAGAGCTGTTGATTATGAAAGACATCCAAATGCTCTAGGAATCGGAATCATTCGATTCGCAGTCGAAGAAGTAATCAAGGGTAATACAATCATTCCAAATCCACTTCGTATCGAAGGTACTTTGAATCAGAACGACGATTTCAATGATCGCAGTGTACCGTACAATCTCGTTCGTCCAGGCGGACGTATGGGCAGCTGTTTTGCACGATCATATAAACGAAATGGTAACTTTCTACTATTCCTGAATCGACAATACGCACCGTACTGGAGTGCACTTGCACCTGTCAATGAACAACTTCATACGTCACCAATTGTTGATCCATGGTTACAATGGGTCAAGGACCGGATCAACTCCTTGACAAACAATCACCATTCTAATCAGTTTCTCACAAGTGGTGCCACAAAACCTCGATCCTTTTTCCTTTAAACTATCGCGAATTATATGTTTACTAAAGAATTCTTCAATAAAATATCCTCAAAGCAATTCAACAGATCGATAGCATGGATTTTGGGATATGTAAAACAATATAGATGTCGCTTGATGTCACGAGCTATGATAGGTCAACCGTTTGAATAACTAAAAAAAGTAATGGCTTTTGGACTGACGATGATAGAAATAGAAATACAAACAGGTTGCGTTTTTTTTTCTTCAGATAATCCTTTTGTGAAGAGAACTTCAATGCCAAATTCACTGGATAGCAGCAAGACTAGTGTGGCTACTGAAACGTCTCGTATCATACGAGTGCGTGATGTAAGTTTGGTTTCATTCCATTTCACGAAGTAACTATCTTATATTTAGCTGCCAATTTATTATGATGCGAAAAGCGATGATATTCATCGATTTCTTCCCCGTACAGCCGAGGAAGAGGTCAAAACCAGCACGAGAAATAATTGGCTTTATCCAATTGTTAGTCAAATAAGACAATCAGTTCAACAAACATGGATTGATAATAAGGTTTAGTGGCATTCTAATCTACCGAATAGTTTTCATTGGACTTTGTCTTGATCGTAGGAGATACGTCAAAGAATTGCTCGTGGCATCGAGACGGGCGGAGCTCACACCAGAGGTAGAAACTTTTCCGTTTCCATTCAAACTATTTTCGTTGTTCGTTTAGCTACAATTGACTATATCCGTGATGACGAAACGTTTTTACCGAAAGTCGGAGTTGTTACTATTGCTGGATTAGGCGGTCTTCTACTAGGTCACAAAGGTGGTGCTGTACGCAAAACATTTTATTCATCCGTTGCAGCACTAGTTGCACTAAGTGCTTGCTATCCCAAGCAATCAGCTAATATTCTCGATCAAGTCTATGTTCGCGTCAAGAACGAATCGAAGAATCTTCTTGACAGTTCGTTGAAAATTCTTCTTTCATTTTGTCTGTTCACGATTTTCGTTGCATCTTTAGGAACACCAGCAGTACCCACTGTTCGTATCGCCGAAAATAAAGATCGTATTTTGCACTCCGTTAAGACCGGTAATGAACCTGTAGTCACTGTTCAAGGTGATTATGGCCAAGGCTCACCAGCCGATCAACATTTATATACAACACGTGGTGTACCTAACCCAGTAGTTTTAGATACTGAAAAGAAGCTTTGAAAGCATTACCATCAATATTATCAACACTTTTGATATTTAGTTAGCTGTCTACTTTTTTTTCCTTAAAACAGACAAGTATTTTCTCCTCTTATCAATGATCATCCATTGTATCTATTACAGATGTTTAAATATATCACAGATGGACAGTAAATGTTTTATCATAATTTGAATTCGTGATCTCCTAGATTTTATAAATAGAAAAATACACAAAAAAGTTATGATGGACCATCTATGCAGATGTAAATACATTTGTATTATTTACAAAAGCAAACGAAATCACTGACATTCAAAGATTAAATTCATCTTTCCATCGATAAGACTTCATTCCTTTTGTCTTTCCCGATGATTTTTTACCACGACCACGGAAAACCCTCACTCCACCGGTTCGAAGTCAGGATTTACAAGGTGTGTCATGCTTTTTATGCAACTGTCGTTTCATTGGGTACTCATAGTCGCCAAATGGTACATCGATCCACTCGTTGACTGTCTCCTGACTTTCTATTAATTTATTATTTCTTTTACCATTTATACTTTGATAATGATAAAGGAATTCGATTTCGATCGATAAGAAAAGCTCCGCGGCTAGCTTCATGTTCGAACTCATTTCATCGCATTGTGGCATTCGTTCGAATTCTTTGTCGTTGTGGCATTTTGAGCTGATAGAACGCAGTGTATAGAGGACCCCGTAAGCATTACGCACGTATTTATACTACCATACACTTGTTCTACAACAGTATGATGTTGTTTTGTATAATTTTGAATTTCCGCGAGTCATCGTATCGAGGAAACATGAGCCATACGCTTGTTATGCGATTTGTTGCAGAAAGAAAAATTTTATGTACCTGACTGACGAGAATACTTCCGAATATGGTTTCGAGGACAGGTATAATACTCTTAAGATGCATATCAACTATTTACACAGGATCAAAGTTTGAAACGACATGCAATCGATTAATTCATATCCTTCCGGATTGTTCCTTGAAACAATCTTACTGTACTTCAGGCTCATCTGTAGAACAACCGAAATTTCGTAGAGCACAGTTAATGTATCTTTGGCGATTTTTGTTTTGATTCATATGTAAAGTGTAATTTCATACATTTATTCTCACCAGTTGATACAGCAGAATAATGATACGGTAACTTTGGACTAATCATTACGAAAACTATTGTTATCGTTTGATTTTGAATATCAATATAATTGCTATTCTAGCATCGGCTCAAATTCGCAAATCCTCCGACGGTGTATTGATTATCTTACTTGAGAAGTGTGCTTGTGATTATGAATAATACACCGTCAGCTCGTTAATCTGTGAAATAATGCATATTTTACTCGATTGATTATGTTTGATTACTGTCTGTCTGTAGTATCTTTTTTGTCTTGCAATGAAACATCATCAATTCAGTTTTTTTTTCTCTCTCTTTGTATTGTTGTTCAACAAACACAGTCGATCTAATCTATCATAGAAATTTTATGAGACGAAAGATCAAAAGTATTTGTTTGTATATGTTACTGATGATGTTCAATCAGTAATCCGACTAGAAAACAAGGTAAGTTGTCTCAGTCTCTTCTTTCTTTCGCTCTTTTTTTCGTCTTGTCCGATGATCAGTACAAAACAATGAGCGGACTTTTCTTTCTCTTTTTCTCCTTCTGTCTATCGTCATTTGCATCTCATTAAGAAGTACTCATCGACGGCATTCAAGGTGGGAATAGATTGAATACAAGCTGAACTATTTGTATTAGAGCGACAATGGTCGCTGTTTGAAGATATATATAGAGATCTATTTCTCTCTCTTTCGTTCTCATTTTCCAGTCGTTGTTGTTCTTTCTTGTTTCGTTCATTATCTTGCGAGTGAAGTGAGTAAGAGTTGTTAGCAGACTTTCTTTCTTCTCACATAGATCGACGAGTATCGAATGCAATCTGAATATTTGCGTATGTGCATGATGCAATAGTAGTCTGAGATATACCGATGCCAATCTGTTTACAAACGCTATAAGAGAGTATCATAAGTCTCGTCTCTATATTGAAGATCGAATGACATCTGAGCGACAAATAGAAGAACAATAAAGGCATCGTCGGGATATTTGATCACATCGTTCTAATATCGTTCATTTATTCAATTTTTCCTTTCTCTTGATTTCTGAATCAGAACATTCTTCTCACGATGACATCGATCAACAGCTTGACTACAACTTTGATGCCTATCTATATTTTAATTATTTTATCATGGTTCAATCATTTAACAATGTCGGAAGGTAAGTGATGAAATAGATAGATGCTCCTGTTGTATGTCTTGTCAATATAGTATGCACGCCGGATGTTTGTAATAAGCATGGTACTTGCATTCCGAATAATTCGAATTCATTCACTTGTAAATGCGATGCGGGTTTCGTCGGATCGACTTGTAATCAAGGTAGTTTGATATGATTGCTTTCCGACAGGAACAATGGGAAATAATCGCCTGAACTTGTCGTTATTAGAATTAGATGAATGTGCATCGAATCCATGTTTGAATAATGGTACTTGTACGGACTTAGAGAATGGTTTTCTTTGTCGTTGTCCACCAGAGTGGAATGGAACTGTGTGTGCTGAACCGAAGAGTAGGCAGGATAAAAAGACTTTCAGAGAAGAGTCCGTGATTATTCTAGATCCATGCCAATCATCGCCATGTGGTACGTTGGGTAAATGTATTGTGACAAATCAACCGCAAATTCCCTACTATTGCCATTGTCCAGATGGACAGAATACGATGTTCAAATGTGCTGATCCAAGTAATTCTTTGGAATTCTTTGATTATGCGATAAAATAGTCTTTCTAGATCCTTGTTCACCAAATCCTTGTGGTTCCGGTGAATGTGAAATAACTGCAAATTTACTCAATGGTTACATATGTCGGTGTCTCGATGGTACCGTTCAAATGACAAATTGTTCTGAACCGAAAGGTAATTTGAAACAATTGAAGAGATCAATCGAACACAGATGAACTATTCTATCTCCTCTAGATCCATGTGTGACAATACCATGTGGACCACAAGGACGATGTATATCATTAGATGCTGCACCCAAAGGTTACATGTGTATGTGTCAAGTCGATGGTGTTTCTTATACGACTATTGACACATGTCCAAGTATGATTTTATGCTTAAAATACAAAAAAAAGATCTCATTTGTTAATCTCAAATAGCAACAAGCTCTTTTTGTACGCATATGACATGTAAAAATGGTGGAATCTGTGTTCCATTTTCACCCGATGAACCGTCATGTACCGTTGGCCAATTGGGCTCGACTTGCTGCCAATGTAATTTAGCTATAGGAAATATTTCAGGAGAATGATTAGCATTTGTTTAATATTGTAGGTCCGCCGAACTATACTGGATTACGCTGTGAACAAGGTATGCTTTTCATCACGGAATATCTTGTAACACAATTCTCATTGTACACTTTAGAAATTGATTTCTGCTCGTCAAATCCATGTAAAAACAATGGACGTTGTCTTTCGGGTAAAGCAGGTTATCGATGTCATTGCTATGATGGATATATGGGTGATAGATGTGATGGTAATACTCATAATTACATCAGTACTCTTCTCTAACGAGTTACCTCGTTTAGTTAAAACCATTGGTTCTGGTTGTTCATCAAATCCATGTACAGTTGGCATCTGTTACCAACTAAAAGACGGAGGTTCATATGTGTGTATCTGCCCAGATGGAACTCTCAATCTTTCATGCAGTTCAACAAGTATTTTATTTTGAAATATTCTCTTGTCTTGCTCTTATGTGCCATCAAATTTAGACGTCACTCAGAATTTGTTCACATTACCACCTTTACCGCCGCAACCATCCACACCAGAAACATTGACGTTGTTTGGTAACAATGCCAAATTTCGTGGAGGTGCTAGTGTCAATATCGGCTCTCCAGTTTCGACTTGCAACCCGTCAACTAAAGATGTTTGCAATGGTGGTCAGTGTGTTCTGATTGAAACGGGTGTCTATGCCTGCCGCTGTCGAGAAGGTTATACGGGTGCCTACTGTGAAAATAGTTGAGTATAGCATTTCAAAAATCATCATTATTGTCATTTTTTTCCTTTTGGTCAATTCTAGATATCAATGAATGCGCATCGAATCCGTGGTAAGATTTGAACTAAACTCGATGTGTACTCTGTAGTCAACCATCGATTTGTTATTTGTAGTTTGGGCGGCGGAACTTGTTATGATTTGATCAATGCATATTCTTGTTTCTGTCCAGATCGGGTATTTCGATCGCAATGCAATAGTTCAATTGAAATGAATTATAAATCTAGCTCGGTTTCACTCAGTAATAATTAAAACGATCGACGATCAGTTTGGTGATGTGAACATTGTTTCTTTGTTTTTCTGTAGACAATTTATCAGGTAATCAGGGAGAAAAATCATTCCAAACAGAATGCCGTTGTCGCAATGGAGGTAAATGTTATTCAAATTCCAATAACGAGAAGATTTGTCAATGTGTAAATGGATTTACCGGCTCATTCTGTGAAATCCCTATCTGTAAGATGCATCCAGCAAATGATTTCGTTGTTCTCTCTAATTCTTCTTGTTTTAGCAACTCGAATCAATTCTGGTCAGGCGAGGTGCATTCTATCATCGTGTCAAAATGGTGCAACATGTCAAGAACAAGGATTAAATACTGTGTGTGTGTGTAAACCAGGTTATACTGGTGAACGATGTGAAACAGAATATTTTCGATGTCAGGGCAATGGTCGGTTTACAGATGTAGCAAATTGTAAACAAGGGCGTTATTTCGAATGCGTCTATTTCGGACAATGTAAGCGTTTTCTCTTTCGAACAACAACCTGACAATCCTCTATTTAGATGATTTGAATCTCCCAAATGGCATTCTCTATAGTCGGACATGTCCACCGGGACTTTGGTTCAATACATTAAACGATCGATGCGATTATCCAAGTGGTGTCAAATGTTGAACTTGACATTCGAACTCTTTATTGGCGACATGTACACATCCTTTTCGACTCTGTTTTTTGTTCCGTTCTCGGTGTTATTTCTCTTTTATCTTATATGGCTAGACTATCCTCTGTAGACATCTTATTACTCTGCTTTTTGCTCAACATTTCATATATATATATATACATACACACACATATGCATAGATATATTCTAATTTGTTGTAATCATGAAATCTTGATTGTATTAGAATTACTGATGACTATTACAATCAATCAGTACTTATCGATTCCTCTTTCCTTCTTTTTTTTCTTTTCTCTCTCTCTCTTCAATGTCATCGAACAAAAAACGAAGAAAAGACGTGGAATATCTATCCCTACAACCAAGCAATAGAATTGTGCAATGAGCTGATTTCCGCTGCTCTGTTGTCGTCTGATCAAAAGAGATATGACGAAGGAGAACGAGAAATGCCACGACGAACGTCATTTTCTTCCGCTGGCTTAGTTCTTCAAAGATTGGATTAAGATCACTGTGAATATCACCAGAGAAAAAAAGATGCTAATGTTAGTTTAGCTCCAGTGCGGAGATGGGAAGAAGGAGAGAGAGAGAGAAACGAAGAAGTGCTATGCTTGAGGAAAGTGTATCTTATTATATGTTTTCTAGTCGCGATCAAATACAGAATGAATGTGGTCTTCCAATTTCATCGTATTAGTGATTCTTAGTCTGCGAAGTAAATGAAAAACGCAATTTCGATCTGATAGCAACAACTTTCTCTTTCCCATAGGAATAGATGCACTTTTCTGTTATCAATGTTCAATGAACTATACAAACGAAGAGTGTAATTCGAAAAATTCAACTTATGCTACCGAATGTCAACCAGCATTTGATACTTGCTTAACAATCGTACTTAAGCCCGGTTTGAATTATCGTTCATCTTATCTTTCTTTGTCTCTATGTTTTCCCTCTTCTAGCGATTCTTAATCAATTATTAATTACAAAATATTGTACCAAACGTAGTGCATGCGAACGGCAACTAAATTACACCCAATCTTTAGTGCCGTGTCAACCGAATAATGAAGGCCGTAGTTGGGGATGTGTAACCTGTTGTGGCGATCGAGACTTATGTAATTCTGACCAGTCGAATGCACTCACACCGAACTGGACGACAGTTTTATTATTACTATTAGTGATTCAGCAGTTTGGTTTGAGAAGATTCGTATCGAACGGTGACGATACATGTGGAATATTTTCATAGGCATGATTTTCTACTTTATAATAAAGACAATGGACGAAGTTAGGAAAACAAAGCTCGAAGTTAAAGGCGCGCGTCAAGTCTCTATTGTTTTTTTTTCCTTTCACACAATGCCTAAAAGTATCCATAAATCAAACGATGGTCATTATGAAACTGAACAAACATCCGTCAAATTTCATTTTCTCGATTGTAACTGTCAGTGTCGTGGTGAAAAACAAAAGTTCCTTCCAGAGAAAACTAGTCGATTGAATCAACAATTCTATTCAAATATATTCAAAATACTTAGTAAACCGCACTATGCTCTCGATTGTACATGTCAATGTGGCACAGACCAAAAGCAGCTCACGGGATTCTCTACAGATACCGGGATTCGACGATTTAATCTATCAGATGAAGGGAGAACTACGTAAAAAGAAATAAAAGAATCAAAGCAATCGAGAAACTTGTTCATCGGCATGGATCAGTTTTTGATCGATATAACTGATGCTATTGCGATCGATCTGATCAAAACTGTAATACCGATAATTGACCATAAGCGAAAGAGATTGTTTCCACCCTCGTTCACTGCGATCAGCAAGCCAATTTAGACGCCAAACAACAGCACCGTTACGCAAATGAAAATTAGCTACGGGATCACGTGCATAACCAGTTCGAGGATGCTTGACCTTTATGAGATAATATGCGCATAATTGCATTAGTATAGGCCGAAGGTCTGAAAGAATTTGCTCGTCCAAATGCCAAGTAGTACTGGTAGTAAGCAGCGATTGAAGCCATGTGCGCATATCAAGAGAGATTAAAGTTGTCGAAGGACAATTCAATTCATCCATGAGCCACTTACGAAAGTCTTCAGATAGGAAAAAAAAGGATTAGATAGATGCGAATGGTTAGGTTTTCATTTTCATACTGACCAGGTATTGGAGAAAGCGAAGAGAATTTCTCTAATTGAGGATGCTCAACGCGTAATTTACGAACGCAACGTTTAATCAAGGAATTTCCAAGTTCGATACCTTTTAAGCCTACAAAATTCAAACAATGCCTTTCATTCTCAAATAAAATTTCTTCTAAACTGACCTGGTTGAGTAGAAGAAATGGAGTAAAATATTGCTGATTTGATTATATCTGGATCTTCTTTGTGAATACTCGACGTCACATGTGATTGCGCAGAAACTCGATGAAGAACTATACAAATATTTCATTCCAAGAGAACTCTTTCCATCAAATCAAATAAGCAATATTCACTTGTTTGAATGGAATTTGCTATACCATCCGTTAGTGCAACATGTAGAATAACTAAAGGATCATAGGGCATCATATGATGAGTGTAAGCGAAGCATCGCCTAAATAATTTAAAAGATACAAAGAAGGTTGAACTGCATGTGCATGTAATTACCGATAAGGTCCGAGACGTCGTTTTAAATCCGTCCATGTCCGAACAGGATGCACTGCTTCATAATCAGATACACGCTGAACTAGAATTGATACAACAGTATAATACGAATGATGATGAACTGATCTTACCGATTTCGCACGGACTTTGCCATGTCACCCGTTCAACTTTCAGTAGACCAGTTGTGAACCAAGTCGCGAGTAAATCTTGCAGATTGTCACTCATTCGCTTTGCATATTGACGCGATTCTAAACAGATATTGGTAGAAAACCGATTGATCTCATTCGATTCAAACCCATTTCCGGTAAGAATTTTAACAAATCAGCACGTAGATGAACAAGTGATCGAACCCCATCAGGTTGCCGGCCAATCAATCGAAATAGTTCTGCGTATTTCGGCGTTGTAGCCTCATGAAGTCTCTCGCAATCTTCGATAAAATGCCCCGGAGACATTTGTTCAATCTAGAAGTCAACTATCAACCATTAAAATCCAATCAGTTGAAAGCATTCGCATACTTTCGACGTCACATCGGGCTCGGCAGGATGATAATCTTTGGCAATATGACTGAGAATCGCAACCTTGTCAGATTTATCGCTTGTATTATACTGCTGAAGAAGAGTTTCGATCTTTTTGTACGCTAAGATCGGACTCCGAGAAGCCAAATAGAAGATTTCGTTCATCAATGGTCGAACGATTTTCGCGTTCATGTCTGAAAAACAATACAGAATCATGTCTCGGATAATCTTGACTAATTCTTTGATTGATTATATACTGAACATGAAGAAAGAGGTGAATTTATTACTGAGAAAAAAAAATCGAAGTTAATTGTTATCACATGAATGAATAGAAATGCGATTAGTTAAAATCAGATCTAAAAAAAGTCTTGAAATTATCGTCAAAAAGTTCATTAGAAAACAAATCACAAAAGGAAGAACGGTTCGTTGAAGATATGCGAATGAGATTATTTTAAAGAGGACTTTGATTGAGAAATTGATTCTTCGGAGGTTTTTTCCCAACACAAAACACATTGAATCCCATGCTCACCAGGTGATCATGATCAAGTATAAGTCGACCGTCGAATAAAAATGAAGGTTTTTGCATTGTACTGTAGATTAATTCGTAATCTAGTTTCTAGATAAAGAGAACAATATATGAAACAAATACATCACGAATCGAAGGGTAATTTTACTGTAAATTCGTCCCATTCAGTACAGATAACTATGGCATGGGAATCTTTAGCTGCTTCGTATGGTTCGTTGGCAATTTTCACATGATTTCGTACTAAAAAGAACACAATTTCATCGTTTTCTGTTATTAAAGAGAAGACTTTTCTTACACTCTCGTTCACTTAAACCTGTTTGTTCGGATAAGTCCAAATGAATCCTGTCCGATGTCACCTTCGGATCATAGATATGTAAAGATGCACCTTCAGCAATCAAATATCGACAAACGTAGATACTCGATGATTCTCTTTATGATAAAACAAAGAGGTATATCGATTGAAAAGAGATACGAAAGTATTTACCGAGTATCCGCTGTATCTTTTTTGAAAGCAAAGCCATAGATAGCGATTTTTTTTCCACTGACACTTCCGAAGAGGTTTTGAACGATCATCTGAGCGAAACGTTCACGTTGCCAATCATTGATTTTTATCACCTGCAGCCAATACTGTGCAACAGGTTCAAGTTTGAGAGATTCAGCCAAATAGATTAGATTGTAAACATCCTTTTGAAAACAACTACCGCCGAACCCTTTTGATAGAAGGAGAATTATCCAATGAAAGGAAAAGTTGAACGACTTACCGATACTAGCATTGAGAAATTTCGGTCCGATACGTGAATCGAGTCCAACAGCTTTAGCTACTTCGCTTACAGATGCACCTGTAGACTCACAGATAGCAGAGATTGTATTGATACTTGAAATGCGTTGAGCAAGAAATGCATTTGCTACCTAAACGTAATACCTTACTAATTATTCATCCGATGATTCATTTTAACTTACTAATTTCGACAATTCGGATGACCATGTGTTTGTGGTAAGGATTTTTTCTTTTGGAACCCAATGTTCATAGATCCAAGACAACTTTTTAATCGCTAATGAACCTTCAATTGTTTCATCTCCACCGATCAAGACACGATCAGGAGCAAGAAGGTCATGAATAGCTGAACCTTCGGCAAGAAATTCCGGATTGGAAAGAACTTGATAACTGACACCACGTTGCTTGTTCGTTTTTAAAATTGTCTTGATCGATTCGCATGCTTTCACAGGCACTGTTGATTTCTCGACAACGATCTTGTTACTCGTCGAAATGTGAGCGATCTGACGAGCAGCTTCTTCGACAAAACGCAGATCAGCAGCACGACCCTAATAAAATGAAGAGATAGAAGTTGTTGTTCGACATATTCGTCAGCGCACTTACAGTACCAAATCCAAAGGATTTAGTCGGCGTGTTGACACTAATGAAAATCAGATCAGCTTCTTGGATTGCTTTTTCTGTATCAGTCGAAAAGAATAAATTTCGATTGCGAATTTTGCGGACAATTTCGTCCAGTCCTGGCTGTAAAATAGTTCGTAGACAAACAAATCGATGTAATGAACGCTTTTCTACCTCAAAGATTGGCAAAGCATCTGAATTCCACGCTGATATCCGTTCAGCACTAACATCAACAACAGTTACCTGAACATTTGGACATTTGCTGGCAATAATTGCACAAGTTGGACCTCCTACATAGCCAGCACCTGAATAACAAAGAGATTCCTAGAAACTTCTCATCTTCCATCAACTGCATTTTTCGTACCAATACAACAGATTCGAAATTTCGGTTTACCCGAAGACACATTAGATTCATCAATATCTAAAATATTCGTCTATTTCAATCCGAAAAACTCAGAATAAGTATCTACCTGCTTGCGTAGACTCAACATTTGGCTCATTACTACTCATATTTATAGCTGTCGAAGGTCTAAAACAGAAATAAATATACAATACATCATTGCGATTTTATAAGCACATCGCGTGCGCTAACAAAAGAAAGAGGTAAAATCAATCGCAATGACAAAACGAATGATATAACTCATTTGTTTGCGAATGTAAGGTAAGTAGTTAGAAGTGAAGTGAACCGAGCTTGAAGAGAATCATCCATCGTCCATATTTTTTCATTCTGTTCTAGCTGCACAAATAGCATTCTGGATAGATGTCCTCCTAGAGTATGTAACAACCATAGTAACTAAATCTTGATTTTTATTGAGAAATCTATTAAGCCATCAGATTGCGATGGTCCGCGATGGCTACGGAAAAAAAGTACACTTCATGTGCGAGTTTATCAATGAATATTTTCAAGTCGTATACGAATGACGACCAACTGAACCAACGAAATCTCTTCCGAAATTGTCCCAAAAGATTTCCATTCCAGTCGTAGAACTTATGATATGATGTAAAGAGTTTCTTTTTCAAAAGAAAACTTTCGTAATTCCATTCGATGGTATATGTTTCGACAAATAGGTTAAAAACTTTCTGAATTGTGCCATTTGTCGTTTCGTTTCGAATCGAATCAAATATTTGAAAACTAACATTTAATATTTCCGCTTTCCATTGTCCTTCCACACAAGCCGTAACTTCTTTCGATGGATAACTGATCAGTTCGAGACGATCGTGCGTGTACGAACTTTTCAGTCGATACAAATGCTCTTTTCCGCTCGAATCTAGTACAGAAAAGCGACTAAAACCGTTTTTATCCATTCGATCGTCTCGCATTAATAAATACGTTCGAATCGGTTTCTTTGCTTGAACATTTTCGACACAGATAATAATGAATAATAACATCATCCAATAGGAATTCATCTTCCGAACATAAAAATGTTGCTGTATCTGCGCCAAATCATCTGATCGTCCGTTCTTACGCGGATAGCTGATGACATTATCTATAGACAATTTATCATTTATCTGTATTCAATTTCAAAGATATCCTTACATTCGTCTTATCCCATGTCATCATTCATTTCAGTAAATGTTTTTTTTTCTGTATGTTTATTTTAGAAAAAAATAGTTGAATTACGAATGAGTAATATATAAGACACACAAACCAAAAGATTAATTATAAACAAAAAGAAATTGGATAATTATACCACACGCGATTCAAAACGCAACAAACTGTCTGTTCATTTGTTTTGAAGTGATAGGAAGGAGAAAAAACACGAATAAAACTACTGAATGGTTTTGTTTTTGAATATAAAGCAAGAAAAAAATAACTGGCTTCTTCGTCTTCGAAATTGATCTATTGGAAGAAGTGGAAGGAAAGAGAGTAAATTCAGTTAGACATTTCTTCATTGCGAAGAAAACGAATTAACCTGCGATAATTAATAATTACATTGATAATGAGAATGCGGGAACGTATTCACACACACACACACATAGGAAACACTCATTCAAGTGATGTTCATTCACATGCAAAGACAATACCAAAAGAAGAAACCATCTGACGCGCATCATATTCATCAAACTTGATTAGTTTCTTAATGGTTGTTGTAATTATATGATCGAGTTGATGAATGTGGACGTTGTTGTAACTGGCCATTCGTCCATGATGGAGAATCTCGTTCATCATCTTCATCTGTATACAGTCTAGAAGGGAAATTTTGAAGAAAACCTCGGTTCTAATCTGAATTCTTACTCGGATGTATTGATGTTTCGTTTTCTAGCAGCATTTTTTTGCTTGACTTGCTTAACTGATGCGCGATTACGTTGAACTACTTGCGATTGTCCATTTAAACGGTTTTGGTGAACAACCATATTTTGAACTGAACCGTACGTCGAGTTTGGACTCACCAAACCTGTTGTACTGAAATCAGCTAAAATACCTGAGGACGTCAATGACTGCGATGGTCGAACTGTTGCCGATGTAACCAGATGTGTTAATGATGATGGTGTCTGTTGATCGGATGGGATGTGTTGAAATCCTGTCGATGTGAAGCGTTGGTTGTACTCATTTGGATTTAATTCTAATTGTTTTCGACGATTGTATGTTGTTGTTGGTTTGGGATAGTCATGTGATCGATTGGTATTTTCAACATCGAGATTATTGTATAAAGCTTCTATTTGATCGATTGTTTCGTTGAAACCAATTGAAGTATTCGATGGTTGTGTGTATCGATGAACGAGATCATTGACTTGATCGAAATGGTATGATTGGTCGTTTGGTCTCGGTCGTGATCTTTGAGGCGACGGTGAATAGGAATTTAAATTACCGCCACTAGATTGTTCATCACTTGAATAGTTTGTATTATGACCTTGGGAACGAAGTTCATCGGAGCTGAAATAGCCTGACGATCGATTCAATGAACGATCAGATGCGTGAAAGTCACTATTGATGACAATTGTATTTCCGGGACGTACGGCGATGTTTTGCACGGACACACGGCCGTCTCTTGATGTTGTCACAATTGCACGTGAATTTTGATCAAGTGAAACGACGGTAGGTTGTTCGGGATACTGAGGTGGACGTTTTTCAATTTCGATCTCGAAGTCGAGATTATCAAGACTACGAGAACGGCAATGTGTGTGTGAACGAAGTGTCATATCGGGATCAGGAGAAAAGGATCGTTGTTTATATTGTTTATGTTGCTCGCGTGATGGTGAAGGACGTAGGGTTGAACGTATGGAATAGTTTATGGGTACTGAATGGTTATTCGTAGTTTCAGCCGTACCTGAAATCAAAGAACAAGTATTAAGATGTTGTTTACGTTTCGAAAAGTCATTGTATTAGTAGCCCAAAAAGCTGAGAAGTACTCTAGACATCGATTATATATATATAGAATACAAAGAAATAATAAGTAAATCTAAAGTTTTTTTTTGTATAAGAGAAATCAAAATTTGATTTATATGTTTATTTGATAGATTGCCAAGAACTTACCAACACGTGCTCGAACTTGTTGTTGATAGCCTTGAGTGACCGGTGATGAGTGATAATTTGGAACATGCGAACGGTGATAAAGCTCGTCATCTGAACGAAGTTTTTCGTTTCGGTCAGCGCCGTAGAGCGCTCCTTGATGTATTGTTGGTGGTGGACTTGTTTTAATAGCGTTCATTTTGGGCACACGAACAGTAGCAATGATTTCGTTTGAAGGATTTTGTTCAAATCTAATTTGTGTTTGAGTGCTTAATGATGTTACTTGAACTGCATGTGGACTAGGGGTGTATGTTTGTATGTTAGAATGTGATGATCGAATAGAATCTTCGTCATTGATGGGAACTGGCTCGTAATATTGTGGTTTTTCTTGAATGAAAACACGTTTGGATGGAGTTTTCTCGTCAGAAAGATTGTACGTTGGTCGAGTTCGTTGAGGTGAACCTAGAAGACTAGGAACTGGCTCAGTTCTTGTCGTTTCGTTGACTTCATGTTTTCGCTGTACTTGACATTCGACTTGAGTTTCGGTTTCGATGGTTTCGATTTCGTCAACAACCAAAGGTTTGACTACACGAGATTGAGTACTTATATGAACTTTATTTTGTGCATCGAATCCCTGACGATAGAGCGTAGGGTTCTCGTAACCAGTTTGTCCTGAACGGGTAATCTGTCGACGAACAGTTCGTTGCTGATTGTCAGGTTCCGTCGTAGCAAATCTTTCGGATTCGTATTGATAAGTGGATCGTAGAGGGGAATCATCGAGATCGGAGACTTGTCGTCGAGCGTACGGTGAGCTTGAACCTGTTCCTGTTGTAGCAATATAAACGGTACTATCGTGTGAATTAAAGCCATCATCGTTAATTGATGTTGAAACATTATTTCGCCAAGGACTTGAAGTGGTTTGATGTGCATAACTCATTCCTGATCGATCGAAAATGCCAGAATCGCCAGTAATATTGGATTTATTTCGATCATAGCTGGATTTTGTTGGACTTTGGTACGCATCTGGTGAAAGTTCAATCATCATGCTTTTACCTGGTTCGATGACAAAAGAAAACAGTCAGAAAACGTAAAAGAGCGAAGAAAAATCGTACCTCTACTCGATGGAACATGTGAAAGCATATTTTCCATGTTTGATTCATTGAATCTCGTTGTTGTTCGTTCAATAACACGAGTAGTATCAATCGTAGGCGAGACACTCGTTGTTGTGAAATCATGAAGGCGTGCTCTTGACGAACGCTGTCGAGCATCAAAACTTCCTTTGGTTTCACTCAGCTCATCCCCGCTTTCATGACCGAGATCGTCATAAGTCTGTTTCGTCGCTTTCGGAGTGCTGTGATAGATCGGTTGTGCCGGTCCACCGAAATCCGAATCAATCGACGACATAACTTGTGTATTAGTCATTCTAATATCAATCGGTGCTTTCTCTGGTGAAGTTTGAACCACATTTGTGCGACCTGGTCGTTCGATTGATTGAGCACGAGAGCCAGATTTTAATTCTGTGCTTTCGAAACGAGATATACGATCGCTGACAAGCGATCGTCCTCGTTGAACGGTATCTGTACGATGTTCAGTCGATCGATATTCATTAGCCTAATTAAGATCAATATGCAGTTGTTATTGTCGCATCAAAATCTCATCTGTGCATGTGTTTACACGCGGAAACTTATAATCTTGAAAGGCTTTTCTCATTGAATGTATGAATATTTACCTGAAGTTTAATTTTGATCGGTTCGACTGATCGTGAGTGATATAATTAAACAAAAGGAAAAACAAACTACCCCTCTATTCGGAAGAAAACAAAGCCAACCTCATAGTTGCGAAACAAATCAATTCCCTCGAAGCGTACGAAAAACGTTACTGGATATCTTACCGGTCGTCGGGCCCATTCTTTGTTTCCTTGATCGTGTGCTTCGAACAGTTCCCTTCGTTGTTTTGTTAAGCCTGTCGATATTGTTCCAAGATACTTCGACTGATCTTCTTTCGATTGTTCACCAGTCGTCGCTTCGAATGTATTTCTTAAAACACCCACACGAGTCAATGTTGGTCGTTCAGTCTGGTTCACCACTGTTCGACGTTCATCTAATGTTGACGATGTAGAAGACGAACGTTTCGGTGGATATGTATGCTCGTCACCAGTTGACAAATTCGATACGGGTTTTCCCGGAGTTTCATACTAAACAGAGAAAAATATTCATATCTAGTATATTGAAATGTCACTCATTGAACTGAAACTGTTAGTACTAATATCAAACGAACGCTAAAGAACAACATGCACACGTGCAACACGCTAATTATCTCAATCCCCTAACTTACAGCCGTAAGATACACATTTTCTTTCTGTTTCTCTTCGTAATCATCAAACAGCGAACGATGGTACTGTTTCTCGGGTGATGTACTTCGTGATATACGAACGAGAACCTCCTTTACAGCATGTCGAGATGAAGGTGATTGTTCGAATTTTCGTTGGCTCGGTGGCGTTCTCTGATGTGCCGAGATTTTGATTTGAACTTCTTTGAAACGTTGTTGTGAATTCGTCGGAATGATGGAAATCTTTTGAGCAACATAATTACTACCGATTGGTTTTTCATACTATAGGCAATAGGGTTTCTCCTCACTCGAAGTCATATTATATTTTGAAGGCAAGGAGAAAAAACAAAAAAAGGCTTCTGTTTTTCTTTACTTATCTTACCTGGTCGTGTTGCTTCTCCGACGAGTATTTTTCTCGTAATTCATTGCGCCAATCGGTAGATCGTCGAACTGATGATGCCGATGATGCTTGATCATTGATATCGTCACGACGATTGCTTGTTTCAAATTCAATATGATACTCTTCACTAACATGATCTTCTTTCGGTTGATTTGTATATTTGATTGTCGGGGAGACTGCTTCGACGACACGATGATAATCGGTTGTTTGAACTACCACAGGTGGACTGGGAGAATACCGGTCAGGATGAGCATAATTTGATGTTGCCTGTTCATCGAATTCACTTCGGCGAGTAGTACCAGTAGAATCTTGAACAACAACTGTTTCGTAAACTTCTTCCGAAGCCCATTGCTTCTCTTGTATTGTTGGTGGCGACGACACCGTCGTCGCAGGTTTAAGTATAGGACGAAGGGGAGCTGGTGGAGGAGACTTTTCAACCTCCTCGCGATGTATACGAGTTTGTACTTGTTCAGCAGAAATCAGTGAACTAGCTGGTACACGACGGTGAACTTGTTTAACAACATCGTAACTTTTATGTCCTTTGATACGAACATTTTTGCCTCGGTACTCTTCTTTGACAACATCTCCCTTGACTCGATCACTTGTTTCGTCGATAGTTGAACGAATCAGTTGTTTCGTTTCGGGATCGTATTCGTCGGTACGGCGACATTTGAATCGTTCACTCCATTCTTCAAAAACCACTTCTTCGCTAGAAGTGGACTTTTCATCTTCACTTATGTGTTCAATAACTGTATCAGGCACAAGAACGGTATCATCGTCGGGATCGTAACTATTCGGAAGTGCTTGTTTTTGTATGGTTTCCTTTCTTGTCACATCACTTTCATGATCACGTTGATATCTGATTTGTTCTCGATATTGACGCTCTGTGTTCACATGTTTCCCGAGTGAAACATCTTCGTAACTCGAAGCAGATTCTGTTGAAGTTGGTGGACGTGCTGAAATGAAAAGATACACGGTGAAAACAGTTTACTTCACAAAATCTATAGCATGTATAACAAAACATGAGACAAATGCATATGTTCGTATTCAATTCTTTCGTTTATCTTACTTCGATATTCAACAGTTAATTTAATTGACGCACCACGTGGCACTGTTGCATCTGCTTGTAATTCAATGGTTTTCTTTGTTGGTGATGTAGTCATAATTTAACGCAGAGAGAAAAAAGAGAAACGAAATATGGAAGACGACAGACGACTAAGTAAAAGGATTTATAACCGTAGTACGAGTATTATAACAGACATTTAGGGTTTTTTTAATTCTTGCGTAAAAAAAAAGACGAATGAATACGTAAGCAGGAGAATAACTAGTAGACGCAGCTCATCGTCAGTCGACGAGCGAAATCAAATAAGAATGTATTGTAATAAACAACTACTTGTCGAAGCAGACGTCATGTAAATCAAAGAATGACAGAACACAGAAGGCTTATTGTTCTTGATACCATGCACGACGCTTCTATTATGATAATAAGCAGAAAGATGATTTGATATCTTTTTGATTTTTCAACACATTCCCATCACCGATTGATTACGTTTTCTTTCGTTCTATGGAATTCAATAATGAGAGAAAAAAACGTAAAAGTGATGCTTATTATGTTTGCTAAAGTTCAAAATTTTTTTTCTCTCAACCGCAATAATCGAAATGAATCTATATTTCATTTTTTCTCTCTCTCTCTTCCTCTCTTTCTCTCCCTTTCTTAAACGAGTACCACACATACAAGCAAGCAAGCGTCAAAATATCGCCAAAGGCTGTAATGACGATACACGAATCATTTAAATTATGCTGATTCTCTTCGTTTTTTTCTTTCTCTTTCTCCTTCATCGAATTGCATTACCTGTTCCGTTTCTTACACAAACAGAGCTCAATTGCAGCGCAATACTCTTCAGCAAGCCTTATTAAAATATGTTGTCGACTTGTTTCTATTATATTGAAGTGCGAAAAACGCTTTTTATTTNACAATGATTCATTTGCTCATCTTACTCGATTCTTTGATATGCAGGATTGCAAAGTGTTAGTAGGAGTTCTGTTTCAACGATTACACACTCACGTTATTTGACCGGGACACAGTAAACGATTGATGAGAATATTTCCACATGGTCTTCGATCAAATTACAGTGTATGAAATGAATCAGGTAGCAGAAAAAAAACCAATTAAGTCCTAACGCTTGACTGAGTAAAAGGTATTTCGAGAAAAAAAAACAGTTTGAATTACTCCTATTAAACAGTTAACCGCATTTTGAAGTGCGAGGAAAAAATCTGTTCGCGAATCAATAGGTGCAATTATAGTGAAGCACTAGCATGTGGATTAGTAGGGTAATCATGAAAGCAGAATGCGTGCAGGCTGCTGCGTAAGCACAACTCCTTGTCGAGTTTTACCTCATCTTGCTTGATATTTAGCAGAAATTTTGTTTCGTGTTTACCGAGGATTTCTGGTTGAGTGATTTCAGCGTAACATGTCTCAGGAAATGGATGTAACGGTTGAATATGACAGTGTTCGATGTAACTTGGTACGTTTAATTTTTTAGTGAAGATTTCTACATCTTGTTCAAGATCGAGTAGGTCGAGAATTTTAGCGCAGGATAAGATCGCCGGTTGAGTTTTTCGACAATCGATTGGGAGAAGCATATGGTCATCGTGTGTTTTCGCAACGAGTACATGTGGTAAGATGTCTGGTGGATGGAAAAGTGGAAAATCATGATGAAAACTCATTCTATAGACGTATATTTCATTGATAATAGGTAGATGTAGATGTGGAAGTTCGAAGAGAGGACATAATGGTTTCTGAACGTTTTCATTTAAGTCATGACCGAATTCTAACCGATGTGGAGGTATAATGAATGCAATATCATCGTCTTCAATTTGACTTTCGACAGCATAATGAAGTTTCGTTTCTCGTAAGGCTTGTTGAATGGGTTGACCATCTTGATGAATGATCGTTGACAGCATGGGAATCTTGTCGGGTGTCGAACGATTAACCCATGTTGGTCGTGACAGTTGATCGTCTACGGAAACTGTGTTGGTGGTTGCATTCGTATCATTCTGGCCGAAGCCAATGGTTAGAAGAAAGTTTTTCATCGGATTGTTTGCTTGATTGGATTCGACCGCAAGAGCATCGAGGAAATAAACGATCGGTACACCAGGTGGTGGTGCTGCTGCTGTCGATGACGATGTAGGAGGTGGTGAAGATTGTGAAAGCAATGTAGTAGTTGTAACTGAAGAAGATGGTAAAATATTTTCTGCTGGTTGCGGATTGATAACAGTATTGTTGAGGACACAGGTAATGCTATCGTTATCTTTATCAAATATCTCCTGTGTTAAAGAATGATGACTAAGATTGTCCGGTATGTGTGTATTATTTTGTGCGTCGACTAGTGTGGAATTGCTCGATTTTTCTTCCCCATAATATGCATCGGTATCTGTGAGAATGTTTATATTTGCACATTTCACTTCGATTTGTTGACGATGTAATGTGCCTTCGTGTGGAAGAGTGTCCAAATCATTGAGCATAGTGGTTTGTTCGACAAGTTGCTCGTCGCGTGGATGACCTGTTGGTTGAAACCAGTCGAGTGGTAATGAACGCGTTGGACGTTCATGCTGACGAGCGATCATTGATGTGTCGTGTGAGAGAGATATTTGATCGATTAGTGGAAGATGCTGTTCATGATTGAGAGTCTCTTCGAAGTCATTTAAATAAGCTTCTATCTCATTGAATGATGATGTCGAAGGCGCATCTTCATCATCTTGTGATGTAACCCGTTTCCGTTGGTTATGATTTGCATAATTTAACGTGACAATTGTTTTAGCCTGAGTTAGCTTCTCTAGTATTGGTGTATCATTGATCTGCAAAGTGACTTGTTGTTGATGTTCAACAAGAGTTGAATGGTCAGTCAACGTTTTAACTTGTTCTTCATGGTCAAGTATGGCAATATTCTGCTCGGCATGATTGATTTGTACTTGAGCGTATTCGATCGGCTCGGAATTGGTATATCGAGCATGCTGTGATGTGAAAAGAAGAGATTCATCTGGAATAATTTCAACTTGTTCAGCTCTCCAGTCAGTAATATCAGTAATAATCGGCATTCGAACGTTTTCCTGAACTATTTCACAAGGTTTCAAGTAATAATTATCGTCGGTCACTTCAGTTGCATGCTGTATCTCGGCAGAAGGAAGCAAATCTCCAACAAGCGAAGCAGACTAGAAGGATACACACATTTCATAAGCAAGGAGAATAAGCAGCAGTGAAAATATGATTTAAAACGTAGATCACACATCTTTCTGTTACTCACGAGAATCGAATGGTTAATAGGAAGTTGTATGATCGATGTGACATAGGAGTATTCCATTTGGACAGTTGTTTTCTCAATTTCAGGTAATTGTTCATCAATTTTCTAAATGTGATAGGTATCAATGAAAAATTTTCCTTGAAGTCGAACATTACTATGCTTTCGTCAGCAAATTCAATACTTTGTTCATCGATGATGTTCTCGTCAGTTTGTTCTAATTGCTGCACTTGTGATGAATGTAGAACCGTCGGCTGTTCATTGACATGTGGTGTGTATAGTGAATGTTCGTTATTACTCTGTATTTCATTGACATTGTTCGCAACTGGTATCGAAGGATGAGAATCACGCAGGACTTCAAATATCGGAATGTCCTGCTGAATCTTTGCGATTTGCTCGTTTTGTGTCCTAAGTAAAGTTCCGTGTCCGTATTCAGGTTGTTGTACGTTGAACTGCGTCAGTTGTTCATCACACGATTGATCAGCCAATGACAACGGATGTTGCGGTGATGTCAACATAGTTGCATGTCGATAGTCATGTACAGGAATGCGAAGTGATTGAGTTTGTTGTACTGCAACGGTTTGATTTATACTTACCATAGATAAATGATGATCATCTGGTTCAATGACATTCGCTTGACAAACTTCTATTGGTTTTGTTGGCTGATTGTTAGTATAGATTTTCGCTGGTGGACGCTGTGGAACGGTGGTCAATAGATGCGAATTGATGACCTAATGACAGATTTCGAAAGACGGATCAAATTCGATGGAGGAGACAATGACTTACCTGTTTTGACGTGCTCACCGCATCATTCAACTCCTCGTCATTGCGCTCATGTTGTCGAATACAGCTCCGTTTTTTATCAATCAACTCTTGTGAATCCACATCTGTTACCAATGGTTCTTCTCGATGATCATGAATCGTTGCTATGATCCTGATCTTTCGTTTCCGTGAGGGTGATGGAGGTGGCTTGCGACAATCCGAGTAGATTGTTGGTGGTAAAGTGGTACTGACATGATGAGTAATTATCTCGTCACCATCGTTTGTTAGAGTTCGACGCGCACGTCCCATAACAATTTCTTTCGTTTGCACGATTGGAATATCAGGACGTGCTGGATTTCCTTGACGGTACTCAATAATGGGTGGATGCGACGCTCTAACTACGTTGCTATTCAAATGAGTATTAGATATATGTGTTGATGTGCTTGAAATTCCTGAGACTTGTTGGGCAGGTCGTTCTCGCCGGCGTCGTTCAAGTTCAATAGCAATCTTTCGTTTGTAGTTTTCTAAGATCGATGGTTTATAAATATCGGCGACATCTTCGGTTGTGAATGATGTTGGAGCGTGAAATGGTTGTTTATAACGTAAATGTTCTTTTCGCACATGAAATAAGTGTTCAGCAGATAGACTTCGGTTTAATTGTGCACGCACACCGTCAATAATTTCGTTTTTATAAGCTTTGTCCCGTGCAATAATTTCGACATGTCTCACACTATCTTGCATATTTCGATTCAATTGTGAAAGATAAAAGTCAGCAATCAAATCACTTGGTCGATCAAGTAATGAGCGATTGACTGTTGACAAATAACGCGAAAGTTTTCGTTGATGTGGAATAGTCTTTCGCTGATGATTATCTTCTGTTTGCAGGCCTTCATCTTCATCAGACCAAAACGATGAGTTTGATTTGATATCAATATCACTGTCATTATCAGGAATTTTTGACTGTGATTTAGCCGACTTTTGTTTTGTGTACTGCGATGCTCGCGAGACATGACCAGCAATGAACGCGTCCACACCGCGAAAACTCTGTTGCATGATTTCGTAGAAGACGTCCACGTCCAAACGAACATTGCCGGGAGTTCGTGAGATCTAGATTAGATGAGAGAAAAAGTAACAACTCGATTAGATCTTGCGTCTACAAAAAAATAACTATTGATTTGAAGGAGGAAAAACTTCGGCAGGTAGGTGATGTTTTGGACACTCGCAAGGAAGTCTCTTCTTTTCGAGAGACAAACAACAGAATTGGTATTCGAATGTTCGAAATAGGAAAAACGACAAGGTTCCGAAAATAGTAATCATCTTACCTCAGTCATCAGACGGTCTAGTGCATACTAAAAAAAAGAAAGAACTCCCTTTTTTTTAGACGGAGTATTTCACTCGTAGGGTTCATTAAGTTCGAAGAATAATCACATCTGGCACTGTCTCATTCTACAATATTAGACTACCAACTTAGACACTGTTTCATTGAGTACTGCTCTAAGTTGACACACAATAGTCTCGAGTTTTGATCACCTACCGATATGTATGATTTTTGATCAATTTCAAAACTTCCTATCTGAGTGTCCATGTTATCGTTACAACTTCCAATCATGACTGGACTGTACCCGGACGATGAAACAGGTGATAGTTGCTCAGGTGGTATCGACTTTTGTCGACGAGAATGCTTTTCTCGATCAACACTTGTTTTCGTTTTGAAAGCTTCTAATACCGATGGACTGTAAATGTCTTGAATATCTTCGTATGTGTATGCAGATGAGCGACGTCCTGTTTGACGGTAACGAATATCTTCACATCTAAGATCATCTAGGTAGCTCGTAGAAAAACTACGTATCAGATTATAATTCAATTCTCGTCGTAAGATTTGACTTTCGTACGAACGTAGACGACGACGAGAATCGTGTTCGACATGTTTAAAGCGACTTTTATCGTCTTGATAAGTCCGATCCAATAGACTTTTATTAAGATTTTTCATAATCTGAGTATGAGCCCGGTTTGTATTGGAATTTGAATATAACCTTTGCTGTTCATGGTCAGTTTCTAATGAGCACTCATTCAAGATTTCCTCCTCTTTTGCATAGTATTGACTTATATAACTAAATGATGATGTTGTCGATGATGAATGTACATTTGATGGCTGTTGTGATCGATATTTTTTATTCACAGACGAAACAAGACGATCAACTGATTTATCAAATGATTCCGGTAATGGAACACGATGTTTACCTGACAGACGTTCACGTGCTTCAGTTAAATACGAACGAACTGTTGATACGGGTTGAAAATGAACACTTGTAGATTTACCCGTTGGCGATCGTCGTAGAATCGACAATGAACCATTCGTTGATGTCACGGTATCTGTGCGGGGAATGGATTGCTGACGTTCTGATGACAGACTTGTTGTGTGTCGCGCGAAAGTTCTCATATTGTTTGTCATTTTCTGCGAAGGTTGACGTCGATATGGCCATTTATCTGCAAAAAAAAACCAATATACCATAAATTGAATCTATTGTAGAAATCTTTCCCTACCATCGGTTTTGATAAATGTTGATGTTGTACTTGGATACCGATCTGATTCGGTTGTATTGGAAAATAAATAGGGCGTGTCTGATGTGAGAATCGTCGTGGCTTCTTCGACTAACTGCATCGATCGAGGTTCGAAATAACTTTCGGTAGGAAGATATGTGAATGTTAAAGGTGAATATTTCATGGTACTATCTGACGAAAAGTAATAACGATTTGAATCGAACGAATGCGATCGTTGTTCGATTTGTTTCGTTGAGGAACTGTAAATTGGATCTGCCTGTGTTGTAGAAGAGAATTTATAACGTTTTGTTAACGATGGTGACGTTTGATTTGATTTATGTTTAGTTGATCGTTTCGTATGAAAGAAATATCGATCATTAATATGTGTAGTTGAAGGAAATAGAGTTTTTGTTGACATTTCTTTCGTATTGTAAAATCTATCCAAACGAGCAAGTAAGCGATGAAATTTTTCCAATGATTCGTTGTTGTTTGAGATTAATGGTACATATGTTTCGAGTAGGAAGTGTTCGTCTTCGTCGTCAGTGAATAAAGAGGAGGAAAATGATGATGAAGAGGCTATTTCCAAGATTGAATCGTCGTACAATTCATCTTGCAACTAAATAGAAGATAGAAAAACATTTGAATACTGATGAAGTATCGATTGACAAAAGTTGAAAGGAGAACTTGTTCACGCCGAAACAAGCAATCACCCTAAAGGCTACGATAAAATAAAATTTGAAGAGAAAAGGACGTTATTTGTCAATAATTTGCTCATTGTTATCCTTCATAACAGTCTAATCGGATCGGACGATGTAACCATTTGATTAAATAGAAAAATAGGATAAGAGGTTTAAGTCAAATGTAAACAAAACGTCGATGTCCTCATCAAAGATATGATCGGATTCATGTGCTCATTTTGCAAGAGAAACACTTGTTTGAGAAATATTCAAAACAACCTTCGACTATTCGAACAGATATATATATAGTTATGAATATGCAACGAAAGTAAGTGTCTGAAGGAATCGAATCAAGGTTAGAGGGAATCAATATTTTCTCCCTAGAGACAGATCTGTTATATAGGATAGTAATCGAATACTCGTCTGACGACAGCGATCATCATTTTTTCGTATCGATCGATAAAAAAGAAACAGATTCGTTTTGTTACAAATATTTAATAGGTATTAATATGTTACTTTATATTTGTTAACGGCATGATGATAATAAAAAAGAACCTTCGGAGTTTTACTATACCTCTCATGATATGTATTGATACAATTTTCATCACTCATGTTGGACTTCTGTAAGAATCAAATTGCTTCCCTACATTTCAATCGTGAAGATATATAACTACTTGTTAAAAAGGATCGTGCGACTCGGTTCGTTTTATCTTAATTGAATATCGGACGATAAAAAGTCTTGCTTACTTGTCAATTGTCTCCTCTTTGAAGTTAAAAGGAGAAAAATTTCGTCAAACGACTGCTTACAAATGATTCGAAATAGCTGACTAAATCGTGTGACAAACTGTGCTCATTTCATCATTAGTCAATATTGAACTTAGCTTATTGTTGTTGTTCAATAAATGGTAGAAAGACTCTGGACGTTCGTCGTGTCTTTCTCTTTCTCTATCGAATTATCGAAAGATTAACTCAACGGTCGTCGTGATAACGGTGACCGCCATACTTTTGTCTTTTAGATTATGTCATTAGATCAATTAACTACGTAGTGGCGAAGTTTTCAAACATAACTTTGCTTTTGTTTTGTCAGTATTGATGATATTACAGATATACAAATATGACATAACTACCATATGTACTCACTAATGATATAGAAGAACCGACACGGTTATGTTCCGATGATGTTATTGATAACGTGGATGGTGAGGGTGGTTCAAGAGAAGCAAATGTACGCAATAGTGCATCTGCATATGTATGATTGAATGGAAAGTAGTCATTACTCTCGTAAATAGTTTCTTGTTTGTTGAGCAGCATCGAATACTTCAGTTGAAACGGACGTTGAATACTAAAAAGTTAGCTTTGTTGTCAAACAAAAGTATATATATACAGACAATACTAGTCTTATCAAACACATTATGAATATAGATGGTAATGATCACACGTTATTGTCGAGATAGGAAAAGGAGAGAAATATTTGATAGTGAGTTCACTTGTGAACATATTCTATTAAATGATCATATCGATCTGAATAATGTTTATGTGTGCGTCTATTTGAATTGTTCATGTGTAATAAAAAAAAATCTTATCTATTTAACTTATGAAACAGTCGATTGAATAAGAATAAGATAACCTTTTGCTCAAAAGTTGTCTGTTAATCATGACTGATGCTTTCGTTCGTATCGAATGACTTTGGTCGCATTTGATAGCAAAAAAATCGCAAACAAGTTTATGAACGTGATATTTGTTCAATGCAATGCATCATAAATGTGAAAAGGATCATATAATTTACACGTGTAAATCGAAGAATGTTAAGAATTAACTTCATCTGATTGGTGATGTTCGAATAAGAACGTGGATATTGACTTGACAAAGTTTATTTTCTCGACAACAATAATGAGTGGATATTAAAAATAGAAAATGAAGTAATGTTCGAAATCACGACAAAGAGCGGCTGTTCTTTATCATCCAGGATAGAAATTACAAAACGACATAAATAAAATAATCGGTGTTGAAGCGAAACGAAGGAAAACACAAATAAATATTTGGGAAGAAGAACAACAACAATAGAGAAGAAACGATTTTTTGAAATCACAGATAAAATAAAAAGACGTAGAAGACAACGATAAACTCGTGAATTTGGGTTTTTAAAGAAAGTGTTATTATAGGACAGCGTGCATTTCCATATCATCATCGAGAGAATTCGTATTGAGTAGAAGAGCTGCTTTTTGTTTATCATACAAAGAAGTCGATGCTTGTTGTTTAACAGCGGAAACTGCGCCAGAAAATATCTGAGCTAAACGGCTACCACGTAAACTTGATATTAACGAACCGTTGGGCGTTCGTTCTAAATTATCGATTCCTCGATGAACATTAATATTTTTTCCTTTATTCATCGACCAAAGAATAAATTCATGGTTATCATATGTTTGAATATCTGGCTTACGATAGTTCCGTAAGAGCAACGATGACATGACAACAGTGACTGATGATAATGCCATTGCAGCTGATGCCATCCAGGGCATAAGAGAGATGTTAAATGGAAGAAAAACTCCAGCAGCAATTGGTATACCGAATAGATTGTAGATCGTAGCAAATATAAAGTTTAAGTGGATCCTTCGAACCGTTTTTTTCGATAAGAGTATGGCACCGAGAACATCTTCAAGTGCATCACGAATTAGAACAACGTTCGCCGCTTCGACAGCAACATCAGCACCTGTGCCAACAGCGATACCAACATCAGCACGCGCTAACGCTGGTGAGTCATTGACACCATCGCCAACCATAGCGACTTTTTCACCTTTACGACTGTTTTCTTTCAATGTAGCAATGAAACGTTCTTTCTGAGTTGGTAACACTTCAGCATAAACATTCTTAATACCAACTTGCGCAGCTATCGCTCGAGCAGTTTTGACGTTGTCACCGGTTACAAGTAGAACATTGAGACCCATCGATTGTAATGCAAAAATCGTCAAAGGTGCAGTTGGTTTTATACGGTCAGCAATAGCGATCATACCAATAATAATACCTAAAAGAAATATTCTTGTTTACTAAGTCGACTTCAGTGAAAATTATTCTTACCATTGGCAGCAACCAAGACAGCCGTATGTCCATCATGTTCATGTTTACCCATTGCTGAATCAATTTCATGTGTAACTTGTATACTGTTTCTTTCCATCCATTCACGATTGCCGATTAGAACTGAGTAGATTCTGTCGTGAAACAATCCAGCATCATCTGCGGTCTTGCCTTTGGTCATGAGATATTCAATTTTGCTAACTTTGGCAGTCAAACCATAACCCCAGACAGCGTTGAAGTCTTCACAGTGACCAAGTTGGTCACTACCAAAGTAATCCTTACAGTGCTTTCGTATCGCCATGCCTAAAGGATGTTCAGAGCCGCTTTCAGCTGTGCCAGCGAGCGCTAACAATCGCTTCAATGTCCACTGTGGATCATTTGCAAAAAATACACGTGTGTCGACAACTGTTGGTTTGCCTTGTGTAATTGTGCCTGTCTTATCAAATACAATTGTACGGATCTTTTGGGCAGCTTCTAAAGGTTCGCCGCCTTTCACGAGAATTCCTTGTGAAGCACCAACACCTGCAACATAGAAGAAGCCCAATAGACTTATTAGAATCTGCTTCATTATACTAAGGTTCGCTACTTACCAGTACCAACCATAACTGCTGTTGGGGTTGCGAGACCAAGTGCACATGGACAAGCAATCGAGAGTACGGTGATTGCAAAGCGAAAAGCAAGTTCGAGTACGACTTCCATCTTGCTTGGCTCTTTTCCTGGTTGGTGATGCATCGTCGAACCTTCTCCCATCATACCATGATGATACTAAAACCGTCAACCAGAGACATGTCAATTCAATTCAATCGCTAAGATATTTCTTACCATAGAATATTTTAGTATTTTATCATAGTGTGTATAACCGATAATAAGCCAGGAAACCAATGTTACACAAGACACACTAACAACAACAGGTACGAAATAACCAGCAATTGTATCTGCTAGTGCTTGAATGGGTGCTTTCGATGTTTGTGCTTCTTCGACCAATTTAATAATTTGTTTCAGCGCTGTATCATGACCGACATGTGTAGCACGAACTAATAACATTCCATTTAAATTCTTCGTGCCACCGACAACTTGTGAGCCGACGGTTTTTTCGACTGGCATTGATTCACCTGTTAACAATGATTCATCGCACGTTGATGTACCTTCGATAACTCGGCCATCGGTTGGAATAGTTCCTCCTGGTAGAACTTTCAAGATGTCATTACGTTGAATCAATTTAGCTAGAATCGTTTTTTCGGAAAGAATTTCGCCGGTTTGTTCATCTAACTGAACTAATGTTCCTTGTGGCGGTTGTAATGACAACAATTTTGTTAGAGCATCTGATGTTTTACCCTGAATGGACAACATTTTTTTAGAATCTTCTTACACGTATTCTCGAAAACGAACCTTCGCAATATGCTCGAGCCATCGTCCAAGTGCAACGAACATCATCAGCATGGGTGGAACATCGAAAAACGTTATAGGACTAGGAAGATTTTGATAAATATTAAACAGAACCACAATACAGGAATAAACATATGCTGTCGTAGTAGCCATAACGATCAAGACATCCATGTTTGCAGAGCCATGCTTGATTGCTTTAAATGCTTGAATGTAAAAATAACGACCACTGATCCACTATGAAAAGGTATGCATAGGAATAATGAAAAGGAAAGCGAAAGATTACGCACTTGAACTGGCGTAGACAAAAGAAACATAATGAGATTCTCGAGCGATAGGCCGCGCATGACTTGAGGAGCTTCTTCGTGATTTTTCCATTTGTACATGAATGCCATCATAATGATCATGGCTGGAACACCAAAAATAGCCGACAGAAGGAATGAATTTCGCCAACGTCGAGTTTCGCGTCGATGAATTTTTGCCAAGCTGGATGCTTTCGAATCTTCACTGACTAATGAAGCAGGAAAACCAATAGCCTATCAATGACAAACAAAATATTTTCTTCGCTATCCAAAAACAAGGCTTCCTATATACATCAAGTTCACGGATAATATCTCTTGGGCCGATCTTTGAAGAATCGTATTTGAATCTACCACGGTGAGTCAACAGAGCGACTTCAGCGCTATGCACTCCGGGCAGTTTTGCAATAGACGTTTCGATTTTCCGAACACATGATGCGCATGTCATATTCTCAATCTTAAACATAGAATGATCGATGAAACATCTCGCTGGTGACAATTTCCGTTTACATACACTCAGATCGATGATATCGACACCACTTTCTACTTTTTCCAGTACTTCAGCACGAAAACCGAGTTCATTGATTAAATGAGCAATTTGAGACGGAATGATATATTCTGGATTATATTCAACTTCAGCTTTATTTGACAAAAGCGCAACACGCACACCATAAATTCCTAATTGAAGGACCAAACTTTAAAAAAAAACCATCATTTTGTCAAAACGTGATTACCTTCAACTTTGGAAAGATTTCGTTCGATCGAATCAACACAACTGGCGCAAGTCATTCCGATAATACTTATCGAACACGTCTCAGTATCATCGACGACTGGTGATCGTTTAGCAATCGCCTGTCGAGGTTTTGATTGTTTAGTATTTTCACCTAAAAAAAAGTCAGTGCTGTTTATCATCTAAGTCAATACTATTCATCAAGCAAATATGCAAAACTTTGTTTGTTCTCTTTCATTTTCAATTCAAATTGATTATTGACAGGAATTCCGATTAATTATCAGTTGTCTACTGCCTTTCAAGATAACATATTATTTGAACAGCAAGAGCTGATCAAACAGACATGATTCGAATTATTCACATATGTCCTAATGCGTCATTACACAAAGATTACACGATAAACCAAACTGGATTAGTGATAAAATAAGAAAACTAGTCTTCGCGTTTCGCTTAATACACTTCCTGTGTTCTGTATATAACAAATCGATATACGCCTGACTTTTTCGTGTTCTGTGAAAATAATAGGAGATTAATGCTCGATTACTTTGACATTTGACAATGGTTTTTCTTTCAAAACGTTATCGAAAAACAAAAAGAACGAACCTGTTAAAATTGGTGTATTTGAACTGACATCATTTTCTAAAATAAAAACCAAACGATGAAATCCTATAGCTCAACGAGTGAATTAACCTTTTGATATATCTGTATCATTTGCCGTGACCACTGCAACTTGAAAATCGAGCGATTCAATTTCTTTGACAACCATCGAGAGAGGAATTATATTCGGATCATAAAGAATATTTGCTGATTGATCATCAAATGTAACTTTAATATGATGTATGCCGGGTAAATCTTCCACGGTTTGTGTAATGTTCATCACACAAGAATTACAGTGCATACCCTGCACGCGTAGGTAAGCTCGGACGATGTTTTCAAGTTTTGGATTGACTTTATAGCCGATTGACTGTAATTTTTGATAGATTGTATAAGGATCCGTTTGATTTTTGTCATAGGTGAGAAGAACACGAGAGCTATCGTTTTTTACAGGGAAAACTACATTGGAAATTCCGGGAATCGCCGAAATACGTTGAGTAGCGGTGGGAATATTTTCATCGGATATTCCACCGAGTTCGACATCCAGATTGTCGGTCGACGCCGTCGCATCAAGCTCAGCATTGAAGCCCATTGTATTAATACGTTCTATGATCTGATTTATATGAATTTCATTCGGATTGTAAACAACAGTTCCTAATTTATTTTCTAACGAAACCTGAAAAGAGCGCAATCAGTTGAAGGTTTTCAACAGCCTCTGACTTTTTGTTTTCGCTTACGTGAATTGATTTGATGGCTGGTACTTTGTTTAATGTGCTTTCGATGTTGCGCACACAACTCCCACATGTCATGCCATTAATGCGAATTTGCTGCGTTGATTCATCCATCATGACCAGTGACGATGCAACTTTTCTTATAGTACTTATGTGATCGAAGTCATCATTTATATATAAACATATGAGTGATGAAGAAAATATATATTCACGTGAAATGCGATTGGACGGAGATGACATAGTTTTATCGTGTCGACAGATGTTGTGCGCGTCGTTCGATGCTATTGGCTCGTTGCTGCGAACCAATAGAAAAGTGCCCATCTGACATAGTGGATAGTAAACGTATTTCTTTCGGTGGTATTTGGTGAAAATTCAACGAAATCATGGCTTTGCAAGCACATAAAAAGATAGACGATGCTGGAAATGAAGAGAACGACGATGGTGGAGACTATGACGACGAACCGGTATTCAAATTTTCCAAAGTTACGCTCTCCTCGTCGGTATCTCGGAAGGCAAATGATGATAACAAGAGTACACCAGATTATCTTAGCTGTATTGCTGTTCATGAACGATTTCTTGTGATTGGAAAAAATACAGGTGATATATTAATCACCGATCATTTGGGGACTATAATCCCTCAATTTCATATTCAAGCAGTAAGAAAACTTCCTAGATTTACCGTCGCAAATCGATCATCTCTTGTTTTCCTAGCATACATATCCCGTCAATGCGATATCGATTGATGCTAATGGTGATTATATTGCGAGTTGTTGTCAAGAAGGACGAGTAATTGTTTGAAATGACTGAAATACCAAATGAAAACAAGTTTTCGCTTTAGGTTAAAATATCCGGTTTATTTAGTAAAAACGATGATCAATTAAATGCGTTCTCTCGACCGATAAAAGCCGTCTGCCTAGATCCATTTTTTTCGAAATCAAAACAGTACGTTACAGGTGATACATCCGTAAGTTTACCAGAAGACCTCTCGTTTCTGTAGATAGAAAGTCTGTTTTTATCCAATAGCTTATTCTCAATGAACGAGGTTTACTGGGACGACATAAATCTACAACTTTATTCGATTTTAAAGGTGGACTTATTCATACACTTCGTTGGAAAGAATCACTGATTGCTGTCGCTAACGATAGAGTAATTTTTGCCAAAAAGCGAATGTGAATTCTCTTATTCGCTAAACATTGCAGGGTGTTGGTGTTTATGATTTGCGTGCGCGTCGATTAGTTGGATTCGAATATACAGAACCTCAACCAGGGTATATTTTCCTACAAAATTTTGTACATCGATACGCAACATTCAATCTAGATTTGCACCGGGTATCTATCCAAGTAGAGTATCATGGAATGATGCCACAACGTTAGTCGCTGCATGTGCAAAAACGATTAAAATCGTCACTATTGTAAATGACCCAACAAATGATCATCAATCAACTGTACCGAAGAAGTCCATGAATATAGGTTAGAGGATATTCACTGTTATTTTTCGAAATCGAATGTGTTCTTTAGTTATGACGTTTAAAATCGAATTCTACGCATGTGGTTTAACATCAGTTAATCGGGATTTATTTTTGCTTGGTATTGAAGATTACAGTATAGCAGTAAAGACTTTTCTTTTTCGCATCTATATCATTGAAATATATTTGTATGATCTGGCATATAGAATGGTGTAACCGATCCGTCGCTAACGGTTCTACAGTCAATCGACAGAAACTATGAAGAAAAAGCCCATGATCGGTTTGTATTGTCACGAAATAAAGACACATCACCATTTCAATTTCAGCTCGGTAAGATTCGTTGACAAATAGGAAAAAGAAGATTTTTAAAGAGATGTTTTGCATAGAATATCTACCTGACGAGCGATGTTTTTTCATTCTGTCTCCTTATGATATAATTAAAGCGGAACATCGAAATTATGATGATCATATCGATTATTTAATCAGCAAGAAGCGATTCGACGAAGCAATCCAAGCATTCGAGCAACCGAAAAACACGACTGATAAACCACAGCGACATACAAAACGAGTGAGGGATAATTTAAAGAACTTGAAAACATACCTGTATTGATCTGTAATTGCAGAGTGTCTATCAAGAATATGTTAAAGAATTAATTGAAAATGGCCAGTCGAAAACAGCCGTGAAATTGTTTCCTGACGTCTATAAAACAGCTGAAGAATGGGAAGAACAGATCCAAAAGTTTATCGATCGAAAAGAACTCGATGTAAGCTGAAAAGACAAAGCAAGCGATTCATTTCTTTCTGAACTTCATCAATCTAGATCATCACTCCGTATATTCCAACCGTTTTACCAAAATTGAATCCAACCGCTTATGACAAAGTATTGGAAACATATCTAAGCGAGAAAAAATACGATGTAAGTCAACAAACTCTAAGCAAATCTCAAAACATACGCAAAACTGTTCAGAAATACGCTTTGGACTTATTCGTCCTAGAATGGAGCTGCAATGTTCACACCCGCTACTAATCATACCTTGTTTTTATTAGAAATTAAAAGAATTACTAACAACTTGGCCGTCCGATATATACAACGTAACGAGTATCGATCATTTGACACGAATCAAGATGGATGATGATCATACATCAAAAACTTTACTTGAATGTTCAGCTATTTTGTAAATACGAAATCGATTTTCGATTCTCATTGTATATTTCTCGCTTATAGGGCTGAAAAACAAGGCAATGTAGTGAAAACATTGGACATCTATTTGAAGTAATTAAAGAGGCTCGTGGAGTTCAGCATATATTTGTTCGATTTTAGAATGCGGAATATCCAAGTTTTCCAACTGATTGACCGGAAAAATCTTCATAGCGAGATTCTTCCGCACATTGAAACACTCATGACAATTGACAAAAATGTATGTCACATATCCTAGAACGATAAGATCACTATGCTAACGTGTATGACTTTAGTTAACACTCGACATGTTGGTTAACCATGTAGATATATTACCGGTAGGTTTATTAAGAAATCAATTATGTAACTTTAGTTTCAATTCGTAGGTCAAATCAGTTTACAATGTCCTTCAGAAAAACTCAAGGTTTTTACATGCGGTTAGTAAGAAAGAATTTGGTTTTAAAATGAATCGTTCTATCGTCGTCGGTTTGATTATTAGTATCTTGATGCTGTGTTCTCGAAAAATCCAAGCGACACACGAGATTATTATACACTCCAAGTAACGCTGTATGCGGAATACGACACGACAAAGCTGATGGGATTTCTGCGTAAAGCTGGAAGTTATAGTATACAGGACGCCATTTTGATTTGTGAAAAGAAAAAATTGTATCCTGAAGCTGTTTTCCTTTACGGTATAGAATTCATTGTAATAGGGTGAGGAACGAAGGCAAGATTCGATTTTAGGTCGAGCGGGTAATGGGCGCGTCGCTTTGCAGACAATTCTTGATAAATTGAATGATATCGAAGGAGCGATTGCATTTTGTCGCGAAACAGGTGATCAAACATTATGGCCAGTCTTGATCGAAGCATCGCAGAATAAACCAGGTAGTTATCACCTGACTGATTCTATCCAGGCTATTCGGGTTTTGTTTGTATTGTAGAGTTTATCAGAGGTTTATTGAATCATGCTGGTAGCGATATGAACTTGAAAGAGTTAATTGATTCGATCCGCGATGATTTACGAATTCCTGGTTTACGAGATTCACTGTGTAAAATCATGCAGGATTATAATATTCAGGTTTGTTCGTTGTGAACCTAATCCTTTGTTTGCTTGCCAGACAACTTTTGCTATTGAATATATTTTATTAGATGTCTCTATCGGAATCTTGTCGAAAAATAATTGTACATGACTGTTTGGGTCTACGTAAGAAGACAATCACATTGCTTCAAAGTGGTTATTCAGTCAAAGGTATGCTCTCACGTTCTCTTCGAGCTCTTGACCTGACTATTCGATTTCGTAGATACCGATCTTTGTGCGAAATGTCACAATCCTGTTTACACTTCTGGTAAGTTTCGGTCACTATGCGAATAAAACATGTCTCTATTTGCTTTTTGTAAAGGTACTTTGACCAATCTTCCAGTATCTGTCTTTTTCTGTTTACATGTCTTCCATACCAAATGTATCGAAACGAATCCGGTAAGAGAAAAATGTTTTTAATGGATATGGATATACAAGGATTGTACATTTAGGATGTTTGTGGTGTATGTTCGACTACTTCTCTGTTCGGTGCGGCTTAATTTTCAAAAGAATCAATTGCATATTTCAAATTTTCAGCCGAGTGAATCAACCATTTCGTCTTTCTTCTTCTCTCCGTCCTAATTTATTCATTCACAGTGATTTTCTTTTTCTTGCTCGTGAGCGCGTGTGTATATGTAATTGTAACCGAAACTGATCAGCAATAGGAAAAACAAACAACAGTAAAACTTGATTGTGCATATTTCTTGAAACAAACTTTTCCTCTCTTTCGATTCGTTATGTCAAATGTAAGAGACTATTATTCAAAGATAATTATTTGATGATTGTATGTATGTGACTGTTGTTACGTTTTTTTTAAAAATACGTTTCAGATGGTTTTACTTGGATTTCTCGATGAACCGAGAGGAGGAAAGATGGGCGCTGATGATGACCCATCTAACTGGACGATTTCCAGAATTGGCGGACAGCCAGTTAGTATGAATAGGATCGACTTTCGTTTTAATCGTGAATTCCATTTAGGCCTTTCCAAGTGCCGCAGTTTCAAACAAGTTGAAATCTTCTCTCGTCTGCGCTAAATGTCAAAAAGAACAAGTATTTGTCTGTCAACTATACTGTCCGTTGGCTGGGCATAAATACGATCGTGCTTTGTATCTGTTCGCATGTCGGAATCCATCGTGTTGGAATGCGTCAGCTAGGTTTGTTTGATTGATTTAGCATAAAATTGAGGTTTAAGATACGACATTCTTTAGTTGGACTGCAATCCGGTGTCAAACTTATGATGAAACAGTGGAAGAAATCGCATCAGCTGAAACTGAACCGATCGAAACCATTCCATTATCATCTACCGATTGGTGTGATGATGCCGATGCTTGGAATAGCGATGCAGAAGACGATCCAGCTCCTAAGAAAAAGCCGTCGTCAGTTCCAACAACAGCAACGAAGAAAGAAATCAAATCGGAGCCTGAAGTTATGCTCAACTCGATGAAAATCGATGACGAAAATGAGAAATCGTCCAGTGACGATGACAGTGACGATGAAGGAATGGATGCTAGTACGAAAAAGAAAACAAAAGAGAAAAACTTATCGGTTGCTTCGTCCGATGCTTTCAATGAATGGAAGAAGAATAATCTTAAAACGTGTGAGCTGGATGTGTCGACAAGTGCATCGTTTCCGTTTTATTACATCGAGATCGACGAAGAAGATGCGGTTGTGAACGAAGCAAAGTTAAATGAACAGAAGAAGTTGAAAAAGGCGATGAAGAATCTTAACAATATCGATGAAGATGACGATGATGATGAAACAGCAAAAGGTGGCAAAGAGTAAGGTTTTCTTCGTATTTCTAACGTAACCAAGCCGGATCTTTTTAGGAAATACGAAAAAACGCCAGAAATAGAACACGGCGACATCGTCTTCTATCGCTTCCAACAAAAAATCCGATACGCACCCGATCAAATCATTCGGTAAGACTTTCGAAATCGGTACACATCAGCATTCTTCTTCTATAGTTATGACTGGTCCGGCAGTCCATTGATTCTTACGAAAATCGACAACAGCACCTTATCTGCTCAAAAATGTCGCCATTGTCAATCTTCGTGTGCTTTCGAGTTTCAATTGATGCCAGCATTGGTGAATTTCCTTAAAATCGATAAGCAAATAGGTATGCGAGCATTGTTCCATTGCACCATTGAAAATCACTGTTTCAATTTAGGTTTGGAATTCGGTACAGTATTCGTGTACACATGTTCCGCGAATTGTTGGGATGATAATAATGATTTGTATCGATTTGAAAATGTTTTCGTTCAAGCTGATCCCGATCAAAATTTATTTGATTAATAAAAAGAACTAAAAAAATATCGTTATTTGTTTTCAGATGATTGAACAGCTGCTGTTAGTCTTCCTCGTGCTTGCGATACTTGGACTTCTTGGTCTAAGTGTAAGTGGAGCTGGTCACTTTTGAGAAACAACGAGTTTTTCTCTTCGTAGACGATTTGTTTGCTCCGGTCGTTTAAAATGGCACCTCGAAGTGAAAATGAAAACTATTATCAAGATCCGAAGAGTAAATCTCGAAAGAAATTTCCATCACTGAATGATCCACCTTCAAAGTACCTCTCCGTGATCATTCCAGCTTACAAAGAAGTCGACCGCTGTATGATAACCGGGATTTCGATTTCCTCACCTTTCTCGTTTTTCTAGTGCCAAGCATGATCAAAGACACAATGAGTTATTTGGAAAACCGTCAGGTTGGCAACAAATGTCTCTTGATGATAAAAATCTTCTGTCATTATTTTTAGGCGAAAGATTCCTCATTCACCTATGAACTAATCATTGTTGACGATGGTAGTCCTGATAAAACTAGCGAGGTAAGATCAATGACGAATTTCTCGTATCTAATCGGACTATTTTTTTAAACTTCAGGTGGCTCTTCAATACAGTGTTCAATACGGAACAGATATCGTTCGAGTATTAACTCTCGATGCTAATCGAGGTAAAGGTGGTGCTGTTCGAATGGTGAGGTAGCGTATTTGCAAATTTTTATGTATATATTGTGTGTTTTCTAGGGTGTTCTAAGCGCTCGAGGTCAATGGATTTTGTTTGCTGATGCCGATGGTGCAACACAATTCAGTGACTTTTCTAAAGTTGAAAAACGAGCTCTCGATAGAATGAAAGTAAGGCGAAGATATTGATCAAAATTCGATGCGATTGATCAAAATTTAGGATAACAATGTTGTTGTCTGTGGTTCGAGACGACATTTGGAAAAGGAATCTGTTGCTCAAGTATGACGATCTATCTCGTTATCGAACATTCGTCATTTTTATCTTGTAGAGATCAGCGTTCCGTACATTACTTATGTATGTGTTCCATTTTGAAGTTTGGTTATTCGCCGTGAAGTCTATCCGTGATACTCAGTGTGGTTTCAAGTTGTTTTCTCGTGAAAGTTCGCGTCGAATTTTTTCTCAAATGCATGTCGAACGATGGTAAACGAAGAAAGAAATCTAAATCGTTCGAACTTGAGTTTTCTCTTCAGGTCATTTGATGTGGAACTCTTATACATTGCCGAACATTTGAACATTCCAATTGTTGAAGTCGATGTGAACTGGCAGGAAATACCCGGCTCCAAACTCGATCCATTTACTGCTTCGTTTCAAATGGGTATTGATATTTTAGCTATCTGGTTACGATATGTCTTACAAATTTGGACAATTCAACGTAAAATTGAATGACAAACATAGAATATAATCGGGTGATTTTTCTTCTCTTTCGTTGTTACACATTTTGTTATACTGATCACTGACTTTAGTCCCTTATTTATCATTGAAATCTGCTTTTTAACAAGAGAAAATAAAGTTCTTCTGCTTCTTCTACTATATGCTAAAGATGATTAAACTAAATTTGGAAGAATCACGAAAGGATCTTCTCATCTACCTAAGTCAACAAAAGAAGTGTTCACAAACAAGTTTTGCACATCGGCTTGCGTGTCAATGTCATTGATCGCTAATTGAAATTTAGTAAATAATCTCCTAAATCAACATTGAACTCGACTCTGTGGGTTAATTTTCTTTCTCATCCCACAAGATTTATTAATCAGTTATACAGTCCGTATCAAATCAATCAAGATTTCATTCTTTGATAATCAAGACTTAGTCCCATGCGTGCACGGTCTTTCTTTTCGACAACATATTGATTTTAAAGCGAAGAGAAAACTTCGGATATTGTTCTCATGTGAATATGAGATTGACAAGATCTAATCTTGATTGAGTCACACAAGGAGAGTTTTTGTAGGCTTAGCGTGCTTTGAGAATCGAGAAGGATAAACAGAAATCTCAGATTGCGATGCATTTCATTTCAAGAACAGAAGTAAAGAAGCGATTCCAGTCGTTGATTGTCGACATTCTTTCCAGTTTTGTTCTTACTATTCTCGATTTTGAACGAAAAAGACAGTTTCGCGATGGATGCCGATGAATTTCGACAACGAGGTAAAGAAATGGTGGATTTCATTGCGGATTATCTGACAACTATTCGAACGCGACGTGTTTTTCCAAGTGTGAAACCTGGCTACATGCGTCCGCTGATTGACGATGAAGCGCCAAGACAAGGAGAACCATGGAATCAAATATTTAATGACATCGAACGCGTCATCATGCCTGGTGTACGCATCACAAGGGTTTCTCATACATGATTTTAGCAAAATTTCCTTTGCTGTAGGTTACACATTGGCAGTCACCGTACATGCACGCTTATTTCCCAGCATTGAATTCTTATCCATCGATGTTAGGAGTATGGAAATGATATGTTTTGCGTGATATGATATTGGTATCATATTTTTAGGATATGTTAGCGAATTGTTTGAATCAAATAGGATTTACTTGGGTATGTAAGTTAAGAAAGAAATAATGAATAGAAATATGTGTATGTTAGGCATCGAGTCCGGCGTGCACAGAACTAGAAACGGTTGTCATGGATTGGTTAGCAAAGATGATCGGTTTACCAAATGATTTTCTTCATTCACATGCTGATACAACCGGAGGTGGTGTTATTCAAGTAGGACTAAAGCTATTTCTAAGATGGGATGCGAATAAGATTTATTGTAGACAACGGCATCAGAAGCCACACTAGTGGCATTACTTGCTGCTCGGAAAGAAGTTATTCGTCGTGTACAAGCCCAATTTCCTTATTTGAGTCCTGCAGAAATCAACGGACGTCTTGTTGCTTATTGTTCTGATCAAGCCCATTCATCTGTCGAGAAAGCTTGTTTGATCGGTTTGGTGAAACTGAATCTTGTGCCAAGCGATGATAAACTACGCCTACGTGGCAGTGCATTAAGACAAGCAATTGCTAAAGATAAGGAAAATGGTTTAATTCCATTCTACGTAAGTGCCGAAACTCACCAAAACGTCTCCGAAAAGAACTTCCTGTTTTTTTATAGTTATGTGCAACATTAGGAACAACTGGAGCGTGTGCTTTTGATAATTTAGTTGAATTGGGATCGATATGTAAGTTGGACTGTTCTTCTCTCGCTGGACAAGTCATTGAAATGTATGTATAGGTGAGCGAGAAAATATTTGGATACATGTCGATGCGGCATATGCGGGTAGTGCGTTTATTTGTCCTGAATTTCGACATTTTATGGATGGAGTTGAACTAACACACTCATTCGCTTTCAATCCATCGAAATGGATGATGGTTAGTCAACTTGTTTGTCTTTTCTTCAATAAAATGACTTCCTTTTTAGGTTCATTTCGATTGTACGGCTATGTGGTAAGTACGACAATTAAACATACAGTTCGATAGTGGACGATTCGCTTTTGGTATAGGGTTAAATCAAGTGCCGCCTTGCATCGTGCTTTCAATGTTGATCCATTGTATCTTCAACATGAAAATGCCGGTGTTGCTATTGATTATATGGTAAGATTATTTTGTTTCTTCTTCTTTGAATACAAAAGATTATTTTAGCATTGGCAAGTTCCATTGAGTCGTCGGTTTCGTGCATTGAAACTTTGGTTTGTCATACGTTCGTACGGCATCGAAGGTTTACAAAAACATATTCGAAATGTAAGACTACTCCGTTGTCTACAATTCAAATCGATTTGAGCGTTTTCAGGGCGTTCGAATGGGAGGTGTATTCGAATCATTGGTTCAAGCAGATAAACGCTTCGAGATACCGGCTGATCGTCATCTTGGTCTAGTCGTTTTTCGTTTAAAAGGTGAAAATGAATTAACCGAACAGCTATTAAAAGAAATCAACAGCGGTGGTTCAATTCACTGTGTTCCTGCGTCGATCAAAGGCAAATACATAATTCGTTTTACTGTTACAGCTACATCAACCAATACAGATGATATTAATCGCGATTGGAAGATTATTCAAGCAGCAGCAAGTAAGATTCTTCGTCCACTAGATAGCTTGACACCACAAGAACGTCGAAACAAAATGAAAAATCTTCACGATGACTTTCGCATGTCACTGGTTCTATCCAACACCCCGCATAGTCCATGTTTGATCAATGGAAGCTTTGCTGCTATATTACCGTTGAATACCCGACATATCTATGCCATGACGCACGAATTGAGTCAACGTGGACTGAAGAATTCTCTCCTACCAATATCCACACGACGACGTACAAAAAATTTCTCTGGTCATCAAACAATTAGTAAGCAAATGAGTATGGATGGAAATATGATTCACAGCAATCAACAGAAATACCTAGTGCCTATAGCAACAGCATCGTTACCAATCAGTCGACAAGGCAGTTTAGATTCTCGTATTGAAGAAATCTTAGACAATAACACAATCGAAAGTAAAGATTTTCTTTCAACACCAATCAACGGCTACGATGAGATCACGAAAGTCGTACCGAAAATTCTCAAAGAATAATCCATTGATATTATATTTTTCTCTTTCGTGTTATATTTATCCTCGTCATATATGATAAACAAAAGCACATCATTTTATGCTTATTTGTTTGTTTAATTTACTGAAACCTTCTTCAATGTTCGTCTGTTTATGTGAAAATAAATTCCCGAGACAAAACTTTCTTTTCGCCAAATTATATTATTCACTTCAATTCTCTGACACACCCACACGCATATTCATCAACAGTGTGTCAATTAGTTTGCTCCTGATCAGGAGGAAACTACATTTTTTCAAACATTTTTTCCATCCAATAGTACTTGTCATGTGAAACTAACAGCGATGATTGACAGTGTGTCCACAATCATCACTTCCGCCCCCTCTGCGTAGGTGAAAGGAAAAAAGCATAATCAAGATTAATACTCAATCAAGCACAATAAAACCTATTCGTTTTTTTTTCTTTTTACACGTTTATGTATTTCTGGTCTCGTTAAGCAAGTATAGATATAAATATAGAAATATAAGAGAAACGATGTGTAACATAATGAAGCACTTCAATTGCCAATTCATACAGAAGCAAAGTAATAATTTCTGTTTCATTTGGAAGTTTTCATTTAACTGCACATGAAACGACGAAGAAAAGAAGTAGACGAATATCAATAAATTTTGAATATTTTATTAGAAAAAGAAGCAATCATTTGACTTAATATAAAACACGAGATGAAATCAATAAATATCATCTTGCGAATAGCAACTCTGCGGAAATTCCTCCGATACTTTGATCCATCCATTCGACTTCCGGATCATTCATTTTCGTTACTGTTGTTATAATGCTAATTATCATAAGACACAACATCAAACCGATTAAACTATAAATAATCAATGCTAATGATAACGCTAATCTTCTCAATCGTTGTACTAAGACAGTTCGTTTTCGTTTCAAATTCAACACGTGATTAACTTCATTTAAAAAGTCCCAAAACACTGTACCATGTGGAACATTCTGTTTACTGAAATAGTAAAGTAGATTTTGTAATGCTAGAGGTTCTTCACCAAGACGATCGTAGATAAGCGCATCGTCGGGTTTTACGTGACGCGTATCGAATTTTTTCGATTGACCTTTATCCATGGCAAGAGAAAATTCTTTCACAGCTTGGAAGTTTTCGTCGAGGTCAACGTTCTTGATTTCCTGCTGGGCTCGTTTCAATTCTCGCGTCATTTGTAAGCCCAAGTAGAAATCCGGTAATTTACCTTCTTTGCCTGTGTCACGAAAACCCATAAAACGAATACGATGTATATTACGACGAACGACTAGCCAATAAGAATTAGGTCGAAGTGAATGAGCTGTCAGAGGTGCTTGATAATCATAATCTCCGAGGTCTTCACGTTGTAAACGCGTCGGACTCGATGGAACCAGTTGTTCTTGGGCTTCCATCGGATTACTAATGATGTGAAGTTCTTCTTCTTGTTTAGGAAGGCGCATAAGTCGTGTACGGTGTGTGTGAGTCATGTTATTTCAATCTGAAAACTGAAGTCAAATCTTGATAATCGTATTTAGACTACGAAATTCAGCGATAATTTCAATCGTATGTATTAACATGGATATTTTCTCATATCAAATTACCTTGTAAAATCAATTGACCGAGAAGTGCCCCGAGAAAAAAAAGCATATTTCTATCGCGGAATTATGAGTATTTGAGGAAAACAAAATATAGTTTCATTGATTTATGAATGTTTTTTAGGCTTACACACTAAGACGAGAATGTCCGTATCTTATTTTCTTCTTTCAGTTTACCTGTATCGATGTAAATATTGTTTAACTCAAAGAGACAACGGCAAAGGAAAGGTATATACATATATAAATCGATTCAAGAAAAAAGGTTAACGTAGACACGTTATTGCATGTTGTACAAGCGCACATGGGCATAACTCAAGGTAGAAATAGTATCTCTCCTTTATGCTTATCAATCATACAAATCTAAAATGTATTGGACGACTAATATGCATAAAATGGTGAGAGAAAAAAATCGCGGAGGAAAAGTAGAGTATTACTCATGAATGAATAAATGATTTTTTTTTTGAAAAAAATTGTACGTATGATGCTCGAGGATAGATTGACAATTATTTATGAAAAAAAAAGCCTTTTCAAAATCAAAATTGTTTGGCACTCTATCTTCATTCGACGACAAATATTTTTTTCAAAGGAAGAATGAGAAAAAGAACAGTTAGTGAAACGAGTAGGAATAAGAAACAAAAATAATAGAATAGATGTGTGTATACTCATTTTCTAATTAGACTTCTCTCGTATGGAAGTAAATTGTCGTTGAAATATCCGTGATTAAACTGAAACTTTGTAGTCTAGATGAATACTGTTGAAGCGAAGTTTGGTGTGAAATAAGAGAAAATTTGCTTGATTGCACATATGAAATGCGACGCTTGATGTAACCAACAGTTGATCTTCATACATAATAAATTTTCGCACATTATGGATGATTTTGGTTGATGATAATGATAAACTAATCACGCACGTGTTCGCTTTTAAATAAATTAATTTGTTCGCGGCAGGTCTCAATAACGACCTTTAGACGAAAAAAGTGCGATTTTGTCATAAGTGCTCGAGTTTCGATGGCAAATTGGTTTGAAGCTTTCACTTCATTCAGACGTCGATGCTTCAACAATGCATAGTCATTTGCAAAGCTTACATTTACTTCTCACGTCAAAAAAAGATTCGCCAAGGACTGATTGCTTTATTAGACATAGATCGCTGCATTAAATCACTTAATCAGATGATCTATTTGTCGTACGTTCTACGGCCTTCTTAAACGAGGAAAGGAGGATTTCTAAAGAGAAGCCTCAATGATATACAAACTCGTCTGTTTAATGTCAACTACAAACAAGAGTTGTATCCCGTTAAAGAACCATTTCGAATAGTTACGACTATTCATTAGTGTGAGGTCGACAGAAGACAGAAAGTGATAAACGATTGAAGACAGTTAACTATTGTTTAGTGATCACAATGACAATGATTGATTACTTGTTTCTATCATGTAGAATAGTTGATCATTTCGTAAAGTAATATCTCTAAAAATCGTAGATGTGAATCAGAAATACACCTTTTGCCCCTTCCTGCCTAGTTATATTCTTGCTACTTGCGTCACAGTTTAGCAAGATGACATTTCCGTTCTAAAAATGTAAAATGCTTTCAATCACAATAATTTTAATTATCGACTACTTTAGAAAGAAGAAAAAAAGAACATTTGTTTTGTAACAAAATGATCCAAATCTATGTGAACTATCGATAGCAATGGAATTGTCGTCGTTACAACGATTACTCAATCGCAACATCACTGAATGTCTTATCTGGTTATTTATCACACTCTAATTATCAAAGCGTAACAAAACATCACTCGCGTTACACTTTATACGGTTTCTGCTCTTTAACAAACTGCTAGAATACACTTCGACGATTCGCACTTTGACTTTGCTATAAAATCCGATAATCAGTATCACCCCCTGATCCTATTTGAGGCTTAAGTAAACAATTTTACTATTATTTTATTTACACACGAGTATCAACGAAAATATTTTTCTCTATGATGAATTACAGCCAAAACTAGTTCTTGTATTATTCGTGATCGTGATCTTGATGATCATCGAGATCTCTAAACACTGATAGGAACAATCGAGACGCGTTTGTTCCATTCGGACTCGTTCTACCCAGGTAATCTTGTCGGTACATTTCTCTTAGATTTGATGTTGTTGTTAAAACGCTTAAAATCAACGAGAAAAACATAATCAGAAGTAGAATAGACACAGCTAAAGCCAGAACTAGTGCTAATTTACGGAAGACGACCACGCGATTGATACGTTTACGGTTTGTGTCTAATACAGAGTTGACATCGAAGAGAAATGAATAAAATATGCCATTGTATGGCACAGGACAGTCTTTACTGAAATAATAAAGTAAATATTGTAGGACAATCGGTTCAGAACCGAGACCAGCATAATAAATTCCATCGGTTGGTCGAACATGTGAAACATTGTATCGTTGCACGCGCATTTCGTCGATTGGTAATTCGAAATAATGTACAGGTTCGAAGTCGGGTCGATACTGTAAAGCACGAATCTGATCTTCGGCACGTTTTAATTCACGTCTCATTTGAAAAAATAAATACCAATCTTGAAACGGTTGATTCGCAGATATTCGTCGAATCATTCCCCAACTTCGAATCTTATGAATATTGTTACGAACGATCAACCATTTTGACGTTGGAGGTAATGCATGTGCAGTCAATGGAGCTTGATAATCGTTACTAGATAGTAATGGTTTTCGCAGTGGTGCATCGGAAGTCACAACAATACGAGACTCTCGTTCACGTTTTGGCTGCTTTCGTAGACTGGATTTCGTTGGTTGAGACATGGCGATCTAAAGGAACAGAAAAGAAAAACGAGATCTTCGAATACTGTATGTATGTATAACGACGACAAGTAATAACATCAATCCTTGATATTTTACTATTAATCAAAAATTATCATAATACTTTAAGACCTTTATCTCTCCAATGGATTTATTCAAGATTTCGTCTTTCGTTGAGATATTCGAACTCATCGATGTTTTGTAGTGAATGCTTGCATAATAATGAATCAGTATATGTAATTTTTCACCAAAGTAGATGTTATATCAATACGGACGACATATCTCTCCAAATACTTTGCATATATAAATGTAGAGATTTATGAGTATATATAACCAAGCATGATGAAGAAGAAAGACACGAGTTTATGCACACCGTGAAGATAATATATCTTTGAGTGATGAATTCGAATACAGCTTAGAATTATAAATGATCAGTGAAAGAGAGTGTCGATATGCTAAGTGAGAAAGACGGATCAGACTACTCCTGTTTCTGGGTAAACGTCAGTATTTGCAGCGGAAATCAATAAAGCGGTTTGTTCTGTTATGAGAAAGTAACATAATAAAAATCCATCTTTTCTTTCACTAACCCTCAATTAATCTACCTACTTGCGTCAATAAATGCATATCTTATCAATATAATTGTATCAAACGACCATACTCATTTGAGAGGAGAGGCAGAACGAATGAAGAAAAAACCTGCGTATCATTTTCTTTTAATACATGAGTATCTTCTTTTCGAGTGCATATTGTTCTCAATGTCTGTATAGATTATGTCATTAGGTGCACGTACATTTGTATTTGTCATTGATCAAGTCGAAAAAAATGTGCAAGTGAAAGAGACGTATGTTTGTTTTCGTCGGTTATTTATAGATACACGCGAGTCGTGTTTTTTTCTATTAGTCATTTTGAATTCGATGATCGAAATAAAGCTTATGACGTCAATTTTACTGCATTCATTCATTTTCTAATTATATTTTCTTGCTGAGAATAAGCAAATCTTAGTTTTGTGTTCAAACGCGAAATATTCGATAGGATTTCTGGTTATTGCGCAAGTCTTTCGAAATTTGAGTCATATAAAAATGCGTGAGCTCTCATTATCCCGGGTATGAGTGCAATGAAAAGTGCTGTATTAATACTCGGCGGTGCCTTCAATCCAGTCCATACTCAGCATATAGCTTTATTTGATCTCGTTAAACAAGAATTAGAAGCAACTGGCGAATGGCAAGTGATTGGTGGATATTTAGCTGTTGCACCAGATAATTATGTGCTACATAAGTTACATTCGCGAAATGAACGAACCATTAAACTTGAGCATCGTTTAGCGCTGGTTAGAGAAGCGATGGAAAACGTTCCGTGGTTGAGAAATAGCCCGTTTCAAGACGAAATGCTCAAACAACATGATGGTTCAGCGACGGGACTGGGCCAGCGATTGAAAAAGCTTCTAAACAATCCGAACGTAGAAGTTTTGATACTTGTCGGTGGTGATCGAATGCTAAAACGAGGTGAACCTATCTGGCGACGAGCTTCAGCTAAAACGCCGGTTAAACATATCGGTGTCGGTCGAATTATGGATGAACACATCAATCTGCTCGAACTTTGGCAAGCTGATCTCGAGAAGAATCTTGTTCCCCACCGTCAAGAATATATCATCTTGAATATTCCTCTTCGATCCGTTAGTTCGTCATTAGTTCGCACCCATCTTCAACAGTGGTTCAATGCCAGTAAGGATATTGAAAAACAAAACGAAATCGAACACGATCTAGTTCATTCGAATATGTACCTTGATTTTAATGTAATGAATTATATAAAAACCCATCACAATGATTTATATATTGATGTGTAATTATCTCCATTCTCTAACACGTACACAATAAAAAATGTACATTAAAAAATAAACAAAATATAATAAAACTCTTCACTGTCCGTTCGATTTAGATCTGATTGCGTAGCTGTCCATTACTAAAATGAATTCAGAAAAGTTCACCATTGACTAGAAATCATTTTTCCGAAACATACATAACATCATCAACCCAATCGCGAAAAAATGGTAATAGTTGATCATCCATGGCTGGGAGAACCAGAAGACGCTAGAAGCAGAAGGAAAGACTATCGATCGAATATCAAACGTTTGGATCTTACTTTGAATTCATCTCGAATACGAGCTTCGAGAAAGTCATGAATCAGCGCATAAGAATATTTACTTTCACCAAGCACGGGAGAAACCTTCAGATTCAAATCAGGCATTTCAGCGAATCCCACCCTATACAAAGAATTAGAAGACAAGATCCCGAGATTCAGATGGCTTTACCAAACACGATCACTAGGTGGTGGTGGAATATTGATCTATACAAATCAAATCGATGATGTAATTGCTAACATAGAAAGAAATTTACTGTCATAATTCCACTTAGATTTGTTATTGCGATGTTGGCGCCAATTTCTGCCTTGGAGATTTTTTCGATTACACCAGCAACTGGTTTAAATGAAGCGAAACGTTGAACATGTTTATTAGCAGCAACTTTTGTCAATAATGAGTCGATTTTTCGTGCAGCCACACTAAAATATACATTAACATGAATCGAATCTGAGTATTCGCAGATAGAACTGTACTTCTCAGGTAGCTCAGGCTCTTTCGCAACTGGTTTGGGACTTGGTATGAGTTCTCTATTTTCTGCACATTCATCATCGTTTTGTGTTGCATCGTTTGAACGATGTTGATAATGCAATGGCTGGTCAGCAATTGAATTGTAATTGAGTAATCGATTAAGAGCTATTTTCGTCTTAATTGTAAAACTAGAAAAAAAACGAAATCTTTCTGATTCAGTTTTATTACGCGTCGACGTTGACTTACTTAAAATCACCTCGGTAGAAGACAAACACATTGAACCATATTCCTTTTGTGTTCCATTGCATTGGGTGAACTTTGAGAATGACTGGAAACGTACTGCCCATATCGATTGTTTCGACGCGAAGACCTTCCATAACACTGACCTACAAACAACACAGCGTAAAATCAAATGTTCATGCCCAGTTATCAAAAACTCACCGCAATTTCTTTCAATTTCAATTCGATTTTTTCTTTGAGTAGATCTTTGAAGAATCGGTCTTCAAAAATATCACAACATAGACGACGTGTCAGAAAATTCAATGTAATAGCTGCTTCATCGAGACATTCAGAAGAATTGAGCAATCGATAGAGATTTTCTTCTTCTTTACGTATTTTCTTTTTCGCTGATCCTTTTCGATGTGTAACAGGTGAATCTTTTTCTAATGCATCTCGAGCACCTTGACGAGCTTGATTTATATCACTAAGTATATCAGTTTCGTTGATTTGACTGCGAAGTGCTTCCGTTTCACTGTTTTCTAATGATGAAGTATCAGGATAGGGCGGACCAACTGTTTCAGCCGGTTTCATTTGCACTCGACTTTCTAGATTAACTGTATTTGTTGGCATTGCTATTCCAATTTGCGTATCTGAACTACTATGAGCGATCGTATTGGCAGGTGGTGTACTTGTTTGGAGATTATCAGTGTGATCGTCATCGTCTTTATCTTTGCGTAGAACAAGTGACAATCTAGATGTAAATAGTAGAAAACACAATGATCGAAGACGAGTGTAAAGCGATAAACATACTTATGAAACCAATCTTCTTTCTCAGGACAAGTTTCGAAGAAAAGGCTCAATGTTGTCTGGGAGTTATTGAAAAAATCGTCCGTATCATATTTTGACTTGTCGTAGAACTGTTTGTTTGTGATTTGTTTGTTGGATATTTCAATATTTTGCAAGACAATGGGATATTCATTGAGCCAGTATTTGATTCGACTTAAGGGTGTTCCTGGAACAAGGATTAATTTTGCTCCTAGATGAGCAAACGATAAGAATCAACATTTGAATCGTAAGTTTCAATTACCTTTAATTTTATATTCTCTAAATCCAACAAACTTCATTTCTTTATCCTTTTTCTCGTCGGAAATTGTTCGAGATGGTAAATGAATGGTAAGACGATAACTATCCAAATAAATAACTGCTGGATATCGAGTAAATGCCTGATCTTTATCTACATCATAGTGTCCAAAGACAACTTCACAGCATGTCTAGAAAAGTGAAGCATATGATCGTTTTCGAGATATTCTTGAACGAATATCCTACGTGTAAACTTGTTAGTTTATTTTCTTTGATTGCTTCATCTTGAAGTGCATTTTCTAATTCAGGAAAATCGATCCATTCGTGTGGAATCGACTCGCCACCTTTAGTACGAAGATACATTTGTATAATAATGTAAGCAAGCGCAGAAGCGGTGAGAAAGCCGAGAAAATAACCGCTGAAAAAAGGTGATAGTGGTTTCCATAGCATAATTATGACTGATATAGCACCAACAATACCCTAAAGGATTCCAAGTAGACTAGACTCTAATTCTACGTTTGCTTTTGTACTTACCGACACCGGATAAATGATTGTTTGTTTGAAATCATCTTTCGATTCGATTGTATGATAATGAAATCTGGGTCCAGCTAACAGCATCGTTGATTTTCGTTTGGGTTTTTCACTGTTCGTTGATTTCGGTTCGACTGGATCATTTCTGTGAAGAATAGAATCCTCCGAACCGCTTTCACTCGGTGCCTGACTATGTCGTCGATTCAATTCGAAACGTACATTGTTCAGAATCATATCTTTCGCGTGTTCACTGTTTTCACTGGAGAAAATATCTTGAAACGAATGACTTTGCGACATTCCTCCGATAGATGAACTTAAGCTCTCGTTGAGACTCTTCTTGCTAACATTCGTTAACAATTGACTCTTTGGAGATGAACGTTCACAACTTGAAACATCCTCACCTATTCAAACATATGCATCAATCAAAACAATACTCCATTTCTCTTACTGGATGGTAAGCGTTGTCGTACTTCAATAGGTGCCGATGGCTTTCTTTCGATCACTAATGCATCATCAGCTAGATTGGCACGTGTAAAATGTACTTGATTGTTATTCGTATTGTTGTGTGATTGTTTTCGACGTTCAATATTCTCAGCAATATCTTCCTTAAAATTGTTTATTCGTTGTCCAAGTTTTTCCAAAAATATGCTCGGACTTTTCTTCGGTTGATCCGGATTGGTTGTACTCATTTCCGATGAGCTCAAAAGACAATCTAATGTAGATAAAGAAAACTTTTCAGACAATCGACGATATGTTCTTGTCAAGAATAATGGAATTTAAAGAACGTTTACAAAATGACGAAAGTGAAAAAGAATGAATGAAAAAATATGTAGATAATGATTGGTCGTAAAAGAAAAATACTCCATGTATATGTATAAAACGAACAAAAATAGTATGATCATCAGCAGATGTTTATACGGATGAATCATTTTCATAGATGTAAATGAGTACGCCATTGAAATGAAAGGAAATTATTACACTCGTCTTTAAGGATATTTATGAGTGACATACGACTAGAACAGAAAATTCATTTTACTTTGCGGAATAAACGATGAAGTTGTTTGACAATTGTCATTTACGCTCGAAAATATTTTTGAGGTTATAATACTTATATATATCAGCAATTATGAAAGCTTTTTCTGTCGTCAGAAAATGACTAATTTTTCACTATCAACTGATAAAAAGCGCGTAGATAAAAGAGAGATGTAAGAAGAAAAATGAGTTGGCAGAAAAAAACACATTAGGCTTTGTTTATTCTGGAGTTGAGCTAAGCTGTAGTGTGTAAGACTAAACTAGTTTTATAGATGGCGCTAGTTTTCGTTTTCTGCTGGAAAGGACAATTTCCTGAACATATCAACGTCCGCATCAGTGAAAGAATCAATCTTAGTCCTATACATTGATTTCATAACAAGACACTTTGATTTACTAGACGAAGATGTAGACCGTCCTGTCAGTTAATGATAATGATAGCAGATTGCTTGTATTCGCGTAGTGTATGACGTGCTTTCTTTCATGTGTGATTAAGTCAACAGCAAGATCGAGAAAGAGACGATTGTAAGTTTTCAGTTCAACAGTCAACACTGTATTTAAAGAACAAAAACAAGCTTCATTTTTGTTTTCATTCGCGAGTCTTCTCAATCAATCTCCCCTTTTTTGCCGCCGTTTGCCTGTCATATGACTATCTGCCTGTCTCAAATTCAAAGTTGATATGTTTATGCAAAATACATATTATCGAGAGGATTTGATTTCATAACTAATGGTTTCATTTTCTCTCTCTCTCTCAGGTAGAGAACTGCATTCGATTTTCCGTTTATAATGAGTAAATATTGACCATAAAGAACAACAACATTGAGAAAAATTAACGGAGACATTTATGCATACTTGTCAAACGAACTGGATAAAAAAAATGGACATCTCGATTTGGTTTCTTCTTCAAGGTATTAAATAAAACACGTATGTCAAAAGGGGAGACGAGAGAAAGTGAATGTTTGTTATTGCGATCAGCATACGCAAGTGAGATTTAAGAGAAGCATCATATATATGTATATAAAGACCGTGCGGTATATATGAGTGAAGTCATAAGAGATTTGCGGAATTCACTGCTGTTTCGTTTCTTCTAATAACAACATTAACAAACAATGTAGGTGAATAAACTTGGAGAACTTAATGATTCTCTCTATTTCTATTTATTAGAAGAGAATAAAATGGATATTGAATATACAGTAATCGAGAGTGTTCACCGCAATCGTGCTGGTCAAGTGGTTAAAATCGATTATTCATTTGACGAGACGTTCGTGATCGAATCATCTGATTCATCAACGTCTTCAACAGGTATTACAAGACAAAATCGAGAAAAACGTAATCGTTCGTATGATGTCGAAATAACGCGTGAACAGTATCAAACGATTGCCAGAAAGCAGTCGAATGCATTAGAATTCGATGCGTTCGTTGACGTTTTGCGTCCATTTATAATGGGCTTCTATGAAAACGGTGAACTGGAAACCGCTTTTCGAAGATTAGATTCCGATCGTTCGGGTACAATACATTTAGACGAACTAAACAATTTCTTGCCAATCTTGAACGATTCAGTAAATAATCAGGCCTTACAAGACTATGTAAGAAAAGTCGATGAAAATTTCGATGGAACAATGAATTACGATGAATTTCGTACGCTTGTGTTACGCGGCATTGGTCGAGATATTATTTGTAACCATATATAGACGAGTTAGATAACAAAAAAAAAGAATAACGATAACTTACTAATTTTCTTTACATGTAAAATTAGTTTGTGTATTCTTTTCTTTTCCTTCTTTATGATATACACATTCTTTTAACTTACTTATATTTAATCTTAGATTTATTTTTACGTATGAATATCCGCGGAAGTTTTATTCATAATAAATGGAAGACATTTCTTTGACTTTTGTTCATTAGTCACAGACGGAATAAGATTGGTCAAAATTTGACCAATGGCAAATAATTTATCACTCATAAAGTCTTCGAAAATACGAAAGAAAAACTCGGCAGATACATAATTTGATAATTTTCGAAGATATTCCCAATCATCTACATGTCGCGATGAAAATAAACAACAAATAATAAACAATTTGACCAGAATACAAACAGACAATGTGGTCGCGGTGATATGTCTAATTTTCATCCATCAAAAAAACTTGCAAGACAATAAATGACAACAATGTAACTATCGTATCGAAGGTATGTAGAACAAAATCATCCCGTCAACTTTTTTTACTCGTCTTATCTTTCCTATTTGGTCTAGATATTCCGAGAAATGAAAAATCGAATGAGATATGCTTGTTTTTAAAAAAAAACCCATCTGTATCTTCATTCTAGATTCCTCCGTTATCATTGGATACTATCTCCACTCCTGGCCTTTACACATCCGTCTGATCTCCCTTTCCTAATTCCTTGGGATCCGAGACTTCCACTTCACTCGCACATGTAACTTGGTTTAATGAGGAGACATACTTGTTGCCCTCTGTTCATCACCACCACTACCACCACCACCACCTTCCGAGATAAATAGGCTGATTACACATATCTGTTTTTATTTTCTAGTTATAATTGTTACTGATTTGTATTTTGCTCAAATGTTTTCGATTGTATTTTGTATTGAAAAGAAGAAAGCCCTTCTTATTGATCTATGTGATATGAATAATCATTGTTCTTAGACAATCTTGCAGATCCTTTGGGGCAATTGCCTACAATGGAACCGAATCTCAATTCAAACAACAAACGTGCAGCACCTGATGGAAACGATGATGCGGATAATAATAACAACAACAATAACAATAATAAGAGATCACGAACGAACCGAGTCGACCTAAGATTTCTGTTAGCGTCACGTAAGTTGATTGTCTTTTTTTGCGACAAAATAAATCTAATCGGAGAAATATTTAGGAGATGCTGGTGCAATAATTGGCAGACAGGGGAAGAACATTCAGATGTTACGATCCAAGTATAAAACCATCGTTCAAGTGCCAGTAAGATCTAGACAATTGATTCGACCTATTTTAATGTGTTGATGTATTAGGATCAAGATGGACCTGAGCGCATATTGACTATTGCTGGTGAACTTGAGCCATGTCTGGATTGCCTTACGGATGCATTAGCTACTATGGCTGAGAATCAGAAATTACGTCAGGACATAAGTGAATTGCGTGTTCTTGTTCATACCTCACAAGCAGGTAAAGTGATTTTGATCGTTTGGTTCACGTTTATTTAGACAACGTTTATGTTTAGGCGCCGTTATTGGAAAAGGTGGTGAACGCGTAAAAGAATTAAGGTATACAAATAGATGTACATAACTATTTTCCTATCATCAAGTGTTTAGAACTCGACATGGCCTCGAATTGAAAGTCTTTAGTGATACTTGGTAAGTCAATTTCATTTGCTGCTTTTTCACTATTCTTTTTGGTTTATCAATTTAGTCCCGATTCCACTGATCGAGTCATTCTATGTCGTGGTGAACAGCGAGCTATACTCAACTGTCTTCGAGATATTTTCACACAAATTGATAAAATTCCGCCTCGTGGCCCAATTCATCCATGTAAGCAACAACAGATCATCTATTTTCCATTGTACTATGTAAATAAATATTTAGATGATCCTTCCTGTTACTCCGAACAACAGATTCACGGTTACGGTAAGATTCGTAGTTTGCTATTCGGCTTAGCTATGTCGGATATTTTTCAGGCGGCTTTGCGCACGATGAAACTAGTATGTACGGTGATCGACGCGGTCGCGGCGGTGGAAGCAATGGAAATGGAGGTAGCGATGGAGGTGGATTTCGTGGCTACGATCAATGGGAAATGAATAATATGCGAGGTGGTGGTATGTACAATGATGACTATGGTCGTCCGCCTAACCATAGTTTCTATCCTCCTTCTGCACCTGCACCACCGCCACCACCACCACCACCGCTGCCACATCATCAGATGATGATGGGCGGCGGTGGTAATAGCGGCCATGGTCCGATCCGTCCAATGATGAGTTCCTACGATCAATCACCCGACACTGAAACGCAACAAGTAACGAGATGAGCATTAATTCTCTTTTTTGATTGTTAAATTCACTCCTTCAGGTTACAATTCCACATGAACTTGCTGGCGCTATTATTGGCCCACGCGGTACACGTATCTCCCAAATCCGTCAACAATCAGGTGCATCAATTAAAATCGATGATCCACTACCGGGTACAAACGATCGAATCATTACTATTGTTGGTGCTCGTAATCAGATTTCTCAAGCTCAACACCTATTACAAACAGCTGTTCGACAATCAGGTCTTTATCCAGGATGATTCGAGTATTTACATGTGCGAATAATAGAAACAGAAGGAAACGTATAATGAACATGTGTATTGTCTTTCGAAATAAACGCACAACTAACCAAAAAGTTATTTGTCCGAGTAGTTATGGTTTCATTTTATTTGTTTCTGTATAGTGACGCACTATTGACGTGTAGTTGATTTTGTTATTGTTTATTGTCCGAGAGCAAAAATCTGATTCGCGTTTTTTTTTCTGTCAATGATTATCAACAAATAGATTTGTTCTTATTTGAGAAAAATACTCTCTTATTTTAGTATGTTGTATACCTATTTGATTGTTACGATAGTTTCTACGACTCTAGCACTTCGTTTGCCAGCACCGTATGATATTCGTATTGATTACTATAAAGTTGATACGACTGAAGATTTAGTTATTCACACGCCTCGTCCAAAGTTTTCATGGAAGTTACCTGTCTCATCTCGAAGAGGTATTCAACAAATAGCTTATCAAATACAAATGAAATGGCACGGAAGCCAGTGGGACAGTGGCCAAGTTTTCTTCAATCAATCATTTCGTGTGTTAGCGTGGAATGGAAAGGATCTGCAATCGTTAACACACTATCAAATACGTCTTCGTTTGTGGACAACAGAATCTAATCGATCGACCTTCTGGACAGACTGGATATGTTTTCGAACATCGATATTTAACCTCCATGAGTATATAACAAACAAGAACGATGATGTCCAATGGATTGGTTCCACAGAGATTTACATGAACGTGCTACGAAAAGAGTTCAATGTCACGAGTGAAAGCCCAATTCGAACGGCCATAGTTTTGATGTCTGGACTTGGATATTCTGAATTGTATGTCAATGGAGATAAAATAGATCCCAGTCGAAAATTAGATCCGGGTTGGACGACATACGAAAAGCGTTCTCTCTTTGTATCATTTGATTTAACATCGAAAGTCAAGGTTCGAAGCTTAGAAAGTTCTTCTTATATGAACTTGTATACAAATATGTACCGACTTTTAGATTGGCAAGAATGCAGTTGGTGTTAAACTTGGCAATGGTTGGTATAGTGAAGAACAATATCTACTATCAACACACAATAAAACAGTTTATGGTTAAGTAGACTGAATTTACTCATTCATTTCTAAGAACTGTTATAAGATGTCGAAAAACTGCTGCTAATTCGTCTTTCTGTCTTTTGAACAGGTCCTCCACGGTTGTTCTTCATTTTGCATATCGTTTTTGAAAACACTCAAGAAATGCACATCTTTAGTGATCAGACATGGCGTGGACGACAAGGATCGATTTTGCATGACAGTATTTATAATGGTGAGATGATCGATGCCCGGTATGATCGTCCCGATTGGTCTACAGTCGATTTTCACGATCGACTGTCTCTCTGGCTTACACCTGAGATAATGCCGTCGCCAATCAATACGACATCGAAAGGACAATATACGTTTCAAGATATGCCACCAATACGTGTCGGAGATGACGCTTTACATTTTGAAATCGATACATCATCAATAAGTATGGATGGAATACAAGGTGCATCACTCTACAACGGTGGGGTTTTGAGGCCAATTAGTGTATCGACACCGGTGTCGGGCGTTCATATATTTGATCTAGGGCAAAATATGGTTGGCTGGTGCCGTATTCGATTTCATGGTTCACGTGGTATTAGTGTTCAAGTTCGTCACGCCGAAATCTTAACCCAACCGGTAATTTCGACCGGGTAGGTCATAATTGAGAAGTAACTAGAATGTGACAAAATATTTTTGAATTTAGAAAATCATCTGAGCAGCTCTATGTAGAAAATCTTCGCAGTGCAACACAAACTGACACGTACATACTGCGAGGTGATCCCAATGGTGAATTGTATGAGCCACGGTAAGTACTTGTAAACTTGTTCTATTGGTAAATTGCAAATAGATACGATCTAGATTTACTGTGCATGGTTTTCGTTATGTATCAGTTTTTGGTTCACCAAATCCATTAGCAATCAATGATATTGAATGTTTTGTTGTTCATAGCGAGACAACCCTCATAGGATATTTCTCGTCTAGCAATACAGTTATCAACCAAATTCAACATAATATTCAATGGGGTCAGTTGAATAACTTAATGTCAATACCTACTGATTGGTAAAGATGGACGAAGAGAGAATTCTTATTCTACATCTCTTTGCCTTCTATCTAGTCCACAGCGTGATGAACGGAAAGGATGGTTAGGTGATGCAGCGCTATCAATCGATGAAGCATTGTACAATTTTGATTTGATGAGATTCTATGTTAATTTTCTGAATTTAATTGTTGACATTCAACATACCGATGGTTCAATTCCAGACACGGTTCCATTTACATCTGGAAGTTATCCATCTGATCCCAATTGGGGTACTGCTCTACCGACAATCGTATGGCAATTGTATCGTCATTATCATGATCGTGATGTACTTCAAAATTACTATAAAAGCATTCGCGCATATATCGAATCCGTTCGTGCGGGTTATAATGAAACAGGTTTGATTAAACTGGATTATCATTACGGAGATTGGGTTCCACCACCACCACAGTCAATGACTGATGTACATTTGATTTCTTCGTATGCTTTTCTGCATGATATCTTTGTTCTGATTAACATTTCTCAAATTCTTGGTATGAACGAAGATGCGAAGATCTATTCCGATCTGTATCAGCAGTTAGCAGAAGAATTCCATCGTGTATTTTACACATCAACAGCGGGTTATTATGCGGATGGTATGCAGGCAGCACAGATTCTTGCATTAGCTTTACCAAATGTCGTACCGATTGATATAAGAGAACATGTTGTTCAATATCTTGTTAAAAATATTCATGATCAAGGAAAACATCTCACGACTGGAATTATTTCAACTGCTCAATTATTTCGTGTTCTATCCGACAATGGGTATCACGACTTAAGCTTAGAATTGATTTCGTCGATATCCTATCCATCTTATGGATATATGTTCAATAATCCGTACGAAAATGCAACGACTCTATGGGAACTCTGGGATGCACCATTCGAAGGAGCAGGAATGAACTCACGAAATCATATCATGTTCGGCAGCGTTGGCAGCTGGTTCTATTCACATTTAGTTGGAATCGATTATCAATCAGATTTGATTATCATCCGACCACGCATGGTATCTGAAAGAAAGAAATACCTTCTAGATCGAGTTGCTTGTCAATTGAGTACATTGTATGGACTGATCCATATTTCATATACACGGAACGAGAATGACACATTTGCTAATTCCATTTTACTTCGAATTACCATTCCATCGAATACGAGATCAAAACTAATATTTGAACCGCTATTTCCCCATGCTCGATGTGTCATGTTGACCGAAGGCGACCGAGTTATTTGGCACGATGCACTGGATGCAGTAGTGGATAAAGACGAAACTGTGTTCTATGATTCTAATAAGCAACTGCTGACTGTGCAAACCAATTCAGGACATTATGAATATCAAGCATTCTGGATTTAAAGATCAAAACTGTCTGTGATACAATAATCTTTTTTTTCTCATAATTTAACGACAAAAATCTCATTTTAATCATACCATTATTTACTGAATATGTTTTATTAGTATGGTACCCAATTAAAATCAAAGAATATTAGTGCGCAAAGAGAAAGTCGTAAAAAATAAATTGACTGCACATCAGCCATAATAATATAAAGCTAACGGGTAAAGAGAATGATGTACAGAACAGAATTACCCATACACAGCTCCTGCAGTATAAATTTGATATTGAAATGCAACGCCATTGGTGACATTAGTATAAGTAGCAGCAGGTAGACTAGTGAAACTCGAAGTAACAAAAGATGCACTATTCTGATTCTGAACAGCGGCTAAACTACCACCGCCTGTACTTTGTCCCACCCCGATATATTGACCAGTATTTACAGGAAGTTGGTTACGAGGAAGACTAACTGTTTGAACGCCTGTCGTCGATGAAAGCGATGTCGAAGGTATTTGATAGAAACCACTTGGAGTAAATGTTAACGTTGTAGCTGTTCGATTCATTACATAAATATAAATCAAACCTCCCGTTGCGTTTGGTGCTACAGAGAACGTCATAGACACCTGACTGACGTAACCTGTAATAACTGTTCCGTCCACTCCCGTAACTGGATTGTTAAGATTGATATACACGGAACCATTTGTTACTTGATCAGTGCCACTATTAAACGTGCTTCCGTAATTTACTACAAAGAGGAAACTGCTTATTTGGAATGTGAGAAAGCATTTCTAATTTACCGAATTGTGAGTATACATTTCGCCGAGTGAACAATATCGTTCCAGGACCAGATGCAGTGATATTAAAAGATCCCGTTGATGTTTGGTTCGCCGATGTCACCAGCAAAATATACTCAGTGAAACTCGTGATGGCACTTGTCAAATTGAATTGAAGCGATGATCCGGATGAACTATCGGATTTTGTAATCAAGTTTGTTTGTGGATTCGTAGGAATAAATGTTCCATTGTAAAGATATCCGTACAATTGCAAATTACTACCACTAGTGCCTGTAAAAGTATAGGTACCAGTCGTATTGGTATACACCTGAATAGCTTCAAAGGTATAGTTAGTTGTTGATTGATTCACACCGCCATACACTGCACTACTATTCGTTAAAGATCCTTGATATGTCGATAGAATTGTTGATGTTGTTGCTAAAGAATGAAACAAAAATAGTCGTGTTAATTGTTGCATTTCTTATTTACTTGAGGTACTAGCTGTTGTCACTGATGTCGAAATGGTGGTTGATGTGACTAGAGTAAGATTTTGACTATCACTGTGAAGCCCGATGCCTAATCCTAGGCCAAGCGCTGTGCCGGCAATAACAAGGGCAAAAATAGTGCCCACAACTGCTACTAACCCAGTCGATTGGAAAGGATTGAATGAACCACTAGCGTTTTTCATCATTTTGTACACGGCGGAACACGAAAACACGGAATTTATCTAAAATATTTTGTTTATTCTGAAAATCACATCTTTAGAGAAGCCTATGTGATTGATTCATCACCGAATAATCGATTCATAACTGAAAATATAGTAAAAACGAATATGTTGATAGTTGCTTTGCTCATTAGAGACATTCTCCAGTATCAAAACACACGAAAGCAATGATATATTGACACTTAGTTAACATTAACACACTGACACATTCTTATTTTCTTTCCGATGATAAATATGTCAAACGACATATTTTTCGTCACGGCCATTTTAGGATACTGTTTTCGCACGAACTGCTTGCTTTCAACGAGAAGAAAAACAGGTAGGTAATTAATTAACGATGCTGATGGACTTTCATTCATGATCAAAAACATTGACGCGTGAAATATAGCCACATGCCTCACAAAGTAAATGTTTGTGCCAATACCTTTACCCGTACAAACAGCCTTGACGCCAAGCGATAACATTCAATCCGACATTAGTCTTACCTCAAAGTGTTTTCAAATCTAATCAGAAAATAATATCTACATGTAGTAATAGTACCGCCATTCATTAGCCGATCAGCAATGACAAAATGTACATAACAACTTGTATTCTATCTTCATGGCCGAATAATACGAGTGATCCTCACCTTCATCTCAATACGATAGATCGTACGACGTGTCTCAAACTTCTTCATTCATCTTTATTATAACAAACAACATTGAATCTAAGATTGTACAACAACTGTAATATTATTCTGCTTTTTACAAAGAAATATTTTCAAAAACATCCAGCCAGTGAATAAATATAAAGGTACTAGACAATGAACGAAAACGTTCAATGACAAGATTTGTTTATGTTGAAATGTTTTGTATAGTAAATAGTTAAACATCATCAGACAAACAATAACCGGGATGTGAATAAATAACTTGTGCGTGATCATATGACATGTATATGCTGCCGTTAAACCCGTTCGTTGTTTTAATTCAAACCAAATGCGTAGTAAGACAATGAGAACGAAATATAGATGTATTGCATTCGTTATAAACAATGGTAGAAATAGATGGAAATATGAGATTGAAGCAATTTGTAAATCGTAACGTAGGACTAGTAAAATTGAGAAGATCAACCATCCGGATAGAATGAATAATAATTCAATCGGACGAATACTAAACCAAGAATGAAGTTCAGTAAACGAAAGCATGTTTTATGAAGGAAAAGAGGAACAGAAATGTCTCATTTTTTTATTCGTCGCTCAATCGATGAATCATCGTTAACAGCGGGTAAATTATGGAAGAAGATTGTCAAGTCAAGAAAAGAAAATAAACGTTCGTTCTTACTGACAAATGGATACGGCGGGTGTTGTTCGACGAGTTGTTAATAAACCGCGAGATATTATTACGCGAAATCCAGCAATTAATCCTGATGTATAATTTTAATTTTGTTCAATCGTAAGACGTTATTCTTCACCTTTGTTTTTCATTAGACATTGTTGGATGTACCAGAATTCAATTTTACGTACAACGATGCTGATACAATATATGCCGAGATATCTGGTAGAGATTTTTTGTGTTGAATAGAAAGTTTTCTATTTTGATTCATCGTAGAATTATATACTTATTCGGAAGAGCCTGAATTTGTTTGGAATGCTGAAGCATTTAATGTTCTATTTCAAGCAAAATGTAAGTCTTCATGAGAAAAATACATCGATTCCATTGGTTTACTGTAGACGGTGGAACTAAAAAGTGGAAAGAATATTCACGAGATGAAAAAATCGATTTTATCATTTATTTATTGGAACAATGTGAACTCGTTGACCGAAATCGACGATTACAAGCAATGAGAGCCATTCTATATCTTATACAAGGTAAACTACCGTACTATACACATAAATTCACATGGCATTCGATTATTCAGGTGTGTTTTATCAATGCTCGGACGTCGATGAATATATGGTCAACGCGAAAGAAAACGTTCTCTTATTTTATATGTGTGATGGTGTGCATATATTCACTGATTTATTCAACATGGAATTGAATTTGTAAATTAATGGGAAACCTTCATCTGCAGCTGTATATTTTGTTTTTTTGCTAGTCTTTGCAATGAAAATAATCAGCGAACAACGAGCAAGAATCTAAGTGACAATCAGGATATGAGGTAAAGATGATCGATAGAGAGATTTTCTCTTAATGTCCTTTGTTTAATTAGAGTGATCATCAGTATATTATATACCGTTATTGAATTTGCTCGACAAATCACTGACGACACAGATGAACAATGGACAAACTTTCAAAAGCGACTCTACCAAGAACTATGTACGTGTTAAATATGTATTGTGTTCTCGCCATGAATTTTCATTTTGTATTGACTAGCTCATCCGAACGACAATGATGAATTATTTGCCAGTACATTATATCATGCTATTTGTGTCTTCTGTAATGCTCCATCGCCACCATTACCTATAAGGAAACTTCTTTTACTTCTTTGGAAAGTTCTTCTAGTTCGTATTCGATAACTGTTCTGACCGCGCAGTTATCTCGTATTGAATTTGTGTTTTGTTTAATAGTATACTCTTGGCACTCTGGATGATGCGTTCGAAAAGAAAAACAAAGCTCGACGAGAGCATGGTCTAGAGCCCATAAATGAAAATCCAGCAATAGTTATTGCCAAAATGCCTCCAGTTCTACCTCCATTAGCAGGTGCTGAATGTTTAGAAATGCAAGGTCCCACCGAAGGTGGAAGCAGTGCTCGACGAGCTAAACGACAAGTGGGAATCTATCTAAACAACACTTCTCCTAGTTAGTAGCTTATTTCTTGTACTTGTAGAGCTTTACAAAACAGTCAGCGTTAGATACCGAAGCAGCGAATGAGGAAGGATCAAATAACGGAAATACTAGTGCAACTAGTTCGTCAACGGATGACGACACATCCACGCTGATTTCGTCATCATCGGGATCGTTACTCACTCCGTCCGAATCAACAACATCGTTGGCTAGTGAGGCATCTAGTATCGATCCGGCGACAACTTTAATGATGAAAGAATTACCTTGGGTACCGAAAGTTAGGTAAGAAGAAAACAGAATGCAGTTCGCAGACAAAAGATACATGATGTTTTCTTTGTTTGAATAGACAAAAAGATTTAGAAGCATTTCTTGAACATACACGAAAGAAGTTCGTGGGCTTTTGTATGAAAGATGATCTAACAACATTGATCGGTTTACCTAAACCTATACATGAAAGTATCAAAATCCTCAAACAAGTATGACGGTCGACGATGTCAATCTTTGCATGTTATCTAACGTTTACTTGTAGCATTTGTATGTACCATTGTCTGAAGTGCAGATCAAAATTGAAGACGAAATTGCCAAATATCCACTTTCCAAGGTAAACACAAACCGCTGAGTTTTTACATTTCATAAATATATCGCAGCATAGACAGAATATATTTGTTTTTCTTTTGTAGAAAGAAACTAATATACCAGATACTGCTGCTGAACGATTATATCGAGCTACTCTTACTCAGATTCCCCAATTTCTTGTGAGTAAACATCTCAACTCTTCACTTTGTCTCGATATTCTTCTCCATAGATCGCGCTATTAAAGCTTCTTCTAACATCGACACCAACGGCTAAGCCTAAAACAGAATCGATTAATATCCTTTGCGATGTTATACCGGAAGAGATGCCATGTTCGATGGTACAAACGATGAAACTTGGTTTTGACATAAATCGACATAAAGTATGAAGAGATTCATTTGATATTATATTGAACCAACAATCCTTTTCTTTACAGGAAATGATTGTCAAGGCTGTTTCAGCGATTTTATTGCTACTTTTAAAACATTTAAAAGTCAATCATATCTATCAGGTAATAAATTGTTTCGATTCTATTTTGTCATAAAACTTTCTTTGATATTATCTTTAGTTCGAATACATCTGTCAAAATCTTGTCTTTTCAAATTGTATCACAGTCATCTTGAAATTTTTCAATCATAACATTCTTTCACACATTCAAGCAAAAAATACGTGAGACTTCTATCTAAAAGTTTTCGAATACATTGTGTTTGTTTTTCTTCGTAGAATACCACCTCTGGACTTTCCAACATGTGTTATTGGCCCTCAGCCAGAACTAACAGCGGATCTATTTGATACACCAGAGACAGATAATTACTGTTGGCGAAATATGTTCTCATCGATTAATCTGCTTCGAATTTTGAATAAATTAACCAAAGGCAAACATGCGAGAACAATGGTAAATACAATGGAACTTTTATTTAAGTCTGACTTCTTGCATACAATTCATATCCTTTGTATTTTTCTAGGTTCTTGTTGCTGTCAAATCTGCTCCAATTCTTCGTAAGACACTACGTGTTAAGCAAGCGATGATGCAATTGTATGCACTGAAATTATTGAAACTACAAACACGTTATCTTGGTCGACAATGGAGAAAATCGAATATGATGGCGATTTCTGCTATCTATCAACGTGTTCGACATCGTCTCAACGACGACTGGGCATATGGAAATGAGCAAGAAACTCAAACGTGGGATTTTCAAACAGAAGAACGAGCTTTGCGAAATAAAATCGATATCTTCAATCAACGACGTTATCATCGATTATCTTCGCCCAATCCAAATAATAACAATACAAATAATCCAGCCAATGCGAGTACACAAAACGCATCAGCAAATGAATTCGATTTCGATAGTTTCACTCCTGTTAATAATGATTTATTAACGGCACTTTCATCCAATCAGGCATTAGGTGATCAAGATCTTCCCGAAGCGTTCAAACGACATTATGAAGAATGGCTCAATGACGAAGTATTCAATGTTGAACAACAAACTGATTGGGATGCTCTACTCCAACCCAAATCAATTGTCATTTATTAGAACATAAAAACTTCTTTTTCTCCTTCAATATTTGCTTGTTTATTATTATATAAAATAAAAACAAAAGGAATAATCAAACAGTCTATCGAAATGTAAGAACCTGGATATCTGATGCTGTGATGATCATCGATGACCCTGGGGATAGGTGGGAATGTATGTGACAGCGAAATTGAGATTGATTGTTTAGTGTTTTTCGATGATGAGAATGCTGCGTACCTTATTGATTTGGGTTGGTTAATGAAAAAAAGAGTTCTGTCAAGTAGAGATGATAGTATAGCACCGGATTTGAACTGACGAAGCAATTATGCGAAGAATAGTCAAGATGTCCTTAGTTTCTTTTGAAAAATACCTAAAGATTTTTGTGACAATCATAAATTACTCGTTAATCGAGCATACAAATGTTTTTTAAGAGAAAAATCATGAAATATGTGTGTTCGAGTAGATATGATCAAAGCGATAACTAATATTGAATAAAGCGATACGCATTGATTAACATAACTATGTAAGGTAGTCCATATTTCATCAATCACCCTATTTATCTCCATTCATCTGTATACGCCATTTCGCAGCTCCTATAATGCATCGTGTTGATGCTTCGTTGTTTGGGCTTGCAATCAAAATGACATATATCAAGATGATTCACGATAAATCATTTCATATTCGCGAAGACACCAGTCCGATATTTTTTTGTTCTTGGAGACATCAACTATTTAATCGATTCAGTAATTACATGATTTTATTTACGTCATGCTTGATGTAATATAGATCAACTTGTTTATGACGTCTTGTGACTTTCATACAAACTACTAGTTATCATTAAGCAAAACCTAACATGTATAGAAGACAAGTGTGAGGAACACATTTTGAGAAAGAGCAGTCCTTATTGTTTTGTGTGCAACTGTTAGGTGTGAAGTATTCGGAGAAGATAAATGTATATTTGAATATATTTAACTGGTTGCGTTTTATGACATCTAGACTACTTTTTTTTTATCAAAGATTGTTGAACTCATCAATAATAAAACTTCAGATTTTCATTCGTGTTATGGCAAGTCCCACTGGATCGGAGACTCCCTTCTTGGCAGCAGTTCCTGGCTTAATACCAACCCAAGTATTGCCGGAAGAGCCTAATCTCATACAAGCTCAGTTTATAACGAACGATCCAGGAGTAATGCAAACTCATATTTTGGTGCATGATTCTGCTTTGATGCACACTCAAGTTTTAATGCAAGATCCTGTATTCAAGCATACGCAGATTTTATTGCGCGATCCCAACTTCATTGAAACTCAAAACCTTATGGAAGCGGAGGAATTCGTGGGCTCAGAAAGTGAAGAGCCAGCATTGTAAGTGATGTTTTCTACACAAAACTTTTCGAGTCAGATATATTGATCCTGATGTCTTCTAATGCCTACCCTTCAAAAGGTCATTGAATGATGGTACAAACAAGCTTTATTTTGGTATAAACACATGCTGCGAGCATTCACCTGTACATTCACTGCTGACAAGAAAATAAAAATGAGTGATTACATCGATATTTCTTATCATAACAATCTCCTCTTTATACACTTCTAAATCAATCTCCCTAGTATTTCAACTAGTTAAGAAATCCAGAAAGTATCTTCAAGACTATATTCTCCATCCTATTTTTTCCCCAAAACATCTTATAGGCATTTCGTTCACACACGATTCGAACTTTTATTTTTTATAGAACCGCCGCACAACCCAGCTGCTTAATTGCTGCTTTGATCTCTTTAGTCGTATTCAGCGTTTGCCTGGCATTGATTCCCTCACTCACATCGTTGTACCTGCCCGATAAAAGCGTCCCCGTCGTACGATCAAATCTCTCTGCTTGTATGTTTCTCATTCCCTTTCACTTCACAACCCTCGTGCTTCTTTCTCTCATCTTCACAGACTCGAATCCATGGTCACTCCGATATCTCACGAACTTCACTGTTCCTGCAGGCTATGCAACAAGACGAAAACGGGCCAACTCGCCCTACGACAAATCTTCGTTGGGTAGAGCAGTAAGTCAATAAGAAACTAGCATTCACACAGCTCATAAACTCATCCTTAACATTTGTATTCAACTAGTTCTCACAAGCCATGTCATTCCCAGCCAACACCATCGTAGTTGTTGTGTGCAGCTTGAATATAGGTAGTGGAAGACGACGTCGCCAACAGTAAGCAGACACTCGTCGTTAGCATCACAACAATCACTGTGATATGGTGGATGATTTTCTATTTATAGGGATACACAAACGACATCGGCCAACGTATATATGGATGTTATTGTCGACGTGGTGCCTCCTGCACGATGTCAGTATTCAGTTCACTGTCAAAGCAACTTTCGAGACGAGATTGTGAACAAGTTCCAAGAGACTCAAACGTTCAGTCTGTCAGCGAATTTGACAACCGGGGAGGCGCTACCTGTTGCTTTGAAATTGATCTATCTTATCGAACAAGGTGGTAAGTATTCATATCGCTGCTAGCTGTCACAAGTAACACAGATAATCACTTTCATTTGCTTGCATCTCATTACAATTGTTGAAAAAAGTGACCATGTAGTGTAGCAAGATATCCAGATGCAGCAAACCATTCGAGTTTTATAGAAAAGACAACAATTCGTGCACCTATAGACGGTGTGACATATACTTGTTGAAAGTATATAGAGCGCATTCAGCAATATTCGAAGCATAGTAGTATTCTGGGCTTGAAAAAGAAGGCTCAGGTGTATACTGAATTGATAGAAAAACAACGAAACAATAGAACTCCCTACCAGAAATTCATGTTTTTCAGTGACCACTCCAGCTCCAAATGAAACCCCAGCCGCTACTACATCACCAACGACACTGACAACAACAACGGATACTACTACTGCATATGCTGCCAATGGGACAACTACACTTCCACTGGGGGCCACTACAGGTGCTTCGAGTACTACCACACTCAGCGCAACCACAGTTTCTACCGTTCCTGGTACCACAACAAGTACCACTACCACTGCAGCCACCACTCCCACAACAAGTACCACTACCACTGCAGCCACCACCTCCACAACAACAACTACTACTAGTACGTATACATATTTTTATCAACATCCACGATCTCATCCTTACGAATACTTCAATCCACTATCAGTGCTAATTCCTATTTTCCTATATACTTTACCTCTATGCTAGTTTCGCTAATTTCTAGCTACCACATGCTACTATGGTAAAGACAAAGTTCAACTCATCGATGGAACCCAACGCTCTATCGAACATCTACACATCGGCGATCGCATCTGGACACTCACTCCACCTGCACAAACACCCATCCAAGATGAGATCATCCTCATCATGCACAATGGCACAAATCTACCTGGTATATCATCATCATCTCTTCTTCTCTCTCACCATTACACTTCTCTCTCTAGCATTGTTTTATGTGTTCACCACGGTGAATGGTAACCAAGTGAGAATCACAGAACGACATTTCATTCCAGTCTACGATAACAAAGAGCAGCAAGTCAAGGTAATTCGTGCATCGTTTGTACAGCCAGAACACTACCTGTTGATGAACAACAAAACAGTTCCCATCCNGTTCACTGTCAAAGCAACTTTCGAGACGAGATTGTGAACAAGTTCCAAGAGACTCAAACGTTCAGTCTGTCAGCGAATTTGACAACCGGGGAGGCGCTACCTGTTGCTTTGAAATTGATCTATCTTATCGAACAAGGTGGTAAGTATTCATATAGCATAGCAAATCCCGGTTGTAAGCTGAATGAATTTTTTCTAGTGACAACTCCAAGCTCAACGGAGGCATCGACTACTACGACGGAATCTACAACGATTTATAGTACTACCGTACCCATTAGCACTACAACAGTTACTTTAGCGCCAGGTGCCACGACAGGTTCTACAGTAACCGGTGCGACTACCACAACAGCTAAAGCAACCACCAGTATGTAAAGAACGCTTTTATTATCTATCAGCTCCTCATCATTTCTCAATACACTTTACCGCTATGCTACTTTCGCTAATTTCTAGCAACCAAATGCTACTATGGTAAAGACAAAGTTCAACTCATCGATGGAACCCAACGCTCTATCGAACATCTACACATCGGCGATCGCATCTGGACACTCACTCCACCTGCACAAACACCTATCCAAGATGAGATCATCCTCATCATGCACAATGGCACAAATCTACCTGGTACATCATCATCATCTCTTCTTCTCTTTCACCATTACACTTCTCTCTCTAGCATTGTTTTATGTGTTCACCACGGTGAATGGTAACCAAGTGAGAATCACAGAACGACATTTCATTCCAGTCTACGATAACAAAGAGCAGCAAGTCAAGGTAATTCGTGCATCGTTTGTACAGCCAGAACACTACCTGTTGATGAACAACAAAACAGTTCCCATCCGTACCATATCAACACAAACAGGAGTCGGCTTCTATGCACCCCTGACACTATCTGGCTACTTGACAGTGAATGGCATTTCCACTGCAGTGTTCTCTGACTGGTTAGTCATGCACCTATCGTTTTGCTGTGCTGAGAATGTTTTCGTGTGTGTATGTTTAGGTATGAAACTTCATTCGAAACGATTCAACGAGTGTTTCTTCCAGTTCGTGTATATTATCAGCTGAGTCGATGGATGTTTGGAAGTGACTACAATCCGTATGGGTACAGTTCGGAAGAAGTGCATCCTGTTTCCCTGTTTTATCAGAAAGTGGTTGCAAAGTTTCGATTTGTGATCGAGATCCCTATATATGTATATGTGTCAATGTTGCTCATCGTGATAGTACAGTATTCTGAAAAACTTATGCATCCAAAACTGTGATGAAATACGTATTTCCAAAGTAAAACAGTTGACAGTGTTTTTACTAATCAGAATTTTTCTTGTTAACTTATCTTAACTAATACGTTTTTTCATAAATAAAGCTATCTAGAAGTGGCCGAGTGAGAATTTGAATTTACGAATATACGCTTCTCTCTCCGAAAAGGTAGTGGAGGAGCTGTTCGTAAACAGTACGCTTCATAGAATGATAAAGTTAGTATATATTATTTCTTATAAGAAAACAGATATGTATGAATGAATACAGACGAAGGGTCCTTTGTTTATTCGTTGAAAACACTTTTATTTTAAGATACAATCAATATTTGTATGCATATCTCATATTGGTCGAACATTTCTTCTAAGAGAAAGATTCCAGAAAATGATTTTCTGAGATCTGAATAGGACATCGCATCACACCTTCCATTAAGATTTTCTCCTCATAACGGAAACGGTAACAGTCTCTATTCAATTGAAATTTGCAAATAAAAAACTTGTGTTGGCTGTGTTTGCGAATAGTGTATAAAAATTTTCATGGGAGATATACTGAGTACTGACGACCAAGTAAGATTTTTCCAAAGTTATCTCATGCTTGGGATACTATCCGAACTACAGATACAAAATGAACGCTATATACGATGCAACCATTTGAATATTAACTATCACATACTTTTCGATGCAAAGTGACTGAGAAAAACAGAGAATTCCGTCCTCAACTTTTTCAAGCAGTTGATAATGGACAGTACAGAATAGAAGAACGATGTTTCATCTGCCAGAAATTTCGATAGAAGAAGGAATTGTCTTCTCCTCCCGTGATGATATTGATTTGCATTCCCCTCGTTTTTCTCCGTTACTTTTGTTAGTAATATCCAAAGTCGAATAATTTAATCATTGATACATGAACGTCGCCGCCTTCGATACATTATAATGTAGCACATTTGCATCACTTTTTAATTCTAATGCGATCTAATTACATATAATGTAAGTTTAAAAATAGGGCGAGGGCGAAAATTAATCAGAAGATGTGACTCGTACTTTAATTTATCAATAACATCCTTCATTATAACTAGTATAAATATCGTGAAAATGCATAATTCGACAATTATCATTATCAATCATATATATCTAAACACAAATTTCATTCGAAAACAACATAGATAATGAGAAAGCAATTAGCGTTGGACGACGTTGCACTGGACAAAACTCAGAAATAATATAACATCGTTTTGGAAGACACGCCGATAAATACAAAACTTGTTTTAGTGCTTTTTGCATCTATCATTTTTCACCATACCTTTTTCTATATAATATCATGTAAACTACATGGAAGCAAAATCTAGAACAATACTCGATATTTCCATTGATTTCTCCTCTGGCTGAATTGTTCGCATTTCATAGATTAGTATCTGTTTACCATACAAAAAACTTGCAATGCTGACTACGTTCTTAGAAACACAAGAATTCGAAGAACCAACATTGTAAGTGCTGATCCATGTCCATAATTCTCATTATCTCAATGGCCCCGGTCTCGAGGCTTCCAAGGATTGATTTCATTCAAAAATATAAATGAAATACTGGATCATAGGACGCTACATAACTTTGATTCTTCCTTTCTAGTCCTCCGAAACGATCAACCTATATCATCGCCGGTGTCATATGTTTACTACTCTTCAGTATTTCCCTAGTTTTGATTCCATCACTCACATCGTTGTACCTGCCCGATAAAAGCGTCCCTGTCGTACGATCAAATCTCTCTACTTGTATGTTTCTCATTCCCTTTCACTTCACAACTCTCGTGCTTCTTTCTCTCACCTTCACAGACTCGAATCCATGGTCACTTCGATATCTCACGAACTTCACTGTTCCTGCAGGCTATGCAACAAGACGAAAACGGGCCTACTCGCCCTACGACAAATCTTCGTTGGGTAGAGCAGTAAGTCAATAAGAAACTAGCATTCACACAGCTCATAAACTCATCCTTAACATTTGTATTCAACTAGTTCTCACAAGCCATGTCATTCTCAGCCAACACCATCGTAGTTGTTGTGTGCGACTTGAATATAGGTAGCGGAAGACGACGTCGCCAACAGTAAGCAGACACTCGTCGTTAGCATCACAANATCCGTATGGGTACAGTTCGGAAGAAGTGCATCCTGTTTCCCTGTTTTATCAGAAAGTGGTTGCAAAGTTTCGATTTGTGATCGAGATCCCTATATATGTATATGTGTCAATGTTGCTCATTCTGATAGTTCACTCTTCATCAAAACTTATGTTTTTTTTACTAATTTACTCTAAGTAAATAGGCTAATGTAAGAAAGCTCGTATGACAGGGTGACGCAGAAAAACGATTTTCAATAAACGAAAGAAATTGTTTACATGAATGACCGCACGCAATGAAACAATTAGGATAATTTATAAAATACTTTATACATGTGTATTAGATCAATAGGAAAACAGTTACTTTGATATGTGCATAACTTGTCAATTACTTTGCTTTTATAGAAAACATGACTTAACCTGAGTATCAACACTTTTTTGTGTCAAAACATAGAATGTACTCCCATTATCATTGCTCAGCAATCTGTTGATCCTATTCATATCGTGTCAACATTAGTAAAATATTTCTCACTGCTATAAATCGTTGTTTAAATAACGTGTTAGTTTTGATCTATTATGGTATACTTTCATTGTTGATATTTGAATTTTCATCTCAGCATGTATTTCGTCTTCAAGCATTGATCCGGAAGAAAGTGTAGAATGAATTTTTCTCTCCTGTTCTTCTTTGCACCTTATTATTGTAATAACAAAATTTTATTGCTCAAACATTCCGACTCGTATGTTTTTTAATTTGATCGTATTTGCCATTCAACCTAATCTATATCTTTCGTTCTCTTTCTCAACAGGTGAATAGGCTACAATGCCCATGAGGTGGTCTTAACATTAAAGCAGAGAAAAGAAAAAGAGAACGAACAAATAAATTGATGAATGAATGAAGAGAAAGAAGTATTACTCCGATTGGATAAAATAAACGAGAAAAAATCCACATTAACAACACCAATCAAATTGACGTCTTCTTTCTTCTATACACTCTTCAACCAGGTGTTACACATACCCAATTCAATGTGTCGATAAGTTTATTATATTACAAACATCAATGCCACGACCAGGAAAATCCTCGTATTCAGATGAAAAGCCTCCCTATTCGTACATCGCCCTGACAGCCATGGCTATACAACAAAGTCCAGAGAAAATGTTACCACTTAGTGACATTTACAAAGTCAGTATATTCATTGAAATTCCATATCATTGATGTCAGTTGTTTTAGTTTATTACCGATCGATTTCCATATTATCGTACTAACACACAAAAATGGCAAAATTCTCTGCGACATAATTTATCATTTAATGATTGCTTTATCAAGATTCCACGGCGACTCGATCGACCGGGAAAGGGAAACTTTTGGGCGTTGCATAACAAGTAAGTCGATAGAATTCGTGCGTTGGTCGACTTGTCTTGTTTGATCATTGTGACTAAGTCTTTTAACAATCAAATCAAACAGAGATGAAACTCAGCGTGAGTTTGAATCACTAAATAGACGGATATATTTACATACATTTACACTCTGAGCAATTAGATGAAAAGAAATTGCTTTTTGAACACGTGTGTTTTGTAAATAGTTTCAATTGTCGGGATGATTAATCAATAGAGAATGTGCAACTGAGTGAAAGAAGTTCAAGGTTTTCATGTTTAATAGAATTTCTGGGAAGGATAAATCAATCGTGTTCAGCTGTTTAGCGATGAATCTTCGAAATAACTCGAAATTGAATCGTTTGTTTGATCAACTATGCTCATAAATTGAATAAAACAGAAGCCGTTATTTGAAAAAGAAACACATCAATGTGCGAACGTACATCTTGTCAAACACTTAACGAATCACATCTCTTGTCACCTGTTTTCTCTCATATATACACAATATCGTTCGATGAGTTGAGGAGAAAACGATCGCGTTGTCGTTTGATCTTTGCGGTCGATATTGTTTGTTAAGTAGCATCTCTTACAATCAATAAGATTTTTGGTTAATTGCTACAATTAGATCTAAATTTGTTGTTTTTTTTTCCTTCATTTATTAAAGGTGTCGAGATATGTTCGAAAATGGAAGTTATCTACGGCGACGCAAACGTTTTAAACTACACAAACAGAAGTCCAATCGCGAAGAAGAAGAAGAAGAAGAAAACAAGATGCTGTTGGATACAAAGCCTGTGACAACCAAAACATCTTTTTTTATTGATAATCTCCTTGCAAACGATACGACCAGTACCAATACAAGTTTTACCACATCATCATCATCTCCAACAACGGAAACGACACATGTCTTGCCACAAATGTTTTACACAACTGATTTCGATCTGATACGTCAATTGTATTTACTCAATGAAAACCAACATCAGCAACCCTATTGGTAAAAGTCAAGAAATCGAACAAAGAAAACAGAAACTTCAATTTAGTATGATTATTTTTTGTTCTTATGCTGTTAACTTGACACATCATCAATTTTTTCTTCGTGTGCAAAGGAAAGTGTTGGCATGGTTCATTTATTTCTAATGATTTTTTTCTTTCCATCCAGGATCAAGCTTTCTTTCTTCTTTTCTTTTTTACCTCTGTTCTTGACATCGAAACGCGACAAGTCTGATGAGGTTGTCACAAGAAACAACAATTGGATACATGTCACTACCTGAAAAGACATGACTCGATTGGAATACAAATGATGGATGAACACGAATCACCTGAGAATTTCAATGTTCAAACATTTTTCTTTGTCAGCATCTTCAGTTGGCAGTGTCATTATTGAATGTTCATGAAAGCGGATGAAATCAAAGAGAAAATGAACTCTCAGAAGAGAATTAGAAGATATGTCATTGAGATTTCAATAAAGAAAGAAACGTGTCGATCTTTTCCAATTACTTTTTCCTTTTCCGATCGTCAGATGAATATACTACCAGGGATTAGTTGTGAGAAGGAAATCTTGTAATTATAACGAATAGAAATTTCCTAATGAAAATCTTTATTATACAAATAATAACTAAGAAGAAAAAACAGGAAGATATGCAATTAACGAAACCATGTTGATAGACCAGGTCGATAAAGATTCGTTGCTTTTTGTTTCTCGTTAGCAGTTTGCATGCGTCGTTCATCTTTGACGAACTCATCCGATGGCTTTTGACCACGCCATATGTCCGGATAGGTGAATGTTTCGTTTTTCTAGAAGAGAATCGAAATTGAATGTGTAACAAGTTAAATGGTATTTTACCAAGAATACATAAGCGAACTTTCGATCTGGATCGGGATCGATGATTTCTGATGAGACTGGATGACGATTTTCTTTGCCTAAATGGAAAATAATTTCTGTAGAACACAACGAATCTTAAATATGATGCCAACCTTGCTTGATAATTGTTGTTATATCCAATGTTTCAATCTTATAAAGCTTTTCTAAATATTGTTTGATGTCATTTTTCGTCATTCTGAAAAGTCAGAAAGATTCTCAATACATTAACTCGAGAATGATAATTTACTCAATATGACATTCAAATCGAACGACGTTGTGTCTCAATGGACGGTTTTCTTCTGGTCTTACGATTCGCATCCAAAATTGCGGAAAAAATATTCGATGTGTAGGATCACCTGGTTGCCATTTAGGATATCGAGGTGTCATCGATTTGTAAAGATACTGACTAAATTGAACGACATGACCGAAATAGACTTTGATTACTTAAGTTTTTGCTTACAGATTTGCAGGCAAACGCATTTCGAACGAAGATGATGAATACTAAACTAATAGTAGAAGGCAGACATTTACATTTGATTCCATAGTTTACATCCAAGGAGTATACAATAAAATAAATCGAACGGTAGTTGTCACTAGCTGATGATTGGTATCCATCGAAAAAACGTTTTATCTCAAACTAACTGCCATGAATTGTACCGTTCATTGTCATGACATAATGATGATCATGACAGTGCGCCCTGCAGTATGACAAAGTTACTCGTCAAGTGAAAAATCAGATCCATCTTTGATTTCGTAAGGTCTTTTCTCGGCGCACGAAGTTTTCTTCGATGTTGATATTAGATCATTATTTTCCATCAATGTAGCATCTGCTGACGATTAAAATGAATATTAGGCCTTCAAAATGAATATCATATGTTCACTGTCTGACGATTTTAATGAATACTATCGGAAACTCTCGTTTTCCTTTCCTAATATTTCGGTTCTTCATTCGACTTTATTTTCAAAATTTTGCAATTTCTCATCTCAGAAAACTTGTCTGCTTTACCGAAGTAACAAGTCGAGAATATCATTTCTTCATTCTCTTGATTTTGAAATTAAATTAAATTTCATTTTATTTGAAAAGTTCAAAATAAAATTTTCATTGGCTTGCGTTTCTCCAATGGTCATCATTGTTTGGTTAGAGAAAAATGTAACATACAACATACCTGACAAGATGTGACTTATTACAACAAAATATTAATCTTTCGTTAAACTAGACGAAATACCACACGAATCTGTCTTGTTAATTGCTATTGAGTTACATTTTTCGTTCGTTAGTTTTCGTGTCTGTCGGAAAAGGTGAAAAGGTCAGCAGATAAAAAGTTCATTCTTTTTTTTTGTCTGCATTGATTTTAGATGGCATCTGATTCGAAAGCAGTAGGTAATCAAGTAACAAAAGAAATCGAATCTCGAATAAAGTAAACAGTTCATTGATAAGTTTGATCTTTTATTTATGTATTCATTGTTTAGACAAGTACCTGAGCATATATTCGAAGCTTTTCTTGAAATTCGTGAACCAGTCGATAATGAAAGTAAGACAAGTGTTACTTATTTTCTGTTCGCACCGTTCTCTCGCCGAATCCTTTTCAGCACCGGAAGTTCTACTTAAATATCCATCTGATTGTTCCGAAGAAGTTGTCAAAACTGCGACAAGCTTTGCATATCCCTGCAAAATTCCACCGTAAGAATTCGTGTTAACAAACGAATAAAGAATGAACAATGTATTTTTTCATAGCGATGAACAAAGTGAACATTTCGCATTCGTAGTACTCGATCCAACTAGTACATCGTTTCGTTTTGGATACTGTCGACGATCGAATCGCGAATCTACTTGCCTGTGTATGATCAGGTAGGAGTAATTGGACTCTTGGAAAGAAATTGATGTTGTTTCGTTCAAGTTATTATCCATGGTTTGAGACGTTTTACACCATTTTGAATGATTTAGCACAAATGATTACTTCGAAAGCGGTAAGATCTGTTTGAATATTGTTTTCCTGAAAAATAGAAAACATGTGCTTGTCCGAACAGTTGAATCATCTTTCCGAGATAACGGGTTTAGTAGGTGTATGCTGCTCTACACGCTTGATTTGTTGAGTGCACCAGACGACTGATTTTCTTTTTCATCTTAACTAGACTGATGATATGGAAGAGTTTCTATCCTCATTGTATAATTACAAATTGATGTCGACCGACGAATTCTTTAACAACGAAGGAAAAGAAATCATCGAAGTCAAAAGTCGTTCAAAAGTAAACATGTTTGGTTTCTTTTTTATAAAACTTTTTGACAACTAACGAAAGTTTAGATTTATACATACAATCGACCGGACCTCAGAAAACTTCCATCAATGCTATCAGATGTAAGTACTTTGAAAATGAATATTTATATACTCTTATTGATATTGTAGCGTAATTTTACCGTTATGTTCTCTCGATTGGGTTCCGAAATCATGCTACGCCTATTTGCTCATATCCTTTTCGAACGACGTATTCTTTTTGTTTCATCGAAATTGTTTCACCTAACTGGTTTGTTTACTCGATTTATCTTTAACGTCCTACTTCAAAACTTTCCCCTTTAGCATGTGCTTATGGATGTTTACATTTAATTTATCCGATGCATTGGTAAGATTTTCGTTAATCAGAACTTCGATGATTAGATTTATTCATTTCATAGGCAAAGTATCTTCTTGCCGATTGTGTCGTCATCGATCTTATGGACAACGGCGTGCACTGCTCCGTACATTCTTGGTGTACATTCCAGTGTATTCTCTACATTGAATGTCGATGAGTTAGGCGATGTTGTGATTGTGAATATCGATGAGCGAAGATTGGAGTCACACTATGATGATCTGAATCTGCTTCCGAAATATCTATTTCGAAGTATGAAAAAAGGTATTCAACAATCATCCCAATTAGCTGGTGATCATCTTGCGAGAGTTTTTCTTCGTGCGATGGCTTGTTCGATTGGTAAGTTGAAATGAACAGTTCGATTCTCTCATTTCTATTCATTTTGAAGGAAACTATGCCAGTGGATTTACATTTAAGAATGAAAAACTAGATTTTGATCGAGATCTGTATCTTGAACAATTTCTCGGATCTCATGTGCATTCATTTATGTCAACAGTTGCGAATACCCAAATGTTTGAACAAGTGAGAAGTCGATTCCACAGTCCGATCTTAATACCACAATGAAAATGCTCTGATTTCAGTTTTCGCGGTACCGGACTTATCTTCAACTTCAACGCGAGACAGATGTTGATGAATTCGATATCGAAGTGAAGAATTTACATCAATTGCAACAATCAAAAAAAGTAATGAAAAAACAATTTTTTTTGTATATAGTGTATCTGATGTCTGACATGTTCAGTTACGTAATTCCACTAGGGAAATTTTCAATCAGTGTACCTAGCGAATTCTACATGCATTCTTTCTTCTTTTTCTAGTTTAAAACAAACAAAAAGATTTACAAACTGTTGGAAAAAGTAAGTGTGTCTTCGCTTTCCTCATTTTATTTTGCCATTAATTAACGAAGTCATGTATTAAACACGGTATGGGTAACTTCTTGTAGTATGTGAAAGATGGGACAATAGTTTACAGTAGTATTAGTGCACAAAAAGATCGTACAAAAGCGAATAAACGAAAATCACTTATCGATTCAAAGGATGAAAGAAATAAGGTATCATATATATATATATAAATTGTCAATGCTTAACGTTGCTCTTTGTGGTTTTCTTTGCTCTTTCTGTTCATTTTGCGTACATTACATTGTTGACAGAACACTATTATGTACTTCATCATTTTTTCTTCTTCTGTATAGGCCGCCAATCCACTCCTTGAACAAGTACAAAATAAAGCTGAAAAATTTCAAACTGTTGTAAGTCGAGCATATTTATATGTAATATTTATAAGCGAAGAAAATGATTTAGATTAATAAAGCTGGTCAACGTGTAGCTAGCGAAGCATCGTCAGTAAGGAATAATTTAACATCTCTGGATGTAAGTCTGATCAAAGGCTTGATGGGCAGAAAGGATGATTTCGACACTTTTTTTTTAGTTTAATGATGTCATGCGACGGAATCATAGTTCGAAAGTGAATAATTCAGTAAGTTAAAACAATGAATAGGATTCCTTCATTGCATTTCTATTTTCAGATTGAACATAATCAACTCAGTGCATTAAAGACAACGCATCATGTAAGATTTCTGTTCAAATAACAGAATCTTCTGATTTTTTTCTTCTTCTAGTCAAGCACACCTGATTTACTCAATGAAAAGTAAGCCATGGGAATGACGTCATGTTTAATTATTCTCGATTTTTAGACCGATTCCATACGAACGATTTCATTCAGGAAATTCCGAACCACGTCTGATCAATGGTGACCTTGTCGACTCTTCATCATCGGAATCATCACGTTCATCGACTCCTGAACCCGAACAATACAAAAGCAATCCATTGATCAATTTCGACATTGAAGATGTACGGTCAAGTATTTCCATTTCCACTTCTTTTACGTTGACTAGTTATCTTCAGAATCTAGTAATGCCATCTCCTGTTGTACTCAATGTCATCAACACTCCACTCGCTACGCCAGTGCCTCGTCAAACACCTCAAATTGATTCAAAAATCAAACAGTTACAAAGCGAACTTCAACATAAAGTTCAAACATTTGACGGGAAACGTACCGATCCTCGAAATGAATATGGTGAACAACAGACAGAAATTAAAAGACTCGTTAAGCAATTCGACCCACTTGATGATTCCAATTCTTCACCTATGATCAATCGAACGCCGAATACATCATTTACTTCCATGCCTATTAATCTTCGTTTGGAACAAAGGCTCACATCCCATTCGATAGGTCGCCATCCGTCTATTCACGAGGCTATTCCAGCGAATCGCGTGACGACTCTTCTACAGAACATTCAAACTAACTTTGGTACCACCAGTCGAGTTTCTGCACGGCCAAGTATGCCCACGCAGCAACGAGAGAGAAAATCTCCGACTGGCTTTTCTCCTGCATCAACTGCACCTGCTGCTTTGTTTCCGAAAATTTGTTCGTTAATTTCTGATGATCCATCGTTGAGTTTTGATCCTTTAGCACCATCGAAAGAGAAAATCTTACTTGCACCTACGCCATCAGCGTCTACTACGCCCAGTTCGGAAACGAACGGTTCGAATTTGATTGATTTTAATTAGTAGCTTTTTTTTCCATTTTTACACTACGCATTTCATTTTCTTTTTCTTTAAATTTTTCGCGTCTTTCATAATATTATTTGTCCTTTTCTATCTTGCGTACAATCGATTATATGTTTGCGAATGATGATAATATGTGTGTGAGTGTGATGTTTATGCAATTATTATTATTTTTTCTGTATTAATTTCTGTGAATATAATAGTCGGTACGAAAGGAAAGAATATTGTGAATCGATCTTTTTTTTTAATATTTCAGATCTTTGGATCTCTTCCTCCCTTCATGTCATTTCAGTAATGGACGATTCATTGATCAATCCTGTGTTAATATCATCATCGGCGCATCTCGAAGATGTCGAACAGTTAATCAAAAACATTGAAAAACAGACCTTCATTGCTGATAATCTTTTAAACATATCTCATAGCTCCAATGTCAAAGAAACGGTAATCAAATCGTTCACGTCTAATTCATCAGACATTGCCCCGTTGGACAATCATCTTCTTTCAAAAATTATTCCAGGTGTCAATGGTACTTCGAATAAAGATGAAAACGTTGTTAAACAACGCGATTCATTAGATGTGGATGATGTGAGGAAACAACAGATCTTTTCCGCAACAACAAATGATCAAAGTTTAGTCCACGAACCAGACACTGCATACACTTGGGATGACCAATATGATGCACGTGCGAATTACCGACTTACTTTTAGTACTGATAGATTACAACAAGCCGATACCAAGTCAGATAAATCTCGTCGATATAAACATCAAGCAACAAGTCAACAGATAACTACAAACTATTCCGATGATGACATTCCGATGAATATTAACAATAATATGAACGATTGGTCAATACGTTCATCTTCGAATATGTTAGATCAATCAATGAATCCAACACCAACGGCACAGCAACAACCGATCCCGACAAATCAATCTTCAGGCTCATCGACAACATCATCGTCAACATCATGGCGACAAACGAAGGAAAGTCAACGTACAGCAGGAGGAATGCAATCAAAAGACGTTCGACCGCCATCACCGTTATGTCTATACAAGATTTTTCAACAAAAATCCAATATGAATCCACTGCCGACCATCCGAACTATTTTTCCCTTGAATCCTCTCCAACGAGATCTGCTCACTCCTAATCATAATACTGAAAGTAGTACAGATAAATCGAACAATCATCGTCGATCTCGGCTCAGTTCTGATCAAGCTATTCAAACCTCACTGCATTCAGCACCAAATAATCGTCATCGATCTACATCTGTAGCAGGTAGATCAAAAAGTTTAACTGAAATTCATTTCTCATCGATTGTCTTTTAGCACGAAAATCCGATTCATTCGATCAACTGGCAACTTCGACTCGAACTCTCATTCATAAGTCTCTACCCGATCTTTCATTTATATCTCAATATACCAAAGAGTTACCTCGATCTCATACAACATCGTCGTCAATCTTGATCTCAAATAATACTCGAGCAACACCATCTCCAACAATTATCCAACAACCCAAACAAGATTCAGATCGACCACGTACATTGAAATCAATTAAACGGTACAAGAATAACAAACATTCTACAGAACCTCTGGGAGTCTTCTACAGTCCACAATTACGAAAGACATTTGCAGCTGTGCCAATAATAACAGAATCGAGTGCATCATCGCCAACTGCACATATCAACAAATCTCAAGCAGCGAATCTCAAATCTTGTTTGAAAGCCGCATCACGGGCAAATTCTTGTGATATTCAAAATGCCATTGAAGAACAGAAGTCGCCAATGTCAAATAAGAAGCTCATGAATAATCAGGTAAATCTAAGCATAACCTTCATTACTGTCTTTCGTCAATAGCTTTTCGCATTTATCTTTTGAGCATTCCATTCCACAACCCAAATCACCGTCGTCATGCATCCGCCGAAGTCCGGGTGTCAATAAACTCAAATATTTAGACACAGTTTGGTCTTCCAACAAACTTAGTGCATACATGTTACCGGATTCGTCGCGAGGTCATCATTCCGAACATGACCTAATCTCGTTAATTCCCGGGGAGAATTCTACAAAGAAGAGTATTAGCTTTTCCGAGGATATTTCCAAACAACTTCTATCGCCTTGTAACCCAGCAATTGCTTTCACCACTGACCTTCCATTAGAAGTATATGAAAGTAACAAACGGTTGACAAAACGAACAACGGCACGATGTAGAGACGTACGTCGATGTCAGAGTAAGTTATTTGAGGAGGCTCAACTCAGTTCGCCCATTTGTTTGATTCAAAAGAAACTTAATCTCAAAACGATAATGATTATATACATTGTTATTAATCCGCTTTTGTTCTTCCCTTCGTTCTTTAGCTGACATTATTGCTGTTGATCCTGTTCTTCACCTACATTCATTTACTGACAGTCCACCAAATGAGTTCTGTTTACAGCGAGATGATGATCAGACGGACGACGATGAACTTTTGATGAAAAATTCAACGATCAATATCATTACCGATCTCGACGAAACCATGCCTATCAGTAAGGAAATTCAATCACCCTCTCCCATCGATCAAGAAAAGAAATCCTCGATACTTGATGGTGCGTCGAACTAATCTTGAGGTTTCAAAGTCATCGACTACTTTTACTTGTTGTTTAGATATTGTTGTTACTGTCAATAACATCGTCAAACGTTTGTTAGAAATAAAACAAACTGGAAAGGTAGCTGAAGTTGAAAACTAGATATTTCATCTTTGCTTGTGGTTTGTTTAGATGTTCTTTCTTGATAATGAACAGAATTCCCAATTGGATGTCTTATTGAAAAACGATCTGTGCCCTGCAATTCAAGCCATTCTCGAACATGGCCGGAAAGAATTGAAGAAAACGACTCTATGGAAAATCATCGAATCATCAATTGACAAGCATCCTTCAACAACAGCACAAGTACCTTTAGCTTATCAGGAAGCGAAACTGATCGCACAGAATACATCATCATATTGGTTATTTAAATTCCAAGCTTTTATTTTTATCCTATTAAAGTTCGTTCTTTCGTCTTGTTCATTTTTTTTCCGAAGGCAATCATTCTCTTTCTAGTAAAAATGAACTCATTAATTGGCTTTATTATTTCACTCGACAGAAAGAGATTCTCCTCCGCTATTATCAATCACCTGATGCTTTAATTCTCGTTTCGATATCGTCAACATTCAATCTTTTCGAACGAATCATGACACAATTAGAGAAACTCACTACACTTACCTTCCGTTTGACATATCATACACCAGATCTGTCATCGGTCAATGACGAACAATTGAATACATCGTACATTAGTATTCATCCGGCGAAGACGTGCGCACGTGATTGGGTGATGACTATTTCACGACGAAATCCGAAAACATTCACGCAACCGATTCTACAGAATTCTTCCAATGACACCTTTCGTTCGACATTATCCAGGAAGTTTAATGCTATATTCAGCAAAACAAATCCGCCGCAGCAGATGAAATCTTCGCCAGTCATCGCCACGAAAATGCCCGACGGCAAAAGGCAAAGCAAATCGCCCGGCCCGACACGTCGCGCACGTTTTTCTAGTGTATTCAGTAATGCACCAACAACAGTTACCACGACGATCTCCAGTCCAAAAATAAAGTATACAATACGACCAAGTACATCTCCATCGAGAGGAGCGACTATGCTAACTCAATCGAAAATTCCACGTCCATCGTTGAATGTCGATAAGCCTAAATCAGTTCGATATCACTCTACAGCACCGTCATGAAATTCATTTTCTTGTGATTCTTTTCTCTCTCTCTCTCTCTTTTGTTTTGTTATGAATCTTTTATCATTCTATTTAACTCTATGCATTTCTTGTTTTCTTCCAAACGTTATAGATCACTATTCTCAGGTTGTTTTTCTACTCATCTATGTACAAGTACTCAGATTTTAATAATAATAATAATAATTTGATAAATCAATTACAGCAGTCAACACCGTTTCATAGAGACTTAAATTCTGAACCACATTCGATGATTCACAGTGACCTTGGACTGCTTGATGGAGAGACTGTATGAACGTTGATCTCTGTATTTCAGATTTGACCATGGCAGAAGGAGGTCCACACGTCACTGCAGCATCCTCTTCCTCATACACAGATGTGAACGAACAATTTCTCGCCACCCTAGTAGAAATGGGTATTCCTCAGGAAACAGCTCGACAGGTTTGTTCTATCTTCTCCCAAGTCGTCTGTTCAATAGTACTTTTCAGGCTTTAAAACGTGTTAACAATCAAAGTTTAGATGCAGCTCTAGCTGTTGTGTTCGGTGAATCAATTCCGACTAGTAACAATCAAACAAATGTCGAACAATCTACTCAAGTATCTCAATTTGTAAGCGCTTCCGTCTATGCAAAGTCGTTCTTTCTCAATAGTCTCTTCATGACCTCATTTAGGACACACTAGCCATCGATGAAAGAGACGTTGAACCAATACCACATAAAATGTTATTTGTCGTAAATGGTTCTCTACAAATGAGTTCAGGAAAGATGGCTGCTCAAGTTGCTCATTGTGCGGTTAGTTTATACCAAAAACTACTCGAGAGACGTCCGAAGGCCTTAGAATATTGGCAAGAGTATGGTGAGACGAAAATTGTTGTCCGTGGTCAATCAACAGAAGAATTACTTGATATTGAAACGAAGGCGAAGACAAATCGATCAATCGTCACAGCTACTATCGAGGACGCTGGTCTAACGGAAATCGCCAGTGGTTCATTAACGTGTCTTGGTCTGTTTGGCACAAATGAACAATTAAAACCAATTACTGGTCATCTCAAACTCATGCAAGACTGTTTGAAATGTAGTGGACAATGATATTTTCTACTAAACAACTACAAAATGTTAGTTTTTATTTCCAGCAAAAAAAGCAAAAGACAAGAATGTTATTTCATACGACTAGATGATTAAGGATAAGATCGTACAGAATTAAATAAATGAAAAAGCTCAACAGTGAATTTGTTTGAAAAGAAAGGATGAGGAGAAAGTTCGTTTGTTGTTGATGTTGGTTCATCGTGATCGTGTAAATCTAGATGAAGATCTTCTCGATTAGGTAAATGTTAAGAGATCAAATTTACTTTGAATATTCCGATGAAGTTTCTGATGCGATTTCAAATTACAATGAAGGGAAAATAATTTTCCGCATACATCACATTTGTGATCTTTTCGTCCTGAAAAGCGAAACTAAACACAGCTATTGCGTAATACTGGAAATAAGTACCTGTATGGGTTAAAAGATGGTTCTTGAGATTCGTTTGTTTAGAAAAGCCTTTCGAACATTGACTGCAACGATATGGCCAAGTACCTTGATGGATGTGTGTATGACCACGTAGGTCACCTGGTGTGGCGAATGTCTTATCGCAATACAAACATTTATGAGGTTTTTTCTAAAATGTTCTCATTCTTCATTTGTAAGATAGGCCGGTCTGATTTGATTTACCTTTGTATGTGTCATTCGATGATAATACAGATTGGAACTTGCCGTGAAACGTTTTCCACATATCTCGCAAGAATGCGGCTTTGAAAACAACAGTTAATATACAGAAGAATGAATAAGATACGAAATATTTTACTTTTTCGCCACTATGTATTCGACAGTGAGTATTTAATGATGACGAAGTTGAAAATGCCTTGCCGCATGTTGGACATACATGAGGCTTTTCCCCTACGATAAATTTATAGAATTTATTTGAAAAAAGAAATAAATGCGCTGAATTACCTGTATGAGTTCGTGTGTGTCGACTGAGAAGCGACGGTCGGTCGAACATTTTGCCACAGACATCGCATGACCAAGATTTGCGTTTACGTCGATTATTATTCAAACAGTGATCCACTGACTGAGTCTTTCAGATTATAGATGAAACGTATTTCATGAAATGATATACTAACTTACTACTAATTCGGTTTCGATGATTTTATTTTGATTATTAGCTGATGATAGTAAATTATCGATCATAAATGCTGTCGATCGTGTCGAGATGACTGTCATATTCGTGCTCTACTGTTCTGTCAAACGTCTGTCGATCGGTGAAGAAAATGTGATCGAGACTGATTTGAAGAATTATCTTCGATTGACTCCGATGGAAACATTAGCCAATCATATTCCCAACAAATCTTGGGCTTATCCAATGAGAAGTTTTCTCTTCGTTGATTTTCTACATTTGTTTCCATCGCCGAAAGATAAAGCATCCGGCACTTGATTATCAAAATGTTGTTCATTGTTCGAACAATCCGGATATGCAAAGTGATTTATGAACTTCATTCGAATGAGTTTGTCTCGAAGAAAATCATCGAGAACAGATGACGAAAAAGACAAGAATGTTATTCTGCAGTCTATTCATCGAAGAATAATGATGATGGTAATGGGACAAGTATACATTGAACGTTCCGAGAACGAATAAAGAAAGGAAAAGAACAGGAAATGTGTATAATGCTCAATGAATACAGATGATCAGTTGCACTCATTGTCCAATGTAATGATGTTTCTTATTCGAAATCAAACGAAAAAAATCTCAATCATACAAGTGGATGTTAGTTTGTCGCGAACAATTTCCATCGTTTCTCTTTTTTCTTCCACTGCATACATCCAAAGATGTGCGCGTCTTCTCCAACTGATTAAGTTCACAGTATAAGAATCGTACTAGTCACTGTTAAATTATCTTTTCATTCGAAATCCTTACGTGTTAAATCAAATGTTTGTGACCTAGATGAATCGCTGCAATCGATAAAGCCTTTTCACATTCCTTTTCTCATAAATGAAAATCTTCTATCTCTTGTTCATGTCTTAGATGTATGCATAAATATATATTTATATACATCAATCCCAATAAGTCAAAACAATCTCTTGCTTCTCTATTGACAAAACGTGTCAAACAACACTTAGGGATTATCGATAATAGAGAAGACATCTATCCTTTTCTCCTCCTGGATTAATTGTATAGAACAATACTACGAAGACTTCAATCCAAGCATGCGTAATTGTCAAGAAAAGAAACAGAGAAGAAGAAGAAGAAGAATTGAGCCTCTTGTCACACGTGCTTGTCATTCATCGAAGCAAGCAGTTATGTAACAATTGCAACATCATCAATCAGGATGTTTAGTTGTTGTTCATCATTTCTGTTCAAGTAGAATGGTCAATTGATGATTGATAAGTAGAAAAAAAGAAGAAGAAAGAAATCCGATGACGACGACGACAATAGATGTGAGTGACATGATATAAATGACGGCACGTTCGGCGCATCATCGAGATCCGAGAAAATGTTATCGAATAATTTTAATTGCACAACGGATTTATAGTAAAGAATTAGAAGAGAAAAAAACAAAAAAACGAACACATACACGTACAAGGAGAAGATCAGTCAGTCGAATAGTGATTGACTTTACTCAGAACAATCGATCAAACGAAGTCGACAACGACAACAACACCAACGATAGAACCGAACATGCATCCCTACGCTACAAACTATCCTATTCCAACAGCTTCGCTCTATCATACATCGTTCGTTCATCCGCTTATGCCTTCGGTTAATGCAAGTGTTATGCCACCGTTTCCCTTCTTTCATGGATCACCTGATCGCTTTACTGGTAATGTTTGAAATATAAACTGTAAGTCAATTGTCTAGTTTTCATATTAGAATTTCTTTTGGATTCTCGTCATCCGCGGAAACAACGTCGATCACGTACTGCTTTTACCAGTCAGCAACTACATGCATTAGAGCGATGTTTTGTTAAAACTCACTATCCTGACGTTGTCATGAGAGAGAAACTAGCGCTCTATACAAATTTACCTGAAGCTCGTGTTCAAGTAAATAACTTCATACGTACGATCAGAATAGAACTGAACGGCATTTGTTGACTTATTTAGGTTTGGTTTAAAAATCGTCGAGCTAAGTATCGGAAAAAGCAAAAGATACTGGTTGATGCTTCGAAAAAACGATCAACAAACGTAGCTGATGTTCAAACAAGTGACGATGACGACGACGAAGACGATGGTGATGATACTGATTCGAACTCGAAAGACAATTCAATGACAGTTACTTCGAAAAGTACAGGTATACAGAATATTACCTGCATTGCAATATTGTATCTAGTTTTGAAATTTTACTTAGACGAAGAAGCAAAAGCAATACCAGCGTCATCTAGTTTACTGTGCCATCAATTATCACCATTGATTCGAATGTCATCATTTGCACTACATACGGAACAACACTTTAAAACAGATTCAACTATGTACAATTTGTCTATTAATGATCAACTAACAAAATGGCGTCCAAATACATTGAAATATCATATTGAAAATTTATTACAGTAATTTAATGTCTACATAAATAATATTCATAAACAGTAATCGTCTTTCATGAAAAGAATCAACAAAAAACTTGCGGGCAGACTAATATAATCCATTCCTATAAGAAGATGTTGGAATAAAATTTAGTCGTGAATAAGATAGATTTGAAGCGCTATCAAATTGTAGTCTCCACAATGACCTGAGGGTCTCTTAAGACACTTACAAGATCTATTTAGTGTGCCTAATCACTTATAGAGACCGTCAAATCAGTCTCTGATATGATCTACTTTTAAAGAATAATTCAACACATTGATATTTTGATGAACAAAACAGAAGTATATCAGCATTTTATTCATCATTGGATCTTACTCGAGAAGTTGTTATAAGATATAATATCCATATGCATCTAAGAAAACTTTTTTCAACTCCAGACTTATAGGTTAAATTCAGAGTACAATTCACAATCATCTTTTCTTCGATAAATCGATTTCGCTGAACAACGAAGAATACATTCCCTCTGTTCATTACTCGACAAATTCCTAAAATATCGTCCTTCACAAATTTGATCAAAATATGAATAATTTCCGACTGCCACAGACTACCATTAAATCTCCACATGTATCCTTGAAGTTCGATGGACATAGGCATGGAAAAACGCTTGAACATCCAAATACGTTCTCACATAAAAGACTAGCCTCATTTATAACCATAATTCATTTACACTCGAATTGAATGCATTATTTTCATAAATGTGTCAGACCGTCAAGAGTTGTATCATCATATCACCCGTATAGCATAACATTTCATATAATAGCAATAAACGTAGAAATTCATTTCTCCGCTATGTGTTAGAAGCAAAGTGAAGCGCATAATTATAATGGTTGGAAACTGTCTACGCCTATAACGAACTAGACGTTTTAATTAGATATTGTATGAATTCATTTCGTTTATCCAAACATCGATCCTGATTTGCTTCGTTGTAATTTATTCATCTCTGCGTATATACATATGTACTTCTCGAAATTGATGTTGTTGTTTTTCTAATTTGAACGATAGATTTTAATTAGCAATGACTTTTTCTACATATTGGGGACAACAAAATTCCTTATGATAACATGAAAGTGTAGATACAAAAGAAAGGAAAGGTTTTATCAATAACAGCACGGCATACGATCAAAAAGATAGACGTGAGATGGCCTCGAGTCAAATATGTATGTACTAATTTGAAAAACAAACCGTTCTTCCTTAGTCCATCACAGTTGTGTATTGTTCAGAAAATTGAACCACTTACTTCGCTTCGAGTTGTTGTTTCTATACTCGATTTCGAAATGCACTGGTTCGTCGACGAATAAGTGACGAGGATGCTCTCTATTTGCTTTTCGATGATGAGAAGAGAATGGATGAAAGACGAAGTATGTAAACACACCTGTCAAACGATTGAAACTAAGACGAAGAATGATTCGAGTTGAACTCGTTGATATTCTCTGTCACCCATTCGCACCTTCTCTATGAATGATCAATTTCATTTTGATCAGTTTTAATGATAGGATCGAAACGAAGACACAAAAATGCGCAGGCGATTCGAACCATGGGAAAATAAAGATAATGGGATGCGAAGGCTATGATTAACTCTTTGTAATAAAGTGTGATGAACATTATCGGAGAGAACATTTCATTGAAATCAAGAGTTGTTTCTCACAGTCGTAACGGTTATTCGTTTTCTTTGAGTCGATCAAAGAATGTGTCAACAGATCGCTTGACTGATCACCGATCTAAGACAAGATCTCAATCACATAAGGTGACAATCATCACTTTGTTTGTGTTGTAACAGTCGGATTGTTCAAAGTCTATTGTTTTCTCCACATACGTTTGTAATCAAATTAGAATGTTGAAAAAAAATGGTCTTAACACATCAAAACAGAAATGCGAAAGAAAAGAACGAACGTCTATATATTATTGAACTTTCATATTTTTATTGATTCACCTTTGGTCAACAATGTATAGGATAACTCTTCTTTGTTAAGTCAACATCATTTGAATACAAATGTATCTATTTAGCATAAACAAATATGAAATCGTAACAGGCAAATAGACGGTTCATTGTTTGGATGAACAACACGATGACGACGAACTCTAACACGTTGTGAAGAGAATTTCAATCAGAAAAACATTTCATACCAGGTGTATGAGATGATTATCTAACCGAAGTGTTTATGTTCGAAGAAGATTGATTGTCGTTTCGTTCCGCCTCTTTCTCTCTTGCTCGTTTCCATTTCATTACACCTGTACGTTATGTCATCCGAAGTATTATTGAAGAATCATTGAAAAAAAATTTTTATATACATAAATGTGTACTAAATAAATAGGCTTTAGTCAATGACAACGAGCTCGAATTTCACATGAGCATGTGTAAATTGATCAGTCGGTGTTGGAGATGTCCTGTAGTAATGATGAATCAGTTGACATATCGGATAATGATGTTCGACCTGAAACGAAACCGATGGAAAAAAAAATATATATATATTGGCACGAGAGAAGCATTTTTTCGAATTTTGTACCTGACAGAGACGTGTCCACTTGAAATCGATCGATTAATTGATCTTCTAATTGTCGAATATATCGAATTGTTTCCAGTACGATTTCGATCGGCGTTGATGTTGGTTTCTGTTTCAATGTTGGTAGAATCGATTTTAATTTCTTCAGTTCAATTTTGGTTAGACTTGGCTTATTGTTTTTTGTCGATCCCATTCTTGAAGACGGATTTCGAGTCATTTCTACCGGTATAGCAAGAAGAGTACGTGTGCGCTGAATGTCGATAGATGTGTCTACTCAGGTATATATATATATGTGGACTGACAGATTCGATCATTAGAGAGAGAGGTGAGTGCGAAGAAAGAAAAAGAACGAAAAAAAAAATGGAGCAGGTCGATGACGATTGGTTCGTTCGTCGCATTGCACACTGTGTATCAACGAGATATGAATAAAGCGAAAGAGAAAATAATCGTCTGAATCACGTTTATGACACGTCAACATCCCGGTTAATTTGCATATGAATATATGTCAAGTAAAGACTTTTATATCACATGAATATCCTCTCTTCAAATCTTGGCGTTTTTCGTTCTGTTTCGACAAATGATCATTAAATTGGATAAATGTTAATGCACCTTGTTAATCGCATGTTTCATTGTCGTCAATGCTCATCCTTCTTCCTATTCACGTTTGACAGGAACAATGCGAAATATACAGTTTCATTGTCATGATGTCGCACACCTAATTCGATTATAGTCAAAAATGAAATTCTTTCCTTTGTCGTGCTCATTACTTTGAACAGTATGTCGACAAAAAAAAGACAAATATTTTTTAGCTTTCATTCGAAGTTATTGAAAAGGACATTCTTGAAATAACTTCAAGTGTGAGTGATAAAGACACGGCACCTTATTTCTTTCTTTCTTTCTTTCTATACGTCCGAATTAATTTACGAGAGGGTTTAATTTATCTGAACATCGACGTCCGATTCGTTCTTTGTTGTCTGTAGTAAAGTGAACTTGACATCGTCGTTAAAGCGGTACGATTTAAGTCTTTGTCTTTGATAAAGTGATACGAAGGAAAAAAATAATCAGTTTTTCTTACCTTACACATCTGCTTTCACATCGAACAATAATCAGGCGGAGCATAGTTTTTTCAATATCATTCGGGATTGATTATCTCTTTGATCTTATTTGTTCAACTAATTAGGAAGCAGAACGAAAGACGACAATGCGAAGATGCATATGATTAAACAAAGAAAGAAAGGTTTACTACGATGACCGCAACCATCAGAAGAGAAGAGAACAAGAACATGAAACATTTTGATTACAGTAAGATTTCAATTGGAAAATTTTCGAAGTATAGGTAATGAATTTCAAACAGTGTTTATTTCTGTGCCACCTACTGAGTGCATGATTTGAATATGAAAATTTCTTGACAATTAAATTGTGAACTTGAGTTTCATCATAACTTTCTTGAGTGATATATGAAAAAACGTGAATGCATGAGTCCGATCGATGATCGAAACCGGAACCTCGCGAATCATACCATTAGATCATCAAGCCTTGGACTCTAATTTTCAAAGTTTCCATTCGCCGTCTTTAATTAATAATCTTTGCAAAATAACAATATTTGTTATGGTCTACGTCTCCATTTAGCAGGCAACTCATATAAACAACAACAATTATGCGTAACTCGAACTAATCGTTCGATTGATATACAAATAATCGAACAGATTTCTCTCATCTGTAAGATGGTGATAGTACGATTTATCTGCATCTAGAACGTATCATTGACAGCAGACCATATGTGACATCGTCATCTTTCCACGAGACTTTTTGTTTATGAGAACAGATCGAGCTGAGAAAAAAAAACATCCAGATATATCATTTTAGCTTCATCTTCTACTGAATGTTGGTCAAAACTAATCTCTATTGCACCAAAAAGTAAGACTTCTATTAAAGTAAAAACCGAAGTCAATGGTTCAGTTATATTGAAAGATATAGATAAGATAACTCATCTAGGATAAAATACAATTCGCTTTAAGCTAAGCAGTACTCAATGTATAGCAACATATGTCGTTCCGAGAGGCTAACTGGAATATTGGATAGCGCAAGAAATGATCTTAGCTGAGACAAAGGTCACTGGTCATTGCACAAATCTGTCTAATGTCAATGAGTATTCATAAGTTAGATGAGTTTGACGTTGCAGAAAAATGCGTTCTTTTTTCCTCGCTTTTCAATAGTGTCAGATTAGATCTGATCGATGCATTTATGTTCGTGTTGATTATTTTATTTCGCTGATTATATTCGTCAGGAACTCGCTCAAGAAAATAAATGAGATCGATTAATATGACTTCATCGGCGAGCACATCGATTTAATATCATTCATATTCCCAATAGAACACGCGAAGCGAGACGAAGAAGAAGACCAAGAAAACTTTGTGTCTATGAGTAATCATAGTTCACACACTCTTACGATAAATGTTCTTTAGTCGTAATGCACGTGGACAACGATAACATTCGGTAGATAGAAGAGAACGAAGAGGAACATTGTCTTACCTTACTCTCAATAATTCGTTCTGTATGAAAGGACAAACGAAAATAAGCAACCATCAACGATTTTATATCATAGGTAAGTTAAAAAGCAACGTATCGATCAATGTGACGTTTTTTTAATGTAGTTTAATATAGTGAACAGGTTGATATAGATCTCTGCAGCATGTTCTTTCGGTTACGTTTGATTCTTGTTCGAAGTTGTGTTATTTCGTTGGTTATCGTTGTCATTCTACAAAGTTTTCTATTTATCAAGAACGAATTATATGAACTACAGAAGACGAAACGATTGTTACGCGCAGAAGCACAGTTTTGGCAGAAACTTGCTGAAGAAGATGAAGGTTTGACAGATCAACAACGAATTCGACAAATTGAATCGATTAAACAGTCAAGTATTGATTCGAATATTAACTGGACAAATGTATTTTTCGATAATTATCGACGAAAATTATTACGCTTGACCGAAAGAGATTCACACAATATGAATAAATATCGATTTCGAGATATCCAAGGAAATATTTCTCAGAAAATCTTTGATGTCTTCGAAGAAACTCTTGTAAGTTCACTTGGAATGCAATTTCTCCGATGAATTTCACTTTTTTTTCAGGTTTTTACTCGTCCAAAATTCTGCTCATCATCGCGAGTGTTTCATCCCCAATGTCCGTATACAAACTGCCGTTGGAGTTGTGAAATGCCGATGAAAGATTCTAACAATTTTCGTCGTGCCAGTGTATTTCATCATGTCGATATCAATGAAACTGAAATGCATGAGAAATTGCAACATCGTTCTTACAAAGACATTTGGATCCTATGGATTGATGAAGCGAATCGATCAATAAGTCATTTGAATCAATATAAATTCAATTGGACACTAAGTTTTCGTCAAGATTCAGAAGTTTCCATCGGTACGTATGGAATTCTAGTAGTACAAGATAAAACGAAAATCTCTTCGAAAGAGAATGTAATTCACGATCAAAGATACCTTCAACTTTTTCACAATCGAAATATTCACCTATCTTACGTAACTATCGAAAACCGTATTTTGCTCAATTATCGATACCGTCAGAAATATGCACTCTGGTTCGTTTCGAATTGTTCACCTCAACGTCGTCTCAAATATTATTCGGAATTAAAACAGTTCTATCCAATCGTTGCCTATGGAAATTGTGTGGCAAATAAATGCGATCGTAATGATCAATGTGAATACAAACAATCTCATCTCGCGATGTTTTATCTGTCGTTTGAATCACAGCAATGTCAAGATTATATAACTGAAAAGTTCTGGCGAGCATTACACTATGGAATGATACCGATTGTTCTCGGTCCATCGAAACAATGCTATCTAGATTTGGGCGTACCGCATTCAGCATTTATACATACAGATGATTATCCATCGCCCGAGGAACTTGCCGATCATTTACGTGCGATATCAACGGATTATTTTCTTTATAGGAAATATTTTCAATGGTTACTTCGATACGAAGCTTTCTATGAAACAGATACGTTAGAGCCGATACGAATGTGTGAATTATGTATGAGATTGAACCTGCAAGACTATCAAGAACATAGTTTTTATACGAATGTTCATGAATGGCATCGCGCGTCGTGTTAAAGTTTGAAGAGTTCATTTTGTTGTTTTTTATCTGTTTGTACATATAAAATCAGTCGAAGGATGTTGGAATATTGATTGCGAAGAAAACTGTCAAGTTTTATTAATAACGACATGATCTACATACTAATAATGCGACACACCTATATATTAAAAAGACGTTTTTTTTCCTTGCTTGTTGCTATTGTTTACAATAATGAAAACGATAACGTTGGTGAGTCGAAAATTTTGATTTATAAGAAAAAAAATCGGCTCTCCACTCGAGCACTCACTATTTACTTTTAACGCAGTCACTCTTGTTAAAATTCTACTTCAATTAACAGAAAAGAACGAGTAGCAATAGAGAGAAAAGCAATGTTGTTGAGAGCGTCTCTGCCATCAAGATCGTCCATAACGACGATCAGCATCAATGGTAACCAGCATCTGTATATACACACCAAACATTTCTTTTCTTCTCACCTGTGTATTTTGTCCATTCTTTAATCTAAAATAATTTTTCAAACTTTTATTATTTTTTTCCTCACTACTATTGAAATTATGCCGTCTGAGCTTTTTCAACCTTTGCTACACGATCCATTAGGATGGAAACAATCGACGACATCCTATACGGACCATTACAAATGGAGAAAGCTTAATTCGAAAAACAAGGATAAACTCATTTCTGCTTATAGCCAACGATATCAACGGCAATTGCGTAAACGGAAAACAAATAATCAACGTCAACCATTGAAAGCCAATGAAGAACAACCGGCAAACCGAATCATTGTATTGAATAAATGTGGAGATAAGCAACAATCGGCAACGTACCGATATTTACCAACGAAAACACCGGTGTACATCGTTGAACAAAAACCGAGGCCTGCAACAGCAAATGTGGTTAGAACTTTTTGTTGCGGACTGCCAATGTAGTTACTTTCGTTTTGTTGTCTCACTTATCTAGGAATCAACCTGTTGTACACAAGAATTACAACGCCCACCAACGGCTCCGCCAGCTTTTCAAGGTAAATGTTAACATACGAAAGATTCACATCTCCCTTCTTTTCCAACAGAAGAAACAAGTCCGCCGACAGAAATTCAACAGTCCGTCAAAGAAGAAACTAAGGAAAAAGAGAAACGTCCAGTTGATGCCGACAATGACAATTCACGACATTGGCTAACTTTTCCCACTCCAAAAACACCGCAGAAAATAATTGATGCCAAACAACGCCTCGGACAATTAAACATTCCTTCTACTCTTGCTCGACCTTCAACAGCATCGAATCCACCAACGGAAAAACAACAAACAGCTCAACCAATTAATCGACCATCATCGGCTTCTGCCCCACAGACAAAGCCAGCTGACGATCAACACCGTTTTCTCAGTTTCGAAAAACGCGAAACACCTGACGATTTACGCGCTGCACGGTATCGTCTCGATAAACATCGATATAATGTATCAATAGACAATTATCCACCACGTCCAAAGACTTGCCCAGAACGTCGATATGACTCACCTAAACCAGTTACTCCACCAACCTGGAAAATAGAATCACCGTCATCTCAACCAGCGAAAGCTGATGTATGGGTTGTCGAAGATGAATGCAAACCGGCAACACCCGCATCCCGACCATCGTCTTCATCTAAGTACATACAAATTGTAAATTGTGACAACGTTCCAAGTGAATACGCAACTGCACTTGAAATATCCAATGCTGCGCAAAAGGAATACGAAAAAAATTTGAAAATAAATGGTGGTCGTAAACCTGAGAACTTTGCTTATCGACTCCCAACAATGCTATCTGACAATAAAAACGTTTCATGCGTAAGTCAATAATCATTAGTCGAAGGAAAACGAACGCATGGTCAACTAAGGTTTCTTTTCTGCCTTTATATATGTTAAGATTACCTATCAGAATCCGCAACAGATGACAGGTATGGACAGTCAAGTACGTCAAGTTACACGATCATCTGACAACGATCTAGGCGTTTGGATTCGAAATGCTACAGATAGAGGTAAAGTAAGAAAAGAGGACTTTTCAATGATCATGTAACTGGTATAGAACGAGCATCAGCGTTGAAAATCGTACAAGATGTTCTCAATCCATCGCATTTTGGCTATGACAGACAAGCATCGAACCGAACCTTATCAGGCACACGAAAACTAGGCCGCACACGTACTCAGCATAAGTTTCCATGTGAAATATGCGAAAAACTTCTTATCAAACGGCATGTTTGGGATTTGAATGGGTAAGTGACGAGCGTCCCATTCTTTCAAAGAAACACAATATTTCATATTCAACAGGTTAGAAGAAACATTAAGTTGTCCACATCATCCTTAGAGCATAAGATCAGAGGTTTGCGCATGCATGCATGATATTTTGTTTTCACTCGTGTTCATGTTTATTCACATAGAATTTTGTTTTCTTCCGAACTTCTTTTTGTTGATTTATCTTGTGTTTGTTCTTCTAGATTCAAATGTCCACATGCAACAACGATCGAGTAGAAACCAAATATTTGAACACTGTTTTCTTCTTCTTCTGTTTTTTTATCATTTATTTTTGTAAAAACACGACAAAAATTATACATAATGTTAATGAGAATACATCAGAAAGAAAGCTTTTTGTCAGCGAAGAAGAAGAAGAACCGAGATCTTTTAATGAATGTGTTGTTGTTGGATGGTAATAAATTAAATCACGTAACTGACGACGTCGAATTTCATTACAATGGATCAGAAGACCATGAGTTTGATTGATAGAAAAATGCTCGATTTTATGTTCATTACTCGTCAGAATATGCAACATTCGATGGTTCCGTCGACGACGTTTCCGAGGTTGTGGCATAGTAGAAGATGTTTCATCGATGGTTTCAGATTCACCTGGATACGTCTCAGATATCTTTGTTAAAATCTTGAAAAACTTGATTGAAAACGGAAACTTTAAGTACAACATATTTCTGTCATCAAAACAAACTTTTTCAAACAATGCAACATCGGCCAAATCTGATGTATTCGTTGTTGGTAATACTTCAGTTTCTTGAGTTGTCATTGTCGTCGTTGTTATCGGCGGATACGATTTTGTGGTTGTTGTGTCTATTCGAGTCGTGTGCGTTGATTGAGTTTTGATGCAGTTTACCTGTACAGAAGGATATAAATAACTACTGACTGATCACTATGACCTACTGAATTGGCTATTTCACATTCTTTCAAATTGCTGTCAAATTCAGTTCCAGCTGGACACTTGCGTTTAACCGCTCGCACATACACTGTATCGACAAAGATGCAATGCCAATAATATCGGCAATCTTCTACATTTATCATTGGATGCAATGAATCATCTTCATGCCCTGTGCAATCAAATGTGTCTTCTCCGTGAATTTCACTTGTTAAGAGGTACAGGGAAAGTATAGTAGTTATTAATGATACAATCATTTCAAATAAAGAAAAGCTTGTATAGACTACGTCTATTGATTCAAATGATTAGTAATTGAGTCAATGAGTTTCTTTTGTCTGAGTATGCATTTGTTTGCTATGAAAAGAAGTCGGCCTCGTCATTCGATGTCATTAATGAACATTGAAGCGCTATTGTAACACTTTTATGTGCGCGTGTTGTTGATGAATATGTTTTGTAATGATAAAATCTACGAAACAAAATAGGCCGGATTCTTTTTTCTCTGCATAAGCAGTTATTAATATGATTATTTTGGCGAAGGTGAAATGAAATATTCAGATATAATTCAAGATAAATATACAAGCGTCCTTTAGCTCTCTACTGTACTAGATAAAAGACAGAAAGAAACAAATATTGAAGCGATGATAATGTATAAGCCGGAGGGGCTTCACTAAATTGAGTACATATTAAGCCTTGTTATAATATCGTTCAGCTTTGAACATTCCAAACAATGAGATTATTGAGCACTAATTGATAATCGATACGTTCACAAAGTGATGTTCTTAAACTTGTATTGAACAACGATAGATTGGATCTGACTTGATGCAATTGATATTAAGCTTTGTTTAAACTCTTCTTGAGGAACATAACAGCTGACATTAAGAAAATCAAGGTCAAATGACTGTAGTGTAATAGATGCGAAGACGAGGACTAAATCCATCGGCGTATTAATGACAATGTTTACCTATATGATATGTTTTTCTATCCAGCCAAGGCAACAACGCATGACTGATTTTCTACGCTGTCTAAAATGTATTATCCCTATAGTATGTTCAGGGCCGAAAGCATTTGCTATTTATCTCCTTACTTAATACTACTCCGTTATACGAGATGCAGGGAATCGGGTACTATGGTGGTGCTTCCGCTGCACCTCTTTCGACGGGTATCATGGCTGCGGCAGCCACCGGTGTGGCTCTCATTATCGTCGGTACAAGTCTTGGCTTAGGTCTAGGTATTGGTCTTCACAGCGATGACCAAAATTTGACATCAATTACAACGACCGGTAAGAATGCGTGTACCGCTCTTATTCAAATAGAAGATATTGATCGGAATATGAAAAAATTGAATAGATAAAAACAGGGAATGAATATTCCTTTTTTTGAAAATATGTTCCTTTGTTACAGAAATCAGTAATTACTCATTCAGCAGTTTCATTTATACTTATAATCAAATACTAAGTTTTTTCTTATTATTTCATTCACCGTGATAGTAAATCCAGCCCTTACAACAACGATATCAACAACAACGGTGTCGACAACAACAACAACAAGCACATGTGAGTAGAACAACTTAAGCACTGAAAAGACATTGATATCAACTGTATCTTGCATGTAGAAATGACAGTTGATGAGAAGTTTGACGAGTTGAAACACCTGTACAATTACGCCAATTCTTTGATGATCTTAACTACTATGTTGTTTTTCGTTCGATTTAACTAGCTACAAATCAATCTGTATACCAGGGATCTCTATCAAGTAGTAGTGCAGTGTATGGCGGCGTCAATCAATCATCAACTAACTACACATACGAAGTGATTCAAGTGGTTCCTGATACGAATGGTAGTTACACCTTTGTTAGTACTAGTGGTAGTAACTTGCAATTCTATGGGTATTTGTACAACGGCAGTTTTATTCCTTCGAGTCCACTGACGAATTTGATTACAAGATCTGATAGTTTAACAGGAACGTTACAATTTAATCTTACAAGTACACTTGTAGAGAATTCTGAATATCTCCTGGTCGTCACAACTTCAAATCAAACAGCAACAGGGTCATTTAATATCACTGCAACTGGCCCCGGATTGGTCGCGTTTACTCGTCGAAGTGTCGCTGCAACTTCAGGTAAGCACGTATTTGATTTGTATCTTGCGAGCAGACTGATGACGACAATCGTGTGTGGATTAAATCGAGGGCGTGAGGATAAAGTCGTTGATCAGGTCCAATTGTTTCATTAGTATAGAGCAAATAAAATGTTAGATGGAATTTTCAAGCGATTACAAATGCCTCAATGATCTTTCGTTGTGCATCTTTCATTTATATTTACAGCTACTTATGGAGCTATTGTTATCAACACAACTAATACACAGCTCACCGGTAATCTCTTTGTGAACACGAATGACGTTGTCAAAGACGTAGATGGAGTACTTACATTTGCTTATATAAGTCAAGTTACTATGACATTCTTTACGGCACCAACCGTTGGCTCAGGTTTGATATACATTGTTGTATTAAATCGAACTGGTTCCACACTCATATTTTCTCCAAACGCTACCTACCAAATTCCTACTGCCAATATTACATCGACAGCAAGTGTTCAAACATATAGTATTCCTCGTAATCAACTTCCTGTCGTCAGTGGTCAGTACGTAGGTGTGGGATTGAGCACGGGTGGTGGTAGTTTGAACCAGTTGGCGAACGTCCCTTCAGCATCTCTTGTTGTTTCGAATTTCGGGACATTGGCAGCAGCGACGTATACAAACAACACCAATGGAGTTGCATTTCAATTCGTACTTTATACTACAACTGCTGTTATCGGTTAGTCTTAATGAATCAGTTAGAAGACATGTTTGATCTTTTAATGTTGTGCTATAACAGTACACTTAATTGATCGATATATATATATATATGTGTGTGTGTGTGTGTTATTTTCATCTACTAATATTTATGTTTATTTTTTTTAAACTAACTCTGAGTTTTATTACAATCTTCTTTGGTTCAAATAAACTATGTAATTATACTTTAGGAAAGGCAATTGGATCACTTGGACAAAAATGTATTCTATGAAGTTTAATCATAAAAATAGACTCTCTTCTATTTCCAGGTTTCGATATTATTTCAAGAAAACAAACAAGACAGGGAAAATATCATATGAAAGAAACTGAAGACAAGAGTGAGGGTGAATTTTTTCGTTTGTATTGACCAGAAAATATCCTAAAATAGAAACTTTGATCATCGTCTACATATTATGTTGAACAAAGAAGAAAAGAGTCTTGTGATTGCAGAGATATACGTTTAACTTTCTAGTTCGAGTCCCAGACCAACTTTATGTCCACCAGCATTCAAATTTCGAACTTCGAATAATCCTGACAGAGTTAGTTTAGCACCTAAATAGAAAAAAAGAACACGACGTTTTGCAAATCTGAATAATGTTCGCACATCAGAATTATGGATAAGACATACCTGGACGAAGGAGCTGTTGAAATGAAACACCAACTTGACAGATATTATTAACTTTAAGACCAACGGCAGTCTGAGGATCAATTTGATATTTGGAAGCGAGAGCAAAGCGAGTTTGATTTGTGCCTGCTGCCCAAGCTAATTGAACACCAGTTTCAAGTCGACTGTTAAGACGTTGATAAACACTACCACCAACTTCATTTCCGTCGTTTCTATCAAACAAGAAATTGAATCGATGACAATCCTCTTGCAACAAAAATATTTCTTACAAATTGGCGAATAAAGTAAAATCTCTGCCTTTGAATCCAACAGCAAAATTATTCTTTGTTAACGCTGCTTTGGTTGTGCTATAAACGTATTGATAACCAGCCAACCAACCTTGATGACCTAAGACAACAGCTCCATTGAGGATTGGACCAGCAGCATCGAAGCCAATATTTGTTTCAACATGAGCTTTATCATGAACAAAAGATGTACGAAGATCGGCAGTCTTCTTTCTGAAATAGACAGCAATGACAATGTATTTAATCAAAATTAACGTAGTCAATTATACCCTGTTTGAGGACTAAGGCTTCCATCAAAAACCAGCTTGAAACCTTGGGCTAATTGATCGTCAGCTGTGACCTCTACTTTAAGTAAATTATCGGTATTCCATTTTTCCAAAAATGTTAATCCATATTGAGGAACGACATATTTCGTTTCTAAACTGCCGACAGTTCGTGTTGTTTCAGTATTATGTTCACCGATTATATTGAAATTCACTTTATTCTCTGTACGAGTCTTGATATCCAATTTGAATACATTGAAAACTAGTCAAGATTTAAGATTAGTTAGATCGATAATACACGACAAATAAACTTACAGTAGCCTTTGTTGAAGATATCTGAGGCTTGCTTGTTGAGGTCGGCGAATTTTGGTGGAGCCATGAATTCAATTTCGAGAAAATGGAACACTTGTTTCAACAGCTGAAAGTAAATAAATAAAATAATACTATGTTGGAGATGGATCACATATATTGACCTTTTTATTAGTTGAAATATCAACCAATTAGAAATCGTCTGCCGACACATCTGCTGCTTTCTGCGATATTCTATGTAAAATCTTTCATTTTGTAAAAATGAACAAGATCTGTAAAAAAGAAATTCTATTGGTAATTAGAAAGTATAAAATACGATGAAACAAAGGAGGCAGTCGCTCAGTTTAATCACAGTGCAATGGCAAAATTCGTGATCGCTGGTAATGTCGAACGGATGATATCGAAGATTTTCGTAAAAATCTCTTCTAAAATCTTTAGGAAAAGCAAATTGTCCACATTATGCTAAGGCAGAGTTACTTGGAGATTACCTCCAACGTAATTTACCCAACTTTATCGTTCATAAATGGCCAATTGAGCCAAAAGTAAGTCAAACGGAAAAGGTTTTGTAGAAAAGTAAATGACTATCGGATGCGAAGTAGAGCGATCTGAATGAATTTAGGACTGGGACAACTGGGCGAAGGCTGCTTGTGAGAAAAATCAATGGAAACCACCAAAACAATCATCTCCACTCGTATGGCGTGAATTAATCGATCGCGGTGGTCGTGGAACACTTGTAGGTGATCTCGATGATTTCCAGGAATATGCCCATTGTTACTATGGAACTCTTCTCAATCATTTTATGGCCAATACATCAGCATTGTTTCGTTCAATTGCTGAAGAAAATTCTCAGCAATACACTGCTGATCTGGAATTCAATCAACGATATATAGAAAAAACTGTGAATCCGTACCATATATGTATCATTGGCGCCGATCATCCATGTGCCTATGCTCTCTTTCCGGATTTGTTGTCCTCGAAACTATTTCCTAATCGAGATATTTGCCTACAATTAGCGACACATGATCCAACAAAATTAGCAGCATTACAAGCTATTGCCATGGAAATCGAAGATCTTGCTTGTAAACAATTCCGTTCGATCGAAGTTTGCTTACAAGATCAGAAAGAAACTTCTTATAAGAACATGGATTTTATTTTAATTCTCGATGATTATTTTAATGAAGAGAAGGAAAAGCATTTCCGTGACGGAATTACCGAAAAGAAAAGATTAAATCAAGGGTACGATGAACAAAACTTATTTGCCGATGAACGTCCACCATACAAGCCCGAAAAGATGACATATGATTTAAAATCCGCTTATCAACATTACAAAACTCTTGCCAATCATATGCAAGCCAATCTCAAAGTCACCTGTCGAATACTGATCGCTTGTTCAAATTCAGTTATGATCGCAACACAAGCATTCATTCGAACAATTAAATCTATTCCATCCCATCATATTCTTGGCCTCGCTCGGACCATTGAAAATCAAGCAAAAGCAAGAATCGGCAAGAAACTCTGCTTGGACATCAAAAGTAAGAAAGTTGATTCGATGATGCTCGTCTAAGTCTTATTTTTTTTCCTACACTAATTAACTTTGTTACGGTCTGTGTTAGAGTGTTAACAATATTTCTACTACGGTCTATATGAGAAATGCTGCCAAGGTGTCTGTCACGGTCTAGAATAAAACATTGTTACGGTGTCTATCACGGTCTGCGGGACTAAATGAAGATTCTTTCTTTTCTCTTCGTGATACACCAAAAGTTGTTTCTCGGTTAATTAAGAACAAGATTATGTTTAAAACTGTCGTCAGTGTCTACCAGCTGATGTCGAATGGTAACTGATCGAAGTTGAAGAAATGAATGTAGTTTCTCTTGGTAATGACATATGTTAGTTATGTGATAGATGAGCATCTCTATATCAAATGACAAAATGTCCTTTCTCTCGCTATTTATAAACATAATGTTTTTGTATATGTTATTACCAACGAAATCAATAATTTCTTATTGATTACACAATAATATTTATGACCTTCTTTTCCGAATCGAATCGAAAAGTTTCTAAAAGTTGATATACATTCGAAATCAAACTTTTAATTGTAGGTTTTGTTTGACAAGAGAGAAAGAGTGGATTTGAATGTTTTGTTATAGATGTGGTGGATTTGCACATTATTGGAGATGTTAATGGCGAATATGTTATCGATACCAATACTTGTCAAGCAGTTGATTATGAAGGAGCTATTTGGGCACAAACGTTCTTACGAAACTCGACTGAAATGTTGGCCGATTCGAAATACATTCGCGAAGTCATTGGTAAAGAAGTTGAAGAGCGCGGTAAACTATTTCTATGACTGATTAACTTTTCTCATAAGCGTGTATCAATTTAGAATTCGAATTGTATACTCATGTAGAACAGAATCGAACACTGGTTCAAACTCAAGCGCGAGCTATTCTATCGTTTATCAAAGGTAAATACCAGTAATCGTGAACCTTTTCATCGAATAAAATGATGTTTGATTTTAAAGATTGGATCAACGGGTCAAATGATGCGCATTCATATTCGTGTGTGATGTCCTGTTCAAATTCTACTTTAGGTTTAACTGAAACAAATGACGAAGAGCAAACAGATAAGAACATCATTTGTTCGATACCCGTACTGATGAAAGGACAAGACGAGATATTGCCCATTGATTTGAATCTATCAAATGATAATCGAACTGCACTCATTCGAATCCTCAAGGTATCGTTACATTTTTCTTCTCACTCTTCTTTTAATACATATCAATAGAATTCAATCAATGTTCTCTCCTTTCATTTTAATAGGACATGCAAATCAAGTACAAAATGGATTGATTATCATGAAACTATTCGTATTTAATCGCGTTTCTTTTCTTGCTCTGCACATTTTTGTTCCTCTCCACCTTATCAAAACAACATTTTCGATTTCGCTCTCCATCCCTTCCTCTCTCTCTCTCTCGCGTTCTCTTTTTTGCTCATTTTTTTTGCATTGCTTTTATCAAAACGACTAACATGATAATAATAATGATGATGGAGACGAACTTGTCTCTTCTTTTTTCTCGAAATATGCATGTCGCGTTGCGCTCAATCGTGCATGACAAATTTTTTGTTCAGCATTTTTATACAAAATATGCGGAGAAAACAAATCGACATCCATTTCGCTTGGTCCACAACGGTAAAAAGAGCGAGAGAAGAAAAAAATTGAATAAGATATATATGCATACTTGTGACACGACCGGACTATACGCTCACGCTATCAACACACAACTATTGCCCGAGCGTATCGTACATACCCATCAAAATGATTAATACAAGTGTTCACTGTGTTCACTGATGTGTACTCTAGTTTCTTAGTGTAAAAGTAATCACAGGAGTATCGGAAACATTCAAATTCACGTAATGTATTATCCACAATATTACTCTACACCGCCACAGCAGCAACCACAACAGCAGCAACAGCAGCAGCAACAACAGCAACAGCAACAGCCGCCGCAACATCATCCTCAACAACAGCAACAGCAACAACAACAACCACCGTTACATAATAATCAAGATCCTCATCATACGTATAGGGCGGCTTATTCATCGTTTTACCGGCCTAGTCCAGCACAAAACCGAAGCAGTCATAATCTAAATTTCAGTCGCGAATTTGAACGTTTTCCCACACCACCACATGGCTACAGTTCCATGCCATCAGGTGCCTATCCATTCTATGATACCACCAATCAGAAACAACGCTGGCGAGCAGGTTCAACTCGAATACCGCATCAATATCATCGAACGCCAGCGTTCCATTTCCAAGATAAATCAACTTATTATTATATGTCTGATCCAATAATTAGCAACGATAATCGAATCACTGTAAACTAAAAAGAAATCGTTTTTTCTTTTGATATGAAAATCATTCTACTCGAATTGTTTTCTCTGCATAGATTCAATTAACGAAAGTTCATATTGGACACAATGGTGATCAACAGCGTGTATTCGTCGAACAGGAATTTAGTGATGAACACGAACTGAAGAAATTTGTGAAAAATCTACGACACAACTTCGAAAAAACGTTCAATAATCGTGCTACTGGTGTACATAGTAGCGGTGAAAATCTTGATGAAAATCACACGACGAGTAATAAGAAAGCTGGGTAACGAGAGACATATTTCATGCATCTATTGACACTGATGCAATAAATCATTTCAGAGTCATCGTAGTAGAAGAGCCAGACGAAGAACCGAAAATCTACGAGCAGCAAGCTTATAATGAAAACATTGAATCGAAGCAATCAGCAAATAACCGTTCGTCAATAGCAAATTCGCCACGATTAGATAGCTGTGATCATTGTCGACGTTCACCAATTGATTCCTCATGCTCAACAGTTCGAACGAATCGACGTCGAAAGCATAAAATGAAACATCATCGAGATAAGATTGACAATGAGTTGCACATCGAGGAAAAAGAACCACCTCTTCCACCCCCGCCTCTTCTATCGACACAACAACAGCAGCACAGTGAAAAAATGGCCAGCTATTCCCGTCAATACGAACCTTCCCCTCGTTTTCCACAACATCGCACTTTGCCAAAAGATAAAGACTTTCGATTGAGAAATGACTTTAGCGTTCCACCCAATCTGACTTCTCAATGGGTATGTCATATAATTATACATATCATTTGGAAAACTTGTCTTTTATTTCTAGAGATACAACGGATATTCCCATTCATTAAATAGTCGATCACGTTCATATATTCCAGCAATGAATGAAAACTATCCTCCGTCAACGCCTTCCCGCTTTCAATACACTAAAGATCCATTCTTTCGTCCTATTCGTCCTCCCACCCCATCTCGTTTCATTCATTCCAAGACTCAACATAAATCTCAACCATCTCCTCGGTTTCAAACCACCTCCCAACATCGACGAAATCAACCCACAAGCATTGCTGAACATTTCACGTTTATGAATAATGAACATCAACAACCTCGTGTTCATCGTACACGTTCCGAATGTCGACCTCAAGCTCCCGTCCGAAGTGGAAGTAAAACATTTCCCTATCTTGATTACAATGCCAACTTCAACCAACGTTATTTTAATCCCTATCTACATTCATCAGCGCAAATATTTTATTCTCAACGACGTTTCTTTCGCAATCCACAAAAACATTCATGTTTATTTAATTCTTATCGTCCAAATTCTAAACGTTTTTAGTTTTTATAATTTCTTATTTCTATCACAATTTGTTTCAATACATAATATTCCCATGTTGGAATCTCCAATTGAACAGGGCCAGATATATTGAGGATGAAATAAGCCATTGAGACCATCTGGTATTCGACTAGCCACGCCGGATAAACTTGAATCTTGACGACTCCAATCGTGACCTAAACGAAAAATGAAATATGATGAAAACAAAACGTAGAAAGAAGATCCTTTCTCCCTCTCTCTCATACTAACAAGTATCTTTCGATGCTGTGCCATTAACAGCGGTTCCATGCCACCAATATTGAAATCTAGACAAAGATAATCTGTTCACTGAAAAAGACACTAGTCAACGAAATCTAACACTTACTCAGGCTTTGATCCCTGTATGTCAAGAATTTCACTTTGTGGTGGTTTTTGTTCGAACATGTCTCCAAACGCATCGAATAGAATTTGGTCCTATAAGCAGCCGAATTTTATTACCATAGAATATTCGATCAAGGAAAGCTGACTTTCATATTAACAATCTTAGCGTTAACACATATGCCGGCAAATAGATTCGATAACCATTGTGTGCTTGAGGACATGAATGCTCGGTAGGATCCTTTCAGCTGAGATCGACTCAAAACGCTTGAACATAGATTATCGTAGTCTGCGAGTCTAGAACAACTAGTAGTTCCACGATTCGAGTTGCACATTCGTCGAATATGGGGGCCAAGAGCGAACACACGAAGCTAAACAAAATCAATATACAAGTACGTTCATTCTGCTGAATTGAAATGTTTACTGTTGAACATGGAAGTGTTGTTCTGCATTGCTAGATAAGAGAACATACTGCAATAACAAACACAAATGAATACAAACTCTTACCGTTGATGGAATGCTTAGCGTCGTGGGTGGTATTGTTGGTTCTAATACCATGACTGGATACTATCAAGAAGAAGAAAGAAACTAAGTTGTCTGCGATCAAATAATTGATGAATCTGTACTTCATTTCCTAGTCTTATTGGTATTAGTTGACCACGAACTCGAACAAACACTCCTTGTAATCGTCCATATTCATTGACAATATGAACATAGGTATGATCGGGATAGGTCGGCGAAGCTGATATAGCTTGTTGCAATGTTGTAAATACTCTCACACTCATCTAGTAATAGAGAAAAGGAGTTGAGACTGTATTGTTTCTGAAAAACGGTTCAATTCAAACTTGTCCTGATTGTGTACATATAGGTGAACATGATGTGCCAGTGTCACCTCGGTCACCTTTTTCGCCTTTCAATCGAATATACTAAAGAAAAGGCGTGAGAAAATCTTTTTAAATCATACAAATGATCCATACGGTATTATAGTCTAAAGTGAACTGCGTGGTAGTAACTGTTGTTGGTGGGGGCGCTGTTGGACATACACAGGATACTCCTTGAGTATTTCGATAGGCAATTTTCTGCGAAGAAGAAGAAGAGAGTGAAATTTTGCATTAGACTTCAGAAGAATGACTGCACTTTGGCATCACTGATCAATTGATTGATAGATTGAGCAAGACGTTCTAAATTAATGCGTGTGCCAAGGCATTCTTTCGTATATGTATCAAACTTTCGACCACAATCTGTACGATGAAAGTCACCTTAGGATAGAATGATCATTGAAAAATATTTTATTGGCACATACCTGTTGGACAAATGCCTATGTCACCTTTTTCTCCGCGTTCACCCTAAATCAAGTCTCTACAAGATGACCTTTTCCGAAAATCTTCCTACTTTTTCACAGGGACATTGCGAATAGGTCTATAGAATAAATCAAGTTCATTAGTGACGACAAACGAGTCTCTCTGACATTACCTGAGGTGTATATTTGGCAAAAGCAGTCGTAGTACTTCCCTACAAAAGACAAACATATCACCATTATCAAGTATGTCTGTATTGATTCTTAATTATAACAATAACTTCCATTGAACTCATCTGACTAGATCAATGTATAGAAATTTGATCGGAATCTATTATTAATGCGTAATACGTTTCCGGAATGGTGGTAATACATCAAGAGAATATCTTTGTTTACACTGAATCGAAGACACGTCCGGGTACATACAATCCATCATTTTTGTTTATGTAATTATTTCGAGAAAAAAAAAGAAACAAGTTATTGCAATACCTGACAAATAAGACCTAACACAAGTAAAATGAACATCAATACCAAGCGAAGTAATCAAGTAATAAATCGACATATGGAATCAAGAAGATCGTTTCTCTCGATATCCTTCTCTTATTCTAATTAAATATAGAAAAAAAATATTTTCGTGGTATTAAGAATAATAGACTCGTAATACAAGGCTAGCGGTAAAGTAATTATTCAATTGCTGTGCTCGACTTACTCTCTTGAATGCATCGATATTGAGTCTTCTATTCCTACTGTTTATTTATCAAGAAAGACATATAGAAGCAAACTTTACCATTTGAAGAACGGACTTATGATGATAATGCTAAACTGCGTCGTGCTGCTTTGTCGAGTACTTCTTGTTTAATCAAAAGACCAAAAAGAAAAAACTCATTTGGTTATTCGTCGTTTTTCGATCCAGCTGACTGGGAACAAATTAGAAAGTTGAATAAATTAGCCTAGAAAAAGGGCACTCGAAGACAACTATTGTCGAACCAAAATACATCTTTCGAGAACGGACCAGCTGCTCATTAGGTCGGCATGTATGTAACGATGATTAATTACTTTTTTGTTTCCTCAATACAGAAAAAAAGCTTACCATGGTAATGGTTACAAGAGTCATATTTGAATAGAAAGGTGGTAAATCCTTGTTTTCAAGCATATCACCGGAACCATCAAAAATTGGTGTTTCATCTTCGCCGATTGGATACATCGATCGTTTTTGTCGGTCATTTAAACGAAATCCTTCTTCTTGTTCAAGTATACGACTCAATTGCTCAATTAACAATTCATTGTTAAGATCCTCGGATGCGTCTTGTTGAAAAGCCGTATCGACAATATGTTTAAGATTACGAACAATTGGATCAAGCTGATCGTTGTTGTTGTTGCTGTTTGTTGATGAACTCATTAGAACGAATGTACACAGACCATAGATAATGATCATTAGAATTAGCCGAGAAAGAAGAACGTACATTTGCCGGTGCTTTCATTTAGTCAGTAATGTGTAATAATAATTTCTTCGTTTGTTTATCATTATAGTTGACAAGAAACAAGAGAATGTCATTGTCTAAGAGAGAGTCTGTCCTTTTGTTTCGAACGATTTTCTCTATCTTCTCTGTCGACCTATGTCGGATATTCGTAGATATGCAGGAGAAGAAAAGAAGGAATCATTTTTTATTTCTTCTTTGTTTGTATTACAAACATCACAAATAAAAAATAAAAGAGCAATGTAGAAGAGTACGACAATGACACAGAAATGAATAAAAAATTGTTATTAATGTTTGTACGAATAGAATATGTATTGCACAAAGACAATCGAAAAAATGAAGAAAAACAGTTCTTATTTAGGTCCAACGAAGATTTCTACGTCATCATTTTGATTAGCAGCGTTCGCCGCTGCCTTTCGTCGTTCTTGAATCAATTTCTTAAGATCGTCATTTGCCGGTTTGCTGCTAGATACTTTCGATTTATTCTGATGTGGTTGTAATTGTTTGAGACGATCGTCGATGATTCGAGGACGATTATTCACTGGAAGGAAAAAGAAGAGAAAATTAATATTCTAAGAATGTCGCGTTCTCCGAATAGACTTACCATCATTGGGATCGTATTCATCTTCCATTGGTGCCCATTGTTTGGCTTTACGTGCATCGAGTTTAGAAAATTTAACCTTAACTTTATCAATCAGTGGATATGTTATATCCCAGAAGCCTTCTAGATCACTATCGAGGGGAGTCGGTTCGCCAGCCGGTGTAGTTGATTTCGACTATTATAGAGATAATGAAAAGTTACGCTTAGATAAACAAACATTTCCTTACAACATTTGCTTGGCATAAACCACGAAACTGTTTGAGTTTTCCTTTTAGTAACAGATTTACTTCCCCAATCGCAGCATTGATGTCAGAACGAACTAAAAGCGGGTCGAAAATGTTTTGTTTATCTGCCAGAAAACAAAAATCAATCATACTAACTGTCATCTGTCAGACGATTATCATCAGTTTGAAGAAGTTTATTGTAGGTGTCTGCTTTTGCCTTGATCACCTTTTCTTCTTCATCCAATCTGGCCAAGAACGCTTGGCCATTCTAAATAGAAGAACAAAGCACAGTCATACACTTGATTGATTCAATAGACTGCAATATAAATACACAAACCCTTGTCATGACTGATCTCGACATCTTTACAAATGAGTATGAAAACCGAAACGAAGTAATTGAACACGTTCTCGGCTCGGAAAATTATATTAGAATACACAATACAAAGTTTTAATTCTATTTAATTGATCAGGAAACTTGTTGTTTTTTATGCTTACCATTTTATCAACGAAGAGAAGAAATTTGTCGTAATAATCACGGATGAAAAAGAGGACGCGACCAGCGTAATGATGAAATGAACGAGAGAAGAAAGAAGAAGAAGAACACGTCTATATATGAACGAAACTGTTGTGTGAATTTCTTCTGTCGGAACTGACTAGTTTATTTACGAGATATGTGCGTGATTCGACAAAAGAAAGAAAAAATGTAGAGAAATAAAGAGAAAAAACAACACAAGTCAGAGAAAGTAAATATGAGTCATCGTCGTCACTCAGCACTTTCTATAAGACAGACAGACTACCATAATAACAAACTTGACATCATTAAAAGAGAAAGAAGAAGGAAAAAAAACGGGAGAACCAACGAATGAAAATTTTTCTTCGTTTTCATCATCTGTCCATCCAAATAATATGATGGAGGGCACTAGCAAACAAAAAAAGAGCGTTTGATGAAGAATAATTTATTCATTCTAGAGGGAATCTATATTGAATAAATATATTGGATTCAATTTCCCCCGATGGCACAATATGTCTATCATGCGTATGTGTGTGCATGCACACAAAATGAACTGGATCAGAGAGATATATGAACTAATCTCACACTCATGTACAAGAAGGAAAGATTAGAAAGTCATTTGTTCGCTTTTTTTTCTTATTCGACAATTGAAATAAGAGCCTATTCAATAATGTAATCATCATTTGTCAACAATCTCACATGACGAAGTACAAAACTTCGCTGCCAGAGAAATAACAAAAGTGTTACTGTCATATCATTTCTTTCTTTTTGATGAAGAATCGTTTGACGCAATAAAATTGTCATATCAGGCAATATAGCTTTCAAATTCATCGTCTTGTCAAGACCGTCTGATCAGACGGAAAGAATAACCATGAACAGTCAATAAAAATTAACGAGCATCGTCGATGTACATAGATCATATGACAAAGTATGCGACTAACTAAATCAATATTTTCCATCAAGCGTCGCTTTCTTATTAATGCATCATTAAAGACTTCCTTGTCTTCCACGACGTATTACAGAACGACAGTAGATATCGAGTAATAGTCTTCGGATAAACAAGCAATCGATGAAAAAATATGAAGCGAGGAAAGTCTTATTTTCATCAGTCAATTGTCGATTGAATATTCAACAATAGTAATCTTACAAAAACTGATGAATTTTTATTTGAGGTTTCAATAAATCTTATTATTTTCGATTGTAGTATTGCTGTTTATTGTGGAGAGACATAACATCCATGCATCAAGTTTCGCATCCATTTTTATTAGCAAACGGTTAACTCGAAACACCAGAGCGAGGAAAAGAGAGAGAGAGAGCAAGTAAGCAAAGCATATAGAGTGATAAGCGAGGTTGTTTGCGATAATTTTTGTATGTGATCGATTTCGTGTTAATTAGGTCCGAGAATAGAAGGGTGTTCAAGAAGAGAAGACACAAAAACAAAAGGAAAGAATACACGCGCACACGCACACAACAATCTGACAAATGAGAGAAGTAAAGATGAACAAAATACTGACAACGAACACTGAATAGAAACATCGATCATCATACAAAAAGGAGAAGAAGATAGCGGTCCATCACCATATCTATGTATAACGTGCGTACGATGTTATTGTTTGAATATCGTTGAATCCAATTCAATTGTTTATTGTATTTACCTGTGGTTCATTATATAATGTCTCTTGAGTTTTCTGTGTTAAATCATCGACAATTGACCAGACATGATCATCAATAGAACTATTTTCTTCGTTATCGAGTGTTAAAACATCTTGTTCAGTGTGACCATTCGATGCTTGATGATCATAGACAGCAGACGATTGCCAATGTAGATTTTCATTTTCTAACAATTCACCAGTACGATCAAGTAGTTCGACATTTGGCGATTCATTACCATCCATTCGATGTTCATCATCATCATTAGCATGCCCTATTTCGAAAGGAAACAACATTTAATTGTTCGATTTGTGATGAACGTCGAGTCATGATCGGTTATTTCATGGTAAATTAACTATATCGTAAGCCAGACAGCAAACTTAACAATCAGGCCTTCAGCAGTCTGACAGCTTCTCCTTGAGAAAACACTCGGTTCTTTTTTGTCAATAGTACTTTGAGGATCAACTTGAGTGATCATCACTCGTTATTTTCAAGGCAAACTACTTCGATTCAATTAAAGTATGTTATGTACTACGGACAAACAAGACTGCGTTTGACATCTAATGACTAACTGTTCAAAAATGAGTCTTCGTGCTAGTTTTCTCGTTCTGGTTAATATCGAATTCGAATGACTGATGTCGAAGGTTATGCAAATGAGCGAAGTCAATGATGACAGTCATTATACAATGAAATAAATGCAAATGATACATCAATGTCTTCCAATAAGAGTGCAAGAGCTCGATTAGATATCTTACCATCTTTTTGTTCTTCATCCTAAAATGAAAATTGTAAGAAATAATTTCCTTTTCTTATTCAATGACTGTACAATTTACCGTGAAAATTTTGATATTATTAAATGATGAAAGTGCACGTTCGGTCATTGCGACCAGATTCATGTCCGATTCTTCGGTCATTTTCGGTATATCGTAGATGGGTTGTAATAAATGGTTTTGATCTTTTTTAGCAACGCCCAATGCTCGATCGACGGCACGTAGGAAATTCTTTTCGAAGTCGTCATCGACAGTTTTGCCATTCAGAACGGGTCCGTGTCCATTATGTTCAGCTGAAGACGTTGAGGAGATAAATGTTTTTACATGAAGAGCCGCAGCTGGTGTAACATGAACTGTTGATGTACAAGGAATTCGTTCGGATTCAATTATATCACCGTCTTCACGTATGACAAGTTCATTGTCATTCAATAGATCGGACGAATGTCCATTTGTAATCACTTCTTGATTATCAGTTTCAACTAAATATCGAAAACAGAGCCGTTAGATTGAGTTACAAATCTGTTTTTCTCAACAACAGAGTTATTTCATGTCAGTTCAAATTGGATATGTCGATGTTTTCTACGTAAACAAAACCCGCCGAGATTAGACAAGACATTCGACGGCAACTACCCCACGAGCTTTTTCATTTCAAGTTCTAATTGTTTCAATATACCAACGATGTAGTTTGCAAAGCGTGTATTCTATAAGGATCGTTCTAGAACCAAAACGTTTTCCCTCGTCATCCGTCTCATGACTTTTGATTTTTAGTCTTCATGTCCCGAATGAATGTTTTCTTCTATCGGCCGAACTATACTCTCGACTAAGTCGCGTGCAAGCGAGAATATTCCAATTGAATTTACCTTTTGAATCGGTTGGCACGACTTCAGTTTCGACTAAATATAAAAAATGAACGTGAAATACATTGGGAAAAGAACCTGGTCACGTACTAGTAGTGGTTGCTCGTCGAAAACTATCGATGCTTCTACTCATTGGCCTTGCTCTTAAACTAGAATACATTCGATTATTATCATTAGTGAAGTTCCAATTGAATTTTCTCTTTCCCACATCGTGGTAGTGATGAAATTTAAATATATCATGTTCTTGTCCAAGCATCTTCTCATGATTGCCGAACGGTGTTGTAAAACCGTAGCCGCTAAGCATACAATTTAATTTTATATTTGATTGTTTACGCGCTTGAAGTAATGGATCGTCCGATGTTTTCGGTGGTGATGGTTGAACATATGGTTGTGAATTATTCAAAAAGTCATGACTAAGTAATGAACCGTTCATCGATATTGTACTCAATGAACGATTATGTATATCACCATTGGTCAAATGAGGGCGATCGTAATAATCGATCGATGAAGTTGTAGTTGTTGATAGCATGTCTTTTAAACGATCCGTTGCCAATGGTGCACATGGATGTTGTGATAGGACTTCAATGGTATTTGCTTTGGCGGTCGCTGTAGTACTATTACTATCGAAATATTTCGCACGTATTTCGTCGTAACAAGCATTAATATGATCGACTTGGTCTTTCGCATGAGGTGCAACTTGAGATGGTTGTTCAGTTTCGATCGACGTATGTGTTGAACTACGTGTTAGTTGAGCAAGGCGACTGGTGAAACGTTTCATTGGTGATGGATCACGTTTTCGAATCTTCTTACTGTGATCGTCAACAGTCTGTGGCGGAACTTTGTCTTGTTCATTGGATTGTGATGGTTCACCATTGATTTCGGTGATAACGTGTTTACCATTATCACGTGATTTTGTTCGAAAACGACGAAGTACAGCTGGAGAATTCAATTTTGAACGTAGAACATTAATTAATGAGCGAGATTTTTTTAGTGAGGGTGTATCGTCATTCAGTGCTGTGCCGTTAGTTCGACTAATAGTTGAAGATTTACGAAATAATGATGTTGAATGTCGATGTTGAAGGTGGCCATTACCATTGACGTGATGGCCGTTTGGTTTTTCTCGAAATTCGGGATCGTCGAGGCTGACAGGAGGTACTGTCGTTGATGCTGAACCGCGTCCACCAAGTGTAGCCCATTTTCGAGGCCATCGATGACTTGTTGTCGAACGCGGAGGAAGTTGATTTGTTACCGATGACAGCACAGCATCTGTGTCCGGCATCTGAAAACAAAAAGAAGAAGGAAATTAGCAATTACAAGACAAGTATGCAGATATAGAAAAGAAATCACTTGAGACTATTATTTCTATACAATGATCGGATGAACAGATGTACTTTGCTCATCATCGTCATTTAGTAAATCTAGCATCTCGAGAGAAAAATACAGCGAGAATTCGGCTTGCGATCGAAACGTTGTAGACAATGGTATGATGATTCTGTTTACATTAGAATAAAGACGAAATATATGTGTACGCGTCGTCGTTCACAATAGTACTGTCGATATCATTATGTATAAAAGAGAGTGCGAGAAAGAAAATGAAGAATAATAGATGGGCACGAACGTCCAAATGGGTAATCACGATAAGACAAGACTTATAACGTTCGTCGATCCATGTTAATACTTTACCTCCACTCCTTCCAGATGTAAACCAAAAAAAAAAAGAAGAAGAACGAATATAGTATTAAAACGGCCGACTTACATCATCGATATAGAAAAGAGAGAGAGAGAGAGAAAGAAAAGTTCACGAAATTGAATGCACGTATAAAACAGAACGATAAGAAATTTCATAGATGTAATCAACCTACTGTTGCCAGTCATGTTGATGACATTGACCTCACTTCTTTACCGAATACAATCAATCTCACTTACGTGTAGCAAGGAAGAAGAAACACAAAATTCAATTTTATAGCTGTCCGACTGCCCTCGATCGGTCACTATGAATGCCTGTGTATATATGTGTATACGTATATATATGTATATAACAACGACTATGGGCAAATGCATCGATTTTTCTTCTCCCTCTCCCTCTTCTTCTTCTTCTTCTTTTCCTTTTCTTCTCGTCCTAACTATATAAGGGCTACTGCTTCCGTATACTCACACGAAGCAGACGGTGGTACCCTCCATCTCATATTCCACTTTTCTAACAACTATACGTGTATACGAGGGTGCGCGTATCTGTCTGTCTAATATATCTAAGGAAAAAAAATGTTCGATTGGCAAGAAAAGAAAAGAAAAGAAGTATTCAATCGAGTTGTAATGAGAAGAAAGAAATGAGAAAAATGCTCTGTTCCCTTCTATCTGTATTTCTTATCAACTAATACAAAACAGATTCGATTAGATAGATCGATGACCATCATCATTACATTTACTACTAAGCCGACCTTTGGCCGTTACTCTCTTCCATTGCATTTCTACTGTTGCGTTATTAGGAGAGTAACATGATGCAATTTCAAATTGAAGTACAAAAAAGAAAAAAACCCGAACAAACGTCAGTTGTATAGTTACTTTGTTGAAGTCGCTTTTTGTTATACATACATCTGTATGTGTGCATATAGGCCATTTACCTTGAAGATGAAAATTTGTCGTACTCACTTTTCTTTGTCTCGATTTAAAATTTTATACCAATATTTGTACATTGCGTATTGATCGTGTTTGAAGAGAAAAGGGAAAGAAAGTTAATAGCAAGGACATGTTTCATGAGAGCGCTCATGTAAAAAGCTAAGAAGATTTCTACTTAACGAACGTGCTGATTAAAGGCAAAAATTGCTGAATTTAAAAGAATTTGTATTGATAAGACAACTTCTTTGATTCTTTTTCAGTTAATCCTCGATACACAATAGAGAGTTTTAGCGGGATTAGTCAAAGAAATTCAATCGGACATCTAGTGCAAAATTCTTCGAATGGGGCAGGAGAGAGAGAGAAAATGTAATTTTCCACTTGTGAAAACTATTCAATTCTTTTCCCCCTGCAGGTATTTTAATCTCTCAAGTAGAAAATACGTCCTTAAGGTAATACAATTGCTCTTTTATTGGAGAGAATTTACTGACGTCTGCTGAATTATATGAATAGGCGGAAAGCGTGAAATGTGCATATATCAAACGATGAGATGAGTTGTGACATTAGTCGAGCTAGTCTCATAAATCAAGAGTACGACAAACTGTTCGTCTGAAAACGATGGCAATTTGTCGAATGTATCCATGTGTATCATTGTTCTTCGATGTAGATAAAACGAAATATACGATCATTATATCGGTCGTGTGCATCAAGTTGAAGCAGAGAGGAGAAAGAATCATGATCAACTAGTAACGTTAAGGATATAAACATTTGTCTTCCTTTTTCCCGTGTCCGGACAATGATTGATCAGTTAAGCCTGATAAACTGCACAGATCAGAGACGTTCACACATGTGCAGCTCACGACGAACATGTAGAGATAGTCGATATGTATATATATATTCACGATGATAGATGAGGAACAAATTCGACCGATTGTGTTTCGATTGTATATTCACTCTAAGATTGTTGAGTGTAAAAGTATTGATTCTTCTAGTTGTCAAACATAATTCTCTCTTTTTCTTTCAACGATGTCTAGATCCTACAGGCAAAACAAAGACAGAATGCATTTGTCAAATGCAGTTATACACGAACAATACTGATGAGGTCAGGCTTAGTTGTACATTCGAAAGGTAACTTTACTATAGGCGATTTCCGATCAATGAAGTTAGAAAAATGCCGTAGGATGGAGAAATGAAGTTAATGGAAATATAATGTATCAGTGTAAACAAACGCAATTTCTACTCGTCATCGTTGTTGACATACTAAATGGCTCATTAGTTTCTCAGTACATCTGACGATGAACTAACTCGTTGGTTATATTTGTATGTTAATACAAGAAGACATTAAAATTAAATCAATTTGTTATGATCGACGAAGAATTCATGAGAGACAAGCAAGAAACCCTGACATATCAGTTAGTTGATGTTTAGTAATGTTGTTGTTGCTAGATTACTGCTTATCTGCTGTCTAACATGATGTTTTGTACGCAACATTTCAACTTCTTTACTCTAGATTATCTAAACGAGCACATTAATCATAGTTCTGCGAGCCAAGATTTGAAAACGACTGAATTTTACTTGTCTCTATAATTTATTTCTATTCATAGAAATACACACTGTAATTTTAAGACGATGTTCTCTCCTCCTCCTCCACATCACATCAGTCAGTCGTGTTTGTCTTTCACCGGTTCGTTATATAACTACGTCCTGTATATTTATTGAAAAGATCTTTCTTTCTGCTTTGATCAGTGAAAATGGCGTCTTCGAATTCCTATGAGGATAACCGGTGTAAATTGTTAGTTCTGGATATCGATGTAAATCAATTGAATTCCAATGATCTTCGACGATATTTTACTACATACGGACCTATCGAATGGATGGAAATTTTTCCGAAATTTTCATCAGCGATCATCTATTTCGTTAGTTATTTAATTGTTGATCGTCTGGTGAGATATCGAACATGTTCAATCAATCAAAATCAACTTCGATTGCGTCACTATCGATCGGATGAAACGAGCGCGCATATCGATACTCGAACAGTTCGAATAAGACTTTCCAATCCGAGAAATACCAATTTAAAGTTAACTGAATCAATACTATTTCCTTGCTTTGAACGATATCAATCTTTTATCAATAAAATCAACGTTTTTCCAAATAATCATGCATTAATACATGTTTCGGATTACATCTACGCGGATCGAATTCTACTTGATTCGAACAATGAATTTCAAATCAATGGGCAATCACTTATTTTGGAACGGTTCGTGCGAAAAGGTCGAATTCAACAGCGACAACAACAACAACGAAAACAGCCGCGAGATGTAGTAATTGACCAATTATTGGATCGAATCGCTTCTCTATCGAGACAGCTTCGAGGTATGATCAGCATAGACGGAAGAGATTCAATATGTACATTATCCTTTAGAAAAACCGGAAAACTCACGAAATGAAATTGAACGACTTGAAGCTGAATTGTTTGTAATCAAGAATGAAAATGTTCAACTCAAATCTCAACAACAGCGAACTGCACTCATTGACATATCCAACAAAAATTCGAACGAGCGCCCTATTCTCAAACGATGGCGTAGTAACAGTAGTGACAGAGAAATAAAGCATCATTGTTAATTTTAATAATAGAAAGTAATACTTTTAATAAAATCGTACTATATAACCCAAAGTGTTTGACGTCAGCCATAACTTGACAATGCAAACCGGTTCGGTCGCGCATGACTTAACCTATTGCTTTTGTATAGCTACCGAAAATACCCTCATGAGTCAAAACATGATCGCAAAACCTCGCATTCTATGTTGGCTCACCGTAGATTACTCATTTTGTTTTTAGAAGCCAGCTAACAATAGATTTTCCATGGGTATAAAAGGCTGTATCTGTTCGTTTCACATTCATTACAAAATATTTATTTAATTTTCTAACAAGTAAGTGTACAAATATTTGAAGAAAGATTATGTTCATTCATATTGATATTGTAGATCACATTCAAAATACATAATGGGTTTCAGTAGTGATGATCTGTTTCGTGGCTACGGTGGATGGGGAGGTCCATTCTACGGCGGATACGGTGCACCTATGGGTTATGGAATTCCATATGGAGGATATGGCTACGGATATCCATACGGTGGATACGGCTATGGATGGTATTGATCATAATGATCGAACTGCAGTTACTTTGTAATTTTTTTGTTTCAATAAATACATAATCGCTTGAAAAGTATTGTCTTACTTAATCTGATACTTTGCAATGAATGAGTCGATCGTTTTAAAGTCATTTTTCATATTCAAGAGGGACAGAAAAAGAAAATCAGATGTAATTTACATCATCGAACTCGAGTATGCATGTGTGCTTCTGTCTGATCAGCGATTGTTTAATAAGTGCAAAATAAGATATTTATTGATTGTGTCTTAAGACGATCTTCTTTTGTCTGTCTCTTGTACAATTTTGACTTAATCGAATTTGCCTTATTCGGTATTCCAGTGATCGATGGCACTGCTGTTACTACTTCTCATTCTGTAGAGTTCATGCAACAAGATTATCGCATTAACAACATACAAGCGAAGAGAAAAACTTGTTCCTCATGAGAATATTGCATCTTCTTGTGTGTGTTCAAACAATCGCTGTCATCTTACTTATTCTTCTCTTCGTCTGCCACACTAAAGAGTGCATGTACATGTGTTCTTTGTACGCTATCAGTTGATAACTATGGAATTGGCATGGCAGTAGACATTTATCCAAGTAGTAAGTATAACAATCGGAAATCAAATTCAGTCGATGATCGGTAAAACATCAAACGATTGATCACACACATTTACTCTAGAACAAATATTGATCTATTGCTTCTAGGCTACAAGACTGGCTAGTTATTATTCCTTTGTCCAGTCAGCCTAGAGGAGTAAAGTACGATGTAGATTGTCTCGCATATGTAAATTGAATTAAACAATAAAAGATGAAGAAGCATTGCTTTCTTTTCTTTATATCTTTGACTTTCACTTGTGAGACTGGTACCCCGCGTAGAGTCATGTCCGATTGTTCAATGAATGGGAATAGTTCAACGGAAATTACGAGTTGTAGCGATTATGACATAACAACTCGAACTATTTAGTTGAGTGTTTCTAGGAACGAGTCTAATAATGTCGATTTCTTTTCCACTTCAATACTTGTTCCGAGTTTGACACGATGGTAGACAACGTAAACGAGGAAAACTTTGTAAGTTAGATTGGTTGATTACAATAATAATTATCCTCGCTGTTGTTTCGGTCTTAGTTTTATCAATCATCCATTCAGCGAGTAGGAGGAGAAGAAGAAAATGACACAGGCGGAGCGCGGGCACACTTATTAAATTAGAAAAGACATTTTCTATTGTCTGTATGATGCTCATCATCGTTAGTTGATTTCAATGCAAATTTATCATTATTCAAATGATTTGGTCAGTTGAATATGTGTGAAAGTGAAAGGATCCTCTCTGTTCCGATCGATTGTCCAGCTCACTATTTGAAAAGAAAAGAAGAAGAAGAAAAAAGAAAATTGTTAGAAGACATTCAAAGCTTCAGATAATATCTTGAGTCGAATGGGAGAAAATATAAGCATGAGACAGCTGCAGATGGACATTCACACATCATCATTTATCGCCTCAAGGTTGGTTAACGACACTCAGAACAGGAAATGATAGTGTTTCAATCAATATCTTTCGCATTGTTGATTAAGTTGATCNTCATATCAAGCAGGAGATTGCACGACGCGAACCACATACATCGGCATGGAGTGTAATGGCTTGACCAAATGTCAGCTTGATTTAAATCCACAATATTTACATATATGTAAGTGAAAGAAAAATAATCAATCAATCGATCGATGATTTACATTTGCTGTATGCGTTCTAATACTTCCGTTATTCATTATTTTGTTTTGAAAAAGAAGAGAACGTGGTTAAGTGCTTCGAACAATATTGATTTTTTGTTTGCTAAGCTGTACAAATGCTCGATTTGCATCGATATACATTAAGTGCGATTACACTCAATGAGAGATTTTGAATTCGGATGTGTTGTTTTGTCGGGAAATCGACGCAAAGATCTATTTTTTTTGTCATCTGTTTCAGGCAGTCAATATAGTGATTACATGGTACTTGACTATTCATGTTTACAAGGTCAAAGTTTATCGGTATGTGACAATCATGTCACTCTTACGACACCGCTTGACCTGCAGCATCGTGTATTCATTCGAAGTTCGAACTATCCGAATGAATATGAAAATTCGCTCAATTGTTCGTGTGAAATTAAAACGAAAAAATCGACATTGGAATACCTGGACTTTGCACTCGAAGAACGTGATGAAATGAATGTATGTTCACGCGATTATTTACAAATTGATAATCAATCTTACTGCGATACGATCGCTGAGAATAAAATCACTCTGCACCCGTTAACATCGCTCATATTCAAAACAAACGATGTAATTACGAGAAAAGGATTTTGGCTAATGATTCAAAGCGATGATTCGATTCAAGTATCATGTCGAAATTCCTTTGAATCACCTTTTCCGACAACGTCACCGTCAACAACAGTGCCTTCCGTGTCATTCTTGTCAAGTTCGTTGACTATGATTACAAATTCTACACATTTACAATCACAGCGTCCTTCCACTCTTTCGATGATTCTTCTTTTAACCATTATTTTTGTCATTGTACTCCTTGTTTTGAACCTTCTGCTGATTGTTCTCTGCTGGAAACAAAAACAATCGAAACAGAGAATCAATTCAAAAATCAATCACTCACATCGACCATTTTCATGTTCGAAACGTTTATCCTCCTCCTCATCATCGTCTATAACTTACGGCGAAACACCAGTATTAACTTCACTCGATACACAAAAGCGTCAAACAACATCAACAACAACAACCGCAACCGGTACTTACGAAGATCCAAACGAATTGCTCATTATGCAACAACAGCAACATCATATTCACAACCACCCACTTTATCTACAACATCGTTCAGAACCGAAAACATTTTGTCCGATTGTTCTTCCAACATGTTCGACAAATGCTGGTTATAATCCAATGATCCATTGCCATCAAACTGTTTATCCACACTATTCACTCGATTCTCAACATATCTATGAAACGATTCAAGATGGTTATTGTGCCTATCAACGATTAGCGGCCACACTCCGTCGCCAACAACAGCAGCAGCAACAATGTACATGTACTTGTCCATATATTGAACAAAACTTTTCGATACAAACTGAGAAATTCGATGTAGAGAAAAAGATTGAATCAAACCCTGAAACACTAGTCTGATAGTAGAAGAGAAAACCTGAATTTTCTTGCCATGTTCCTGTTTTTAATATTTTTTGTGTTGTTATAACTTCAAACAAAAATAGAACGGCTTATGCTCAGATCTATAGAGTGCCCAAACAGCATTATCATCCATATCGGGCTAGTAATCTGTCTCTTTAGACTCACTCTGGCATGATGCTGCACTTCTCATTCAGCGGAGCTTTGAGATTATGAGAAACTGGATCCTGTATCACTTTTCAGTCCGAAGATTCTATCTTCAGTACGAAAACTCTGCTTTAGTAAACAATCTCCATTCCAAAATAATGCGATCTTTCATGAGTTCAAGTTTTAACAAGGTAAATTTTCAAAGACGAATCAAATAGTTGAATACACGCAAATTTGTGCCTCTGTTGTCGTTTTTACCATGGATGAAGTCATTGAATTAGAGAATTCTTTCAGATCAATTAGAATTGCCGAACAATCTAAAATGTTACTTAATCGGTCAATTCAAATAGACTCTAATGAAAAGCCCATTTCTTTCTATATTCAGTTGACATTAGCGTATTTCCAATGTTATTAAAACAAAGTTCATGCTCGCTTTTATTCTTGTTATGTTGATTTTCTCTTTATCCTGACCTCCTCCCTCTATTTCCTGATCCTTTTGTTTCATCTCTGTGAGTAATTGGTATGCGTGACTTCAGCGCGCAAATGTACATCTGTACAGGCCAACGATTGGATCACATCGATGGAAATCTTCGATTTCTCATATTGGAACATGTAACAGATGACTAATATCGATGGACATTATAAAAAAAAGAGAAGTCAATCCAAAGTTTGTCATCATGATCAAGTAGAAATGAATTAATGTGACAGTCAGAACACATTATTGCATCATCGAAAATAGACATAGAAATTCTTAAGTATCACTGTCAATCACAATTATGGAAGCAAAAAGAAATCGAATCTACTTAATAAATCCATTCATTATACAATATATTAACAATGAAGAAAAAAATGCAAATGCAATGAAGAGAAAGAAAAAACTATCAATCGGTCAAGACATTCCATTCCATTTGTTTCTTCTTGCTTATCACCTACCATTGTTTAATTAAGATGAAAAGTAAAACGATGATTAACGCTTAAATTGAGCCTTCATTCTTTACTTCAGACATATAAAAGGTGCCCCTAGAGCGATAATTGTCGATAACAAGCACTAGTCTCGACAACTTCTTTTATTAATTGTTCCTGATGATTTTGCTACATATACACATACATTTATATTAAAAACGAAGAAAACATCGTCATTTAGAACTGTCGATATGACTAATTGATGTTCGATACTGTTCATTGCTGGTGGAGAATATCAAGTGTGTACGTGTTAGATTCGACGAGTTATATGATGGCCAAGGAGAAGTGCAAATAAGATGAGACTCATTGTACATTGTACATACGAGTTTGCATGATTGTTTAATAACAAACGTTGCATAGCGCCTAAAAGTAGACAGACAGACAGGCATACATAACATGAAAACAGGTGTAATTTCATCTCAACGTATAAACAAAATACGTAATTGTCCTAACTACTCGAACTTCTACATGAATCTAAAAAAGAGTCATATCTTTTGTGTGTTCTTTGAATAGGAAAGCTACTATGATAGAAGAGGATGTAGTCAATGATCAATAATGATTTTTTTCTTGAATTAGAACTTCCGTAATAAAAAGACCGGATGTGTCATCAATGAAGGTCGTCCTCTTTTGATTTATTAAAAAAATATTTCTTTCAAGGCAAAATCTTTGAAATGTGAGTAAAAACAATATTTTACCTTTAACAACAACTATTCTTGCACTACGACGTTGTCTTCGATACGTACACGTCCATAATCCCGAGTGGTACGGTTGAGCATGACGAATAATCAATTGCGACTTTGAAATATTCTTTTCATACTGATTCTTTTCATGGATATCATAGAGATAATCATTGTAATGATATGTCTGATTGTAGCTGGAAAAATGCCACGTGATCGACGACGTGTTGACATTGTAAATCGTACAATCGAGTTCAACTTCTGCACCGGGTTCAACATATAATCTCGACGGTTGAATACTCATTGGTATTTGAACATGTAAATGGATTTTAATTGAGACACTACGACGGCGATTGGAGATTTTACATTCATAAGTACTCTCGTCAGATAATTGTGCTTTGTAAATTTCCAGATTCCAGTAGGAATTCACAGATGAAATGGAATAGGACGATACCGAATAACGTGTATCGGAAAGAAACACTTGTTCGCCTACAGTCAACGGTAGAAACATCGACGTATTTCGATCGTATTTTAGCCACGTCACATGATGATTGCCAAGATTTGTTACATGGCAGGTGAGAATAACTGTATCAGATACATTGACAGTTTGATTGTGTGTGCGAGTTAATATTCGAGGAAAATCGTGAAGATCAACAGTTGCTGTTAAATCATGAATGATTGTCAGGAGGAGAAAAACTAAAGTAAGCATCGAGAATGAACTGATCGTGTCGATTGTTTTTATGTAAAATAAATCCTGATGGCTAAGATCAATCGTACTAAACAAATGTTTCTGACATTCTCGTCAATTGACCTTTTCCGTCACAATTCAAAGGATTAACGAAGTTTGAACTTAGGTGCGAAATTAGAAAAAAGAATTCAATCTTTTTTTCTTCGAACACAACAACAACTTACCTGCTAGATATACTTGTCTTGAAGTCATAATTAAATCAGATCAATACTATTGTGTAGCAAGATTACCTTTTTACTAATCGTTGCATGACGTCTCACTCTAGAATGAATAGATGATAAAGAAAGAAAAGGATTATGACAAGCTGAGCAGCTTGTTCTATTTCTCTCTCTCTTCCTCTCTCCGTTTCTCCCCCTCTCTCTCTTTGTCTCGTTTGTTCAAGAATAAATAAACGTTTGGTTAATGGCATTACCTACTAAAAGAAAGAGAAGAAAAAAGATTATTCACTTTATAGCACAAGCAGGTGTCGAATCAAATAAGAAGTTTGACACTTCTCTTCTTCTTTTTTTTGTTTCTCGAAAGAAAGATGATTATTGAAGAAAAAAAGGAAATCAATTCTTTTGTATTGCATAGATTCTTATCGATGATTGACCTTTCATTTCTGTCTACGCATAGCTTGTTAAAGACCTTTGAATGTCTTCTTTCGGGCTATAGATCTGGACATAAATCAAGTGACTTTGTCTTCTTTTGTTTTTACTTTTTACTTTTGACCATCAACGCACATTTGGTATCGATCGTTTTTTGTTATTCTTGTTTTATGTTCAATCTGGAATGCATTGATCATCATCAGTATTGTTGACTAGGGAATGATGTTCTAACTTAAACAAGCTGTAGACGATGCGCCGTTGAGCACAGTTTGAACATAATGCGATAAGTGAAACATCGATCGTGCATACCCTCTCGACACGAGGATGGCGGCGGCTCGATGATATACATAAACTAAACATATGTACATACACAACAGGCCATTTATTACTATTCAGAACAAATATTGCATCAGGTTGTCTGTGTCTAGCACAAATTTATTTTCGTTTAATCGTTACTGATTACTACAACATTCAACTAGACAAAAGAAGCGAACAAACAAATCAGAAAATTATCTATTTTAGATTCGTCCGTAGTATCATTGCAGAAAATTGAGTTTTACGATCATGGTTTGCCGTCCGATATTTCTGATAGTGAATATATACCAGAGCGCAGTACATGTGCGGTCTCCATTATTGTTATGCGTAACGTGGTCGACAACATAAAGTGAAGAAGAGAGAGAAATAAATCCAATACAAGAAGAAAAGGAACAGCGAATAATAGAGATAGTATCTAACATTCGAATGTCAGTGGAGAGAGATAGAACAGTTAATATCTACGTGCAGAATAAAATACATCTGAAAGTAGTCGATAAAATTTATTTCGCTTATTTCGATGATCCATCTATTTCCAAAATACAAAACTTCATTCTAGATATAGATCTACGGTGAACACGTATAACTATTGAGTTTTCATAACGCGTCATCTATTTTTTCTCACACATTCACATCGTTGTAATGGTCAATCATCAAAAGGATTTGCTGATTGAAAAATGTTCCGTCATAGCGGTACTAAGAGAAAATGGTAGTCAAGCTAATCCACAATTAACACAATTTTGCCGTGAAAGTGTGTTTCTCATATTTAGGTTCGTATTGGCTCGCAACAGTCATTAACATTGATGAAACAAACAAGCGATTTGAAGTACAACACTTCGATGATCATACATTCAAAATTGAAAATACATCTACGGAATTAGTCAAGCTATCTTCCATACTTTGTAAATTTGAAAAAAGCCATCACAGCCGTAAACAGTTTAGACTTAACGATGATTTGCAAGCCAAACTGATAAAACAAGTAGCTGAAGCTTGTTCCCTTTTCTGAAAGAAATGGTTATAGCGTCATAAATCTGGTCGTTGAAATGCAAAAAGTTTGCTTGTTTACATAATCCTATCAGATTGCAGCATTCAATAAATGAATGAAAACTTAACCATGGTCATTAGCAAACGATTGATGAAAGATTTTCAGGGTCGAGGATCACGAATCCGTGATTAGTTTTTTTTTTATAATGGAATAAGTGAAAAAATCAGTTCTTAGATATAGCACTACTGATAGGTAGAAGATATTAGGCAACGGTGAAATTATTCGATAGTATACGTATTTGCTTCGTAGGACTAATCCGTACTTCGTTTCATCTTTCACTTCCGACCTTCGATAGAGCCATTTTCATTTTCCAACATAATACCCTGACTGACGTCTCTATGATAATCCAAAGATGTAATCTGATGACTATTCAGCGTAGTTGCCATGCGATCCAGAAAACTACAGTATGATCCTAGCGAAATCCTAAACATATAGTTGTGTTGTTGATTAAACCTAGTTGGATCTTAAAGTCGAATGGATAAATATGATTTGATAATAAACTCCAAATAGTCTGCCACTTTTCAGCTGATTTTTATGCAAAAAGTCAACCTGGGTGCTTACCAGAAAATCATAAGCAGATCTAAATTCATTCTCTAGATCATCAATGTCAAAACAAATATCTGAAAACTATTCGGTAGCGTCGGTGTTTACTAATGATGAAATCGCTGGTTGCCAAAGGTGATCAGGTTGATAGGAACGGTGAAATAGATTCTACCTTGCATTACATGACTAAACGTTTTCAAGATGAGAAGAAGTTTACGAAAAAGAAACAAATCCATTCTGGCATCGAACGGGACAAGGATTAAAACTTTGTTTGATCTATCTGAAAATATTTTCAAAAATGGGGAAAAGTAAGGAAACGTCTTAGAAGTGGGAGAAAATCTCGAAGAGTATCATGCCTAAGTCTTCGTAAGGGAAAGAAAGTGACCCACTCTCAGTTATTTGGTCTGCGTCATCACTGATATACCCAGGTCGATCATTCCGGTGACTGGATCCGTTGAAATCTGAGTCGGCTCCGGTACAGCTCTTCTCGATTCCGGCACAGTTTTCGCCGATTTCAGCAAGTTCCGGCAGGTTCTTTGCCGCCGGATTCCGGCCGGAATTGCACAGGAAATATCCGATCAGTTCCTGGCCGTTTCCAGCTCGAAGTTTGCAGGAAACGGTCGGGAAATGACTGGAACCTACGTTTGAACTTCCGGCCGGAATCCGGCGGCAAGGAAATGGTCGGAAAGCGAACCTAACCGGTCGGAGCCGACCGTGCCATAATAACCTGGGTAAGTTTGCAAGCAAAATACTTCGTTTATTTCGTGGAATCGAGCTTTTCTTTTACGTTATTGTTCGCAGTATTTTTTCTGCTATTTCGTCAGCAATCTCTATTACAATATGTGAAGGTGCGATCTTAATTGAGAACTGAAAAACTTAAGAGTTTGTTCATTTATGATTACAATTGTTTAATCGATTGCTTCAGAGGGATGTGAAATTCGAAAAATAGATAGGGCCAAGTCAATTATAGATGTGCGTAGGGAGATCTTGTTCGTTGTTGATATCTATTTCAGTTGGAATGACTTGTAAATTACTTATATTTTCAACCAGACGTGTCATTGATCCTGAATGTCGTCGCGGGGTAAATTCGATCGAGTCGCCTACATACAATGGGTAAAACGCTTCAACTAAATTCGTACAACTATTTTTTCCTGAAAGTTGATTTTCATTGTTTTCAGAGTTTCAGTAACGTAGTTCATCTTCATCTACCCATGTATAAGCGATACTCGATGAATTCAGTTCGCACATTATCGCATCGGAGAATGAAAAATAATCAAATCCATTGATCTGGTTGAAGTTCAATCGTTAGATTCGATTGTTTTTTGTAAAACATCGCTTTCTCATTTAGGAAAGCTTTCAGTTGTGGATGAGTTAATTGTAATCACATGTGTGGTTATTTCATTGTATTATATCGAACGAGATATTTTCTCGTCAGATAATAAACTATGCAACACAGCTGCGCCAATCACAAATGTTTCCACGAGTTCACAACTTGCATAATAAGATCCATTCGAAAGGCATCAGCTCCGATGATATTTCCACATTTATAATAAGTAGTTGATGTACCATTTTTGTGTTGAACAAGATCACGAATAATTAGATAAGCATTTGTGACTCTTTGATTTCTTTCTAAAAGATTGCTGTCGGGTTGAAACCATCGATGTCGAGACTTGAATAATGTTTCCCATTGATTTATTTCGATCGATGAGAGTCCTTGAAAGTATCGAAGTAAATGAATTGGTTTTTCAAATTCTTTCTTTTGATTTGTAAACACTCGGATCTTTCCATATTCGAGATTGAATAATTTGTTCTCAATTAATTCAATATCTGCAAGAATACCTGTTTCATACAACTGAATAATCGCGGTTGATTCATATTTTAGAAGCATTTGAGCACATCATCGTGTCGTTTGAACAATCCAACATAAGTCGAAAAGAATATACATAGCATTGATTTGATATGTCTTCACTTCATCACAGATTCCATCCATGATTCGTTCGTTCAAATTACCCAGTTCAGGAAATTCTAAACGAATATTATCAAGTCGAGTTTTAGCAGAATGAAAACCTAAAGTACACAACAATTCTTCAGATACTTTAGAAAACATTTCAACTCACTCAAAGTCAATTCAATCGTTTGGAAAATATGATCGAAGAATAATCCATCTGTCCATTGATTAATACAACGAAAACGATCAAATTTGATGAGATATCGAAGAAAGATTGATAATCGAAAATGTTCAAGAATGAGTTTCGAATGAAGTTCAAGTGAACATTTTTGTTTAGTTTATTCGACCGATTTGATGAGAATGTTGAGTGTTTATCGACGAATCATACCCAAATATCATTGTTTCTCATAATCAATTGCCATCGCCGTAAGGAAACGCGTGATTAATTCGTTACGAATATTCTTATCATGTTGATTATTATCGATTATCGGTGGAACGAAATTTTCTCTTCTTCCAACGATTAAGTTCATTTGTAAATCATAATCAAAAAGAGCATTCTGATGGAATGATTGTCGAGCAGATATTGAAGAAATTTCATCTGTTGTTCTTGACAATTGTTGACGATGATTTGTGTGATTTTCTTCATCTAATTCTTCCAATAGTTTGTCAAGCAAGTATTCGGTTAAGTTCGTCCAATCAACATCTGCAAACTTTTCGTCTTCTTTCATTTTCGCTAATTTTCACGATGTTTGTCGTCTGACATGTTCGAATGCTTGTAAAAGAACAATATCACTTTCTTTTGTACCTAAAACAATAGAATTTGAGTTTAGCTAAGTTCATCACTTGCTCGAATTACCATGGTGTAAGCCTAAAATCTTCACTAAATATTTGCTACTTGTTCCATTAACACAATCATTGAGATATGAAATAGAAAACGAGGGTGTGTGATTGTTTCGATTTCTGTATCTAGACTGACAATTAATACTAAGATAAGCGACATGCTACCACGTAAACCACTTCATGTTAGAGTCATACAATCCTCTCATGATAAATGAACGCCTGAGCACATCATTAATGGATATAATACAATAACTGTTACAAGACGTCCTACATGGATCATAATATACAAAACAACGGAGAATCCGAAGTCTTTCGCAGAAATGTCAGTAGCAGTACCGATGAATAGCCTAGCGAGAATAATGCCAGTGATAGTAAAGATAAGAATATTGATGAAGTGAGTCGCAATTCTCCAAGCACTTGCCATGGCAGGTTGAACATTGCCGCTAATACAGTATTTGTATTTGCTCATGTATAAGCCCATGAGAAGAACAACAACCGTAAATGGTAGTGGAACTTTATTTTTGAAAAACTTCGATAAATATGATTTTGTATATACATGAGGACAAGACTGATAATGAGAGAAATAAGATAATTGTGCTTGATTTGGAGTCACTTTCGGAATGACTGTCAACTGTAGAATTCATGTATTGAAGTAATCTAAACGATGTAAATATAGTTGTCAAAATATTTTATGAGACCTTTGCAGAGTATTTTCTTGAAAAGAAAAACGTTGATTTGTTATATGTTAAGACGTTAGTGTCGTGGAACGCGTATGCAAAATAATGACGCGATCTTTCGTGTTTGTACTGTTTGAAAGCATACTTATCTTTATGTTTTAAGTTCATCTAGAGTTCGACGGGACTATGTTTTTTTCTCATACTGGTTGTATCAACATATTTTCTGTCGCTCGGATCGGTGCATAGCATGAGATAAAATTGTGAAGGAAACTGTTAATAGGATACAGTTAATCACATTGATCTGAGCGGTTAAGTACTCAGTTAGTCAAGTGGTTACCTTCGATTAGCCGTCGACTTCAATGTAGCTTGTAGAGTACGGATTTCCAAAGATTTGTTTGAGTTTATATAAAGAAAAATANACATAAGTCGAAAAGAATATACATAGCATTGATTTGATACGTCTTCACTTCATCACAGATTCCATCCATGATTCGTTCGTTCAAATTACTCAGTTCGGGAAATTCTAAACGAATATTATCAAGTTGAGTTTTAGCAGAATGAAAACCTAAAGTGCACAACAATTCTTCAGATACTTTAGAAAACATTTCAACTCACTCAAAGTCAATTCAATCGTTTGGAAAATATGATCGAAGAATAATCCGTCTGTCCATTGATTAATACAACGAAAACGATCAAATTTGATGAGATATCGACGAAAGATTGATAATCGAAAATGTTCAAGAATGAGTTTCCAATGAAGTTCAAGTGAACATTTTTGTTTAGCTTATTCGACCGATTTAATGAGAATGTTGAGTGTTTTTCGACGAATCATACCCAAATACCATTGATTCTCATAATCAATCGCCATCGCCGTAAGGAAACGAGTGATTAATTCATTACGAATATTCTTATCATGTTGATTATCATCGATTATCAGTGGAACGAAATTTTTCCCTCTTCCAACGATCGAGTTCATTTGTAAATCATAATCCAAAAGAGTATTCTGATGGAATGATTGTCGAGTAGATATTGAAGAAATTTCATCTTTTGTTCTTGACAATTGTTGATGATGATTTGTGTGATTTTCTTCATCTAATTCTTCCAATAGTTTGTCAAGCAAGTATTCGGTTAAGTTCGTCCAATCAACATCTGCAAACTTTTCGTCTTCTTTCATTTTCGCTAATTTCCACGATGTTTGTCGTCCGATACGTTCGAATGCTCGTAAAAGAACAATCTCACTTTCTTTTGTACCTAAAACAATAGAATTTGAGTTTAGCTAAGTTCATCACTTGATCGAATTACCATGGTGTAAGCCTAAAATCTTCACTAAATACTTGCTACTTGTTCCATTAATAGTCAAAGTCAATAACACAATCATTGAGATATGAAATAGAAAACGAGGACGTGTGATTGTTTCGATTTCTGTATCTAGACTGACAATTAATACTAAGATAAGCGACATGCTACCATGTAAACCACTTCATGTTAGAACCACACAATCCTTCCATAATAAATGAACGCCTGAGCACATCATTAATGGATATAATACAATAACTGTTACAAGACGTCCTACATGGATCATAATGTACAAAACAATGGAGAATCCGAAGTCTTTCGCAGAAATGTCAGTAGCAGTACCGATGAATAGCCTAGCGAGAATAATGCCAGTGATAGTAAAGGTAAGAATATTGATGAAGTGAGTCGCAATTCTCCAAGCACTTGCCATGGCAGGTTGAACATTGCTGGACTGTAGAATTCATTTATTGAAGTAATCTAAAAGATGTAAATATAGTTGTCAAAATATTTTATGATACCTGTGCAGAGTATTTTCTTGAAAAGAAAAACGTTGATTTGTTATCTGTTAAGACGTTAGTGTCGTGGAACACGTATGCAAAATAATGACGCGATCTTTCGTGTTTGTACTGTTTGAAAGCATACTTATCTTTATGTTTTAAGTTCATCTAGAGTTCGACGGAACTATGTTTTTTCTAATACTGGTTGTATCAACATATTTTCTGTCGCTCGGATCGGTGCATAGCATGAGATAAAATTGTGAAGGAAACTGTTAATAGGATACAGTTAATCACATTGATCTGAGCGGCTAAGTACTCAATTAGTCAAGTGGTTACCTTCAATTAGCCGTCGATTTCAATGTAGCTTGTAGAGTACGGATTCCCAAAGATTTGATTGAGTTTATATAAAGAAAAATAATGGTGACAATGATGTCAAATGTATAAAAAAATATGGAGAGATGTATCCGAAAACAAAAGAAAGACCCAGTGATTCTAATGGAATAGAATATTTTTTTGTATAGATCTACATTTGCAACTCGCCATTGTCGACAGGAGACTCAGCAAAAAATAATTTGGTGCAAATAGAAATTACTGAGTAATGATATCTCGAAAATATCGATGCGAATAAATGTCTCATAAAATTCAACGACAAAAGTTTCGAAAACATCATAAGCGGCGACGAAAGAGTGCTGTTATGAAAGAGAATATTTCTCATTCATTGTGTAGTAATCGTACTCATGAAAGTATCGAAAAAGTTCAGAAAAGTCGAATATAAAGAAGGTGAATCAGATTGCGATGAGTCTGACGTTAATTCGTCTGAAGATGAAGGTGATACACCTATGGTAGAAGCGAACGGCAAATCCAAATTCAATGCAATGAGAGTGTTTGATACAGTCTCTCCATCGTTATCAAATTCATGCTTTCGCGTCGAAATTGACGGGAAAGAAAAGTATATTCATAAGCAAACAGCCTGTTGGTTTTTTTACGGCTTACAAACCACAATTATCAGCTGATCGATCAAAACAAGCTATGCAAAGCAGTGAATGGGTGAATGAAAGCTTGAATGTAGGGGTGTTAATTTAACAAACAGATTAAAATTATTGTATTGCTCTTTTTTCTATTGAAAAATTTAACTAAACTAATCAGCTCTATTGTTCCAGTTTTTTTACACTCATATCTCACTATGATTGTCTAAACATCTGACGATAAAGAATTCTTTTTTCTTCAATATTTCATTGAAAACAGTGTCGAGTATTTTGTGGTTTTTGAGCTTTAGAAGATCACCACAAAACATGATAAATATTTGGAAGAATCAATACTTTAAAATCCTGGAAGTACGAANAAACATTTCAACTCACTCAAAGTCAATTCAATCGTTTGGAAAATATGATCGAAGAATAATCCATCCGTCCATTGATTGATACAACGAAAACGATCAACTTTGATGAGATATAGAAGGAAAACTGATAATCGAAAATGTTCAAGAATGAGTTTCCAATGAAGTTCACGTGAACATTTTTGTTTAGCTTATTCGACCGATTTAACGAGAATGTTGAGTGTCTTTCGAGGAATCATACCCAAATACCATTGTTACTCATAATCAATCGCCATCACCGTAAGGAAACGGATGATCAATTCGTTACGAATATTTTTGTCATGTTGATTATCATCGGAGGAACGAAAATTTTCACTTCTCCCGACGATCGAGTTCATTTGTGAATCATGATCCAAAAGAGCATTCTGATGGAATGATTGTCGAGCAGATATTGAAGAAATTTCATCTGCTGTTCTTGACAATTGTTGATGGTGATTTGTGTGATTTTCTTCATCTAATTCTTCCAATAGTTTAAGTATTCGGTTAAGTTCGTCCAGTCAACATCTGCAAACTTTTCGTTAATTTCCACGATGTTTGTCGTCTGACATGTTCGAATGCTTGTAAAAGAACAATCTCACTTCCTTTTGTACCTAAAACAATAGAATTTGAGTTTAGCTAAGTTCATCACTTGATCGAATCACCATGGTGTAAACCTAAAATCTTCACTAAATATTTGCTACTTGTTCCATTAATAATCAAAGTTAGTAAGACAATCATTGAGATATGAAATAGAAAACGATGACGTGTGATCGTTTCGATTTCTATATCTAGACTGACAATTAATACTAAGATAAGCGACATGCTACCACGTAAACCACTCAATGTTAGAATCACACAATCCTTCCATGATAAATGAACGCCTGAGCACTTCATTAATGGATATAATACTATGACTGTTACTAGGCGTCCTGTATGGATCATAATATACAAAACAACGGAGGATCCGAAGTCTTTCGCAGAAATGTCAGTAGCAGTACCGATGAATAGCCTAGCGAGAATAATGCCAGTGATAGTAAAGATAAGAATATTGATGAAGTGAGTCGCAATTCTCCAAGTACTTGCCATGGCAGGTTGAACATTGTTGCTAATATAGTATTTGTATTTGCTCATGTATAAGCCCATGCAAACAACAGCCGTGAATGGTAGTGGAACTTTAGTTTTGAAAAACTTCGATAAATATGATTTTGTATATACATGAGGGCAAGACTGATAATGAGAGAAATAAGATAACTGTGCTTGATTTGGAGTCACTTTCGGAATGACTGTCAACTCTAGAATTCATTTATTGAAGTAATCTAAAAGGTGTAAATATAGTTGTCAAAATATTTTATGATACCTGTGCAGAGTATTTTCTTGAAAAGAAAAACGTTGATTTATTATATGTTATTATATGTTAAGACGTCAGTGATGCCGTGGAACACGTATGCAAAATAATGACGCGATCTTTCGTGTTTGTACTGTTTGAAAGCATACTTATCTTTATGTTGTATCAACATATTTTCTGTCGCTCGGATCGGCGCATAGCATGAGATAAAATTGTTAAGGAAATTGTTAATCGGATACAGTTAATCGCATCGATCTGAGTGTCTAAGTACTCAGTTATTCAAGTGGTTACCTTCGATTAGCCGTCGACTTCAAAGTAGCTTGTAGAGTATGGATTCCTAAATATTAGTTTGAGTTTATATAAAGAAAAATATGGAGCGATGTATTCGAAAACAAAAGGTAACATCCTGTGATTCTAACTGTGAATAGAAATATTTTTGTATAGATCTACATTTGCAACTCACCATTGTCGACAGGAGAATCAGCAAAAAATAATTCAGTACAAATAGAAATTACTCAGTAATGATATCTCGAAAATATCGACGGGAACGGCAAATCCGAATTCAATGCAATGAGAGTGTTTGATACAGTCTCTCCATCGTTATCAAATTCATGCTTTCGCGTCGAAATTGACGGGAAAGAAAAGTATATTCATAAGCAAACAGCCTGTTGGTTTTTTACGGATTACAAACCACAATTATCAGCTGATCGATCAAAACGAGTTATGCAAAGCAGTGAATAGGTGAATGGAAGCTTGAATGTAGTGGTGTTAATTTAACAAATACATTAGAATTATTGTATTGCTTTTTTCTGTTAAAAAAATATAACTAAACTAATCAGCTCTATTGTTCCAGTTTTTTTACACTCATATCTCACTGTGATTGTCTAAACATCCGACGATAAAGAATTCTTTTTTCTTCAATATTTCATTGAAAACAGTGTCGAGTATTTTGTGGTTTTTTAGCTTTAGAAGATCATCACAAAATATGATAAATATTTGGAAGAATCAATACTTTAAAATTCTGGGAGTACCGTGAAAATCCCAGGAGTACGGTAACAAACCAAAGAATACGAAAAAATCCAAGAAATATTGAAAAACAAGTTTGAACATTTGCCTGTGTCTTCCAATGATAAATCGATTCTTTTCTCTCCTGTCAACGAAATGATTCCCTGTCGAATATTTTCATTGAGGAATATCCATTCGTTAAATCCCTTTCAAAATTATCGGAAGCCTCTGGCAAGATTATTCTAAGCGTACACTTTAGGATTAATCTAGAATTTAAACGCCTAGTCATTCGTCGCCCACTCACGTCTAGCCGCTGCCATGCTGTCTCTGTTATTCCTTTCGCCTTTGATTAACTTTCAAACTGAACGATTGGGTTTTCTTTTATTGTCACTTCGACTATCAAAAGAAACTAGATATGAAAGTCTTATTGTATGATTTGCTTCGAAACGAACATCTTTCATAGTGCTGCATGTGTTCAGAATACTGTATGTATAGTCCACGCATCTGTAGTTACTAANCGGATCCGATAGGTTCCAGCTGGCGGAAATGACAGGATCCTGCCACCGGAATCCTGGCCTTTCCGATGACGGAATACATCGGAAATCGAAGGATATAATATGGAACCCTGTAGTCGGAATCCCGTCGGATCCGACTGTTGGATGATGTTGGATTGTTTAGGGATCCGTTAGGATCCTATGGGGTGATTTCGCCCTGGGTAGATAGGAAAGTCTTATTGTATGATTTGCTTCGAAACGAACATCTTTCATAGTGCTGCATGTGTTCAGAATACTGTATGTATAGTGCACGCGTCTGTAGTTACTAAGATGGAATTTCACTGACGGATATACCACTTTGCGAACCACTTCTACTAAATTCCCCTGAAAAAAAACATGATACTAAGCTCCTATCACTTTTTCGGATTTCTTAAATTAGAAACATCATTATGTACAATGGATTAGATCTTTTCGTGTAAGCTCTTGAGCTACTATCTTTGTACGCCTGACGTCCATGAATAGCGTTCAACTCATCATCTTCTACAACAGATTTCAGAACAGCTAAAGACCAATATCTCCTTTGTAAAGAGGAAGGAACCAACTCAGGCTCAGTGCATAAAACGAAATTCACTCTCAAATTCGAATTTCCCGACGTCAGAAACCTTCCGTTCTACTCTGACAATCGATGTTATTAAGTCGTGGCTACTTAATGAAAAATTAATAATTCATTAAGCAACACTAACCTCGGATACGTGATCCTCGACCTCGATTACCCTTCAGTCAACTAGTAGCGTAACCAGAAAATTGTCGGTGGGCAGGCTCAGCCTCACGCCCTCCTATCTTTCTAAATTTGTTGAGTATAAAATTAATATGTGCTAGCGGTACAGAGGGTGTAAATCTTGATCATGAAGAAATGTTATGGTATTCGTTTATTTTAAACCTAATTAAAATGTATATCACTTTGTAGCTCTACTTCAACAAAAGTTCGACTTTTTTGTGCTTTTCAGCAAAATGATCAATTACGTTTTCAAAACCCACTACAAGATCACATATAACGACAAAAACGCACAAATCATTCGGTTTCATATCCGACACACTATTCCGCCTTTTTGTCTAAATTAGCTTCATCTGGTTGAATATTCGTTCACACATCGTAGAAGGGATAGGAATTGTTATTGCAACGAGAAGAAACACTGTCAGCTCAGGAAAAGTTGGTTTTAAAGGTAATAACTCGATGCATAAATCAACAATGTTATCCATTGTTTTATCTTTCAACACAGGCTTCAGAGCATGTATCTTGTTGCACAACCCTGAAAAATCAACATTCGTTTGTGTTCCCAATGGTTGAATCGATTGGATGTGAAGAAAATTATTACTCTCCGGACACAGCGCAGATATGCCATTCAGAATAAGAGTATTGTCATCAGAAAAGCGATCATTCACCTTCAACAGTATCGAATCAAATATAAGGTAGAAAAGAATCGTTCTATAATCATCTTCACTGTTATGCATATCACTATGGGTGACTGTGGATGTAATGAAAAAATCTTTGGAAAATTTGTGTGTGACAACTTGCTTTTTCTTTTCGTTCAGGTTATTTTGACAAAACTCCCTTGTCGTATGACATATCATATAGCATATGGTGAAGCAACTCGAATTTCCGGTGGACAGGCTCAAACCTTCGGTGGACAGATTGAGCCTGCCCTGACTACCCCCTGGTTACGCCACTACGGTCAACCCTCACTCATCCACGAAAAATTTCGAGAAACTAACATCGGATTCGACATCCTCGACGTCGATTACCCTACTGGTAATCATTTTCTAACAACTATCGATCAATTTCATTGATTTTAGAAATGTTGATTTCTGGTTGGATAGGACAGACGGAATGACCGACAGACAAACTTTAAGCTTTTTAGCCGAGCATTTAAACGAAATATTTCTAATGTATTTCGATATTGTTATTAAACTGGGTCATTTTTTACTCTGGTCGGTACGACTAGGGTTAAGCAAACGAACTTTGAACGCGGCTATAACCCGTTCTCATAGAAGGCAATATCTACTTAGTGTTCAGTGGTAGAATAAAAGATTTGTTTGTTCACATTCGATGGAACTTTTATTATAAAAAGATCAGGTTTATATACAAGTAGCGCTCGTCGTGCCGACTCACTTAACCCTCGACTGTGGAGAACAGGTATTTTTTCGTGTCCGCAATATGGCACAAATTGGTCTAACAATTTTTTATACACGAAGAAACAAATCGAATGTTTTGCGCAGA